CTCCAATATTGACTTATTGATTATTGTACGGTCTTCTAATTAGTTTTCTCTCTTAGATTCCATTTTTTAAAATAAGCACTTCTTCTTCAATATATTTTTCAGGTTCTTAAATGCTAATAATCTTCTCGTATTTTCCATTTTATTCAATCCATCCTTCTTCCTTCTATTTATTAAGAGATTAAACATTTTATATTACTTATCTGGATAATATTTTATTCCCCTTCTTATCTACCTCAGCTAAATTCTCTCCAAATTTTAATTTCTCATCTTATTTAGTCAATTGTCTTTTAATCATTTTCCTCTCATAATTACCAGTTTCTTTATTAAAACATAGGACTTCTTCAATGAGATATTAAGTAGGTTCAATCTACTTAATTTCTAATTCTCCATTTTCATTTAATTTCCATCCTTGTTATTCTAATTATTATTTTGATTGATCATTTCCAACAACTCTTCTTGCAACTATCCTTTCTCCATTTTCATTAGTGTCATTGATATCATCCCCATAATTTCTTTGTAAATCATCTTAAAGAAAAGGTCTTCTAACTAGTTTTCTCTCCTATTTTCCATTTTTAATCACAATTATTTCTTCTTCAATATATTCTTCAGGTTCCTCAGCTATAGTTTATCGATATGATCCCATAGATCCTCTTGTCCAATCTGAGCCAAGTAACTTTAAATTGGGTACAAGTGTACGCTTAACAATAATATTACCATCCTTATCAACTTCTTTCAAATGACCAAATTAAATCTTATCTTTATTAACAGATGGTCTCTTTATTAGTTATCTAATCATCGTTCCTGTTTATTGATTAAATGTGAGTACTTCTTCTTCAATAAATTCGATTGGCTCGCTTTAAATTAAAACTTTCTCTAAATTTCTTGTAATCTCATTTTTCTTCCAATTTTCAAGATTACCATCATTCTTAACAATTTTTCTACTAACAACAACTTAATCGTCAGATATTCTTTCATTTAAATCTTCTCCTAATTAGCATTTTTCCCCATCTTATAAAATAGGTCTTCGAATTAATTTTCTTTATTATTTACCAGCTGATAAATTTTGTATTAATATCTCTTCCTCATAGAAATTTAATATTTTATCAATTGATATTATTTTTTCTAATTATCCACTTCTATTTTTAATCCATCCTTGTTCTCTAAGATAAATTGTAGATTCAATATTATCACCTACTTCCCTTGAAATAATCTAACTTCCATCAAACTATAGTTCATCTAAACGATCTCCTAGTATCAAATTTTGTTCATTGACTTCTAAATCATATCTAATTGATTTTTTTGTCTATTCATAATTGTCAAAATCTATTTCAGCAATCATTTCTTAAACATATTTACAAGACTCTCCTTATTTAATGATTTTTTCCCAGTATTTTTTATCTGAATAATATTTCCAATCTTTTTCAACTTATTTCTCTCCCCTAATAACTCTTCTAGCAATTATTCTTATTCCTTAAATTTAAATTTCATATAAATTTTCTCCAAATTCCTACTAGACTTTATTTAGAGACTATTCATCAAAATAGATCTTTCTTATTAATTTTCTATCTTGTTTCTTTTAAGATACTATTAATATTTCTTCTTCAACATAATAAACTTCATCTTCATTTTAAATATATTTCTAAGCAGTTCCTAAATTGAAATTGCATTCCCAACCATCCTACGCCAATTATTTAGATGATTATATATTTTCTACAATTCTACTTGATACTAATTTTTGTCCTTCCTCTAATTTTCTATTTTTGTCATATTTCCTTCTAATTATTTTTCTTTCTATTTAACCTGTGTATGGATTTACCTCTAATATTTCTTCCTCAACATATTTATTTGGTTCTCTATTACCAAGTATTCTTTCTAATTTAGATTCTTTTGTAACCCATCCTTCCTACTCGAGTTATTCAGTTGATTATTCATTTACAACAATTCTACGACCAATAATTCTTTATCCCTAAGAATTGATCTCGTTTAATCCTTCTCCTAATTTAACATTTTAATCATTATAAGGTATTCTCACTATTTTTCTAGTCAATTAACCAGTTTTAGGATTTTCAATTAGAATTTCTTCTTCAATATATTTTTAAGGTTCTTATTCACTTATGACTTTTTTGAGTTCTCCATTTTCTTATCGATTCCATCCTACTTCATCTGTAACATTGACCAACTTTCGAGATACTAATATTTTACCATCACCCATATCTTATTTGAGGTTATTACCATATTCATAATCTTAATCAATAGGTCTTCTTATTAAGACCCTTTTAACTTGGTCAGTTTCCTCATCATATTCTAAATATTCTTCTTCTATCATATCTAATGGTTCTGAGGCTCTCAATTCTTCGATTAAATCCTATTCAGATTGAAAGAGGGAACTAGCATTAGTATTTTTATTATCATGTTAAGATACTCTACTATTAAAAGAATTATTTAATTTATTGGTTTTTTCTTGACTATTATTTCTTTATTGTGCATTTCCTAACTCAACAATCATGGATTAAACTTAATCTAAATGAACAGAACTGCTTCTTCTTGAATGAGTACGATCTCTCATATCGACTGGAACTTATTGCAGATTGCCAAGTTTATTAATAGACTTTTGAATGTCTTAAATAAGTAATCTTATTAAATTAGCCTTTTTCACTGAAGAACCTTAATTGTTCCTCTATTCTTATATAAAGGATTTGCCAACGGGACTTGGAGAATGTTAAGTAAGGAATGTTTGGACACACCTTGCAGGAGTAGTAGGAACTCCTTTTTTTGGAGTTTGAAAGTGATGCATCTTGTCCTGTTATTGAGGAGAATAATAGAATCTCTACATTGGAGATACAATCGAGGTTCTAGATTTACTCATGACTCTAGATGAGAATAATTGTTATGAACTTTTCATAGGAGACATTTATTTTATTATTGACAATTTGGTTTCTGTTGATCTCAAATGAGCTTAGACATCTACTTCGATATGTTATTATCTTAACACAGATATTCCTTCATTAAATCTTCGTTTATCAACAGTGAATGCAGGTAAATTGAAAGCATACTTAGTAGCAAAAATTGGTTGGATTGAACTTAAATACTTCAATTCAAATTCTGGTAGTTGGAATCTAATCTGTTCATTAAGTTGTTATAATTCATTATTTTCATTGGTATACAGATTCGCCTTATCGATTTTGATCAATCGACCCTCCTCAGTAAAACAATAAATGAAGTAGTTGGTCTAAGATAAGTGGTGAATTCTGATATTTATTGCCAATCTCCTTATTATATATCTTCCATTATTGTTAATCAATATAAACATTCGATTTTTATCTATTTATATAGTGAATAATTACTTGATAGTAAGATTGAATATCTGTCATTTGGTATAATCTCATTCACTATTAAATAGTTTGAGTCTATCTGCTCTGCTCTTGTAATTGCCCACATATTTTAACAAGTGAAGTATTCATTTGATAATTTAAATATTTCACTCAACACTTACACTTAAGCCTGTTGATCAGTAAAAATAACATAATCTTTGGCAGCACAGATCTTTATGAACCTCCCATCTATTCTCGTTGGAATATCGCTTCTACCCAAAGGAGAATTACCCCATATCCATGCTTATCCTTTGTAATCCAAACCGCATCCAATGTTACTAGATAACGATATGCTCTTGTAATCGTTACCGATCTTTATTGGTGTTTATGAAATATAACATTTCTCATTACCCAACAAACCTAAAGATATTATCAATCTTACCTAATTATAATTTATCCTCTCCAAATCCAAATAACTATCCTGAGTAGGTCAACAACAAAGTAACTGATTCATTTGTTGCTATTTGTTTCACTTTACAATTCCAAGTTGGAATTCTGTAAAATGATTTCCCAAGTTCTAAATAGTAAACGCATCCATTCTCTAAACAGACTAACCAACAAAAATACCTGATAAAATTTGATACTAATTTTTGAGGAATCCCTTACACACTTGTCTTACATTTCCCATCTATTTTAATGCATCAACACCTTAAAAAGTTTTCTTAACTCATATTTATATTAGATACCTCCTCCTCATCATAGAAATAAATTATTTCATCCATTTTTATAAATTTTATTTAATAATTATTATTACAACCTCAATAATTAAGATTTATCAATGAAGACTTTGCAAATCCCAAATATTTGGCTCCTAAATTACATCATACTTATGTTATTCTACTCATTCTCTTATCCATAAGATTTTATTAACCATTACTTTTTACAAGCTTATGAAAATCCACCTAATCATCCAAACTTACTTACTTCATTTCTCAATTGATCTTAAAAATATTTTAATCTATATATCAAATGTTGCAGAAGTGTCATCTAACAGTTCCTCAGATTTCAAAGTGATTATGAACTCTGCAGCATAATTGTTTATTCTAGTATTAGAAGTTTGTGAAAACCAATTCTACAATATTTTACTAAGTAAATTTCATCCCCAAATGGCTTCAATTTTTAATATCACCTAATGTTCCATCTAATTATATCCAAGAATCGCAAAATTTATATATTTATCTTTAAACCCTCATTATACAATTTCCTTCCAATAACCTCTGTCCCTAGACTAATTCTCATAATGTTAAGCACTATTTTGGAGTGATATGTTCAAATAACTAATTCATTTTTTTAATTACTTTGACTAAAATACACTCTCGTTCAAGCATTCTCATTACTTCAAGTCAAAAGATGCCCCTGATGAAACCTAAGGGTGTGCATATGGAACACATAATGGAAGATACTAGGCCTCTTTTACACAGCATTTGTTGTATAATGATAATTAATGTCATATTGTCATTTATTCTTTTAACATGGAATAAGGATTAATTCGAATATAGCTAAACAGAATTTAAACATTTTTATAATGATTTCAATGTCCTTCATCTAGTAGTAATTGAGAATTAATTTGATAAACTAATAATCAAGAAAATTTGAAATAGTATATGTAATTATTTATTATACTAATTAATGCAATAACAGAGAGTTATATTTGGTAATAAGCAGACTCTTTATATCACTTCATAACCTTACTTTTAAGGCACTAAATATAAATTATTTTTGACCTCAGAATGCAATTATGTAGTCAAAGTATATGATGTTGGACAAGAAAAGGTAATTAATTATGTTCTAATTTTATATAGTATTTGAACACAGAGTTATAAGCTGTCCATCTCTTTAAGGATAATGGGTGTAGCAACATAGCAAGATCTTATGAAGGAGAATTATCACCAAATAAAAAAGTAATAGTTTTTGAAAAAGCTGAAGTCCTCCAAAATATTTTGAGGGATTCCTAATAAGGTTTAGCGGAACCTCAAGTCCTAAAAGTAAGCAGAAAAATAAGCGTAGATCTTATTAGATTTAAGCAAAGCATTGTAGAACTGTCATTCATTAGGCATAACACATCGAGATATTAGACCAGAAAATATTTTAATTGGAGCTGATAAGCAAGCCAAATTATGGAATTTCTAACGTTGTTTTTTCTAAGTATTTGAAATTCTATTTAGCAATATGATCAAATACCTAATGAATATTTTGGAAGAATCAAAGAAGAAATTGAGATGAATACTTTTGAACATGTAAGAGCTCCAGAATAAAAAGATTTCTCTCAAAGATTCCCAATCACCACTAAAGTGGATATTTATGCTCTAGGCTAATTGATGTATTATATGATATTTAAGGTCCGTTATGATTAAAATCCTAATTGGGAAGGAAAGTATATATATATTTATATCAGTGCCTAATGGGGAGTTTATAGTTCCAAATTATAAAGTCTAATCAAATAAATGCTTATTATTAATCCAAAGGACAGAATATCAGCTGATTAAATAGAAAAATACATAAATTCAATTCTTATTTAATACAAGTAAGGTTTAATATAATATATCATAGTGGATTGCCATAATAAATCCATTTAAGAAGTTAATCAACAAATGAGGTATTCAATAGAGATACAATTAATTAAAATACAGAAATAGAAAAGTGTCATTCATTTGAATTTAAGGATTTATAATAACCATAATCTTCATTATCAACCAGATTAGTAAAATTAGTTAGTAAGGTGGCTTAAAAGACAGATTTTTGGGTTGCTGCATGCTTAGAAGAGGTTGATGCAGCTCCTTGTTAAAAATATTTCAGATTTCTTCATTGCAAAGCATGGTAAAAGAAGCAAAAAATTCCTAAATTTTATGAGAAGGTGTCAAATCGACTCTAATTAAACTCTGTAATAATAACATTTAAAGCTTTGTAATTAATACATAACTATGTGAAAAAAGGTCCTTAAGAAGCAATTGCAGTTTAAAATTAAGCATATTCCCCTAATGCTATTTTAGAGAGAATTAAGAATTTTTAAGAATAAAATTAAATGAAAAGCTCTAAAGATAAATTTAGGACATAGTTTTTTACAAATTTATTGTATATGTATTCAATTGTGTTATTGGAAAAAGTGAAATTTCATTCATTCTATCTAAAATTTTTTGAAGGGAATTATGCTATGATCCCATTTTTCAATAGTATGAATGGTATTTAGAAGTAAAAAGTAAGTATAGCAATATTAAACAATATGATGTCTTTATGGAAACAATTATTGAATTTCACATCCAATATCTAATTTCAGGAATAGAATTTAATTAATTTATAATTGGGTCTGGCTATAACAATGGCTGATGAGTTATATAATATTCTCTGTACATTTACTCACATTTTTTATGCTTTAAAGTAAAGTACTAATTATATAAGTGGATAGCCCACTAATAACAGTGAAGTTAAATAAGCCTTTATTACATTGCAAGAGGATTATTAGAATAACTTTTAATAGACTATTAATTTCTTTGCTGTCTGCAAAAGAATACCATAATTTTAATAGTTAATACCAGATCCTTCAAGGAATATAGTTGAAACTTTGAAGAATGTGCCAATGTTTTAATCTAAAAGAGGTGACTTTAATATTACCGATTTCTTAAATTATTCCATGTCAATTGATGGAATTAAATTACCTTAAAGCTATGGAGAAATAATGATCAATTAAGTAGTAGAATACGATGAAGAAGCTGTTGAATAGGAACCCAAATATTAAAAATCAAATTCATATCCAATAAAAGCAGTAGTGTCTTGTTAAGTTTAATAAGAAAAAGCAAACTAGTTTAATTTTGAATTTGAAGTAACACCAAATATTAATAAAAATATGAATTCTCAACAAAATATAATCTAAGAAGATCAAACAAATTAATTTATTTAGTAATAATAAGTCGTTGAGATTTAAAGAGAATCTATAAGTAACAAAAATTTAGAATTTAAGAAAAAGTAAACTAAATAATAATAACAAGGAGAATACAAAGGTTTAGACTTTTCTGACGATGATGATGATGATGAATCTGAGCAATTACCCTAAAAGCCTACTGAATTATAATAAAAAAATTTACGAGCCCCTTTATCTAATTAAAATATTCAATTAACACAAGAATTATTAAATGATGAAGGATTTTTGAATTGGAAACCAAATCAAGATAATAAAATTAAATCAAATGGACAGAGTTAAAGAATTCAATCAGCGAATTCTTAATCAAATAATATTTTTGAGTAATTCGATCTAAGTTAAAATTAGAAATAGATACTCTTTGATAATCCTGTTCTCCCATAATCTTCTTCCTTTTAAGTAGTTGATTATTTTAACAAACAAGGCAAAAGTATATAATTTTATAAAACTTAGATGTTTCTGAGTGGATGATTAACCATGATTAGTTAAAATTAGAAACACTTATTGGTACTGGAAGTAGTTGTACGGTTTATAAAGGCTATTTGAGAGGAGGAGAAGTGGCTATTAAAAAGATGAAAATTCAATAATTAAATGAAAACCATTTAAAGGAATTTAGAAGAGAAATCTCAGCTCTAGTGACGATAAAAAGGCATCAAAATTTAGTTCAGCTTTTGGGAATCTCATAAAAAGAAGATGAATTATATATTGTAACAGAATACTGCGCTGGGGGGACACTTTTTGATCTATTGCATAGAAAAAAGCATTTAGAAATTAGTTGGTAATTAAGAATTAAAATGGCAATTTAAATAGCTGATGGGATGCTTCATTTGCATAAATTGAATCCTCCTTTAATACATAGAGATCTTAAGAGTCTAAAGTAAGTATAATTATTATTGAGTAGTTTGTTGCTTGAATAGTCCTACGATTAAAATAGGATAAATATCAAGATTGCTGATTTCGGATTAGCCCGGGTGTAAGCAGATAATGGTGAATAAATGACTGGTGTCTTAGGAACTTTTGTAATTTAATCATTTTACATTAGCATTGGATGGCTCCAGAAGTGTTTTAAAATGTTCCTTATACGATAAAAGCTGATGTCTATTCATATGCAGTAAAATAAACAGTTCTATGAAATTTAGATAGTGTTATGGGAAATATGTTGTAGAGAAACTCCATATAAACAATTATCCACTAATCCACCTGCTATCATGAAATTAGTTGCAGTAGATAATGGGAGACCAGATCTGAGTTTGATATAGGTTGGATGCCCTATATTTATGAAAGAGTTGATGATTAAATGTTGGGATAAAGATCCTACGAAACGCCCAACTTTTTAGGAAGTGTCATAGTACTTAAGGGGATTTTAATGATTTGTCAATTTATTGTATGTAAGTGATTTAACGTGTTAATTCTGCAATTGTTTAAGATTCCTGACTGTATATAAATATCGAGTCAAAATATTCATTAATTGATTAATTTACATATATGCAAATTATTAAGGTCTTCATTAAATCTTATGATACACCATCAGGAATACTAAGTTCCAGATTTATTACTAAAAATGGAAGGAAGATTACACTAATCCTATCTGATTCCAAATTGTATCGAATTGTAAACTTTAAAAATACTTAAGTCTGACAAAGGTTTAAAAATGACTTCTCTAAGTAGTCATCTACGCTTTCAAATCAAGCCAAACAAATTGCAGAACTATCTTATTTTAGAGACCGACTTTTTACCTAAGCCAATAGAGTATTAGTTTATGGATTAACCAGGGATGTGGGAGATCTTTCTAAAATAGAAATTACCACTTATGGATTATTAGAAATATTATGAAATTGAAAAATTAATAGGTAGTGGTGGTTTTGCTAGCGTTTACATTGGAAAATCAAAGGCTGATGGTACCAAAGTAGCAATTAAGGCTTTCCTTAAAAAAATGCTTATGTTATCAGATCCAATTTAATGGAGGGTAATATTTCATTTAATACTAGTAATAAATTGACAATGAAGTGAAAGTCATGAAGTATATGAATCATTAAAATATATTGAAATTGTATGATGTTTTTGAAAACAAGGCCCAAATTTACTTAATCACATAATTATGCAGAGGTGGCAACCTTGAACAAGCAATCAAAAAACTTGAAGAACCTTTGCCATTTTTAACTGTGAAAGTGATTTTTCGACAAATTGTAGAAGGAATCAAATATATGCATGATATAGGTACAATAAAATAGATTGAGAGGTTTGATGCATAGAGACATAAAACCAGGGAATATCCTTTTTAGAAAGCCTGTTTCCCTTAAATAATTCGGGCTATCAGTTTAAGATGGTCCTTTGATTAGTGATTTTGGAGTATCCTCTCTGATCTAGAAATAACTTAATGTTTATTAATTTTGTGGGTCCTATGGGTATATGGCGCCAGAGATCTTCGCTTGTGAGGACGACAAATAGAAGTCGTATAATGAGAAATGTGATGTTTTCAGTTTAGGCTGCCTACTTTATGAATTGTAAAATAATTTATGTAATTAGAACTACTAATAAACCACTTTTTTCAGGAAATAATATAAAATTATTAAATAAAGAATGCAATATAAATACAAATAAATTGTTAGAAGAATGCTATGGAAATAAATAATGTAATTATATTCATAACCCATTCTAGTAATAAGTCTTTTAATAAAAATGTTGAATCCAAATCCAGAGTAAAGGATTGCTTGTTCTGAAGTGTTAAGCCATCCAGTTATGCAAGTGGAATATGATGAATAAGGATGCCCATTATTCAAAGATTATAAAAAACCGGTTATTTTGTCAATACAAAAGCCAAGGCAGCAGATGAAATCCAAAAGCAGCGCTATTTTGCCATACACTTCTAGAAGGAATGAAACTCAGTCATTCAAAAGACTATCTTAAGTACTACCACCAATAAAAAGATTAAGCACAGAAATGCATAATTGATGATGGAATATTTTAATGTACCTCATTATCAATATTATTCTTATTTTGCTTTCTTTTTGTTAATCACATTTCTAACCCCTTGATTGTTTTATTAATAAAAAGTTCTTTAAAAGCGAAGGACCTTTTTAGCAAATTGTTGATAGCACAAATTCTGTTGCTAAAAAGACTATTCCATCTACAGATTTGTATTTGTTTTGATTAATGATTCCTGTTCCAATCATATTTTAGTCATATTCTTGAGCAATGGCTATTATTAATTCAGCCAATATCAAACATTTTATATTTAAATAAGTAATATATTTCATTTGTATTATTATTATTATTATTTTTAGACCCTCTAAGATTTTATCTCATTTAGAAAGGCATCCATTTACTATTATTGATTTGGCACTGCCTTTGGATATGATACGGTTTACTATTAGTATTATTGTTGTTCATAAAATTATTATTAAACTCCATAATTCTGGAACTGCGGATTATTAATTGAACCTCCAACCTAGTTTCCAAAAGGTAAGCCCACTTGTTATTATTAAGTATTATTTATTAAGGCTTATGCTTAGGCAGCTTAAAAAGGAGAAAAAGGAACTTGTTGAATTGGAATCTAGGTAGGATTTCTTTATTGTGGATTATACTGCTATTTATTCAAACCTCTATAGGGATCCTATTAAGCAACTGGGCTCAATCTGTAGTCGAATTGATCCTATGGTCTCTTAAAAGGATCTTAAATTTCTCCCCTCGAAGGTGGTCTTTAGGGTAATTAGGTTATTTGTGGAGGTTAGACTGACTATTAGGAAAATACTTGGTATTGATCTTAAATATCCAATTTATTGGCTGAACTTGATCGAACAACAGGGGGTTTTTAATATTATGATTATTGTTTGTATAAGAATTCTTATTTGGGTATCTGCTATCTCTACAATTCAGGAGGAAAATTGTTATTTGCAAATTATTCAAATTAATCGTAATATCTATATTTCTATTTTTAATTACCTTTGTTCATAAGATCTCATTACCGCCATAAAATCTTCTTTTCTATCATATTTTCTTAATTCATCTACAAAGTCATCTACTCTTAACGGTTGAGACATATATTTATATTAATTATTTTATTATTTAAATACTTAAGTCATAATCGCTTTTGCTTTTCTCAAAATTTATAAATATTGTACTGTATTTTAAATCCAAGTTTGGTATTGTCATCTATATCAAGATAAAGTATAAAATTTAAAAAAAGTTTCCCATCAAATTTGCATGTTTGATTTATTATTATTATTAAATCTGAAATTCTAAATTGCTATGGCTGATATAGGATTTTGATAAACATCATAAATTGAAATATATCTAAAACTATATTCTCTTCTAATTCTAAAATCAATATATCTAAATAAATTTTTTGGGGTTATGAGATGAAGAAGATAACAATATTACATTTAGGTTTCACATTTTTAATTGACTGCAACAAGAAAAATTAGACAACTTTAATACTGTTTGACTAATGAATATTATATCATAATATTTTAATGAATATTATATAATAATATTGTTCAATTGAATAAAGTTGCCATTCCACTGTCTTGTTAATTCGTATCTAATGCACTACACTCTTCTTCACACTATTTGTAAAGTTCAATTAAAAAGCAATGTAATTAAAAAACAACATTAGATACCTCAAACACAATCAACTCCACAAGGGCTAATATAAAACCTATCCAAAACAAAAAACTATATTCTTATGGTTAGTAAAATAAGCCATATGAAGCAATTAGTAGATACCCAATTATTCCAATTAGATTAATCAACAAAATATAATTCAAATAGTCATACCATTATGTTTTCATCTTTGCATTATATTCTCTTTCATATCTATCCAAATTTGGTTAGATAGCATCATCAAAATACTTTTCTAAAGTTTATTCATATTGCTATCTATATTTTTATTGGTATATTTCTTTTATTTATTCAGTAGGCTCTACAGGTTTTAAAATTTTTTTTTTTAAGAGGTTCAAAGTTTTCGACCATGCAATTCCACTTGAATGCAATGTTGGCAATCTCAATTTTAACTCCAACCATACTTTGCTATACAATTTATCAAAAATTATTAAAAATATTACACACTTCTATAGCAAATAATAACTAACCACACTCAAACTATAAAATCTATAATATATTTGCAGATTGCATGCAAATATAAGTATAGAATATAAAACCATCATTAATATTGTTGTAACTACAAATCTAACAAAGCTTGGTTTAATGAAATTCCATCCAGATGATTCTTTTTTATTTAATCTGCTTAGAATTAGCACTGTGAAACCCACTAACCCTTAAGTTATGGATTCAGTTATAATCCAAAAAACAATTGAAACTATCATATATGACTCTTGATGAATTGGTTAAAAATAAAGGCAATTGCATTCTTCTCTTTAATAGTTAAATCCTCTCCAGTTAGTTTAAATAGGCTTACCACATGACATATTTCCTTAATTATAAATATCAATATAACAAGTGATTTCAGACTAATTCATCACATTTGAGTATAGAATTGTACCTTTAAATAACAAGAAATCTCTCTAAGCGATATATTAATTATTACTAAAGCACAAATAATCTCTGCATATAATGAAACACTTATGGTCCACTTGTAGCAATCAAGTTCGAATTATTTCTCATCTGTGAACTTTTTTTAAGACTGTTCAAAAATATCTTTCATCTTTTGCCTAACATAAAACACAACAGAAATGACCATAAATATTCTTAGAATAGAATAGGCATAGCAAACGGGTAAGAAAACTTCATTTACATTGGCTTGATTTGTGGCAATTTCTGCCTAATATAGCGGATTTTTTATATTGTATTCAAAATCTGAAAAAGTGAAGAGTCTTGACATCTGTTAAGTAAATTCACAATATTTGGAATTGGACTTAAAATCAAGGCCCCATAATTGACTTGATTTAGGAGCAGTTTAAGTCAAAATTTCACCTATCGTCATACAGCTAATATTTTTCATTATAAAAAATACTAAAAAAAATATATTTATAATGTAATCAATGATTCAATGCATTAGAATTAACAAAATTAAATGATTTACCTAATAGAATTCAAGAATTTATTTGAAGAGAAATCCCAAATACCTGATTTTATCTTTATGTATCTGGCTTCATATGAGAAGCCCATTTATCTGAAAATCAATCCAATTCCAATATCTAAATAATATTTATTAGAAATTATAGAAACAATTTGATTATAAATAAATGGTTTTGGGAGTAAATTCAATGAATTCAATTTATTTCCACTTTTTCTAAAATTCATCAATCTTATATCTAATTTTGCAATTAATTTAATTTGATTGAATTATGTTATTAATCTAAATGCCAATTATCTCCTGAGGTTTGTACTTTATTTCCAAGATTTTCTGATAATCTTTTTAAGAATATATGCTTATATTAAATAAAAGTAGGGATTTTGGTGGACCTAAGGAACTTAGTTTATGTAATGACAATTTTCTTAAAATATGGGTGGATAGATGTATTTCTAAAGCCCACTGTGTGTGGTTTATCAGAACCTTATTTTTCCTTAGGTAAGATTTATAAATCGAATCAAACTATATATTCGCTAAACTCTCATTGATGTTAATTCTCTGAAAAAATTTACAAAGTTTTGTCCCTTGTAAGTAGAAGCATTCATTATATTTTTTGATTAAATTGACAAAGATGAAATTTAAATTTATTCCTAAATTTTTAGGAAATCCAAAAAAAAGAAATATATATCCCATAATAGAAATATTTTAGACAAATTATTTTGTAATATAATTGCGTGAAGTGCAAATTTTACTAAAATATAGTATAGCAATATTAATAAAATTTTGTGTTAATTATATGTTGTAACATCCAATTTTAAAATTAACACCAAATAGTGATCTTCTAATACTTTTGTAGTTTCTCTTTTTTATTTTTTATTTAAATATATCCAAGATGTTTATAATGTAAAATTTCACTCAAAAAAAGAACGAAATTAAAAATTTAATAAAAAAAAATACATTTTCAAATGGTTACTTAGATACCATACTTTTTAATTTCTTCTATCTTCTTTTTTGACTTAGCTTAAGTGATGCTGACATTGCCATTCAAATACAATTATTTGCATTCGAAATTCTTTTTAGATTTGGCTGCATATAAAATATAATCTAATGCTTTTTCAGTTAATGTGTTGGATTGTAAATGCAATGCTGTAACACTTAAATATAATTAACCTCAATACCTAGATGTTTCAATAACAGAGAGTAACTTAGCAAACAGTTCATCAGTTATTTTACACTTGCTCATTTTTAAGACTTTGACAATTTTTTTATTTATTAGAGCTTCATCGATAGCTTAAATCAATAAGTCATTCATTTCTAAAATAGTTTGATTTTTACCTAGAGTGGAGAAATCAATCATTTCAAATTTTTCGAACATTGCAAGAGTATTAATAATTTTATCATTTAATTTAGGATCCTTACTAAATTTTTAGACTTTAACCAATTTGGATTATGACTATTTATTTCTATTGGTGTTTGGCGCAGAAACTTCTGAAGGTTCAGTTTATAACATTGTTACACTTCTGTCTTTTCTTTAGAATTATCCTGGGGTTTAAGTTTGGCTGAAATAATTAGTTTTACTGACATTATATTGAGGAGAAGCAGGTTATGTTGGTTATTAGGAAATATAAGTTGATTATGTCAATTTTTCATCTTTTATTTCTGGAAATATGATGTCGGAATCTGTTAATTTATCATCTTTATCTAATAATAGTTAATCGAGTTGTTTATTTTCTTGAGGGAATTGATTTCTAATGTTTTCAATTGGAACATAGAATTATTAGTGATCAGCAATTAACTTGACTTGAGAATCGATTTAAGAAAATTAGAATTGCATTTTGTTAATTAATTAAGAACCTTATTCTTTGCTGTTACCCAATTCTTTGCTGTTACCTAATTCTTTTACATCCTTTTTTAACTTTTGATTTTGACATTTCTCATCAAAAAAATCTTTTAATTGATTACCTGTATTTGAAAGCCATTTCTCTGCTTGATTTTTGAGTTAAATAAATTCTTACTCAATTTTTTTTTTATTATCATCATATTAGATATTGTAATTATTTACAATTCTGGATTTCAATTCCTCTTTTATTAAATTTAATTCATTAAATAATTCATTAAACTTCATATCTATAGATTATAATTTGGCTTCCTTTGATTAGAGAAGTTTAGTTTCGAATTCCTTTTCATATTCCTTTTATTCAATTTTTGTGCTCATCCCTTTTACAACTTCATACATTGTAGTAATATCATTAAATTTTTATTCCATCTCCTTAACATATTAGTCTATAGGCGTATAATTGTGAAACTTATGATTTCCAAATAAAGCACAATTAACACAAATGTATTCTCCATCTTCTTAACATACTAATTCTAATGGTTTTGAATGAATAGAACATTATTCACCTTAAATTTCTTTTTATGGTAATTATTCACATGAATGTGATTAAGACATGTTCTTGTTGAGTTGAATGTGTTATTGCATATCACTTGAAAATTCGCTAACATCTTCAGTTGATAACCGAGGAATTTAATCTTCTGGAGTTACATACGTATGGCATCTATGAACATTATTTCTCTTCTTTTTCAATAACACAATAATGCTCTGATTAATAGGAAAGAATTTGAACTCTCTTTCAACTTGACATTCGATGCTTAATTTATTTGTGATTGAATTTACTTGTCCTCATTGCAAACTAACTTCAATTGCGATTACAAATATTGGGTCACACATAATTAGCATATTGAATGGCCACAGGATGGAAGAACATGAGGACTTTTATCCTGCAAATTAAACTCTTGTTAACATTAACAACATTAAAATTCTTTATCCATATAAAATCAATTTATTCTAAAGAGATTATTTTTGCTGATTGCTATTTTTTCGGCAGGAATTCTCCTTATCTCTTCCTTTTTTGCACTCATAGATCGGTTCTTACTCTGAGTGACTTTTAGTTTCATCAAAAATTATTCTTCTGCCTCTTCTAATTCTGTTACTCTCATTTGTCTTTCTTGAAATTGCTATGCTTCCTTTATTATCTTCTATTTATAATTATATGATCCTTCTTATTGTTTCTAATATCAAGATTCGTAATACCAATTGTAATTAGATGATTTTGTCTTATTGATGTTGAAGATGAGCCTATCTGATCTGTTTGTGAGATTTGCAATTAGTCCCATAAATTTCATTCCAAGTTTACAATTTTGCTTGAGATAAATTCGATTTATATTCTTTATTTAAGAAAGAATGAGTTTCAGAGTATATTTATTTCTCTATCAAATACATTTATAACTTACAGTTTTCAACATTCTAGCTCCGTTTTATTCTCTCCATTTTTGACAAATTAGCTCTTTGTGAATATTCTTGAAGTTTCTTTTATCTGATCTCATCCAGGAATTGCTAATCATATAAATGAGTTTTTAGATAAGTACCTTCCTCATCTAGTCCTCATTGACTCTAGATTTAGTAGAAATTATTGATTAAATTTCATTACTTGTTCTAGATATATTCCTCTAGCAATTAAAATCTTAATGTTGGATATGATTCAGTCGAGACTTCAGCAATCTGATGTTATCATTCTGCTATCGGTTTATTTTCCGAACTTAGTTGAGTTTCATATCCAGTAGCTCTCTCATACAATTGATTTAACTATTACCCTGCATCGTTATAGTTTATGTTTTACGATGGAGACTAGGTCGCGCTTGTAGTCATATTACCCTAAGAATAAAGGATTCGGTTTAATTTTTGGTTCATTATATAAATATTTATATTATTAACTCTTTGTCCTCTGTAAAAATTATCTCTCCAATAATTCATCTTTTTTTTATGTCTTGAATCGCTTCAGCTATACAAAATAAGAAAATTCGGCATTTTTTATAAGTTAGTTTTATTATTTTTTATTGTTCATATTTTTCATTATAATATTACAATAATTTATAAATTAGAATTGAAATTCTCTTTTCCTACTATTTATGTAAAGATAAAATATGCTTTATCATAATAACAATCAATCAATCTATTTTCTATTTTTTCTTCTACAATTAGGCTTCTTTCAAAAGATTAATTCTATGATAACGGGATTTAAAATGCTATTCTATCTCATATGGTCCATTCATCTTTTTATTGCACAATTGGCACTCCTATTTTTTCCAATTGTTTCGTTATTTTAATTTTTAAGTGGCTTTATATTTTTCAATCTTCTCAGGAGATATTATTGCGATATTTTCCAGATTTTATGCACTAATTTTAAATTACTCATCCTCTAATTGGCCCTGTTAAAATAATTAACAAAACAAATTATATATTTTCTCTGCTTGATTCACTACTTATTATTTAAATGTCTGAGTTGATTCAAATTCCAATAAAAATAATCTATTTGCAATAATATCTATTTTTGAATTGCATAGAATTCTATTTTTGATCCATTATTGTTATTTTTTTGTGTATGCCATCGTATCATTAATTAATTTTTCTGCCCCTTCATTTAGTAACTCTCGAAATTTATCATCAACATTTGGAAATTACAACCCTGATTCTTTATAATATTAATACACTTTTTCAAATTATTTATATCCAATACTTTATAATATTCCACCAACCGCGTTTTGATTATTACCTAATCTTTCAAATATTCTTAATATTTCTTCTGTCCCTCCTTAATCAAGCATTTCATGTATTCTTTCAGTTACTTTCTTCTTTAAATCTTCACTTTTCTTCCATTTAGGCCAAAGTATTAGGAAGTTATTACTTCTTAATTTACATTCATCAGAATGATGATCTATTTATTCAGATGGCAATTATCCTGTATTTTAGTAATATTTTATAGAGTTATTTATTCTTCTAAGATCGTTTGGGAATGAAATTTTTCAGCAGCCAGAGGATCTATCTCTTTTAAATATTCATAAGGTTCCTTGCCATTTAAATTCAATTCAGCTGCTTGTATAATTTACTTCTCTTCATTTTCTTAATTAAATAATATCGATTCTATGTAATAATGTGTTCCTCCTACCAAAACAGGAATTTTCCCCCTTGATTGTAATTCTTCTATTTTTTGGATGGCCACTAATAAGCTATTCAAAGTTCTTACTATTCTTCCATTATTTGCGATTAAATCCTTCAGATTCTAAATCTAGCAAATCAATTCCATGATGCTTTTTTATTGCTTGTTCTGCAGCAGTAGCTTTAGCAGTCATGATATTAGCTTCCTTGTAAATTTACATTGAATCACAAGAGATTATCTCATAATTGTCTATTCCTAAATTCAAAGATAAATTAGTCTTTCCTGCTGCTGTAGTACCAATGATATAAACAATCAAACCATTATTATTCATTTAATTAGAATTTATTAAAATAAACTTGCAAATGATGGAAATACATTTAATAAAGAAAATTGTTAGAATTTTGACAAACATATAAGAGAAATGTTATACAATTAGTTTGATATTGTATAATTGAATAAATTTTGAGTTCAAAAATAATCATTCATGAAATTATTCATGATCTTTATTTTAAGCTCTATCTACTTTAGCTGAATTGAGTGATAATATCTTTTCCTCTTATTTTGGAGCTGGTGGTAGTACTTTAGGATCGTATGGCCATTTTTCTATCATCTCTTAAGGATTCGCCAAGTAGCTGCCTTATCCAAACAAGAGTTTTAACCCATAGAATTTACCCTAAAATATATTGAAATTATATACATAAAACAGAGGATGAGACTAATCTTTAATGACATTTAAATAGAAGCCATTTGGAATGGCATGTCTAACATTCAGAATTTATTCAGTTGGTCCCTTAATTCCCAATATATAAGCTCTAGCATTTCCAGGAGCATAACCAAAATAAACAAATGTCCACTAATATGGTATGAGTTTAAAAGTATGGCTAACTGGTTCAAAAGTAGGATCTTTGAGTGTGTATGTACTAGCAACAATTTCATCAGTTTTAGTAAAAAGTGCTAGAGTTCTATCACCAATATATCTTTCATCAGATCCTTCATTGTTAGTAGACAACCTAACTAGGCCTCTGTATTCATCAGTTAATTCTGGAGTTAGAACAGAATTTTGCATCCAAAATCCATATGAATATTCTACCAGACCTGGCTTGTCATTGAATGCAAATGAGAATTTATCTTTTTTGACATTGATGTCATCTTCAAGTGTAGTATCAATAATTTGGACAGGCCATTTAAAATCTTCAGCATCGAGAGGTTGAACTGGTAATTTACGATGCAATTTGAGTACCATATCAACTACTTTCTGGCTTTCACTAATGAAAGATCCCTGACCAAGGAAAATTCTTGGATCAAATAACCATCCATGAAATCCTCTAAATCCGAACTCCTTGGCTCCCAAAACAAACTTTGCAAATCCAGTTAAAGCTCTATGTTAGACTTGTAATTCAATATGTTAAGCCTTTTATTATTCTCTAAACAAGACCATTCCATAGAATTATCCAGTCTTATAAGCTGCATAAACGTAGGTCCATGCTCCTTCTAATTCTGTGTATGGTAATTTGCCATCAACAGCATTTGATGGTTTGAGTACATCATAAGTACTAAATTCATAGTTCCCAAGAGATAAAAAGGCTGTCAATACTCTATCTCCTAATTCACTTTTATCCTAATCCTCTTTATTAGATGAGAACCTGAAAATATTATGTCGATCTTATCTTTCAGTAAGAGTAGTTGGAAATGATATCAACCATCTTGTCCATACTCCAATAGAGTATTCATCTACTGATTCAACTTCAGTCGTGAAAACTTAAGTTATTGCCTTTTCTGTTTCAATTACTCCTTCTTCCTTATTATACCACATGTATTTCTGATTAGTTGGCAATGCCCTATAATTTGGCAATGTATCCTCATATCCTCTCTTTTAAATGCTAACAAAAGCACCTAACCCATATTAAGCCACCCAATTTTAAAGATCTCCTTAGAATCTTTTAGTGAAAGGATCTTTTGCTACATAAATTCCAGTGTAATTTGGTACGAAATGCTAGATTCCTTTAAATATAATTGGTTTATCATCATCGAATAAATGAAGTAGTGCATGTACCTCTTATATGTCTTCATTGTAACCCATATAAATATATATCCATGCTTTTTTATTATGGCCTAATTCTATCTTTTCATCCAAATACTTGGCTTCATTCCAATCTTTCAATCCATGAATTGTGTATGTGGATAATTTAATCGAATCTACACAAACAGAGGCATAAAGAGTTCTATCTCCTTGAATTCTTTTGTCATTCAAATGCTCTTTATCATTATTAGTAACTCTAAATAATATTTGGCAATCGTTGGCATTCTATCCCTTTACTTCAGCTATCTTGAACCATCCACTGATTGAATATTCGCCAACAGATGACCAAGTATCCCCTCTTAATTCTGTACCACCAACAGTGTCAGTCACTGTTTCGATCTTACCAATTAATTCTTATTGTCCATGTTTCTACTTATGAATATAGTCTACTGTCAATTGCTATTCAAGTGCAAAAGAATTATCTATTGTCTTCTTTACTTCCTCAACCAACCCAAAGAATGAACCAACTCCAAAATTGACTGCTATTTTGCTCATTAACCCTTGAAATCCTGGAATCTCTGGTTCACCTCCTATATGTAAAATTACAAAGTCTCCTAAAGGCTTATGTAGTAAATCTTAATTTTTAATTTGTTAGACCTCTTTACCATCATACACAAAATAAGAGGCTAACTAGCTCACTCTCTAATAACCCATGTAGATGTAATTCCATTATCCCTCTAATTTAGAATACGCTATAGTTCTTAGTTCATTGGGTGCATCGTCATTCAAATCATAAGTAGAAAATTAATAATGACCTTAAACAATATGAGAAGCTAAGATTCTATCTCCCATAGCCACCTTTCCTACTTCTATTTATTCATTTGAAGTCAATCTGACTAATTACATTTCTTATGGTAATCTAAACAACCTTTCAGGCCATGCTTATAAGAATCTGCACCAAAACCCTATGCTGTATTCTTACATAGATTCAATTGGTTTATCTGGTTCATCAATGAATTTTACTGTTTAAGGCTAACCAAGTACAACCTTCGCTGCATTTTCCCAATTGTTCTTCTTTTCTTATGAGAATAGTTTAGAAGACATTATGAATACTGGCAATTACAAAAAGTTATCTTTTCGGAATGAACCTTCTCCAAAATTCAATGTTAATTATGCAACTCTACTGTTGAAATTCTCCAATATGCCATCCCTTCCTACATACAACCAAAACTTTGAAGATACGGCATGAAGAATTGGCTCCAACCCTTTATTTTCGTGAGTATCAGCCTTCAAATAATACTGAACTTTTCTCTCTTTCTTAGAATAAGCAAAATAAGCAAAAGTCCAAATTTCAAGTTGTTACTTTGGAATATTGCATTCGAAAGGAACATTCATAACTGCATCTTGCAAAGTGTAAGTACTAAATAAGGCAGTTCCAATATGAGATAACATTAATACTTTATCACCAATCTTTGAGGCATCATTTTCAGCTTTGTTTGAGGAGAGTCTATAAATGACCTAGTTGGGTTTTATTGGTGTTTTGAACCATCTGAACCATATTTAAACTGAATATTCTCTAGCTTCTTATTCAATAATCAGTGGATTGTCAATTTTCAGTTTTTGAGCATCTTATTTACCTACAAATACTTCGTAATTTTTAGGAACTGATAGAATATCTGGTTTTGGATCTTTATTTTTAATTCTAGCCATGATGCCTGCAGTGTTTTCAATAAAAGCTCCAGGTCCTAAATTGAATCTCACAGTTGTGATTTATCCATTAAAGTTGGGGTAATATTTACCTGCATGTCCTATTGTTAATTGTAAATAATTTTAGAGTAAGTTGTGTAATACATCCATTTATATTCCAGGGGTTACTTCTCCAAAGGAAGTGAAGGCTACTGCATGTCCAAGTGTCTAAGAAATTCTTTTGTAACTAAAATAAACATAAGTCCATTCGCTTTCAGATTCTAATCCATAAGGTATGTTTCCATTTACATTATTTGAAGCTGGTTAGACATTGTAGGTTGAGAAATGATAAACATTCTTACCCATCAACACCAATAATACTCTATCTCCAGGCTAATCAAAATCTTTATAATCCTTTTAACTTGTCAATCTGGCCATACCCATCCATTATGGCTATTAGTATAAAACTCCCTTATTTGCAAAATGCTAAAATCTGGACCAAAATCCATAACCATATTCACTAACTCCTTAAAGGTGTAATTTATCATTTTATTCGAATTAAACATGCAAAGGAACTTCTTTTCCATTTGCTGAACATTCAAGCACTTATTCTTCACGATGAGCTTCTTATCCTGCCTACTACAATTTAATATGGTCAGTTCCACTAATAAAGCCGAAATGTACTTTAATATTCTCGTCGCTTTCAAATCCACCTTCTCTAAAAGATCCTTCTCCAATATTAATCACCCAAGTTTTCATTTATCCTTAAAACTTCTCTTTTTCATTTCCAATTATTATGCTGAATACAGCAAGATAAAAATGATTGATGTCCTCCAACAGAAACTTATCATCAGTAAAGGTATATTTAATGTAACCGAATGCTTTCTTTAATGGAGTTGAATAACCAAAATAAATATAAGTCCATTAATCCCAATATTCTCCAAATTATTATTCCTTATTTATTATTTAAGAACAATCCTCACCCTTACAATGATATGTAGAATAAACATATGATAAATCAGATCTACGAATCTTAAGTGTTTCCTCGTTCTTCCCATCTAAGTCAGCTAATCTCTTCTAAGCCATTGTGATAATGTGAGAAACCTTTCCCAACTTTTATAAACCACTCCATTTAACCCACCCAGAGACTGCATACTCAAGAGATCCTTAAAACTTATCAAATTAAAATGTATTAGTTGGCTCACTCACTGGTGTTCCAATTAATTATTAAGTTTATCTTGAGACTGGATGGATTTAAGCTTTTTCTGGTAATGTATTTTAAGTATATAATCTCAGGTCATCAGCACTTGACAAAAATGCTCCAGGCCCTATTGAACATTATATTTTAGTCATTTAACCATTAAAGAATGGAGCCTAAGACTTACCAACAACAAATTCAACATATTCAACTATATAATCATGGAAAATATCAAAAGAAACTTCCTTAATCTCTCCGTCAACACCAAATTGAACATATCCTCTAGCTGTGCCCTTATCTCCAAATCTTTTGTATCCAAAATAGATATAATTCCACCAACCCTCTAATTTTGTAAACTGTACTTCATCCTTAGCACTATATGTATAGAATTCATATGCTTCTTTGCTTAAAGTCACTGCCAAAGTTTGATCTTTAATTGTTTATGGTCTTGTATTTGCTCTTTTTAATTTTCCATCAACTTATTCGATTAAATATGGTTGTGTACCAAATCTAGCGATATTGTGAACTGATCCTCTTTATACTAGATATTTTGGCATTGTACTCAACCATCTTGTCCACATTCCAAAAGAATATTCACTTTAACCATTTATTCTTAATTTTGAGTCGTCATGAATGAGTATCTTGTCTACTAATGCATTTTCTGCATCATAATAACAATCTCTTACAACATTAGGTTCAGTTACATCATCTTTATATTATATTGGTTTCATTAATTAATAAACATTCATTGCACCATCTCCATAGTAAAATTATTAGCCAAAATTAAGTGCTTATCTGTATGCTCCTGGCCCTAAGTACACTCCTACATATCCAATTTTACCATTAAATGGTGATATTTAATCATCTCCACCCAATGTGAAAAACAATTTTGTTATCAATTTATGTTGGATTGGATCAAAAGTAATCTCATCAGATTTCCCTGGTCTAATTAAAGCTCCATAAACTTTTATTTTGTCATTATCATAAGCCATAAAACCATAATGCCATAAGTAGTTAGGGGATTAAACAGCTTTGGATAAGTAGGTTGATCCTTTTGCTTTATTGCCTTCGATAGTGTAAGTATTAAAGTAGACAGAGCTCTTGGATCCTCCTCCATAAACATAATGCATTTCGAGCGATCTATCCCCTAATATTCCTTTTCCTTAGGATTTCTTTTCGTTAGATCTTAAATTAAAGATTTAGAAAGTATTTTCACTATCAACCTTCAAATCATCTATCCATCTAAACCATGCTGCAACACTATACTCCTCAATTATCAATTAAGACTCCTAAGGATCTAGAATCACAGAATCACTTGCAGTGTTTGCATTAAATAATTTTGGAATTGTAATTACTTCTAAATCTATTAAATTTGTAACTTATTAGGGCACGTTTGAAATAGTTTTAATGATCTCTCTTACTTTTGCTTCAGTATCTATAAATGCTGGAGCATCAATGTCATAAAAGATGTTTGCAAATTGTCCATTTAATCCTTCATAAGTCAAGTGTTTTCCACCAATCATTAATTTAAAGTACTAAGGTGGGACATGTCTGCATTAAATTTCACTCCTTAGAATCTTATTATTATCACCATATCCGACAACAAACCCTACTGCTGCTTTCTTAGCTGTACTGTAAGAGAATGTGATAAAATACCACATGCTATCTAAATCTTCATTTAAAGCCACAATCTAATCTTTCACTTTTTTCTTTTCTTAATGATCGTAGGTTGAGAAAATAAAAGAGTTTTCAATCATAAAAATAGCTAAAGTTCTGTCCCCATAATAGGTTAAATCTTTATAATCTTGATTTGAAGTTAGTCGAGATAAGAAGTAATAGGTTTCTGGTTTTCTTTAATGCACTTTAGGCGCATTTGAGGTGTATCTCATCCAAAATCCATATCCATATTCATCAGAATCCTGTAGAAGTTCTCTGTCTGCAAATTCATATTATTCTACTACTTCTCCATCAAACGAGGATTTAGCATATTTTGTTGAAACTGGAACATTGACTTTTTCTGTTTTTGGCCTAGTGTTAACTTTATGTTTAGGAGGCTCATATTAAGTTGGTTCATTAGGATTGAATTCCTCCTTCAATGTTTAAATTTTTAAAGATTTTTCATTCTCATCCTTTACTTCTTATTTTTTCTCAACACTTATACCATCTATTTTTACTTTTTCTTCTTTTATTTAATTAACAGAATTTCCAATATTTTCTTTTTTCTGATCAACTTACTATTCTTTTTTCCCATTATTTTGATCCTGCTCAGGCTATTAATCTACTTTTAATTTAGATTTGTCTTCTGCACTTTAAATTTCACTTTATTAATTTTATTTATTTTCAACGTTAGTAGGTTGGCCAACATTATCATTAGATTTAACTTAATCAGCAGAAGATTTTTCTTAATTATTCGAATTATCTGTAACTTCTTTTTTTGGTGCTTCCTCCTTCTATTACTAATCCTTTTTATTTGTTGTTTCCTATCCACTAATCTATTCTGTTGGCAATTATTTTTCATCTTTATTATCATCCATAACGCTATCTAATAAATCATCAAATTATGAATCTTGTATGATCAGAGAATTTTTTTATTCTGGATCAATCATATTTACTCTATGATAAGCATTAATTTTAGGATCATATTCATAATAAATTACTTAATCCCCTTCTACTTCATAATAGATGTATTCTTATTCATCATCTAATTAAACATCCTAACTTATTTCTCCAGTCTAATCATCTTAATTAACAAAGTCATTTTCCTATTAGACATCATCAACATATTGAGTTTCAACTTAATTATCTCCATCTTTTTCGTAAAGATAATCATCCTAATTATTTCTTGACTCTTCATTATAAAAAGATTCATTTCTTGCATCTTCTACTGAAACTTTAGGGGCATCCTCATCATTATTTTCTTCAATATCAAGATTGATTTATTAGTCTCCAATTGAGTTTAAAAAGTATGCTTTTGTTTTTGGAACCTATGAACTTGTTTAAGAAATAACATGCATATTTCCTTCAGAATCTATAGTGTATTCAGTCACTTCCTCAACAGAAAATTCTTCCCAAACTTCTTCTCCATCTTCAGTTTTCACAACCTTTTTCTTTTATTTATTGCTACTTTATCCTTAAGAACTTTTAGACTAAGATTTTTTATTGCCTGATGATGATGATGAAGATTGCTTAGTAGTTTAGCTTTAACTACTACTACTTTAACTTCCTTTTTAAGTGCTACTGCTGGTTTATCCTCCAGTAGCAACTTACTAACTTTTGGAACTGCTGCTTGAACCTTATCCTTATTCTTTTTATTCGGCTTCAGAATGTTTTTAAGTTAGTCTATCAGCTACAGATTGACTAACCTTCTAATTATTTTATTTATTCTAATCTGCTTACTTTTATGTACTTCCTGAAGCAGTTCCACTAGATGAGCTTGATGAGCTAGATGAACTTGATGAATTAGATGAGCTTGATGAGCTGGAAGAGCTAGATGAACTTGCGGATTTTGATGATTTAGAAGAAGAAGATCCAGAGGAACCACTTATCTTTTTAATTTTTTTAACTCTTCTTTTCACAGTTTTCTTGACTTTTCTTACTTTTCCATTAGCATCAGGTTCTTCTACTTCAATTTATTCATAAATATCTTCCTCTCCATCATCTCCTTCTTGTGAAGTATTATCTTTGGAAGCAGATTCATTTGATTGAGTAGATTAACTTGAGGATGCTGATCCTTATGCCGATGCCTATGAAGATGATGATGATGATGAGGATGAGGATGATGATTTTGAACCACTAGATGAGCTTGAAATTTTTGATGATTTAGATGAAGAAGATCCTGAAGATCCACTAATCTTTTTAGTTTTTTTAACTCTTCTTTTCACAGTTTTCTTGACTTTTCTTACTTTTCCATTAGCATCAGGTTCTTCTACTTCAATTTATTCATAAACATCTTCCTCTCCATCATCTCCTTCTTGTGAAGTTTTTACTTTGGAAGCAGACGCATTTGATTGAGTAGATTAACTTTACGTTGATGAACTACCTTCTACAGCCTTATTAGATTGACTGCTACTAGTTGTTGATTAACTTGATTATACTGATCCTTATGCCGATCCTTGTGCTGATCCTTATGCTTATCCTTGTGCTGATGCTTATGCCGATCCTTGTGCTGATGCATTTGCAGATCCTGATCCCTATCCTTATGCCGATCCTTATGCCGATCCTTATGCTGATGCTTATGCTGATGCTTATTATGATGAGGAAGATGAGGATGATGATGATGATGATGATGATGATGATGATGATGATGATGATGAGGATGATGATGAGGATGCATTAGAAGTGCTTGAAATTTGTGATGATTTAGAGGTAGAAGATCCTGAAGATCCACTTATCTTTTTAGTTTTTTTAACTCTTCTTTTCACAGTTTTCTTGACTTTTCTTACTTTTCCATTACCATCAGGTTCTTCTACTTCAATTTATTCATAAACATCTTCCTCACCTGCATCTTCATTATTTTACTATTGTGTATTTTGTTATTCTTTTGCCTTTTTAGCATCATCTTACTCCTTAACTCCTTACTAAACCTTATCACTTTAATTTGCTTATACCTATTTATTGTTTTACTATTGCTAAGTTTATTTATTAATCTCCTATGATCCTACCCTACCATCAGTAGAAGCTCCTACACCATCTGCTTTTACTATCTCTCCTTCAACAACTTCTTCATCGTCATCTGGAGGAATTTCCAAAGGAGGATTCTTATTTTTTTAGTTTTCTTATTATTTTTTTTCTTCTTCTTCTACTTTTGGTTTTTAGATATCTTTTTCTTCCTGAATGGGGTCTGATTAATCATTTACGCTAATATCTGATTCGAACTGAGTTTCCTCACCGCTAATGCATAAATCAGGTTCATCGTAATTATTTTGATGTCCAGAATCTGGCCCAAATTCCCTTTCTATTATTATTTCTCTTGGTTTTTTTTTTTTGGAATCTGCTGTTAAATCATCATCTTCTTCTCCATTAATTCTATTACTATCTGGAGTTGGTTCTATATCAATATCAATATCTATCTCTTCCTCTTCTGATGAAGTATTTTTTGATTTATCATTACCTTGCTCCTCGCTGGCATTTTAGGGTGTATCATCCTCTTCGCCTTAAGGACAGACATCATCATCATTATAAAGGATAGGTAATGGACCTTATGATTCTTACCTTGTAGCTGAATTTGTTGGTATTTATTATTAAGGAATTGAACCTTAATTAGAAGGGTATTCATATTAGTATTAATTATTATCATCTCTATTATGATTGTATTAGCATTCCTATTTTTTCATTTACAAATCTCTTATCTTTTCTCTCAACCTTGTAGGCTATTGATATTAAGAGCATTCATTTAAATTTCTATTTATTTAATATCTCATGTTCTGTAAATAATCTTCAATTTTATTTGCCATAGCAACACGTTCATCATAGTTCTAAGTATTTTAGAATTATCTCATATATTCTATGCATTAATCTAGATTTCCTCTTGCCCATTAATGATTTAATTAAGCAAGTGACATGTCTAATAATGAATTTGATAAGCTTCCTGTAATTTGCAAGAACATTTCTAAATATTTACAATACTTACTTTATTATTAAACATCATCAATTTGCTTTGCTTTTTCCACTAATCTAGCGATTTGGTCAATAATTGTTATATCCTTCTATAATTAATCCTTATGCTCAACAATATCAGCCCACTTAGATAACTCTACGATGGTGTAATCATAGAAATCAAACCTCATTTAGCATGTAAACTTAGTTGTATTAATATCATTGGCTTCCTAAAAACTCAAGCCTTGAAATATATATAAAGTGTTACTTCTTTCTCGAGTTTTTAAATTTTATGTTTTCATTTCTACTTCAATTGCATTAGCTACTGCAATTATAAGAAGTGTTACGAAGACTTTTTTCATCTATTATCTATCCGTTTTTAAATAAAATATTAAATAAAATATGAATGGGAATGTATAATTAGATTATAACAAATACTGATGAACCTTCTCTCTTTTTAAAAACCTCATCGCTTTTGATATGCTAAACAGAATACCTTCTTATTTTTCCTTTGAATGTAAAATACATTATAATAATATAATTCTGAATTGACATTTAGATCGCAATTTTCTAAAATGATTGTTTATGATAAATGGGCTTGGTTAGGGAACTAGCTGTATTTATATAATTATCATGCATATATTTTCTTGCGTTTTTTTAAAAAAAAAGAATTAAGTTTTTACAATTGATATACTTGGGGTTCCATAATATGATTTATTAGTTCAACAATGACGTCCTCTAAATTTTAATAAGCTATTCTTAGTACTAGCAAAGAATTTTTTCGTTCAATTTAATCTAACATCTTAACCAACTACCTTATTTGGAGCAGTTCTATATTTCACAAGTGAAAAACAATCTCATTGTTATGTAAGAATTTTAATAAACAATAATCTCAATAAATAAATTTGAATTTAAGGATGCTAATTCCTATCAAACATCATTTTCCAATTCACTTTATAACTCTTTTGTGAATCAACCTTATTTGAATCAAAGTTCATATCGAATCTACAGAGTACTAGATTTAAGATAGAATCTCAAGATGCTCTCCCTATGTATTTGAAATAATTGATTCTCTGCTTTGATTATAAATTAATTTTAAAATTTGATAACAGTACATTTATATATATAAAATTTTAAAACTCGCTGGAAATATACAAACAAGAAATATCGAATTATTAAATGAAAAACAGCATCAAATACTTGATTATTTTAGTTGAGAAATAGTGTGCATAAAATAGGAAAATTTTTCAGGTTTATGAATAATAATCAGAAAAATTTAATAACATCCAAAATTTACTTAATATATTATTTAAGTATATTAACAAATAGAAAAAACTTAAAGAGTATTGCATGAACTTGAAAAAGGATATGCTAGAAGAAACTGTTTTTATTCAACAATTTTTTAGTATTAATAATACATGGCTTCTTCATCCTATATACGAATTCTTTCCTTTATAAATAATAATCTCTCTATTTATCAGTTCTACTTGATGGTAATTTATTAAAGTCACCTTGACATTTTGAACACTTTTTTTTACATATTTTTATTAAATGTTTGTCTATTTAAATAATAAATGTTACTAATCATTTGAGGAATGAGTGTAGGATCAATCTTTTTGTCAAAAAACAGGAAGGATGAATAGTAGTTTAGATAATAATAATGTTATTATAAATAATGAGAATAGTATAGCGTTTTTAATTGTTTATTAATTAATGAAGACTAGTCGTTTTTATTGTTTAACTATGTAATTTTTGTGTTGGCAATAACAATAATTATCTTATGAAGACAATATTGCTCATCGCTTTGATTGCAGTAGCCTTCACAGCCAGAGTGTAAGAGAGAAATCTTGCTAAAATTACAACAGACCTTCAAAAGAGCACATATGGAAGTGCATTGCTTCACTTAGTTGAACTCCACTCAATGGCTGGAGGTCCAGTTTAAGAGTTAATTGATGCTATTGAAGAGCTTATTAATGATCTAGAAGAAGAATTAGAAGAATTAGAATTCAATTTCCAAGTCAGAACCAACGAGCACAATTCACTAGTTGTTAGCCTCGAATAGGACATCTAAGATGCTGTTATTGGTAATAATAAATACAATTTGTTTAGATGTTAATAATACACAAGACACATTGGATAATTTGTTGTTCCCAAGAAGAGTATAACTTCAAGTTAGAATTGAATAAATTCAAGAAAACCAAGAGGCCAATAGAAAGAATTATGATGAAGCTATCCTTGTTAGAGAATAAGAACATGAAGATTTCGAATTATAAATTGCTGAATTGAATGATGCAACTGCTGCTGTTGATGATGCTCTTGCTCTTCTTGAAACATTAACTAATCCCTCACTTCTTTAAGTTAGAAGATTCTAAAATTCATTGAAAAACATTGAAGCAAAGATTAAATCAAGATCCAAGATGGCTCCAATGATCAAGGCTCTTATTTCTTTAGCATCAAATTAAAACTTTTCTGACTAAGGCATTATTGGTTAAATTGTTAATGCTCTTAATGAATTCAGAAACGCCATTGTTGATTCAATCAATGCTTAAACAGCTGCTGAAGCCGAAGCTTAAGCTGATCATGAAGAATATCTTGAATAATTAGATGAGGAATATGCTGAATTCTAAAGATAAATTAACAGAGTCAATGTTGATTTGACAGCCACCAACGGTAATTAAATAATATAATGAATTTATAGAAAAGATCGATTAAATGACAGAATTCAGAGACCAAAGAGATGCTGACAGAAAATAATACACAGCTGAATTAGAATTGGAAAACAATACCTACGCAGAAGAAACCGATACCTACACCAATTTAAAGAATGAATTCACTAGAGAACTTGGAATCAGCGAATAAGCTTTATCTGTTGTCTAAAGCGCTGATTTCTCAAACATCAAAGTTTGATAAGAATGAATTATACAGGTTTCTTCTTATTCAACCATATTATTTTTCCATTCCTTCATTATAGAGTAATACTAATGTTATTTATTTAAATTTCCTTGGACAATACATATCAATTACAGAGATTTTCGGAATTTCATTATAAATTTATAATAAACACTGAATTTAATTTTTCTCAAATCAGAATTTCAGCTATCAGCTATGTTTTTATAATTTTAGAATATTTTCATGATAATTCGACGAATAATTTATTTATTGATTAGATCTCTTCAAATAAATTTTATTCTTTATAATTATATGTCTGAAATAAAGAGTGCTTTATAATCAAATATCGTGCATATCTTAGAAAACAAGCCAGCAAAAAACATAGAAGGATTTAGATAATAATAATTGGAAGTATATCGTTTCATTGAAAATAGAGTAGAAGAAAACTTATAGAAGAATTCAAATAACTCTATATTTATGATGAAAAGGGAAATTTAAGAGGAGATTGCAAAATAAAGAAGTTTGTTGATGGTAGTAGATACGAAGGGTAGTTATCGAACGATAAAAGAAGCGGTAAAAAAGTTAATTTGATCTAGATTAGGGTATGGAATATATTACTACAATAATGGTGATATATTTTTGGGCGAATGGTTTGATGATAAATTTAATGGTTCAGGGCATTATTTATTCGCGAATGGTATTAGTGTTAGTAATCTTAGGTGAAAGATATTCTGGAGTATTATCAGATGGTTTGAAACATGGACATGGAAAATATTACTATTTAAATGGAAATACTTATGATGGAGATTGGTAAAATGATAAAAAGCATGGGAAAGGAAGATATGTTTATTACAGCACAGATGAATATTATGATGGAGATTGGAGAGAAGGAGAAAGACATGGAAAAGGAGAGGCTGGTTATGCATATGGAGATGTGTATGTAGGAGATTTCAAGAAGAATGAGCGAAATGGTTTTGGAATCATGAAATTTAATGATGGAGCTAGAGTAGAAGGAAATTGGGTAAATGGGCAATTATGTGGTTAAGCTAAAATGTAATATCCAAATGGTGATACTTACGAAGGTGAATGGGACAGGAATTAAAAGAATGGGGATGGAGTTTATACCATGTGCAACGGATAATCGATATATAAGGGCTAATTTAGAAATGATCTATGGAACGGGCTTGGGATATTACAATATGAAAATGGAGATCACTATAAAGGATATTTTAGAGATGGTAAGAAAGATGGGGAAGGAGAATTTAAATACGCTTCATCAAGAGATACATATACTGGATAATTCAGAAAAGATTAAAGAACAGGGCAAGGAGTTATGCTTTATGCTAATGGGGACAGGTACGAGGGGGAATGGCTAGCAGATAAAAAACATGGAAGAGGGAAGTATACCCATGCTTTAACAGATGACATTTATGATGGTGAATGGGTTTAGGATTAAAAACATGGCAAAGGATAATATATTTTTGGGTATTTAATATAATTTAACTGATAAGAAATGGAGATCAATTTGTTGGGGATTGGTTACAGGATAAAATGCATGGAAAAGGAAAATTTATTACAAAGGAAGGCATTGTATATGCTGGTGAATTTAAAAATCATAGATATATCGGTCCAATTAATTGATAACAGTTATTTATTAAATATCATATTGTTAATTTAGTACTCTTTTTATTTTAGAAATTAGTTGTTAATTTATAGATTATAATTTATTTGCTAATAAATTAATTTAAAATGTCTGAGGTTTAACAACTTGAATAATAAAAAGTATCAATTGAACAAAATTAAGAAATGTTATCAAATTGGATATCTTTAAAAAAGATCTTAAGCTCCAAATTTAAAAGTGCATAGGATGCATTTAAAGCTTTGAAAAAAGAGGGATGCTAAATATTAACTATCGAAGATTTCTAAGAATACTCAAAAGGGTTAGATTTGTAAATCTTATCTTAATTTTAGGTCCTTGTTATTTAAAGATGTTGAGTTAAATGAAGGAAATTTTGGGAAAGTTTGGGAAAATTGGGAATATAAATAAAAATAAAACGAACATAAATTATAAATAATAAATGAAAAACTTAAATTACTTTCTATGTTTGAAAATAAGGACTAAAATAACGAAGCTAAAGCAGATGTGATATCAAATAAAAGTATTCAAAAACTAATTAGCAATTGCGAATCCCTTGATTAATTATAAGAAAAGTTAGATTTGCTTGTAGAAGAAGGATAAAAGTAAAAAAACAAATCTGATGTTTTTTAAAATGAAACAGATTGCTTTTCTATCTACTAGTCGAAGAAAAATGAATAACAGCCTGAAGAATTGTATATTAGTAAATTACAGTTAAAGTTTAATGAAGGTGCAGAAGGAAATCTGCAAACTATCAAAAAGAACATTAAAAGCTATATTGAGGGTCAGCATCATCATTTCAGAAACTAAACTGAACTTAGCAATGGTACACTTCTCTAAAGCGCTCTTTTAAATAAGGCGTCTTTGATGACCAATCCTAAGCCTTATGAGTGATCATACATTCCAGAACCTTTAAGTTAGAAAGTTCTCCTCAAAGAGAATGCTTAACTCTTCGTGTTTAAGCCAAATAGAATTAATAATAAGTAATACAATCTCCCTCCGAAGAAAGATACCAAGAAGAAAGAAAGAGTCACAAAATTAACAGAATGAAAGGAGACCTCCATTCATATATATCCTAATTATTTTTCAACGAGAGGGAATTTAGAAAAAATAATATCATATATAATAGGCCTTCATCATAAGATTAAAAAGGCTTAGCCGGATTTATGAATTTTAGACAATATTTAAAAAATCAGCAAGATAAACCTTAATTTATCGAACCCGAAGATTCTAACACATAAAAAAGATTTCAAGATATAAGGTTAGCTATTTTTTAATTTTAGATACAAACTTGATGACTTTTAATAACAAAAGTTATCTTAATATAATTATATCACAAAAACTCAGCCAAATTTTAGTCCTGAGAAAACTGATAGAACTTAAAACTTAAATGTTAAATCAAATTAGATCAATAAAGTAAATACAAAATATTCGCCTGGAAATACTCATAGACTAAATTTAGGGTTTTTAAAGTAAGAAAAAGAATAAAACAATCAGCAAATCTAAGAAAAGTAAATCGAATCATGAATATTAGAATGAAACATTTTAAAGAAGAATTTATTTTTTAAATTTTATGTTATTTTTAGAATTTAGTTTTCATTTTTCCTTGCATTATGATGCTTCTGATGATCAAATTCACATATACATCTAATAAACTTGATTGAACTCTGAAAATCTCTAGGTTCATTTAGTCTTTAGTATTATATGATACTTTATATTTTCTAATTAAATTTAACTCAATTTAAAATTATTACAAAACTCCAAAATTTTGTTTGTTTAAAATCTAACAATAAAGAAGTTTTAGAGATGCAAATCAAATTGATTATCCAAGGTGATTCATTAAGATATTAAAATGAAAAAAATAAAGTTTAGAAGTCTGTAGATATAAATAGAGAGAATTTGAATTAATTTCAAAATATAAGAAATTTTTGGAATATTTAAAATAAGCTTAAATTGTTTTTATTGATTCTAGAGATGCATAGATCTCAATTTTAGCATTAATTTCTTAATCAAAATGTAGAATTTTTGATCCTCTGAGTCTAAAAAGGATGTAAGCTACTAAATTAGTAAAGAGGAGAATTATCAATCTTAGATATTTTTTGGGAAAGTTTCTGATCCGATGCACATTTATTAATGTATTTAAAGACAAGTAAGATGATAGGGAAGAAGGGTAGTGAAAAAGTGGGTTTAGTAAAATATAAATTAAAAAAAATATTAAAAATTTAGAGTTTCTAGAAACATCTCTTTTTTTATAATGAAAATTTGCCAAAATTTTTAAACTATTTTTAAATATTTTAATCGATGTTCTCAGGCGGATTTAGAGGTTTCTCTGGAGGTTTCACCTTTTGGAGGGATGGGAGAAGAAGAATCTTCAAATAGTCCAGCAGAAGTTGACAACAAAGGATTATATGATCTTATAGGAATACCTCCCTAAAGTACTACAGATGATGTCAAAAAGGCTTTTAGAAAGAAGGCTGTAAAGGAGCATCCAGATAAAGGTGGTGATCCTGAAAAAGTATTGAAATTCACAAATAATAGTTCAAAAAATTGACAGAAGCATATGAAATTCTTTCAAATCCTGAAAAAAAAGACCTTTATGATCGTTATGGTATGGAAGGTGTGAAAAATGGCGGTGGCGGTGGAGATATGGGTGATATCTTCAGCCAATTCTTCGGCGGAGGCGGAGGAAGAAGAGAATAGGGACCAAAGAAGATGAAAGCAAAAATGAGAGAATAATAAGTGACACTTGAAGAAGTATTTGAAGGAAAGATGATTCATTTGAATCACAAAAGAAAGAGAGTTTGTGATGGATGCGAAGGAAAAGGTGGTGCTAATGCAAAGCAATGTACAGCATGCAAAGGAAGAGGAATGGTGCAAAAATTATAAATGATTGGCCCAGGAATGTATTCCTAATCTACAGGACCATGCACTGATTGTGGTGGTGATGGAACAATATTCCCAGAAAAGGATAGATGCAAAAAATGCAAAGGAAATAAGGTAATGGACTAAGAGAAAGTAATTGAAATCCCATTGGAAAGAGGTGTACCTGATGAACATGACTATCAATTTTATGGAGAGAGTGACGAAATGCCAGGAGTTATGGCAGGTGATCTTTATGTTAGAATTAAAATAAAGAAACATGATGTTTATGAAAGGAAAGGTGCTGATCTCTACATAAATAAGAAGATCACTTTAGTCGAAGCCTTGACAGGAACACAATTTACATTGAAATTCTTAGATGGAACAAATTTACACATCTCTACTAAGCCTGGAGAAATTATCTCACCAGGTAATATAAATAAATATTCTTTTAGCACAAATAAAGACTTTAAAAAAGAAGGGTATGCCTTGTTATAAAGATGCCATGAGTGAAGGAGATCTTCATATTAGATTTGAAGTCGAATTCCCTCTTTCTGGATAACTCAAAAGTGAATAGATTGAATAATTGAAAAAAGTATTTTCATTATTTTATTTCAGGTGTTACCAGGTCCCAAATAATAACAAAAACTTGATGCCAAAAAGACTTTGTATTTGGAAGAATACGATGAGGCTCATGTAAACTCCAATCCAGAAGGGGGTAAAAAGGATGAGGAAGATGACGATGATGAAAGAGGAGGTCATGGCGGATAAAGAGTCTAATGTGCCTAATAATGAAATAAATGTTATATGCAATTTATTAATTATTATGAAATCTAAAACCATCATTTCACGAAGGCTGGACATCAATAATGATCCTCCTAAGTAATAGCAAGTAAATATAGCAAAGTAAAAGTCAGGCTCCATTTTTTGATCCTTGTCCAAGATTTCAGAAAAAATACGGAGTTAAAGCAGATTAGGATAGAATTGTTGCTTATATGTATTTAAGAGAAAATCATCCGAATATCAAATAATGTAGAGATTTCAGTTAAAAAAGAATATGCAAATTTGACACTACCTAAATTAAAGATGGACCTCCTTATGCTAAAATCATCAAAATTTAACCCAGTCATTCTACTACTGTGAATGGGTGGGCCAATGTTGGTGGAGAGTTAAAACATTAATTTAATAATGGCTGGAAAACCAATATTGATGATATCTGCATTGATAAACAATATGAAGATCAATTAAATACTCATTTTAAAGCCAAAGAGGCTTAATTAAAACATGATTACAAGGCTAAAATAGAATATATGAATAAATATTTCAATGAAATAGAAGAAATGTATAAAGTAAATGACACAAAGGAATCTGTTAAAAAACTCAGAGTTTTATATAAAAAAAGTCGAGAAGATTTAAAACCATATGTAAAATACTAAGGGTAAAGATTTTTTGAGATCTTGCCAATGATGAAAAGAAGAACCAATACTGTGATTGAAGAATTTAGGTGTTTCAAACCTTTATGCAATTTAGAATTAAAGGAAAAGTAAAAATATCTTGATGATTTGTTCAAACATTTAAACAAAAAAACAGAAAAAGAAAAAGATCTTAAATCTAGGGAATAGGATTCAAGTGACTAATAGCAATAAAATGAAATTCAAATTGATTACAATGATTTAAGCACAAATTTACATTAGATTAAAAGAACTTATAGTCAAATGGAAGATGTCACTGCAGAGGCTGCTGCATTTAATTAAAATCATTACATATTTGAAGTTAAGGATGTTAATTCCTTTGGTTAACAAATTAGAATGAATAAGATGAATAAAATTATGAATGAGATGTTTAAAAGCCAAAGGAATTTTTAATAAGATATATAAAATTATGCTTATAAACATTTAAATACTAGCACATCCTGCGATATCAGTGCAGCCAATATCTCGTAAATGTAATAAGTAAAATTATAATAACAATAAGTCCATTTAAAATAATAAACAAAAAGAACTGAAACGAATGCATAAAACCTGTCAAAATGTTACTTATCGAACTAATCCATCTCCAGCAATGAAAAATTCGGCATTTCAAACAACAGCTACATCTAACCAATTTAAATTTTGATAACGCAATTTTTATGTTATACATTAAGGAATTTTATTATTACAATATTAATGAAAGCCCTTATAAATAAAAACTAACAAGAATGATAAGTTATATTCATTTTCTTTTTATATTAGTACCAGATTGCCCTCTTAATAACTACTAAATTGTTTCAAACTTAATATGACACTCTATTGAATATGCTTCAAAATTTACATTATTCAGTATCTGTTCTTGGCCTTGTGTATGGACTTTTGTTTGTCATAGCTGAATTTCTAGGTTTCAAGGAATTTTGAGATCGTTCTGGAGACTTATCAGGAGATCTGCCTACTCTTTTAGGCGATTAATTTGAATTGGAATTCATTCTTTCAGTTCTGCAATTATCAAAAAAAAATGCTTTTAAAATTCCATTATTATTTTGGTTTGAAGATGGTTAAGTGTTTTACGTTTGTTTAATCAGACTATTAAAAGTTGTTTTAGTTGATTTGTAAGGTTACAATTAAATAGGCAATGTCTCTTAAGCTTTTAGAAGTTTTTCATTTATTCTTTCGCAACTATTATTAGAAGAGCCATTGAAAAACTGAATCTTTTGTTTAGGAGATGTATCTGATGGCATTTATTATCGTTTTTTATTAATAATCATTTATTCCATCAGATTTGTTTATGGTTTTACATTGTCACTAATATTTCTATTGGTTTTTAAAGGAGATTGTTAATTTAAAAAAGAACTAATTAATTTTCCAGTAGGAGATGAGTCGTTTAATTTTAAATCTGCTAGATTTTTGAGGATATTTTGATTTTCTCTTTGAGTTTGAATTTGCATCTATTTTAATTTTTGTAATTTTTATTCTTTATAATTAACTTCAGATACCATCGACATCATAGATTCTTCTTATATGGTGTCTAAATTAGAGTTGTAGTGTTTATGATAGCTAGTAATTAAGTGATTGATGTAAGGAGATGAGCATGTAATATTCTTACAGGCAATTTCAACTGCTTTAAGATGATATAACTCACTTAATTTAAATTCATCAGTATTAATATCTTTAATACCTTATTGTTTAGCTTTGTCTAATTCAATGAACCTTAGTTCAGTCGCAATGGTGAAATAGGATATAGACAGATAGATGATTTTCTCCAATAACAACCTTTTTGAAATCTCATAAAGCATTTCTCCTTAGGATGAGAAATCTTCATATATTTGAGGAGTCATGTGCATAATGAATCCTATATTAAAGGTTTAAATCCATTCTTGGACGTTTTACACTCCAAGAATAGAACGATATTCCTCTTCTTTTTGATCTAATTTTAATTCTTTGCGAATATGCTTTTCATTATTTTCAGGATTGTTTCTCCAGAAATACAATTACTTTTTAGCTTCTCTTAGAATCAACTACTCATTATTAGACATGCTATCCAAATCTTATTATTTAGACATATCTTATAGAATATCTTTACTAGCATCAATAACTAATCTACTGAATTCTACTTCATCTTTCATTTGGAATTTATTATTTTTTTATTTTGGCTTCATTGTTAAACTAGAATTGGCTGTTGTTGCAGACCCTAAGGATCCATTTTTATTAAGCCAATCCTTACAAAATTGGAAAGCGATCTTGAAGACTTCTCGCATCGTACTTGCTGCCTTTCTAGCTGACTGTAGAGCTAATTTATGTCTAATTTAATATTAATAGGTACTTTCCTAATTAACTCAAAATGGCCGTATGTTATAAGAGTGTTCTTGCTAGAAAGGCTTTCTTTTTGACTAAAGAAGCATCACTTTCTTAGGTGCTTGTAAGTTTATTTGTATCTTATTCTTCTTCCTTCATGCTCTCTTCCATATTGTAAATCACTCCAGATAAATATTTAGAACATTTATCCAAAACCCATTAACTAATATTATTTTATTTGCTGTACCATTAATATCCACATGCTTGATTGTAGAGAACAACGATAATTAGGTTTTTATCTATAGTTTTGCCACAACTTGCTGCATACTATGGATTGAGATTATAAAATACTTCCAACATTTATTCTGATTATTAGAGTAACTTCATGGCTTCCTTAAACTTTTAAAGTTTAATTTTATGCACTGCTTGTTCGTTCAAAAAATTGATTTATTACATGAATTATTCTAATTTTAAGTTAATTTAACAAAATATACCTTAATTTTTGAATAACTATTTTAAACCATTTTCCTGAACAGTTTCAATTTCATCATCTTCTTACTCTTCATCATATGATTCATCTTATTGATTGCTGCTCGACATTTTTCAAAAATATCAATAACTTAATTAAATAAATTCAATAACAAAATAACTGAATTATATATTTAATATAATAAACTCAAGTTTGTTCTAATGGTAATACTAAATTTAAACATTCCAGAAATATAGTTTAGATATATAAATATATAATTGTTAAACTTATTCTAAAATGTTTAGATCATAATGAAATCAGTTTACATTATTCAATCTTCTAATTATTATATCATATAGAGTATCAAGATAAATTATTCTTTAAACTTATATATTATGTTTATAGCTTTAGGATCAATATTAAAAAAAAATTTTATTTACTTTTTAAGATTTCTTAAAAGTTTATAAAATATCATTTAATATTGTTAAAGATTTATATTGGATTTTATTAGATAAACAAGACTTTTAATTAGTTTCCTTCAACTTAGTATATTATTTAGGTTATATTTTATGGCTAATATTATGTCAAAAAATATTATTTTTAAAATGTTAAGGCTGATTATTAGGAGTTCTTGACACTAATTAAGAAGATTTAAAATTCCAAGTTTAGAATCCAGCTAAACTAAAGTGACTCCAGTAATATATTTTTAATTCATTAATTTTATACTATAATCTAAGAAATTATTAAGTTCTAAATATAATAATTTTACTCAATTTTATTTTTACAAGGTAGATAGATATACTTGAAAAAGTATTGTGAATATTTTTAACTTGTAATTTATTTGCAGATAGTTATTAATTATTTAAATGTGACAAAGGAGACACAGCTTCATTGATCTTTAACTGAAATCTAGGGTAAATTGTTTTCTTTGGAGTTTTGGTACTTTTTCATTAGATCACTAATGATTTAAGATGTCAAAATTTGATCACAATATTCTGTCATTTATAATATAAATTTATCAAGTGAAAAATTTTTTCTTCAAATGAGACTATGTAAATACTTATTTGAAGTTGATCTTTTAATTTTTGCAAGTATTATTATTGAAAAAATTATTGGCAAATGTGAAATTACATTCATCTTCATTGTTTGGTATGGAATCCTCGATTTTTGGCAATTTAATGCGTTTATTATAATTTTAAGAGATGGACTATTTAACTTCAATATTCTTTGGTTTTATAGATTCCTGTTAACTTTGTGGTTAAACTAGAGATCTGGAGTTAGTTTTAAAGTCATTAAAGTCGAATCTTGGTTTAACTTTTCGAGTTGTAGTTAATGTTTCTATAATGTGTTATTTTTAGTTTAATGTTCGTTTTAGTTTCTCGTTTTCTCTCAATATCAATTATATTTGGTCTAGAGGAGATCCATTTATTATTTCAGTGGAGATTCTATAGGATTTAAATGAATAAAGCTGCTAATCTGATTATGGGCTATATAAATTATGAGATCATACTTTGAAGCATCTTCAATTTTTTTTGGAGTAGTAAGACCCTTTATCTATACTCTTGGAGTTTGCATAGGTATCTAAGCTGCTTTATTCTTCTAATAAATTACCCATCTATTATCTTACTGAAAGTGCCTTAGGTTTAAATAGTTAGCAATTCTACTAGTTTAACGCTGCATAAGATTTAGTATGTTGTAAATCCATAAATTATTTTGATATAATATGATTATATAATTAATTAACTCAAATGAATTCTCCCTTTCAAATTTCTTCGATACGAAGGTTATCAGGATGTAAAAGTGAATGCAAATAACATTTCTTAACAACTAATAAATGCATGTCTTTTTTCTATTAATTCAAGTGTAAGACAAAAAACCAAAAGATAAGGAAAAACTAGAAGAAACTGTTCTTCATCTGAAAATGCAATTTAATCTCTTGAATGATGAGAATGCCAAACTTCGATATGAAATACCACATATTCAAGTATATTATATAGCAATTTAATTTAGAAATAAATGACTAACAGGAAAAAGTATTGCAAATGAACAAGAAACTCCAAATGATTAAAATCTGTAAACTTAACAGACCGATTAAACCAAAAAAATTAAGTGAAGAGATATTTAATTTTCCCCCCTTTATCTGCTAGATTAATGCTTATTCTAAATAAATAAAAGAATTTGAACTTACTATAATAAAAAAAATCAACAAATTGAAAATTTAAAAAGAGACACCAGAAACCAGATTCACTGAAATACAAGTATTTTCACTAATTTCATCATAGATTTAATTCTAAGTCATTTAAAAAGAGCACAAAGAGTTACTAAAAAATTATCCAGCCTTAATGCATTTAAGGTATTATCAATTAATATGTGCATCCTATTTAATTCACTAGTTATGATGAATTAAACAAAGATAATATATACCTATCAAAGTAGCTTTATGAGAATTAGTAGCTTATACAATAGTAGAATGTAAAATTCAAGAGACTCGAAGCTGAGTTACATCAGATGAGACAATAAACTGAAAAAGAGAAGATGGCTCAATTGGAAAAGAAAATATATGATTTAGAGCAACAATTATAAAAGAAGGACTTTTATCATAACAAGGATATTGATAATTTGCATTTGGTTATAGCTATCTTGAAAGATTATCCTATTTTAATTAGAGAAAGAAGAAAAGAAGCTATATCTGCCTGTGATTGAGTGACCTAATGAATCATCTGATAGGAATAAAATACATGTTTCAGTAATCATAAATAGAAAAGAATTTTAAAAGGTTAGCTTACATGAAATCTGATAAATGCTACTAGAATTATCTATGAAATTAAAATTAAATGAAATCCCTTTTTCTAGATTGGATTCATTTATTTATTTATTTATTCAAAGTCTGTTAAAGGAAGCTTAACATTTTGTGATTTAGTTGACATTTTTAAATAGTATCTATTTGAACTGAGTGATGAATAAACCATTTTAATAACTAGAATTTATCATAGAACTAGAATATGACAAGTGGGTATGTTGCGATTTAAATTTTACAAATGATATAGTAATTGCAATTAGTAATTTTAAATCTCAAAAAAGCAGATGAGTTGATTTCATCTGATCTACAAAAAGTAATAACCAGTCAGTTATGTTAAGTATTAATTATTTACATTATTAGAAGATGAAATAACACTAAAATAAACTAGTATCTAACTTGGAATTATAGAAAGATCATTGCAGCATTTAGGAGTTCAAAAAAGCTCTGGATTTTATTGATGACTTTTTATCACCTAAATTAGATGATTTATTAATGATGAAGATTGAAGATCATTTCAAATAATTTAGTAAATCCAAATACTCTCAATTATTTGATATATTAAAATGATCATAAGTATCTTAACCAAATCTAAATAGGCACTTGTATATGTATATATATTTATATATGAAATTTTAAATAAATAAAAATCCTTTTTAAAAAAATTATTATGGCTGAATAAGAATCTGTAGCCACAGTTAAATTTGCAAATCAACCAAAATTATTCGGAAAATGGGATTATGATGAAGTACAAGTGACAGATTAATGCTTCAAAGATTATATTGCAGTTCAAACATCAAAATCAAGAGTGTTTGTTCCCCCATACTGCTGGAAGGTATTTAGATGGGTGATAATATTAATAGATATCAAAGAAAGAAGTTTAGAAAGGCTTAATGCCCAATTGTTGAGAGATTAGCTGGTGCACTTATGTTTCATGGCAGAAATACAGGTAAGAAAGTAAAGGCTGTAGCAATAATCAGACATGCCTTTGAAATAGTGCATTTATTGACAGGCAAGAATCCACTTGCAGTATTGTCATTAGCTGTCTAAAGAGGTGGAGCCAGAGAAGATTTCACTAAAGTAGGAACAGGTGGTGTTGCCAAATAATAAGCAGTTGATGTTGCTCCAATTAGAAGAGTTAATGAAGTATGAAATTCAAATATATTAAAAGGCTGTTCACAATTTAGCCAAAGGAGTCAGAGATTCTGTATTTAAGAAGATGAAAACAATCGCTGAAGCCTTAGCTGATGAATTGATTGCAGCATCCAATGAAGACGGATAAAAGTCATACACTATTAAAAAGAGAGACGAATTAGAGAAAGTCGCCAAAACCAATCGTTGATTACGATCATTAATTATATTTTAGTACAATAGAAAATTAACATATTTAAAAATATACATTGTTTAATAAAAACTAGAAAATTTGTAATAATTAATTCTACTCTTTTTTATATATATATTTCCTCTATTGATGAGTTTTATCTCAAAATATTATATAAATAATTGGTTTGGCAAGGAACCCGAAATTATAAAATTCAATGATTTTTCATATGGTTAAATGATTAAGCAATCATGATTGATGTTTGACTTTTTTCTCTTTGATATTCATTTTATAAGACAAAGGGATCTTAAGATACCAATAGCATATCTTAATAAGAATATTAAGGCAATTATATTCTATACAAGAATTATTGATATTCCTCATTTTATTACAATTCTTATGGAATTATTATTGATAATAAAGTATGAAATTCTTAAGCTATCAAACTAGATCCAGTATGTGCAGTGAAAAACATCTTAAGTTTTTATTCAAAGGATCCTCTTAGTAAGACACTCAAACAAGTTAAGAACTCTCTAAAATCTAGCAACTCTGATTTATTTTCATCAAATAAGCTAAAGACTAATTCATATTTGTGTCTATCTAATACTTGATATTTAGTGTAATGCTAGTGAAATTATTCCTATTGAATTCTATAGAATTAAATTTTTATACCATCAGACCGAGAAATGCTTCCTTATTAATGCCATACTTTTATGATTTGATCTGCTAAATAAATAGGGCTTATATTTCAAGATCATCACCATCTGAAGACTCAGTTAATTTAGCTTATTATTTAGCATCTTTTTGATCTTTTCTAATAATACATAAACTTCCAGATTCCAAACAATATTTTTTAAATTCTTTTTAAATTTGAAGTATCTCTTCAGTATCAAAGTTTGTGATTTTTTTAAGTCTAAAAAGTATTAATTTATCCTCATCAACCCATGATTGGCTTGTTTATGAATAATATTATTCTATTTAAACTTATCTCTCAAATGGTGGAAAGTACGCATTTTCTTTACTTAATAATTTAGCTAAATCACTATGTTTAATGACTGAAGATATGTATAATATATATACTCTTTCCGATCTCCTCTATGAGTCCTTACTGATTCATATCTAAACACTTAGCTGCCTAAAGTAATGAAAAAATGGTTGCCTAATCAATAGGAATGAAGGATTTCCTCTTAAACATTGCTTCCCAAGTAATTAACAATGAACTTGTGTTTAACACTTACAACAATAAGGTTAATAACATTTGAGGCCCTGAAACATCTAAGAAATTGAAAAGTTACTCAGAATTTTATACATTCAATCCTTTTATAATAGACTTCAAAAAATAGAGCTCTGCTTAAAAACCAATTAAAGTTGCTCCCTGGGAGTTGGAATAAAATCTTGGAGGTATAATAAATTTGAAAATGTGATTCATAATGTGAAATGCTCCCTCTTCATCTGATAAACATAACAGAACTGTTACTATGAAATTCATTCCTTAACAATATCCAATGATGGGATAATGAGTCACAAATAGTTATAAAACTCTATTTATCGATGCTCTAATTAAGGATTGATCATAGCCTTATTAGCATTAAGTTATAAACTCTCTTAAACTATAATTAAATAGAAATGCATCAGTTCTTCCTGCCAAAACATCTTTACCAATTATTTCTTTGTCATTTTCAGAAATAGAAATTTCCATCTTGATTTATCTTTCTTGATTTCCGATCCATTTAGATTACAACAAGGATCTAGTGTTCCATTTGAGACCATTTTCTTGAATTATCTATTGATAATGTGTATAATCTCGAAAACAGTTATCACAGACACGTTATTGTTTATTGAAATCTTTGACAAAATCATTGGGTTTGGCATATAACTAAATTCCTAGTTACATATACTTAAACACGATTTTCACTGCAATGATTACAAACATCGTGGTGACACATCTTGCATCTATAAGTTTTTCTCAATTTTCTAGATAAATTTTATGTCATTTTTACAAAGCCTATAAATTCTTTGCACATACACAACATTTCGATTTATGAAACAATATCATAATATGAGATTATTATAAAAATAAATAGAATAATAGATTATAATACATCCATTTTTAATGGATTAGTTAATTTTGTGAGTATTTATATATAATAATAGATCAATAGTTGAGTGATTGATTTTTTTTAGTAATGAATTTAATTTTAATACTTGATGCTTTTTTCTGATTGTTATGTGATTCCATGTCATTTGTATATGTTTATTGTTATTCTTATTTCATACACTCTGAAATCATTGAAAATTATTCTTAACTATTTTTGTTTTCTGATAATTCTTCTTAGATACGTGAATCATCTTGATAAGGGACATGGTTATGTTATTGGTTAATTTATGATTGGAAAAGAATCTTCTACTTTATTGGTTAAGGTAGAGTAGGTGGGAGTGAATACATATCAACATTTTAAATTACCTTATTTAGTTACAATGTAGGCTATTTTTAGAATTACTTTTCAGGGACTTGATTATTGAAGGTTGGATTGTGTTGTTGAAGGATATGGTCGTCTAATTTTTCTTTATTTTGAAATGTCAATTTACATTGGATACATATAAATACGGATAGATCATTCAAATGGTCTTAAAGCACATGGGTTGTACTTTGTATAACATTCGAGAATGATTTATTGCATTGTTTGCACTTTAATTCAGAATTTACATATAGTTTTTAGAATCCTTGGAAGAGTTGCTTGTATGGATTGTCTTTGTATTGTTTATTGCACATTTATTTTAACGCTTGTAATTGATTGAGAGAGCCTTCTTTCATCTTTTCACTTATATGATAATAAAATCTGGAAACTAATTTTTTTGCTGTTGATTTTAAATCTTGGGGAGTTGCTGCAGGTTCTGGTTCATTTGAAGTTAGAACAATCTCAACACTAGCTTCATCACTAATAATTATTTCTGGTTTTTATTCAGAAGGAGGGAGATTGCATTAAAAATCTTTTGACACATGAATAGATTATTGATCAATGATTGATGTTAGTAAATCAATTTTCTCTTATAATTTAGTCATATTTTTACGACACTTTTTCATTTTGGCTAATATTAATAGGTTATTTGGAGTTTGCATTAATAATTTAAATAATTGGGTCATTTATTAATGTCATTTTCATTTATATATATATAATATTGAATATATAAATTATATAATTTTAATTATCTAAAATTATCGTTGTGAATTAACGTAAGTTAATGTTAAATCCTAAACCCAGATTACGAATGATTAAAAATAATAAACAACAAACACAAAATGGCATTAACCAAGGTCGTTCTTCTTTGTATTCAAAATAAGAAATAAATAACAATTACTCATGATTAAATCTATAAACACTTCTCCTAATATGGCTAGATCGAAAAAGTAAGCACAATTTATATCCTTAGATTTTGATATTTGAAAAAACTCAAATTTGGAAAGTCTTTTTGGAAACCAAAAACAAAGAAACTGCATAAAACTTAATAAAGCAATGCACTAACAATATTTTGAATTAAGATGCTTCCTTAAGAATGTAATTGTATCCCAGCAACCTAGAGAATCCCACCTTTTCTGATATGAATTCTGCTGGCAAAGGTAATCTTACTCTTAAATTACCCCTAGATTATTTTAAATCCAAAGAGAAACGAGACTCTCTTAATTCAACTGACGACGAATAGACTTCAGTAGGCAGCCAAGGTGAATAATATCCTAATCTAAATTCCACCAAAAATTATCCCCAAAATATTTAATAATCAATCTATTAATACTAACAACATTTACAACAAAGATTATACGAATAATAAGTACTCTAGATGAGACTCCAAACCCAAAGTTTGGATCTCCAAGTCCCTGATTATGTAAATACTCTAGCCTCAGCATAATGGGTTGAATAATTTGTGTAATTGGGAAAATTACTTCAAACTTAATATCTACTTCAATATCAACTTATTGATGGCTATATTAATTATATCAAATAGGAATCTGTTAATGCTTTATCAGAAATTCAAAACTAACAACGACAACAATAATTATAATAATAATAATAGTTGCAAACTCAAATTAATACTCTTAATCAAATCTACCATGTTGAGTAACCAGAGAAATCCAGAGTCATTGTGGCCAAGTCTTTTGATGACTCTGTTACTACCATCGACATGCTCTATAACCTTTTTAGTATCTATGGAAACATAGACAAAATGGTATATTAGAAGGACAAATCCACCTTGTTGGTTGAATACCATCTCTAAAAATGTGCTGATCAATGTATGGAGAAGTTGAATAATGTTGTATTCCAAGGCCAAACTCTTTAAGTAATATTTCAATAATATTCTAGATTACCTATTCAATTCTGTAAGAAATAACATTCTTAGATGAACTAGAAGAATTGGGATTGGTCGAAAAGACTTTCTATGAAGAAAGATTCATTGGATCTGAAGCCACTAATAGATATAAACCAAAAAATTCCTTTATTGCTGCTGCACCCAATGATACTATCTTTCTGATGAATTTATCAAATGAATTACTCAACATTGAAAGTCTACAACCCCTTATAGAAACTGATATTGTTGAATATAAGTAAATTTCATATTTATATTTAGATTTTATGAGGACCCAAAGTAAAAACATAGCTGTGCCTTAAAATTCAAAACTGTTGAAGATGCTATGTATTTCTTAGCTAAAAATCATGGCAAAGTAATGGCTGATAGAAAAATCTTAATGACTTTTTCCAAAAAGCCTATGTGATTCAATTTTTATATAATTATTAATTTAAACACCTGCTCAAATTAAAAATTAAGCATTCATTAAATTTAATATTACTGACTCTAATGAAATAAATTATTAATCATCATTCTGATTGATAATTATTGTATTTAATCTATTGTAATTTGACCATAGAATATTAAATTCAAAATTTATCATCACTAAAACTTAATGTTAATAAATACTTACAATAAGAAACGAACAGATTCATTTAATAACATTTTATAATATTATAATCATATAGTTAATTAAATTACCTTTATGTTATAAAATTATAAATGATATTCAAATTTTTATAATAAAAAAAAGAACAAGAGAATTGCATATGAGAAATTTAATGGCAGGAATTCTACATTATATTTACTATTTTCAATATACAGAAATTATGAATATATTTAATCTAGTTGTTTTTAAAAACTCAAAATTATCATTTTTTCATTCTTCCTTTGCCTTCTTTACGGCATTCAATAGAACAAAACCAAGGCTCGTTTTCAGGAGGAAAGTCCTTTAATTTAACACATTCTAAATGAAACCATTCTTTTGAACATAATTGATTATCGCACATAACCATTTATCCAAATGAGGGCTTTTAACATATACAATACAAAGGTTCACTTTAACTTGCATTCTAAAATATTTCTTTGCTTTATTCAATTTCTTGATTAATTTTCTTTCTCTTCTCCTTCTAGTATTTACTCAATATTAGGAATCTTCTTTTATGATCAGGTGCCATACTTGATTTTAAGTTTTCTTCAAATTTCTTTAAATCATTGTCCAATTACTTAATTTATGATGATAATTTACTTAAACAGCGCTATCAACAACTTCATAGACTTTATCACTAATATTAATTTTTTCTTAGGATAAATTGACGCTTTCTTCGTACAATTAATCAATTTCCACTTTAGTTTTCTCATTTTTTTACTATTTGTATTGCTTTCTTAAAGTGGTTAGCTTTTATTGAATTTTGGTAACCTTCTCATCTAATTCTTTGATTAATCTCAACGATCGAGTAACTTCTTGTGGTACATGACTTTGTCTGTCAAAATAATCTTCCAATTATGCCATTAAATAAGTCTATCTTTATAAATATATATAAAAAATTAATTAATTGGATAATCAGAATAGCTTTTCAATAGCCAGTCTAGGTTCGTTATATTTTAAATATTCTCTTAATCTAAATGTGGATTGTAAGACCAATCTGCAATCAGGTGCTGGCAATACTTATTCAACTAAAAAGTCATATAAAGTCTTCAACTCTTTATCATCCTTATTCTCATAATAGGGGATAATTGGAATGCCATTTTCTAGATGGACTCCAAATGAATAGGCAGCATTGTCAACCAATACAATATCTTTAAGATCTCTATTAAAAATCTTCAGATCCTTTATGTGCACTCCATCAGGTGATAAAACACAATTGTCTCTAAATAGTTAAGCTGAAAGTAATTGATTTTTAGGATCTAGTTATTAAATGACTTAACTAGCATAACATTAATGAGATGCTGTGAAGACAACCACTTCACATATTTAACTTAATTCTTAAAGTATCCATTTAGCATAAGGTCTAATATTGATACCTGCTGAGACTGTATCACCTGAGGGGAATGTTATAGGTATATATACATCAGCCTTGAGTGATTAATTTTCATTGCAATGAATCAATGTTTCATCAAGATCAAAAACAACTGTTTTTTAATCTAATATTATCTGTGTAGTATAATACATTTGCAATTCAATTTGGGAGGCAAATTTAATATTTTAGATTGAATTATTTATTGATCTGATTCTTTGAGATTCATGCAGAAGCCAACACAATTGAATGTTTGAACTGCATGATCTCTGAATAATTATTGCTCAGATGTTTGAGGATATTAATGTTTAAACGCTTCAACGAGCGAAGTGATATAATATATTTATTCTAAATAGGTTTTGGATCATTACTTCTGGGCTTGGCTGATTCAACTCTAGTGGATGGAGATAAAGACTTAGTTTATTTGAAAGGGGAGATGAGCTTTTTGTTTGGTCTACTCACTTGAGTGATGAAATCATCTAAGCTAACTTTTAGATTATCTTTCTTGTTGTTATCTTTCTTTCCTTTCAATTGTTATGCAATTTATTAAGCAAATTTATTAGATGGAAATCTTTGATCGATTGACATTAGATTATATTTCTTCTATTTAGATTAAGGGGTTGTGGTTGTTTAAATGATAGGTGTAAGTAAGGCACTAGCCGACTTTTCCAATTATGAAAAATTACGATGCAAACTATTTTTCGTTTTAGGCAATACTTATGAATTATTTTACATCTTTGCTTGTTCTTTCAGATTGTTTTTTTAATACAAAAAATATTTCATCTTTTTTGTTTACTATAAATGAATACTTCTTATGCAGTTCTACATGATTATGGTGTATTATTTCTGGGTGTGATGGTTTGTTATTAGTTAGAGGGTTGTGGCTATTAGTGATTTCGATCTCGTTCAATATTCTTTCCTTTGCCTATGGAATAGAGATTGGTTAGGGTTTGAAATTATTCTCTAATTGATACAACAATGTGGGATACCTTGTGATATTGGCTTTGATTGGTTTAACTTCCTATCGCGATGTAACAGATTTAATATTTTAGTTTAACATTTATTTATAATTATGTAATCGTGTAAATATTGATAAATAAAATAATACAATGATTTTTTAGCTTATAGATATCAATGGTTGCAGAAAATAAAGTGGCAATGAATTAATTTAGTGAACAATGTAAATAAATAACTGGATAATAAATGCAATTCATCCAAAATTACTATTAATTCCTTGTTTTGAACAAGAAAGAGAAAGAGAAGGTGGAGGATAACAAAGATGAAAATAAGAATAATGAGGAAACATAGTAAGTAAAATAATAGGATGAATATATGAGCAGCAGAACTAGGAATATAGGAGAAAACGATTTAGTTTATAATAGATTATCTGAAGAAATTGAGTAGTTGGATTAATAACTTATATATGACTGCTAATTTTGTCCAAAACTATTCAAAAATAATGTGCACTTGTATTGGCATACTTGTCAGAAACATTATGAAGAAAATTAGTGATTTAATTAATTACATCAATTAAAGTCATCAATGTCATCATCTACTATTTACTTATTCTATTGTTTGTTGATCTAATCCCACTCTTCTTAGAAATAACTCTACGTTGGTAAAGCATATAGATCTGAAAACAAAATATAACATTTCCAAATCAATTACTCTATTTTTAAATGCAACCCAATCTATCGTATATCAATATCTTCAGCTATCCTTGCAAAAGCCTCTAAAAACTCAACGAAGCTCATTTAAAATATTCTATCTGAATTAAGTTCATCAATCTAACTCATCATGGCTTTATTGAAAGCAAATAATGGAATATTAGGTCCAAATGTTTCAATTTAATTTAATCCAATGTGAGCACACATTTCTTACAGTTCCTACAAACTCATGAATGGCTTTTGGCCAGGTTTCACTTTCTTCACACTATATCGAATATAAATGCTATCGAGAATAGTCTTATAGTGTTTCATACAAAGATCACATTGTTCATTCCAAAACCTAGTATCCCTAAAAACTTGAGTATTGTATTTATTGAACTCATCCTTTAATTGATCATTCCACATCCATTTCAGAGCTTCTTCAAATGATTTTGCTACTCCATTCTTTATATACTTATCCTCTGCTATTCTCACAAACATCTCTAAGAATTAAAACCTCACCATCCCTCTCTCTGGCTTCCTATAGTTACCTTTCTCCGTTCCTGAAATTGTAGCCAAATACTTCAATTCCATATCCTATTATTTAATAGTACCTTTCTCACTAGCCTCTGTCATTCTTACTGCACTCAACAATTATAGATTTATTAATGATGAGATGGCCCAAATGTCTCCAACTGGTGACAAACAAGCATAGTGTCTAAATTTCAGATATCTTTTACTTATAAGTATCTTTGATCTATTAGTAATTGGCCAGTAAAAAACTATAACATGCATTCTTGTCATTCTCATCCTTTATTAACTTTGTAATCCTACTTTGGTTCCAATCACTGATAAAACACTTCTCAATCAATTCTTCGTTGTCTTTCTTCCAATCCTTAAACAATGATATTGGAAATGTCCATAGTACACGATTATCCACTCTCTCAGGTATGTAAAGTAGATCTTCCTATCTTGGTTGAACATTTATAATGGGCATATAATATTTATCTATGATTTGTGTTCCTGCAACATTCATATAATTTAATTGGTGCAACTTCACATCAATTTCCTTATCTTAAAATTTGACTTTGTTCAAAGGCAGAGGCCATCTCTTATGGAGTTAATCCTTAGCTACACATTGCATATTGTCATTTGTAAAGAAATAATAACACATCCCTGGAGGTACCATTCTTTAGACTCTTAAACCAGACTCAACCTTACCCATGTATAAATCATCATAATTTAAATAAGATAAATGCAAGAACATGGGATCATTTGCAGGCCCAGATGCTTGTGGATTCCATGAAAATTCTACTTGTCTCCATCCCTCACAAATCCAGCAGCAATCTTTTATATTAGAGTCTCTATAGGATCTTAATCTTTTTTATTTTATGTATTGACATCCTTGTATCCTTTAAGCAATTTAATGTTAAGTTTGCTCTACAATACCCTTTTCAATAGGCACCAAAAAACCTTTAGGATCAACATATCCACAATTTCCGGTGTAGTGAAATCCGAGTATACTCTTATTCTTTTTTAATCCCTCAGCAATTTAAGAAGTAATTTTGTAATCTATTTTGTTAAAGGATAGATCAAAGTGTATGAGTTCCTTATTCAATTAAACCATCTTGTTGAAACTTTGAGACCAATCATAGCCTATTCCTAGAGAATTCTACGATAAATCCAACACTTTTAGATTAGACTTTTGCATATTGTTGAATATAGAAACAGCTGCAAAACCATTCAGTTTATTGAAATGAAGATACAACTCAGCAATATCTTCATTGGTTATTAACATATTTGAGAGAGCATTCACACAATTATTTGATATATTATTCTTGCTCAAATTGACACTTTTTAAGGATCGATTGTATGCAATTCTATCTAATATTTCAATGACATGACTTTCTTGTAATTTGTTGTCTTCCAAGTTCAATAATTATATTTTGCAATCTCTACTAACCAATGAATTACCAATCTCCAAACATCCAGTACCAATCTTATTCTTTGACAAACTCAACGATATAGCTCCACGAGTACTCTTTATAACCTCCGATGAACTCAGCTGAGTCATCCGATTATCGTTTAAATTGTATTCCTTTATATTGTTTTATTTCTATAACCCTCTGGCTAACATTATCATATACTTGTCTCCATACTTCATATGGCTATTGATAATTCAATAATACTTTAAATGTAGAGCATCATTCTTCTGCCGATTAAATAATCCGAAACTTCCTGGTTGCAACTGAGAAGATGACAAAGTGGTCATCATATTATCATTTCGATTAAAGATTTTGTTCTACTCTTACATTCTCTCAGTGGTTTTTTGTAATTTATAAAAATCCGATTTTGTTGTTGGCAAATTAACAGGACTTATTTCATAACTGAAATCTAACTCCTCTTCATCTTCTTTTTGAGTTAAGTAATGACAATATTTCTATGCAGGAATCTTAGGCAGAGATTAGGTGCATTATGCTTTTTATCTAAATTTCATAGTACTAAGTTATAAATCAATTAATACAATATAATTTAATCATCTTATCTTTGATAAATTATAATATATACAATATCAATCTATAACTAATTATTCAATCACACTCACAGCACAAGTAGTCTTCGTTTTGGTCAAAATTCAGTTAATATTTCTAACACAATCACAGCAGCAAAATTATCATATCATTAAATAATTGATACTATAATTGTCGTTTTCCAAGATTTTTAATAATCTCAATTAGAATCATGATGTATATAGAGTCTAACATTGAAATAACTATCATTAAATTAATATTCGTACTTAATTAGCCTTGATCCTCATACTATAAGCATTACTTAATTATAGGTACATCCTTTTAAGTACTTTATTGAACCATTAATTATTATATAACCAATTAACATCTTCAATCTATGTGTTGTACTGACCTTAAATATTTCATATAAAACAAATTAAATTAAAAAAATATTCATGAAAAGACATAGCATTGGGAAACGATTTCGCAAAATGAAGGGATTGCGTAAAACAGATCCTAATGCGGTCATTCCAGAAACTCCTAAATAACTTCAAGATTATATAGAAACCTTGACAGCTTAAGGTGTGTAGATCAATAAAGTTAAGTATGCAATCTTTAAAACTAAAAATGGTTTAAAATATCCAGGTCTAGTTGGTATTGAAATCCTTCTATAACTTAGCATCTGAGAAAATCTTATCAAATGAAACTCTAGTTTCAGTGCCAAGAGATTTGCTATTAACAACAAGACATGCATTTGAATCTCCTTTAAAACAAATGTTTTTAGACCATCCACAATACTTTAGCAATCAATTCTACCCTTCTTGGGAAGATCATTAATTAATGGCATTTATCCTGTATGAATATCAGAGAGGACCTGAATCTGAATGGCACCTACTAATCTCTAATTTGCCTAGAGACATCGATTATCTAGTATTTTGGAATCCTGAAGAATAAGAGCTATTGGATGATTAGCAATTAGTCAAATTGGCTAGAAAATAATATCAAGAATTTGTAATTGAATACGAAACTCTCAAATGCATCACTGATAAATATCCACAACTATTCAAACCAGAAACCGTAACATTTGAAAATGCCAGATGGGTCTATACACATCTCGTTACAAGGTGTTTCGGCAAGTACTTAGCTTATGTTACAATGGTACCATTTTGTGAATTATTTAATCATGAATGCACAGACGTGTTCTATGATTTTGAATACAATCCTGATAATCCTAATAAGAGTGAGGAGAGTGAATAGGCTTAAATTAAAGAGTTGAAGGATGATGAAGAATTATCAGTCACATCTTCTGAAGGTTCCTATCATTCTGATGATGAGATCAGTGATTCGGAATATGTGACAGACACCTACGATCAATTCAAAGAGTTCGATTTCGATGATTTTAGTCAATAAGCTACTAAGAAGTTTTATGAGGAATTCAGCAAGACTTTCGATAATAAGTAAAAGGAAAATGAATAGCAAGAAGACTAAATTAATAAGACATCTGATAACAATGAATAAGACGAAGAAGAGTAGAATAAAAGAATAAAGGAGTTGTAAGAACAACAAGTTAAAATGAAGAAAGATTTTAATATTAAATTGAATCTTTAAAGAGAAGTATACCTATTGTCGAGAGACTGCAAAACATTTATATTTTAAAATATTGATTATGGAGATAATTATTCCATCTTCTTTATTGGATAGATGTTTGTTAAATTAGATAAATCCATCTAAGAATACATAAATGGTGGTAAGGCTTATTTTATGGCTAGAGAGGAGGTCAAAAGAATCTAATTAACTTGTAATACCTATAAGAACAACTTGTATGCTTTTCAGAAGGATGTCATGAAGAAACCAATCTATCAAACAAGTTATTTTTAACAAAAAAGATCGAAGAGTCAAAATTCAACTTTGGACACTCCTGAACAAATTCTATCTTAAGCCTTAGATCCAGATTGTGAGTATTATAAATAAGTTTGGGAAAAAGACAAGTTTGATAGATTTGTAATGAAAGCTGCTAGTAAGGATCAATTTGAGAAAGGAGCTTAGGTTTATTTCTGTTATGGCAGATTATCAAATAGAATGATGCTAATGAGATATGGAATGACCTTAGAGTACAACAAGTATGATCATGCACATTTGAGAATCGATTATTTAAAATATGTATAAAATATCGAAGCAGTCTGGTTAGTCCACAAATATCAATTAAGTAAATACAAAAGATTTAAATTAAAGCATACTACTTTTCCAATAGATTTCATAGTATTTTGTAAATCAATCTACTGGTAATCATATTCTTTATACTTTATATAGGACTTTTAATGTGCATTCTTTGGATACTTTTTTCAAGATCTAAGATCTCAAATTAGAAAGAAAAGCATTGCAATTAGCTTTGGAGATTTTGGTTGAAGAAATATCTAAATTTACAGATAAATTAGAAGACAACGAGAAACTATTGTATGATAACAAGTTGGGATATCATGAATATTTTGCTGTGATTTACAGATTGGAAAGACAGAGAATTTATCATCATAATATTAAGTATATTTGATATTTTTACAATAGTCTAATCAAAATTTGTATTGTTGTTATAGATAGGATGCTAGATGGAATTCCATTTGAATAAGCCACTGAAAAAACATAGTTTGATTTCGATTAATGCGAAACCAATCGTATAATCTTAAGGAAATATTTTGAACAAATGAGATACGCTCTCTATTTACCAAAATGAGATGTTTAATTTAGTGTTAATATAAATTTAATTTATGAATTATCCAAAAAGGTTTTCGATTGGTAAAATGTATTAAAGAGTATTACAATTAACTAATAAAAGGAAAAAGGGATTTACCTGAAAGATAAAAATTGCACCTCATAGTCAAGATATGAGTAAACTTAATATGAAATTGATTATACGAATTAAGGAGTGAAGCTATAGGATGTTGAACTAGCAACCTTCTATCTCAAAAATGGATTACCTTATCGAGGTTTGAAAGGTAATCCAAAAGGTTTTAAATAGATAAACAGCCACAGATAACATTCCAGCCAATTATCTTTTGGTTCAAGTTCCCCGCCAATTGATAATTAGCAGTCGAACTGCATTTCAATCAAGTCAAAAGGCTTTTTATTTTAAACATAGAGATTTTTTTCTGGATCATGAGGAGGGAGAGGAACATACAATAATGGCCTTCCTCATTATGAACAAAAGAGAAGGAATTAAGTCAAAATATTATAGATTTATTACATAACTACCCATAGATGTTAATATGCTGATATTTTGGTCGGAAGACAAATTGAAATTATTGCAAGATGAAAATTTAATCCAAAAAGTACACAAAAAAAAGGAAGAATATGAATAAACATATTAGATATTCAAAGCTATAATGAATGCTACAGAAAATGAATTCTAATGGGCATACAGTAATTTATACACCAGAGATTTTGGACATAATTTGAAATACAAAAGCATGGTTCCTTTTTGTGAATTCTTCAATCATGAATGTGTGGATGTTCACATTGCTCTGTTGTCAGAAGATGAGTTAAAAGAATAAAATGGCTAGACTTTAATTAATATTTAGAACCAGAAAGACCAGAAAGACCAAAAAGATCAGAAAGGAAAGAAGGCAACAAAAAAGTAAACGAAGTAGCAAAATAAAAAGAAAGGAGATTTTTATGCAGAGGAGGAACTCTAAAGTGTTTAATCTTCATCAGATTCAGATAATTCATTAGATTTAGATTAAAATGAATCAGATCTAGATGACTTCATTGCAGATCAAATCATTGAGTGGGCTAGTAAAAATGAATTAGAGGAATAGACTTTTGAAGTCTTAAAGGATTATGTGCTATCTAATCTCAAAGCTCAGTACACTTAGGAAACAGTGTAAATTGATAGGAATGAAACAAAGAAAATAATGAATTGGATAGAGGATGAAGATTTTGATTATTTCTGTATTAGCTCATAAAAGACTGAAAATTTCAAGAAAGGAGCTCAAGTATACTTTAATTATGGAAGACTTTCAAATAGAGAATTACTATTAAGATATGGAATTGCCATAGAAAGAAACAAATATGATCATGTCTATTTAAGAATTAACACAGAAGAGTTATTAAAAAGGAGAGGGATGAGAGTATTTTAAAAATAGTATTTATCGATTAAATTAAAATATACTGAGTTTCCTTTTGCTTTGCTTAAGTTTTCCAAGGCTATTACAGAGTAATATTTATTATAAGTTTTAGAAGCGAGAACCAAGATTACTATGATCTTTAGAATGTGTTGAAAACAATAGATATTTAGACAGAATTGAGAGGTTAAGAATTTCTCATATCTTTAGGATTGAAGAAATCTATTGAGTTGTTGAAGTAATTTAAGGGCGAGTTCAAAGAAGATCTTACTAAAAGTGATCTCTTATTAAAGGATAAACAGTTGGATTATGATGAGTATTTCTCTTTGGTTTACAGATTGGAAAAGCAGAGAATTCTCCAACAAAATATTATATTATTATAATTGGCCAGAGAAATTCTATTAGATCCAGAGAGATTGGATTACGTTTGTAGTTCTTATGAGTCATCCTAATATGAGTATACTTATAGGATAATACTGAAAAAATACTTAGAATAGATACTAATATAATGAATGCATAACTTCATATATATATATAATAATAATAATATTTTAATTATTTATGACAATATAATAATTGGATAAATATTATCGATAGTTATAATTAAAGTCGATTTAGAGTACCTGCAAACTTTACATGCTAACTTATTGCACATGAAAGGTTTTGGATGCTCATACAAATTTAAGTAATGAGTTTATAATAAATTAATTGTAATATATTTCTAAAATTTTATGGGATTTTATTAATTAATTAACTAATTAATTTGATGAATTTAAAACCTAGAATATAGATTGAAGGAAGCCAATTTCATTTGATATACGAACAAACAAATGATGATTTGTTGGATTTGATGGAGAGGGGAATACCTGAGAATAGACTTGCATTTCGGAAGAACAGCTATTGTGTTACAGACAAAAAAACTAAAATGAAATACATAGTGAATTACTCAAGGAAACACTTAAAGTTAAGGTATATTGTATAACAATAAGCTCAGTTTCCAAAAGTCAGACTTGTAAGAATAGGATCTGGAAGTTTTGATTGACAGCTTGACCTTGAAGATTCTTCAATAGTAGAGCTTAATGAAGATAATGTTTTCTAAATTAGTCTAATTCAATGAAAGTTGTATTCGTGAAATAGAATATGCTCCAACTGACATTGTAATTGAAATAGTTTTTGGGAGGATGATGATAGCAAAGTTTTACATATCCTACATAATCGGAAACTCATTGATGTCTGTGGAAGAGCGTTATGCTAGGTTTATGCTTATAAATTTGGAACTTCTAGAAGGCAATCAAATGAGTTTGGAAATCTTTAAGCAACCTCCAATAAATTTGCATTTTCTCACTTAATTTGTAGCTATAGATAAATTCACTGATTTGGTCTAAAGAACTTTTATTCCGATTTAGCTTTTGAACTACAAAATATTTGATAGCAACGTGTTGTATCAGCTCTACCAATTTTATTTTATGATCTATCCGAATCAGCAATTCGCTACTTTTGTTTTCGGAATAAGGAGTGATAAGTTTTTAAGTACTCTGGGTATCATACCTTTATTGATCTAAATGAAAACCTACTTTTTAAATGATAAACTTGTAATTGAAATAGAATAAGCTGATGCTTTTGCCATATTGAATGGGTATCATTAATTGGCTGATTTTGCAGTTTTCAAACGAGAAATTCATGATGTCATTTAAAAATGGTCATTTTCAACCTGCTAAGAAATCGATGAATTCTTTTTTAAATTTCTAATCATAGGCATTAGTTATATTTTATTGTATCCCAAAAAGGATATACTATTCTAATTGATGAAAAAAACAAATTGGGATTACTTTCAGAAACACATCCTTACTTCACTAATAAATAAAATTGCTTACATACATTATCATTTAAGCTAAAAACAAAGAGGGGATTCCTCAAACTTTGATTATAGGAAATTTTTGAATTTACACATAGATAGGTATTTTCACCTTTATGAGTATAATTGGATTAAAGAACCCAGGGATGAAAGAGAAAATCCTATCAAATATATTCTCAAATTCTATTTGGACAGAATCGATAAGAACTTTTAGAACATTGTTAAAAATAATTTCAAAGAGAATGAGGTCAATTCTCATCTCTAGAAACTCAGTATGGTGGTATTTCAAGTGGAGAAAATATCATTCATCTTTCAAATCGTCGAATATACTTCTTAAAATGGACAAATCGTAAAAATTGAACAAGGACATGAGACAAATAGATGGAGATTAAGTGACTTTCCTAAATATGAATTAGAGTTTATTATAAGTTAATTTTGATCTTATAAGTTATATGTAAAGTATTGTATTATAATCTGGTTCTTAATTTTGAATTGAGATTTAATTTCGATTGAATAATTAACATTTATTTAATTAGTATTTACGTGTATTGGATGGAATAACAAATACTTCTATAAGCCAAGATAGCCTTCTTTTTAGGGAATTTCAATAAAGTGTTAGAAATATGGTAACAAAATGACTATGATGATGACTACTATTACTTTTTAGTTTCAAGAGCATTAATAGCAGCTAGAGAATTGAAACCAAAAACTATACGATTAACAAAGAAACCATCCTCCAAACTATTGGAGATCACCGATATAGTCAGCAGATTCATGGGTCCATTGATTGAGCAATAGAAATCAGAAACAACCATAGATGAGGATAGAAAACAAATAGAAGATGTATTGAAAAAACTTAAGGACATCATTCCCCAATAAAACTAGAAGATCATTTAAATCATATGTGCATACATGTCTGTGAACTCCTGTGAAGCACAATATGCACTTCAATTAGAAATGCCAAAAGATGCATTTTAATAGGAATTGCTCTATCTCTAATTCATGATATATCTAAGAGGAAGAAGATTTGATCTGGCAGAGTCCACTCTACTCGACCTGAGAAGATTTGATGATGAAGACATCCTGACATATCTTGCTTAAATATATCTAAATGTATGCAGTTTTGTATATCTCTATAGTTGTATAATGGACAACCAGAATAAGCATATAAATCAATATAAGAAACCAAAGATAGATTTGGAGATTCCTCTAAATTGATGAATTTGATGATTACTTGTCTCATCCAGTATGTTATTCTCAAATTAGCATTTTAGTCAAAATAAATTTGAAGAGGCTTTCGAATTAGGATAAAAGGTGAAAACTCTCATAATTGACAATGAACAATTTTCAGATCGCCAGGAAATTGAAATTTGTCTATCGAATCTAATAGTTTTAAGTGAATTGCTCAATAAATAACAATAAAAAGAGGAATACATTTAAGTTTTGGAATAAATAAATAAATCGTGTCATTTCTTAAAGAGATATTAAGAGAAGGTTAAGAAAATTGAATAATTATCATGATATTTTATAATCTATATGTTTAAATAAACAATACAATGAATTTAGGTATGCTGTCAATATTCTCCAACTAAATCTCTGTAATTCATCCTCTAATTTATTCTTCTTCTCAAACTTCTGCTACTCAACTATTATTATTCCTAAGTCTTTTCATTAGAATTGAATACTTACTTCTTATTGCTGTTACAATTACTAACTTTATTATTAAGACGACATTACATGTTATTGTAATACATGAGGTGGAGATGCCAATTGCACTTTTTTAGTTCTTTTAATCGAATTTCGAAGGAGATCCAAATCCAGTTTGATTTCATCATCAAACAAGTTCAATCGATACGCTAAGACTTAATGGACATAGTTTACTGTATTGTATTTTATTGTCCTTAGTAGCAACAAAGGTAATGTTTTTCTCTTTATTTTTACAATCCTCTTGTTCAGGAATGGGTACCTATTTGGGAGGTGGAAATTCATCTGATTTTTTCAATGGTTTAGTTTTCTTAATGTTTTTGGAACAACTTAAACAGTGATATGGAGTAGTTTCTGGTTCATTTTCAATATTTTAATTTCTATATTTTTATTCGCAAGCAATGTGATTCTATGATTGTTGATATTACATACCCATTTTTGACATTGATCACATTAAACCCAACCAGCTTCGTCATCGTAAGAGCCGTAAACCTTTAATAAATGAAATGAGGATATTGATACTTATTCGCAAAAATCACAATATTTTCCTTTATTAAATAATTTAGAACATTTGTCACAAAAGAATAATATATCATGTCTCTTGGATTTAATTTTCTTGTCTCCAACATTCATACACTAAACGTTGTAACATTTCTTAGTAGTCTATTGTGGTTCATCATCCTCCACTGTTATTGTTATAGGATTGGCTGCATTATTTTTAATCTTCCGACCTGAATTCTCCTCCTGTCGATTGCTCGACAAATTCAGCTAGGGTTATGATTACCCAGGATTTGGTAGATATGATAACATTTCGATTCCATTCATTAAAGCAGAAATATCTAAGAAATTAGTCAAACAAACATATATATATCGGGTATATTGTGAGTATGACAAGCATAATTATCCTTACTTAGTATATTGGGGGCTTGATAGCAATCCTTTAATTATTAGTTTTAATTCATGCATTGAAATAGGCTTGGATTTAGTAGCTATCTCAATAGGTATTGTTGCATTTCAGGTCCAAACATCCGCATCAAATTTTGATTGCTAATATAATTATAGGTATATCATATATATATATGGATATCAGTAAATAGAATGGAATGTTTAGATGTAATGTCATACCTTTAAAAGAGAAATTATTGATCAAATTCAGATGCATTGTTCCCAAAAGTGAATGGTTGATTGTTATTCTTCCCTTGGCTCATTTTTATATTTTTTAATTTAAACAGAACCGAAATTTTAATAATACAACCTTGTAATAAAAATATGTGTAAAACTCATTCAATGATTTTAATCAAATATTGAAATATTGAAATACTAAATCTATATATATATATTTTTATAACGAACTTATAAGTTAATAGGTTCATTAGTTCATCAATCTGAATTTGGGTTTTGTTATTTAATTAAATTAGAGATGCAATTGAAAATAATAGTCTAAAATCCATTTTATAATTAATCGGATGATACTGATTATTAATTTAACCGCATTCACAAAATAAAATATAAATATTTAATGATACAATTTCAATCCTGTCCTATGATTCTCATTAGTTATTATTAAAATTTAACTACTATAAGATATGTAAATAATATATATTTTTCACACATAAGAGGAATTGTATGATTTGAGCGAATTTTAAAAATTAATTCATTTATTATGTAGCAAGGATCAAGACTGAAAGAGGCTACCGAAGGAACAATCTCACAGTTCACCAGCAAGATAGGAGGACCTTTCAAGATAGCCAAACCTGTATTCTAAGAGAAAAGATTAAAACTATTTTCTGAGATTTATCAGCGTCAACAGGCTGAATTGAAGTAGATGCAATAGACTCCAATTAAAATCACACTCAAGGATGGCAAACAGATCGAAGGTTTCAAGTATGATTCTATTTTAGGTAAGAAATGGGTAACAACTCCACTGTCCATTGCCTTGGGGATAAGCAAGAAAATGGCTGAAAACATGGTTGCTGCAAAGGTAGTCTATGAAACTATATTTGAAAAAAGTATTGATTATAAAATAGAATAGGTTTCGTTGACGTTGACCATGAAGAGACATCTAGTCAAGCATCCTCAACAATACATTAGAAACCTGATTACTTGATATGGGACTTGACTAGACCTTTGGAAGGAGATTGTAGTTTAGAATTGTTATCATTTGATGATAAAAATGGCCAAGAAGTTTTTTGGCATTCCTCTGCTCATATTCTAGGAGCTGCTTTGGAAGAAATCTATGGATGTCATCTCTGTATTGGTCCAGCAATAGAAGGAGGATTCTTTTATGATTGTTATATAGGTGATATTAAGGTTACATAGAATGATTACGTGAAAATTGAAAAGGCTGCATAGGATCTCGTTGCTGCAAAACAGGAGTTCTAGAGGGCCATTTTGACTAAGGAAGAATGGTATTGTCCAATAATTATACAATAGTCTTGAGATATTTGGAAGTAATCCTTTTAAACGATAATTGATAACAAACAAAATACCTGATGGATCTTTGACTACTGCCTATAGATGTGGTAATTTGATAGATTTGTGTACTGGTCCCCATTTACCTAATACAAGTTATGTGAAGGCATTTTAAATAACAAAAAATTCAGCCGCATATTGGTTGGGTAAAAATACTAATGACGATTTGCAAAGAGTTTATGGGATTACATTTCCGAACAAGAAATTATTGGATGAATATGTCAAAATTTAAAAGGAACTCGCTCAAAGGGATCACAGGAATGTTGGAAAGAAACAAAACTTGTATTTATTCCATCAATTATCTCCTGGTTCAGCCTTTTTCTACCCCAGTGGTGCTCACATCTATAACACATTGATGAATTTTCTGAGAAGATAATATTACATTAGAGGATATTAGGAAGTCATATCTCCTAATATATTTAATGCTTAATTATGGAAGATAAGTGGACATTACGATAAGTATAAGGAGAATCTCTTCTTTATCAATATGGGAGAAGAAGGAGAGTATGGGTTAAAGCCTATGAATTGTCCTGGACATTGTTTAATGTTTGATATGGTCTAGCATAGCTATAGAGATTTGCCAATTAGATTTGCAGATTTTGGAGTTCTACATAGAAATGAGGTGCATGGTGCATTGACTGGTTTAACTAGAGTGCGTAGATTCTAATAGGATGATGCTCACATCTTTTGTAGAATGGATCAAATTTAGGATGAAATTAAGAATTGTCTAGACTTTTTGAGTTACATATACTCGCTGTTTGGATTTGAATTCAAATTGTATTTAAGTACACGTCCTGAGAAGTTTTTGGGTACCAAAGATGTGTGGGACAATGCTGAATATTAATTAGAGTAGGGATTGAAGAAGTTTGGAAAGCATTTTGAAATAAATCCAGGAGATGGTGCATTTTATGGACCAAAAATAGATGTCAAATTATACGATGCCTATAAAAGAGAACATTAATGTGGAACAATTTAACTAGATTTCAATTTGCCTGAAAGATTCAACTTACAATTTAGAGCAAGTGAGGATGTTCATGAAGTGTAATAGGACAAGGAAACAGTGCACAATGAATAAATATAGGTGGCCTAAGAAATAATTGATATTCATCGTAAGGAATCTCATTAATCAGATCAAGCAGAGGGTGATGTACTAAGTACTCCTCCTCGCCATCTTCAAGAATAGAGTGAATAGCCAGGAGAATTGAAGGTTTAATCTACTCATTCATTATAATCAGATAAGGTATTAGAGTAATAGTAATAACAATATTAATAATTGTAACTGTAATAACACTCGCATTCAGCCTCTAGTTTATTGCATAAGAAGTAAAAGTTGCCTGAAGAACTTTTGGAGTCTGGATCTAGTTAAGCATTGTCAAATCACGAATTACACAAAGTGTTACATGGTAATTATTAATTAAATTATTTAATAGAGAAGAAATATGAATTGGGTTACCATCATTTAAAACCAGGTTTTGCGAGACCTGTCATTATTCATAGAGCCATTTTAGGTTCATTGGAAAGGATGATAGCAGTCTTAACAGAATAATGTGGTGGTAAATGGCCATTTTGGTTGTCTCCAAAACAATTGATTCTATGTCCAGTGTCTGCCTATTATAGGGATGTTGCAGAAAAGATCTCAGCTAGATTGAGATTGGAAGGTTATACTGTGAATACTGATGAATCAGATCAAACTTTGGCTAAGAAAGTGAGAAATGCTTAAGTCCAATATTATAATTTTGTTGGAGTTATTGGAGAGGAGGAAGTGCGTACTGGAGTCATTGATATTAGAGATTGCGAAAAAAATACTAGAATTGTACATCATTAATTTTATGCTTAGGGTAAATTAACAATTCCATAATTGTGTAAATTTTTTGAATCTTTAAAACCTCCTAAGTCCAAAGTTGAAATGGAAATCCATGAACATGATGATACTCATCTTAAATTGAACGACGAATTATAAGATAAGGTATTTCTTGATGGAGATGGTTTCGTTGTTGGGCCCAGGGATTATGAATAGTTCCCAAAAGTCAAAGAGATAGACCCAGCCTTATAAAATTTAATTAGATGGCAGAAACATATGACCTTTCTAATTAAATAGGATTAACAAAAATTATAATAATAAGAATGATATATTTCCATATATCAATATATTAAAAATAATGCATAATATTCAATGTGGGAATAATTCAAGTATTTTTTTCGATATATTTTATATCTCCTTGCTGTTTGCATTGTGAGTTTCCAAATAATTGAGTGCATATTCTCTTGAATCGACATCTGCTTCAATCAACTTCAATAGAGAGTCTGTCACATCTCTCACCAAGTCAGTATAATAGAAGAACTCCATCAGAATTTCTACTATTTTAACAGTTTCCTATTTAAAACTCTTATTAACTCATACTTCCAAGGCTATATAGATGGCTTCGTTGTAGTCCCTCAAGAATTTGCAAAGAGTCCTTCCATATTGCTTATAATCATCATAATTTTCTAAACCCCTTGGGATTAGTTTAGCCAATGCAATCACAACCCTAGGTCCAAGTAAATCATCCAAAGTCTCATAGCTGTTGGATAACAATTTTGTTATGATAATAAATCCATCAGGATAATCTGCAATATTCATCAATGCTTGCTTAACATCCTTACTAAAATCTTTATTTAAAAGAGAGATCAATTTCTAATTTGAATTTAAATTAAAATACTTAAATAATTTCGTCATTCTCTACATGCACACACTACTTCTTGCCTTCAAGGTTTATGGTGCAATTCATAATCAAAATAGTGGCAAAATAAGCTTCCTCTTGAAGTGGACTATCCAAATATCTATTCGCAACGTTAATTGCATTTTCTCTAATTGCTTCCTCTTTGCCTTCATGATTAGCACATATTTTAGATAAAACCTCCAAAGACAAATACGTTATTCTTTAAGTATAACTTTAATCGTAGTAATTCTCTTGGGATAGAATTTCAATGAATCTCTAAATGGTTCCACAATTTAAAAAGAAGAAAATGCCATTATCAAATTCAACTATTTTTGCAAATGCCTCCAATAAATAGACAGTAAATTTCGGATATTCTTTAGATTACATAAAGGATTAGATCATCTTTTTAGTGAGATTAGATTTGCACAAAATATCCACTCCATCTCTACCAGTAATTATCCTACATAATGCCCACCCACATTGTTCTCTAGCATCATCAAATAATAATTTCGACAACCCATCGAAACTCAAATCACCTAATTATTCTCTTCCTCTCATTATACTCACTAAACATCCCAATAAAATGACTGCTTGTTTTCTAATCTAAATGTCTTTATGATGCAGATAAGCACTAGCAATTCCCACCAGACCTAATTCTAAAGAGTAAGATTACCTTGCGATATCATTTGATCCTTCATCTCTTAATGATCTACCATTTCATTCAAAGTAATCAGGGCATCTCTGTATTTAAAGGCTTCAATGTTTTCCATGAGCAATATTTCAATCAATTTAGGAATGGAACGGTCAAACACGGCATGATAAACCTATTCTTTAGTATGAGTATTACTTCAGAAGGATCATATCTATCTTTGAAATCAGGTTCAACATAGGGATGTCTATCCTTCAGAATTTTCAGAAACAACGTGAAGTTTATAGCTTTACATTTTATATAAAATATATAATTTATTCAAGCAATTTTTTCTTATTGAAGTAATTAAGCTTCATGAATGATAGATTTGCTCTTTACAATGGGGCACCATTCTAACTAAAAATCAGGCGGCTTTGAAATCCCTCTATAATGGATTATTAGTATTTTATAGCATTTAAATTCATATAGTGAAGTCAAAATTCCTTAAGCAGCCAATCTGAAACCGTTGACATCTCATAAACTATACTTCAACCAAGATTGTGGTTCAACACCTATATAGGCTAACCATTCTTTCCATATCTGATCACTTTGATTTCACCTTCAGGTCAAATACAGGCAGTGTCCAAAATATCCAATTTCATCCCAACTGTGAATTGACTGACTTTTCCTTACACCTTCCACAATAGAACCTATTTCAATTAAGTGAATAATTTTATATTATTCGTTTGAATAATCCCAACCTAATCATTATACTTGAAATTTAAGCAAATATTCAAGCAAGCATTTTTAACAGAAGCCGTATTCACAAATTATTGTTACATAATCCACATAAATAGGTTGGCATAATCTTCAAATCTACTCTATATTGGTTTAAGAAACATATATTTATTGTCCTTTTTATTATCATCCAATACTTTTCTTTCTAATTTCGTATTCATTTAATTTGTTTAAGCCCTTGATTTCTTTAATTCTTAATCTTAGAATTCTTTTTGGAACCTAACTTTTCTTAGTTCATCAAGAGCATTTATTTTATCATGTTAATTATTTGTTCATTTATAAATATGAATAAATCTCTTCAAAATAAACATCAGATTATTAATTTAAGATAACAATGCAAATTTCATGAAAAGTACATTTGGTTAATCAAAATACTTAACAAAATTGAGTAGTTCTATTTTGTGAATTGAAATCTCATACGATGCATGAATAATAATAAGAATTGAATAGGAAGTGGGATATAAAAATAAGATTATGGTTTATTGAATATTCATCATATAATAATAATAATGAGATGTCATTGGTAGGTTTAATTAACAATTATTTATGCGCAAATAATATAAATACTTGTTTTAATTATGGGAAATTTTAAATCTTTTTTTTAAAAGTTAATAACACATGGTAAATTTTTCAGTTGATCAAATCAGAGAGATCATGGACAAATAAGACAACATCAGAAACATGTCAGTCATTGCTCACGTCGATCATGGTAAATCCACACTTACAGACTCATTGTTATGCAAAGCTGGTATCATTGCTTCCAAAGTTGCTGGTGATGCAAGAGCCACAGATACCAGAGAAGATGAAAAGGAAAGAGGTATTACAATCAAGTCCACTGGTGTTTCTCTTTATTATGAATATGACATTTATGACAATAAGACCTTAGAAAAGTTTTTGATCAACTTGATCGATTCCCCAGGACATGTTGATTTCAGTTCTGAAGTCACAGCTGCCTTAAGAGTTACAGACGGTGCTTTAGTCGTCGTTGATTGTGTTGAAGGAGTTTGTGTCTAAACCGAAACAGTGTTGAGACAAGCTATGTAAGAGAAAATCAAGCCAGTTGTCATGGTTAACAAAATCGATAGAGCTATCTTGGAATTGAAACATGATGGTGAAACAATGTATTAAAACTTCGTCAGAGTCGTTGATATGGTCAATGTCATCATCAACACCTATTAATAAGAAGACATGGGTGATCTCCTTGTTCATCCAGAACTCGGATCAGTCTCATTTGGTTCAGGAAAGGAATGCTGAGTGCCTTCTCAATGCACCAGATTTGCCAGAATCTATGCCAACAAATTCAAGGTTGAACCACTCAAATTATAAGAAAGATTGTGGGGAGACAATTACTTTGATGCTGAAGGAAAATGCTGGAGAAAAGACAACATCAGTGGATCAGGAAAAGCTATGAAGAGAGCCTTCGTCGCTTTCATCATGGACCCAATCTGCAAATTGGCTAATGCTGTTATGGAAGGAAATATGGATGTAGCTAATAAAATGTTTGAAACTTTGGGATTGAAACTCACATAAGAAGAAGCTAAATTAGAAGGAAAGCATTTACTCAAGGCTGTTATGTCCAAATGGATCAATGCTGCTGATACATTACTTGAAATGATTGTGTGCCATTTACCATCACCAAGAAAGGCTTAAAAATACAGAACTTCATATTTATATGAAGGACCATAAGATGATGCTATTGCTTAATCAATGAGAGAATGCAACCCAAAGGGGTCCATTAATTATGTACGTCTCCAAGATGGTTCCAACAACTGATAGAGGAAGATTCTTTGCTTTCGGTAGAGTTTTCTCTGGTACCATTGCTACTGGATAAAAGGTCAGAATTATGGGAGCCAACTACAAAGTAGGAAAGAAGGAAGACTTATTTGAAAAAGCTATCTAAAGAACAGTTCTCATGATGGCCAGCAGAGTAGAATACATTCCAGATGTTCCATGTGGTAACACAGTCGGATTGGTCGGTGTTGATCAATATTTAATGAAGACTGGTACCATCTCAGACCACCCAGATTGCCATTTGATCAGATCAATGAAATATTCAGTATCTCCAGTCGTCAGAGTTGCTGTCCAACCAAAGAATCCAGGAGATTTACCAAAATTGGTCGATGGATTAAAGAAATTGTCAAAATCAGATCCATTAGTGTTATGCACAACTGAAGAATCAGGATAAAACGTTGTTGCCGGATGTGGTGAATTACACGTTGAAATCTGTTTGAATGATTTAGAAAAAGACTTTGCAGGTATTGAACTCATCAAATCTGACCCAATCGTCTCATACAAGGAAACCGTATCTGCTACATCAAACATTGTTTGCATGTCTAAATCACCAAATAAGCACAACAGAATTTATGCTTAAGCCACACCATTACATGAAAATTTACCAGATGCTATTGAAAAAGGATAAGTTACACCAAAAGATGAACCAAAACTCAGAGCCAAAGCACTTAATGAAGAATATGATTGGGATAAGGATGATGCACTCAGAATTTGGACCTTTGGACCAGATAACTCAGGTGCCAACATCTTGATGGATAAGACATCAGGTGTTTAATACATGAATGAATTGAGAGAATCAATGGAATCCGCTTGGTAATGGTCAACCAAGGAAGGACCACTTTGCGAAGAAAATCAAAGAGGTATCAGAGTCAACATTTTGGATTGTGTCTTACATGCTGATGCCATCCACAGAGGAGGTGGTTAAATCATCCCAACTGCCAGAAGATTGTATTATGCATGCGAATTGACAGCTCAACCAAGATTATAAGAACCAGTCTTCTTGGCTGAAATTACTGCACCAAACGACGCTACTGGTGGTGTATATAACTGTCTCAACACCAGAAGAGGAACAGTCATTGAGGAAGAATAAGTTGCAGGAACCCCACTCTCAGTGGTATCATTATTATTCTATTTTCATAGGTTAGAGCTCATTTACCAGTCGCTGAATCTTTCGGTTTCACTGCCCATTTAAGAGGTATGACTCAAGGACAAGCCTTCCCTCAATGCGTTTTTGATCACTGGGCCATTGTCAATGGTAACCCACTTGAAGTTGGAAGCAAAGTATTATTTTACATTAATCATTTAGGTTAATGAGTTAGTCTTATCCATCAGAAAGAGAAAGGGTATCAAAGTCTAATTGCCAGACCTTAATGAATATTTGGACAAACTCTGATCTAAATATTGTATGTTAAATAAACACAAATATTCAATTTTAAATTATTATTTTATTCTTTAATAAGTCTTTAAAGATTTATCATTCACATTTGAATTTTATTTCTTTTATTATATTTAATTCTGATTCCACTATAATAAGCAATTTAACTTAAACATCTCCAATCTAGCCATCATAAATTTGTATGAATCACAATTGTTATTATTAATATAAATTATTAAAGTATGAATTCAAGGCTTCTTAAGATATTCGAAACTGGATTCCTCGGACTCATTGGATTCACTCTGATTGCCTAACAATAGAAACGATTTTAATGTGCTGCACCCTATTTCTCTTTTATTTCACACTCAGAATTATAATAATTTCATCTTAGATTTCCTAGTCTCTATGTGTTGGATAAATTCTAAGTTGAACACTTATTGAGTGTGATTCGTAATCAAACTACTCATACCAAAGTAAATATGAACTCAAACCTAATTAGGACTTCAGATTGTATTCTGACAGATTGATCAGATTGCTTATGGAAAAAGCAATATCTGAACACAGTAAGAAACTGTCCCCTCAAGAAGGATCGCAAGCATAAACTCCAGCCCAAGAGATTTAATTTGAAAACAAATAATTTTGTGTTGTTGTGATGGTAAGATCAGGAAACGCCTTCTTAGGTGAGGCTCTCAAGGTGCTTCCAGGAGCTTCAGTTGGATTTATTTTAGTTTAAGAGCATCCATAAACTAAAGATCCTTAGTTAATTTATTGTAAATTTCCTGAAGATATAGATCAAAAATAAGTATTAATATTCTAAATTAGGTAATCCTCACAGATGCTATGATTACTACTGGCGGAAGAATCAGTACAGCAATAAAAGCACTTCAGTCTAATGGAGTCAATCAAGAAAACATCGCTGCTGTGAACATAGTTTCATGCGAAAAAGGACTCTCAAAAGTCTTGCATTAATTCCCTAAAGTCAAAGTAATTACAGCTGGAGTTGATTACGCACTTAATACTATTCAAGATCATCGTTTCCCAGGAGTTGGAGACTTTGGAGATAGATATTTTGGAACTGTTGATCAATGACAAATTATATGATATATAATACATTATTAGTTAATAACCCAATTATGTTTCAATATTTATTTATAATCATGAAGATATACGCTTTAGAGCCTGATGGAATTCTTAAGTTAATCCTTTGCAGCTTTATCAAACTGAAGTATTCTTTAAAAATTTGCTTATATCTCCTTATATTTGTTATTATTCAGAGAATAGTGAAATGAAATACAATCGTCAACTTAAGTATAATTCTTGTAATTCAACTCTATATAAATAGGTTATTCACAAACAAATTTTCTTCACATTCCAATTATTTATTTTAAGTATTATTCTGTTTTTGTATGTTAAATTATTTTTATAAGGATTGAATTTATTAAATAATTACCCTTTCTTATAATTCCAATTTAATATTTCACTCTTAGTAAATTGTACTAAAAATTCCTATTACATCTTTAAGTAATGTAAGCTGATAAATTATTGCCAAATTTCTAAATGAAATTCGTATCATTTCTCACAATTCCTTACAGCATCATCAATGATTTTTTTTATTCTCTTTATTATATTTTAATACCTCCACATGTCTCCAATCATTGAAAACCTATATCTATTATAATATGAATATATATTCAATATCTTATCTTTATTCTTATTAACTCTATTTCCACAATAACAATTTCGAATAGAACAAGAAAAAAACAATAATTTTGCCTCATTTTTTTTCTTCAAAAAATTAAAATAATTACACCACATAAGTATTTAATTCTCCAACACCATTACAGTCTACTATACACTTTCAATATCCTTTTTAATTTCTTTCTTTAAATAAATATGGTTTAAATCTTTAATATTAGTTTTATTAGTTTCATAAATCTGTTCATTTCATATACATGTTATATTTCTAATCCTCAATTTACTACTTCCTAATTGCGATTTTTAATAATCTATGCATACAGTTAAGTATATTAGATTTAGAAATACACATTTCCTTCTAATAAAAAATTCGTTTATTACGGTTTAAAGTCTATTTTTTAAATTATAAAATAATATGAAAGCTATTTTATATTTAACAAATTTTTATGATTTTATTATATTAAGAATATCTGATGCTAACCTTAATAAATTTTATCAAATTCAATTGTTGAATATATATTAGATTCTTCATTAATATTTATTTAAATCTTTTTCTCAATCCTTACCTAAATACCAAATTTAATCAGAATTTTCAAATTTTTTTTACATAAGACTTATTTAATATTAATTTGTGAAAACTTGGCTAATATTTTCGAATCCTTCATTCAGCCTTTCTTAGAAATTCAATGTAAAATTGAAAAGTCTTTGGTAACTAGTTAATATTTATATGAAGTTTTTATCAAATGGAATATTAAAATGGTCATTAATTGTTACAAATAAAAATAATGAAATATGTAATGAATAAATCTAAAATAATATGTATTAATAAGGCATAGTTATAAATGCTTAACGATTGCATTTGAAAAATTAATATTAATATTCAAAAATATGAGCAATCACCCTGCCTCTTAAAGACCTCCTCAACCAGTTTAAAATGCCCCTCATTAGCCAGTTGCATATTCACCACCAAGAACATATGCTCCACCAGTGCAATTTGCTAGTCCATCATACTACCCTGTTTAATAATCAGTCGTTGCTCCTGTCTAATACGTTCCTTAACCAGTAGCAGTCCAACCCCTTGTATAACCAGTGGCAGTGCAACCAGTTGCTGTCCAACCAGCTTAATAAGTGATAAAGGGTGAAAGCAGAATTGAGTAAGAATCAAAATTCAAATATTTATAGATATATCCCATATGAGAAATCTGTTATTGAATATGAAGAGGTGAGACAAAGAATCTAAGTGCCAAGAGAGAAATACGTCACTGAATATTAAGCTGTGGAATATTAGACAGAATATATCCCCTAAGTATTTTATGATAAGGTTACCGGTATAAATATGAAATAACAACAATAGAATATGTTCCTGTGGACAGATTTCAAGATAGAGTAGAATACTATCCAGTTGAGAGATAGGTGGTTCACTAATAATAAGTTGTTGCTCAACCCGTCGTTTAACCAGTTGTTTAATCTGTTGTGCAATAAGTTCCTTAATACGTTGCACCTGTTCCATAATATGTTGCTCCAGTCGCATAACCATATGTTGCCTAATCATATGTTTAACCAAGCTATGTTCAACCAAGCTATGTTCCATCAAGAGTCGCCCCAGTTTACAATCATGCTCCATATTAAGGCAGACCTGTCAGTCAACCAAGAAGATTTGTACTTACATATTATTTATGTCTTAGTCTCCACCATCTAAGCCAGTATAAATTTAGAAATAACCATAAGAGAAAAAGAAGACATTTTTAGAAAATATCTTTAGTTGATAAGTTACATATATATATATTTAAATATAAAATATATTATTTTTATTTTAATATATTCAAATTAATCTCCAAACTTTTATAGATTTATCATCACTAGTACTAACTAAAAATCCAACTTCTTCTATAAGTTCAATAGATCTAACAATATCTTAATGTCCTTCTAAACTGGCAACCAATTGTCCACTCTACCATTCCCAAATCTTAATTGTTTTATCAAATGAAGCAGAAGCAATCAAATCTTTATCTATCATCTACAATTATACAATTAAATACTTTAATTCTCCATACAAAACTCTTATGTGAACCCATTCTTCTCACTATCTTCTACTCGGTCACATTTATGATCAAGATTTCTCCTTTAAAATTACCAACAGCTATTTCATTTTAAGATACTCTAGCTATTCCATTTACAAAGCAGGAATCAAACAATTACATTTTCATCTCTCCAGTCTAAATATTCAATAATCTTATAGCTTTGTCATCAGAACAACATATAACTTCTTCTTGATTCCAAGATAACAAATCATTAAAAGATGTCTTGAATTCCTTGAACACCTTTATGCATTATCCATTCTACAAATTCCAAACTCTCACAGTTTCATCATATGAACATGACACTAACGTCCCTGGAACAGGTTGAGTTAATGAAAATATGTAATTTATATGCCCTTTCAATTCCTTAATCAATTGTGATCTCTCTAAATCCCAAATCTTAATAGTCCATTCATCTTTTTGATTTTAACCCAGCAGAAATAAGAGTTGTTGTATCTGATAATAATAAAGAATAAACATTTCTTTCCATGATTCAAAGATTACATGAATTAATACTATCCTTCCATGGTCAATCCAATTATCTTAATATTACCTTACCAATCTCCTGTTGCAATCACTTAAGGACTAATCTTACAAACAGCCCAAACTTAACTTTAATGCAAGTCTCTAGCATCAATAAATAATTTGGCATTTAATTATGATGCTAAACCAGAAGCAAACCTATTTTGAAAATGAGTGGTTGTAGGTGGTACACTAGTTTTAGGTAATTGACTTGTTGTTCCAATAAAATTGGTTTGTGGGATTTAATTAAATCCACCACCAAATCCAAAACCTCCGCCACCTTAAATATTTCCTTAAGTGCCTGGAATCCTTAATCTTGGTATTTCAACACCTTCCTAATATATTTATTCATAATAATTTTTACTTTCACATTCTTAAAATCAAAAGGAGTCTGTTTAAATGTTATTAAGCTTTGTTCTAATTGATGTAAAGTTGAGCGAATAACTTCTTCGCATTCAACAAGAGTAGTTTACAATTGTTATGGTAACAATTTAATTTCTTATGGATCTGCATTTATCAACTCCACACATGTTTGAATGGTTTCGTCTTCAGCTTCCATTGCTAATTTATTTACTTAAGGTTATACCTCTCCCCTTCAATACTAAATCCATAATTTGTTCAATCACATTATCATCCAATAAGAAATCAGCCAAAAATCCCTTCTTGATTACATCACCCATTCCATGCTTTGTCCAATACATAAACTAGGAATATAAATCATTTAGATGATTATCAAAATCCATTTTTATTTTCAAGAACATTTCATCTATTTCGTTTTATAAATGATCCTTCTTAACAACCTTCAATACTTTATCAAAAAAGTCGTATTCAGCAATTGCTAATTTATCTGTCAATAGTTTAACAAACTCAGGCACTTATACCTTATGAACACATGTGTGTGCCCACAAACATCTAACATATATAATTTTATCAAATACCCAACACATAACTTTCTTCTTTAATGAACACATTGCTATTCGATACAAAATCCTTTTAATTGTTTCATGTGTATGCCACAATCAATTCCTGTGACTTATCCCACCTATGGATGATTAATTGCTGATTTTGAAATCCCAGAAACTGCTTTAACATCACTAAAATCCACAGGGGCTTGTGAATTACCAAGAGAAAAATGAACTGACTTAGAAAGAGCCTAAGATGATGTCGAAAGCTTATTTGCATTTGTTGGATTTAACATTTAATTATTTTTATTTATGTATAACTTATAAAATATCATATAAAATGGTATTCTAAGAGTTATTTTGCATGAGTAGAGAAAATCAAATATTTAATCACAATGTTATGCTAGCTCTTTTGTTATTTATTTTAAAATACTATGCAATAATTATAAATTAGTAAGTTAATAATAATTATTATAATAAGAATTACTTAAGAATTTCTTATTGTAAATATTTTTTTCAGCAATACAATCTGTTAGCGACGGAGCATTAGTAATCTGGATGAAGAGACTTATAAATTCAAATCCCCCTTGAGAAACACCTACAAATGAGGATGCAAAATGTTAATTTGTAGTGGCGATGACGTTAACAAATTTAAAAATTCTGAATTCTTTTTCCTTATGAAAAAATTCTCGACTATAGCTTAATAGGACCTCTATAGTTGAATTTATGTTTTTGTAATTAGCCATATTTTGGATATTACTTTTATATTAATTCAAGAATAATACTAAGCCTTTTTTTATCAAATATTTAAAAGACAATATTTTGGGTTATTCAGTTAAAGCAATGAATCGAAGAGATTGCATTTCCGTTGAGATGTGTGAATTTTCTATTTATGTTTGATTGTTTAAAGAAGTCGTAGATGAATGCTGTTAGGAATTACTCAATTTAATTGATGCTCAGCAATATTGTTTTGTACTGGAAATCATAAAATGGAGGGAATAGGGACATTGACCCATTATTTAAGAAGTATATAATTAGAATTTATATGGTCTTTCTTGTTTTTTTTCTTTTAATTCATGATTATTTCCAGAAAAACAATCAGCTACTGATCATAAACTATAGAGAAGATAGATATTCCAAAAAAGATCGGGTTTGGGTCTCTTTTCAAATTAATTTGAATAGCTTTGTTTAATTATAAATCTAATTTAATTTGAATAAGATTTATTTTCCTATATTTTTATTAAACTTATATTTATAACCATATAAAATGCCATTGTAAAATGATTCAATTAAATAAGATAATTTTAGCCAATACTACAATGGGACTCATCCTTTGTCATAATATACATTCTAAAAATAAGAAACTGTCATTTGTACAGGATCACGCAGAATAATTAAATAGATAAAATTAAAGAGAACAATTAGACCTACCATATAGACACTATATAAACAAGAGTAACTACATTGCGAGTGCTCTACCTCATGCACCATACAAATTAAATTTAAAGAGAGGTGTAATGCTAATGCAAGGAATAGGTAATCATACAAATAATACATTAGGTCACAGCTCTATAATGTAAAGAAGATTCTTAGAAAAATTAAATTTGAACAACTCTTACTTTCACTCTCAAGCATTCATAATAGTAAATCCATAATGACTCCTCTATTAAATATTTATATATAGTTAGATTATTAATTAGAGACTTCATTCTGTGTTATATATATATTCTTCTTCTTGACTCTTTTTAAAACTAAAAAATATTTTGTATTAACTTTTCGATCATCTAAAAATTGAGTATCATGACAATAATGAAGATTATAAATGGTCCCGAGTTCAATTTGAATTGTCAGCATTTCCAAAGGATGACGATAAGAACAAATACAGATTAAATATAGAAATACGATAATTAATTAAGTACAATGACGTATTTAACAATTGAAATAGTAGAACTAGAGTGACGATTGAAAATCAATTGAATTACAACCCAAATTAATAATGAGTTCTGGATTAATAATTATAATTGAAATATCTAAGCATTAGGTAAATAATTAATTCCTTGAAATACAATTTTTATTTTTTGAAATTAATTGTTATATTTTATAGACATCATATTAGAAATATTAAACACCATCCCTTATGAACTAATAAAAGCAGTAAATATTATTAAAAATAATATAATTAAAGCCATATATTAAAAATCATTAACAATAAATATTATCACAAATTAAAAGTAATTATAATATTAATATTAAATCAAAGAATATTTTTGTAAGCCTTGTTATTCACTTTTACAATTTCTTTGATTCCTTTTCCTTTCTCTTTGCTATTCTTAAATCAGTTTGGAAAACAAACGATTCATTTTTTTTTGGCGAAGCTTCAGTTTTATTGGCAGTTGACAAAAAGAATGATAAATTAATTGATTTCGAATGCTTCCTCTAAACACTTGACTATTTCACAGGCCATGGACTTATCATCGGCCTATAAGAGTACTTGGGTGTATCATTCTCCTTCTTCAGTTATTATTCATAGATCCATTTATCCCTTTATTGATTCCACTTCAACTAATTATTGACAAATTCATCAGTATATTATGGAGTAAATTTAATATTCTATGATTTTGTGCTTAAAGGTTGAAATGGCAGACTTGAATAATATTCTTCTACTTCTTATTATTACTACTGTTTCTACTCTTGAATTTTGTCATTTTTTGTTTATACAATAAATTTGACTCTTTCATGAATCGGAATGTAGGAATTAGATTTCCTTGTAACACTTTACTCATTATACATTTTAGTGCTTTCTAATGTCTATGTAGCTATCCTTGCTGGATCGTTGTTTTCGTAATTACTGCTATTATCTTGTCCCATTATTGAAGTTGATTCCTTTTACATAGATTTTTCTTTATTTAGTAATAAATCACCAAATTTGCTATTTTTGGATGCTTCCATATAATTATTGATCATTTCCTAGATTTGTTGAGTCTTGTTTATTTTTGGCTTTCCTTTACTTTGTATCTATTCATTCTTCAATTGTTCCTCCTTCATTTACAAAATCTTTTTTTGTTTCTCTAGTTCATAAGATTTCTACCTGATCTGAAAATCAGAATCCATCTCTACAACTTTAGATTTTACTTATTAAATCTCATTAAATATTTTAACAGTTGAAGTATTTAACTTTTCTAATATAGAGTCCTATTCTGATTGTAATGTAAATGATCTGAAATGAGATTTTTATTTTAAATGATCATGGTAACTCCTTTTTGCCTAAATTTTAAGTTGTTTCATTGACAAATAACAATAAATTTTAATTATAAGACTATATTTTATATAAAATCAATTAATAATATGTTTATTTTTATAGATATCAAATCAGAGCCAAATAATATTTTCCATTTAATTAAATAGGATATATTGATAGTAAAATAATTGATTAATAGTAATGGAGAATGTTAGCATGTCATCATAATTAATTTTTATTTTTATGACAATCTACTTATTATCAAAATATTGTCTCTAATTTATTTTGATATTAGTCAGTAATAAATGTTCTATTAGAAGAATCAGTGCAGTTTGAAATATTTCTAGTCAAATATTTCAGTATTTAAACAGTTACAATTTGATTAATCAAAAGAAAATTAACAATAAAATATCTAAATAATGGAGGTTTAGAAGATTTAATGTTAATAATATAATAAGAATTTGACAATTCATGAAATGCTGAGAAATAATGAATTGTAAGAAACACAATTATTATTATTGGTGACTATATATCAACATTAATTTAAAACTGATAATCAATCCCATAATTTAAGTACTCCATCCCATCCACAAGTAACAACCTTGCTTGGTTCAATAGGATGCCATTCAACACCGATGCATACATTATCATGAGCCTAATTATTATAAATGAAATAGTTACTTAGATAGTTCTATAGCTTTTAGCTGTTTTCCAATCCCAAAAAAAGACTCTACCTTCTGAGTCACCAGAGGCTAAGAATTGCCCGTCTGCTGAAAATGTAACACCACATGCATATCCTGCAGAAACATGTCCTTTAAAGTTCTTCTTTCTATTCATTCTGAAATTTCCAGCTTTGGTGTCATAAACAATGATCTTAATTATAATGATAAATAGATACCAAATTATTACTTTACTATCCAACCCAATTAAGTCCAGATGGATTAACAGCAGTAGCAGTTACTGCATGCATTTCAGGATCACTGATATGTTTTATAACAACAGGGATGCCAAATTCCCAGATGAATAGTTTTTTGTCATCTGAACTGGAAACAAATTTTCTATTTTAATTAAAATATGTGATTGTGTTAATGGCTTGTAAATGTTCATCATATACTAATGTTTATTGTCCACTTCTGATATCAAACTATTTTATTCTTTTATCTGATGATCCTAACAAAAATGAATGTTGTTTAGCTGGATCTGGATTTAGTCTTACACAATAAGGGAAATGTTATAGATTAATTGTTTGAGTGACTTTGCCATATTCTGTATCCCAAACTAGAATCTTCTTATCATAGGCAGCTGACAAAAATGTCCTACCATCATTGGAGAAGTTGAGATCTCTTAGTGCTCCTTAATGACCATAATATGTTCTAACACATTATTTGTTACCAATAATATCCCACATCTTAATTTTATTGTCTAAACTACCACTCAACATGAGATGACCAAATTTGGGAAAGAATTTAATTACTTATACACCCTTAGTGTGACCATGAAATGTTTAGATGCATCTTTTTGGGATATAACATGTGTGATCAACATATTTTAATTCAGGTGGAGGTGCAATGAATTATCTTCCTCCAAATTACTCTGTTTAACTTACATGTTATTCCATATAAGGCACAAAGTTTTCTTCTTATTTTTTTGATTCATCTATTTTTTATTTTCTCTATTCTTCCAATTGATCTAACAATTATTATTATTCTTCATTCATTTATATGTTTTCAAATTATTCATCCTATTGTCCTGCCCAAGGTCCCATAAACTCTCCTTTGGATGGATCATTAGCCTTCACTCTATTACATTTTAATTCTTATTATTTCAATTTGTCTTCTTTGTGCATACCTGCAAGTACATTTTTACTAAAAAGTGGATCTGCTGCATCTACATCATAACCTTCTTTCATTAAACTAGATAATTGCTCTTATTTTTAATTACATGCTATCACTCTTCTATTCCTTTCTAATTTAAATTCATCATTATACCATTGGGATCAACTGCAAAACCATACACATTGAATTTATGAAATTACTCTTCAAACACTGCATCATTGTAATATATTGATTCTACATTTCCTGTTAAATGATTCTTTTTCTATCCAAGGAAATTATATGTTTTTGATAATTCAAGTGCTTTCTCCTCCTCCTTCTTCTTTACCAGATGTGAACAATCAACCTCAGGATTCACCAATATAGACTTTGGCTTGTTGTCCATGATCTATTGCTCATCATCACTATAATCCACTAACATTATTAATTAATTATTTAATTAATTATCTTCTATCTTTATGATAAATTAATAAGTTAACTCTACAAAAACAGAACCAGTATAAAATAATTATGATTAAATGAGAGGTAGTGTGTATGTCATAATTAGGCCCATTTTAATATACGCCATTTACGATAAACCATCCAGGACAACCAGATGATGATTACTCGGTTAAAGACCCAACTGTAAAGACATTAGATCGATCTAAATAGTGTTTATCCCCCTATAATGTCAATCATGAGGTTTCCTTCTTATTTACATTTCTCAGATCTCCAATGAAAGGATTTCCTTTATCTAAGATTCCAATAGCATTCAATTATTGCCATTCAACCTAAAAACTCTAGAGACCGCTAAAGCATTTTAAAACAATAGGAAACTCAAAACAAAATATGCAGAACTTTTCCAAAGCAATTTTAAATTGAGCGAAAAAGCAAAGAAATTTTCGTATATTTTTGACTTGGCTGAATCAGACAATACTCTATAAAGTATAAAATGTCGAAAGTTTTAGTTGTATTGAAGCCGACCTCAAAATTACTCAAATATTGGAGTCTCTTATATCTATTGATAATGATCATTCAGATTATCATCATCCCTCTTTAAATCGAACCCTTCTTTGTGTTATTTCTTATACTCAAAGTCATAGATGCCCTCTTGAACTCGATCTCAACATTTGCAATCAACGGAGAGATCGAAACTCAACTAACAGCCATCATAAATCATTATTGCAAATCATAATTGGTTTTTGACCTAGTAAAACAAATATATATTCAAAATATAGATTTTTCTTGGTTCCTTGCTATTTTAACAGAACTACTGGAGTATAATTATCAATCTGCTGAGTAACATCCCGAGACTGATATAAATCTAAAAGCAAGTCTAATTGTAAATATCGATATTAAATAGTAATAGTGAATATAATATTTTTAATTCTTTCTCGCTTTTAAGTATTTTGATAACAAAAGCGATTTTACTGACCCACGTTCTAACATGTTTTTGGCTATTTAACCTGCTAATTGGAAATGAGGACTCCTTCTTAGAATAGTATTTGCATTCCTTATATTATGTACTCAGCATCATGACTTTCAATTCAGTCGTAATTGATACGAGTGATCAACAAAACATCATTGTATATAGTGTCATCTCATTGTTCTCTCTCATTTGCTTCTCCTACTTCTTAGCCAAAATGCTAACAATTTTTAGGGATGATGAATTAGATTAGTAATTGAGTGAATTCATGACTCAAAACAACCTAGACTCAACTCTCAAACAAAAAATAATTAGTCATCTACTTTATTAACCAAAATACCTTCATGATAGATTTATTTCACAATTGTCTAGTAATTTAATTTAGGAATACAAAATCAGTCAAAGATCCAAATTAATAAACTAGTATTTTAAATACTTTAATTAAAATACGATTTAATCAATTATTGATAATAGCTATGAAATTGTATGTTAGCCTAATTAAACTATAATTTAAGAGGGTACCTTGGATGATTGCTCATTGTATTTCATCCTAGAAGGCTCAGTGTGTTTGAAATCGAGGACTAATATAAAGTTACAGATTTTGAAATAAAACAATTCATTTGGAGAAATAGGATTTTATACTCAAAAACCACGCAATTTCACTATTCAAAGTGATGGAGTAACTAGACTTTTGAAAATAGAACGAACAACATTCTTATCCTGTTTAAGCTTCAATGACAAAGTACAATTAAACTGATAATATTGTTTAGTAATTGTTTTATCAATAGAGAGATAAAATATTATTCAATCAAGGTTTACCAATTAAATGTGCATGTTGTTAAAAGGATGATCACATCATCACAAGATGTCCATTGTTGACTTATAAACCAAATTAAAGTTTAATTTTATAAAAGTTTATTTTTCCACACAAATAAAGCAGAAAATAATGTAATTATTCCATCTCTAATTAAATAGATAAGCGAAGTTACTTTAAAGATATGAGAGCATTAAATTTTTATTAATGTGCATCTCAATACGAGGTGGCATTTTTAAAATTATTCTCAGATCAATTACAATAATCATAACTTAGCCAATCTCAATTGCCTTATGATGATTTTGCTGTTCGTGATTCTAATGTAAGTGCTCGGAGTTTAACGAAATTCAGCAGAGACAGATCTGTTGTCAAATCCACTTCTTTCATGAAGTAACAATCTGGCTATGAATAACAATCCATGCCCAACAACACCGATAATTTATTGTAATCATAAACATCATTTCAAGCCCTAATTTTGATTAAGATAACGAATTTCAAATCATAAACAACAACCAAGATAAAAAGTATGACGAATTCGAATCCTTAATAAGAACTGATCAACAAAAAAGAACCTTTGCCACTGCTGGATTTGGATCTCAAAGCTTGGCTGCTTCCAATAAAGATTTAACTTAAAAATCTTTAAACATCATTTTGGAAAATGAAGACTCTGACAGTATCTCAGAACCCAAATCTAAATCAGTAGAGGAAGAGAACGTTGTTGATTCACCTCAAGATAAATTTGAGAGGAAGAATATTGATCCAAAATTAACATTCAATTACAATTTTGAAACTCAAATGAATGAACTTCAAAAGTAAAATTAAAGTCATCCACGTTTATCTCGTCTAGGATCTGGTTCTATTCGATAATAAAGCTCAAGAAATAGTACATATAAATATCCAGATGTAATAAGTTAACGTTAAAATTCTTCCAGATCATTAACTTACAGTCCAATCCCATCTAATAGTTAAATAAAGTCAGGAATGCCATCCTCTAAATAGCATAGAAAGTCTACATTCTCTTTCCCCCAAAAATTAGTCTAATAAACTCGTTAAGTTGATACTACTAATCTTGATGATAGTAGAAGTTAATAGCAAAGACATTCAATTAGAAAAATATCAACTAAAACTGGAACAAAGGTTTCTATTATCCCCTCCTGTTTCTAGCCTTTCAGCAACGTGGATGTATTCATTACTAATTATTTAAGTTACCTCTCTACGCTAATAATTCTTTTGGATTAAATAATTTTGATGCTATGTATTCATTTGACTACTACCTGCCTCACAATAATTATGAAATTACAATATACAAGTATTTATTAGGTAATATCTTAAGGGCTAATAAATTTAGATATATCAGAGAAATATATCTTTCAAAGTATTTAAATGACTATCATCTATCAAACATGATTTAACTATTAAAATAAAAAAGATTGAAAACAATGAAAACTTATACAAGTTAAAAAAAGTTAGGGTGATGAGAATCAAATACTTAAATTAATTATTAAATTTATATATTTTCATTTATTGCTACATAACTTAAATTATAAAACTGTAAGTTTTGAAAAATCCTTTAAAATGTTTTAAATTTTATTAAGAGCTGTTTGCGTTTTGTGTTTACTCTAATGTATTTTTTAATTTGAGATAATAAATATGAATTATTTAAGTATCAAACATTTTATTAGTTAACTTTAAATCCAAAAATGGGGTGTAACGTTTAGAAAATGAAGATTTAACCAAACAAACATATTCAAACTTCCTAAAAATTATATGAAAGTGCTTTTATTGTTTATGAAAATCAAGGCTCAATTAATAAGAAAAAATGTGATATTAAAGAAACAGATGATTTGATGGCCCAAGAAACACAAATCAGCAGAAGACTTCAAGGGATGGTCAATGATGATGAACTCCAAAATTTCATCAATAGAAAATATAACATCCCATCGAGCCCTTTTAGATATATCAAAAAGTTCACTATATAAAGAAAAACCTAGTCTTTGATGAACAGCCCAAGAAAATTATGAATTTAATTACATCTATCTTCTTTTTATTACTAATACATATTCGATATCATTGAAATATATAAAGATAAGACACTAAATATTCTCACTCGACAAAAATTAATATTCGAATTTCGTATCAAGGAGTTGTTTACCAATTCTGTCATAGGAATATTAATAGAGAGAATATCAATTCAGGTTTTGAATGAATTCTCAAATCTTCTCATCATAAAATAGTGTTAGAATTTAAGTTTTATGGGGTATTCTTCAAAGAAACAACACCAGTTTTAATTTTGCATTGCTGATTGAGAAGATTTAACAAATTTCTTGCAATTTTGTATATTATTTTTTGTTTCTCTTTTGTTTTCTCATTATAAGTAGGTTATCTTGCAATGATTTTGATGAATTACAACCTATTAATAAATCAATATTAAATTAAATAATAAAATATAAAAAAATTCATTTAAAGACTCATCAATAATTATTAATTGAAATCTTAAAATTAGCATAGTTTATAAAGCTTTGATTATATGTACTAAGTATTTGAAATATATTTATATTAATTTAAAAAGATTTTACTTCTAATGGGTTGTTGTGCTAATAAATAATAATCAAAGAATGTTTTAGAGACAAATGAGAATCAATTTAAGTCAAAAACTGAAGATTCAAAGGCTGAACTTAAATAATTTAGAATCAATAAAAATCCTATACTTTAAAGAAGAGCCAGTTAGAAAAGCCCTCTAACTAATCATGAGTCCTTTCTGACTAGAAATGCTTGAATGCTTTACTTTTGTGTTGATTTATGTTCGTATAAATAATGATAATCCTTAAATTTGATTCATTTAAAACTAAATATATAATCAATTATGGTGAGCTAACTCCTACAGAACCTTGGGCGTCAAATAAAGAAGAAGCAGTAATATACTTAGATATCTCATAAGAATTATGAATTGAGTATAATATAATTTATAAAATTATTGATCCAAATTTCGAAAGAAGTTAGAAAGTATTAAAAGTAAAATTGTAGATCATAATGTCAAGGAAAATGAAACGGTATATTTTGTCTTGAGAATAAAAATAAACTGCAAGCATTAGCGAAATTTTGAATAAAGTTCTGAATTCTAATAATAATATAACTAATTTTATTTTAATCATTAATATATATTTATATATAAGTATGTTTCTCAGTATAATTAAGATAATCCTAAATTGATGAATAATTAGTTATATATAAATCTAATTCGGTTCATTTATTCATATATAAATAAATAAAAATCATTTTTATTACTTATGGGATGTGTTAGTTAAAAATAAAGTCAGGCGTAACAGCAAAATAAATGTAGATTCCAAAGCTCCTCTTTTTCCAACGTTCATCAGAATAAAAAATTAAATATCGAATCCCCTTATATACCAGACAATAATACACCTATATTATAGTGTCGGTCCATTGATATAACCAAAGATGAAGAATTTATTTTAAAAAGAGACAAGAAATTTATTGTTTCGAATCAGGAATCGCCTACTACAACCCCAAAATTTAATTAATAGAATTTAGTGAACATTGGACAAAGAAAAAATTTCAGAGTGATGTGAAGCCATTTTACTAAAATATGAAGAATTCATAATTTTTGTTGAAAATATAAATATTGTTAACTAAACTTAGATTTCCAGTCTTTTAAGTTGTCTATTCTTTAGAAATATCACTCATCTACTTGTTACAGGAATTGATATAGATATTATGATAATAGCTCTCTCATTTGTTCCTATATAAAAAACATTTGATATTTTTTAATAAAAAAATCTTCATAATACAAATCATTATATAATAATAATTAAGTTAATTAACAATTATCTTACTTAAAGAATATTCATGATTGTGCGTATTTCAGACTCAAATTCATTATCAATACAGATATTGGTAAAGTTATGATATTTATATTGAAACTAAAATTATAGTTAAGAAGAAAAAAGTTGTTAATTCTTGAATTCGATTTAATAAGCAACTTGAAAAAGAACTATTGACTTAATATTTTTCTTTAATTTCTGAGAAATAATAAAGGGACATCATTTATATATTAAAATAATTGTAAAACTTTTAATGTAACTAAGGATATTAAATGTTCCATTTCGTAAAGGAATATAGTCAAGTAAGTTTATAACCTTATTCAACTATTTCGAATCTTTGGAGGAAAAACAATAGAGGAAAATACTAAATACTTGGATATCAATAATAAAATCAACTATAAATATTGGGTCTATATATCTGATTCACAAAAAAAACTAAAACAGGATTAATCATTTTAAATTTTGGATCATATTTAGCTGTTAAAATACTAAAAAGTAATAAAGGTTGAGAAGAGGATAAATTCTTTAAATGATATTAATTTTGATCGTATTATGAGTAAAAGATTTGTAGGGAAAATTAAACATTCACTTCTTTTCATAGTTATTCATAAAAAATTATATAAGCACCCTTGTCTGAGAGATGTTGATTATTTTTATCTTTAGTTACAATTTTATCATCGAAATGATACCAAGAGTATTATCTTTAAGCATATGCTACGTAATGGCCTCCATTTAATTATCCCATATGTGAGATCACACCCTTCAAAGTATATTTTGTCTACTCAACATTTTCTGCACAAAACCTAAAGATTAAATAAAATAATACTCTTTGATATCGAGAATTTCTGGATAAGTTACTTCATCAGTAATCTTTTAGCTCTTAGGGAATTAAGTAAAGCGTTTAAGATGCAAAATAAGATATTTTGGAGTCTAAGTGATTTGAATCTTCCTTAGAACAGATTTATTGACAAATTGGCATTTATCACATTTCCAAGCATCATTGATCTACTCTTCCTTAAAATAAGTCTAGAGACAATCTTATAATTTGAATTCTCTTGGAATGTAATACTTTGATAAAGGAAGATTCAAATCTAAAATAGGATCAAAGCCTTCGCTAATCTCTTTACATTTTAAACAATGTGATTTACTGGCTATCTAACCAGCAAACAAACTGGTTATTATATCAGGATTTCTAGTTTTGTAAACATCCCAAGCTTCTTATGCATTTTGAAACTCTTCCTTTTAATATTTATTCTTTCCAACTAGTTCTTGTTAAATTTCAGACAAGAGATACAACAAGAATTCGTGAGCATCTTGCTACTATGAATATTTAAATTTATTTAAGCACATCGTTTAAAGCTTCTCCACAGAGATAGCTGATCCAGGGATAGAATTCTGTACAATCCTTAACAAATCTTGATAAGCCATTGTAAATTTCTTATTTTATTACTTTGACTATTTTAATAATGAATCATTTAATTCTCTAATGCTTAAAAGAAATTGTAGAGCTGAGTTCATGTAACAGTAATATTTTGGATTTTGGAGACCTACACAAGGAAGTTCGTAGAGTTTGGGTTGTATTTTTATTGAATTAGTTTTCTAAGGATTTGATCTTCTAGTGGTGTTTGTATTTGGAGATTTTTCTGAATCCTCCATGTTATTGTATTCTAACTTTGCGATGTCGATTAGAGGTTCAATTGAAATTTTGGTAGTATTAGCTGTATGGGAAGTAACGTTAGTTTGACCATCATTGATAATATCGGGAGACATCACAGGTTTTTCCATTTCGATCATTATCTTTGGTCCTCCACCATATAAGAGATGTATAAATGTCCATGATCTCTCATTTAAAAGCACGTAATGTCTATCTGGTTATACACCAGGAAGAAGTTGAGAATCCTTTTCAGATTTAATTATGATTAGTTCCTTTTGAGCATTCTCTTAAGTCAACAATTTGGAGTTATTAATTTTTTTTGGCACTTCCTAAATCCTTCTTTCCAAGAATGTTGTATAATTCACAGCCCACCTGAACTCTGCAAAATAAATGGTTGGTAAATCCTCTTCAATCAAAGAGGTTACGAATGATTTTTCTATATCAATGCTAAGTAACTTAAATATAATATATACCTCAAGTTAAGTTTGCCTTCCTCTCGGTATGCCTTAATTCTGTTAACTATGTTTTCAATCTCTTGAAGCTTTTTATTTTTTTAACTCGAATCCATAATTAGTGATTTATTTGTGGTCTCTTAGACTGGTTCCTTCTGCATTTGTTCTTCACACTTGCTCTGCTTAATTGATTCAACATCCGAATTTGCTGTAGTCGACGTGTTTTTTTGAGATCTAATAAGATTATTTAGACACATTGCTTACTTCTCTTATTTAGGCTTGGTATTGCAGCAAATAAACATAAATTTTTTATTTAATATCTATCTATAATTTTGAAATCAATTAAAAATTCTGTTGTTAATCTGCAATGGATTAACAATTAGTTCAAAGTGTACTTAATAATTTAATGAATAATGTTGTTTTAATTAGACTGGTAAAATATAAATTTTTAAATAATCTCATCCTCAAAATTAATATTAATTCAGAATTTCCTATAATTCTTACCTAAACATTAAGAGTAATAATTACTTAATGAGAACTCAAAATAATTATAATTAATTTATAAATATATATTAATGCTCCCAGACACAAACGAATAGCCTTAATCAATCGAGGAGTATGGAGGATTTCCAGGATCCAAATCATTTTCGATCTTAGGACTTTTGACTTTAGCTCTGGTTTATGCAAAGATGACAGTCCACTTTTATGTCAAGTGGACACTCATCTTGAGTCCTATGATTTTCTTTTTTGCCTATAAATTTCTGAAGAGCATATACAACATTAGCTAGTAATCCCGTAAGGATAAGAATTTAAGTCTCAAGCAAAGGAAAATTATTATGTTATGGAATTTATGTTAATTGTTAATCACAGCACCTTTGGCAGTGTCCACATTTTATTTGGGAGATCTAATCGAAAAGGCTATTCAATAATAAGATATAGCTGAACCTCTAATGCACTTATTTGCATGCTTTGCATTCACTTTATTAGTATATTTGCTATATTCATTAAGTTCATAAAAAGAAACATCTTAAAATCAATCAAGCAATAAAAGCATTTTATTAAACTTTGTATTATCAATGTTTGGTAATTCAGTCAGCTTTTGTGCTGGAGGAGTTTGTAATTCATTTTACATCTCAACACTCTCTGCATTTTTTTCAGCCTTCGGAATTCCAATCACTCAATACCTACATTATTTAAACTATCTATGTATTATCCTACTAGCCTTTTCTCTATTGTCATTATATTCAGTTAAAGAATCAATACTTTATGCTCCCTTTTTGATGACCCTAATTGGTTCAAGTTTAATTGTAAATGATATGTTTTTTTATAAATTGCCATATGCACTTTGGATTGGAAATGGGATGATTATTGGATCAGCATTTTGGAATTCGAAATTGAATTAATTCAGCTTCTTTAAGAGGAAGAAATGACATTGTTTGTTTATGATTTCTATATTTGTTTTATATAGTAATAATTAGAATCTCATAAAATTATATTAATGGCAAGAAAAAATAATAAACAAAAAAAGAAGGCCCAACATGCATTTATATTATAAAAGGAATAGGAAGAATAAAAGAAAAGAGAATTGAAATAATAGAAAAAATAAGAGAAAGAAGAGAATAAATGGATTGATGATTTGGATGATCTGGAAATTGATTCTGAAGAACATGTTTTTGGATTGAAAAAGAAAATTAAAAAAGACAAAAAGAACAAGAAAACAAAGAAAGAAGTATTCAATCCTTTAAATTTAGAAAAAAGTAATTAAAAAACCAGAAAGTAGAGTTGATGCTGCTCGAAGAAAAAAGAGAGAAAGAAAAGCAAGGAAACACCCTACTAGTTATTCTAAAGATATTGAAATGTGACAATCATTCTAATCATAACATAATAAATTAATTATCATTCACTTTTTCACAGCTTCTAACCTCCATAACAAGTGATCACTTATCGATATTCTTGTGTTATTCTCTACTAACATATCCCAATCTGATTTCTTCTCATTGATATATGGTACCCAAATCCTTCCCTTCAAAGGTTCATTCGGGTTATCAATTTCTATTCCTAGTACTTTTAGAATTCGAAGCAGTACCATCTAATTTTTAAATGTAATAGTGAAACCGATCATCAGCAGTATCATAAACTGAGATAAAATTACCATCACATTTGTCAGAGACTTTCTCACTAAAACATATTCCATTCATAACATTCATTATAAGATCACTCTTCTATTTCTCATCAAAGTATTTAAATTGCTTTTCAGTCCTATTATCAGGATGCTGAATTCGGATAACAAAACCTTGTTTCATGTCTTCTAACTTTTTTAATAGAAATCAAACTCATTACTTTTTTATTTCCATTTGATTTTACGCATCCCATTTATTTTAATGTTATAAATCGAAGTTATTTGTTTTGGATTAGCCATTGAAGTTGAGAGACTTTAAGCACTTACACAATAACTCTAATAGGACATTGCTCAAGCTAATCAACTCAATAAAGTTCATCTGAACACAATTGATTAAAATAGTATTCATATCCAACATCTAACCAGAAAACTAGATGAACTCAAAAGAAACAAAAATCAATTAGATTCAGATTATAATCAATTGAAATCACAACATGATTACGTTATTGATATTATTTCGCAAATTACAGGTGATGAGTTGACCTTAGAAGAATTGACTGAATTAATTGAAGAGCTTAAAAGAAGATCCCTCAAATATGATGAAATCCAAGAACTCCTCAATGGACAAGATATAAATGAGATTATTTCTAACTCAGAATAGTTAATAATCTAGCATAATATTAACCAAGAATTGAAAGATTAATTAGAGCAATATCCCTAAATTGTTATAAGTCTAAATCAAGATATTTAAAAACAAAAACTAGAAATCTAAAATCAAAAATTATAAATAAATCAATTAACACAATAAAATTCGTAACTTGAAGTCCAAATTGCTTCATCATAATCAACATTGGATTAACGCCAAAATTCTAATTAGCTTTTTCATTCCACTCAGTTAAATTAATAAGAATAAAATGAAAAATAGTTAATTGAATTAAAGAATAAAGTAATCTCTTTAGAACAATAAAATAAATGGTTGAATGAAGAAATGTAATCTATTTCCAATCTTAAAATCCAAATTGAAGGCAAACTTAGAAATTCTCTCCTAGATTAAAATAAACTGTTATCTGAAAAAGAAAAACTCGCCAAAGAAGCCTTCTATTTAGTTAGCATATCTAATAACTTCAAAACACAATTACAAAATAAATAAGCTACCATTGAAGAACTTACAAATGAAATATCATCACTGTAGAATTAAATCAAAAACAAAGATGATCCTAATGAAGCATTATTAAAATAAAATAAGGACTTAGAAAGTTTTAAATAATAAGAGATTAACAATTTGAATTAGGAATTATCATATAAAACTCAAGAAATCTAAGAAATAAGTCTTTAAAATTTAAGGTTGAATGACGAAATAGAAAAACTTAATGAATAACTTAAAAATTCTTTAAAAGTATCTCAACATTCTAAAGAATTCTCTCAATAAATATAAATAATACAAGATAAATTAATTTAGAATAAAAATATTATGTAAATGCAAGATAACCATTTATAACTTTTACAATAATAGTCAATGAATGATAAAAAAGAATTATAATAACATTACGTAGGAATTATTGATAAATTAAATGGAGATAATTTCAAACTCAAATCATAATTAGATGAATCATAAAATAAAATTAACAAATTGGAAGATCAATTAGTAGAAGTCTAAAGTGAATTTTAAGAAATTAAAGATCTCTTAGATTCCAAATAAGTTGAAATACTTAAATTAAGTATTATTAATAAGAAGATCTAAGAATCTAATGAAAAATATCTTCAGCAAAATTAAGAGTTAGAAGAATAAAATAGACAATTATAGTTTAAATACAGCTCTTCTTAAAAAAGTAATCAAGAAAGCTCTAGATCATCATCAGATTATGTGAAATCATAAATTTTGGATAAATTAAAATCAGAAAACTAATATTATTTATAAGATAAATATAAATTAGAGTTATAAAATTAAGAATTGCTCGACCAAATAGCTTCAATGAAATCTGAGATAAATAAATATTAGATATAAATAACTAATTTAACTGTGTAAGTTGAAAATGCGTAATTTCAATATGCAAATGAATAGAGTAAAGAAATTAGCTCATATAAATAATAACTTTAATAAACAACTAAATAAATAAATTAATTATAACAGAGGACAGAACAACAAACTCTAACTATCTAATAATAAAATACAAAAATTCAACAGTTTGAAAATGATTATTTCTGCTGTGAAGAAAAATTTAAGCTTTAAATTCTATAAATTTAGGAAAAAGAGTTTTTTATAAGAGAGTTATAATAAGAATTACACCTATATAGCAATTAAATTAAAAAAATGGAAAAAGAATTAAATATATTATAAATTGATAATGAAAATAAAATCTAAGAAAATAATGATCTCACAAAATATATTGATAACTTAAGAACGGAATCAAAATTCAAAAATGAATAGATTAATACTCAATAATTACATGAAGTTAATATTTATAATAGTGAATTGCAGATGCAAATTTAGTAGTTAAATGAATAAATTTCTTAAAAATGTTAGCTATTAGAATAAAAATGCCAGTTGATTGACAAATTTAATTTGAAAATTATGAATCAGAATGTAGAAATATGTTAACTGAAATAACAATTAACAATTCAATAAAAACAAATTAGATAATTTGAAAACAACCTTTAAACTTCTGAATAAATAGTTGAAATAGAATAAATAGATAATAAGAAGATGAACGAGATCACTTAATTAAATATTAAATTGAGTAAAGTTATTGATGAAAAAGAACAAAAAATACTTTAATTCTAATAATAATTATAAGTAAAACAAGATAAACTTTAGGAAATGGAATAAATTCATTCAAAAACTATAACTTAGTAAACTGAATAAAAATCATTGTTTTAATCTCGATCAAATTAATTTTTAAAGTCTAAAATATCTTCTGAAACTCTCTTCTCATAGAATATTGAAGATGATCCTTATCAAAAACTCTTAATATTATAAAAAAAGTATAATGATATTCTTAAGGAAAATTCAAACTTAATAATTAATTCCCATTTAATTGAAGATTATAAAAACAAAATTGCTCTCTTGTCTTTGGAAGTTTCTAGATATCATAATTCCTAGAGAGGATTGTTAAATTCAAGAGAAAACCAAAAATAGGAAGATAATACTACAAACAAAACAAAAAGTTTGAGTTAAGATAAAGGAAATAATATGAAAACACAACAGTATATTGAAAAGAGCAATAAAGAATGTGATTTATATTGCTTGATAGTGTTATTGTTTGCAGAAATTGAATCTCTAAGAGCATAAGATGATCAACAAAAAATGATAGATAAATCAAAAGTGTAAAGAATTATAGATTATTATCGTTAGAAGCCTTAATGATAATTATATATATTTATTAATAATACTTTATTATTTGTAATTAATTTCATTAAATAATTATATTATATATATTAAATATTCTTATAATGTCCAAATATTTATTATGATTGTATATCATTAATTCATGAAAATAATTTGCTGTTTGCAACTTTGGGTTATTTTTTGTAAGAGACTAATTTCAAAACCCATTTGATTTTAAGAAACAGTTGTTTTGCAAAAATAATTCCGAGACACAAAATCAAAAAGGCCATCTAAATAAAACCTAAAGTAACTTTGCTTTCATAAGAAATAGAAAATTGATTAAAAATGCTGAAGTATGGGAGTAAGCTTAAGCTAAATACTGCTAAAACACCTTCAACTATTAAGAATATAATTCTATCAAATTAAGAACATAATTTATATTTATAGATTATACAACATTAAGTTATACTGCTAAAAGATATTAGTAAGCATTGCAAAATTTATTATTCTTAGAATAGTATTAATACTATATGGAAAAAGATGGTTCTGGAAATATCTAAGGCAATAAATTTTAACTCTAACTTGGTGATATGACTTTTTTTTTGATTGCTGCATAAACTAAAAGATTTTAATAATAAGTTAATGAAGGTGATAAATATTAAAGTTGCAAAAATGTTAGTTAAAATGCTTCTAAGATTATCTATTTGACTATAATGCAGTTACAAAATCACTTTAAATATTAAATCCCATGAGTTAACGTAAATAAGTTGTAGAATTTTATCATAATTCTAAAGATATCTTAGCTTCATTAATAATTTTAAGAAACTTTTACAAATTAGTATTACATTAATGATGACAATAAAAATCTTTTATATAAAGATTTTTTGATCTAAAAGAATTCCAAAATATTTTCTTAATCTATATAATATATTGAACAGATTTTTGGCAAAAAAAAGGATTGTTACCAATACTAAACTTTAAATTAATTGAGGTAAAATATTAGTAAAAATATCAGCATCTACATTATATTATTAAAATTTCTCACTTAAATCAACTTATTTTTCTTTTCTTGTTATTTTATTAACAAAATCATCAATTTAAAAAAAATGTAAATATGATGATATAGATAGCAATTCTTATGCTTAAAAATATATGTAGAGGTTTTCAGGGTAGTCAACGTTAATAAATCTTAAGAAAGATTAATATTACAATAAATTCAAGGTTTCAACCACAAGAGAGCTCTCACCAGAAACTAAAGAAATTACACATATTGATATGGCTCCAATCATAAATGCTTTATTAGATTTTTAAACCTAAATCGATACTTACCTTAATTTTTCAGACATTAATTTTGGTGTTTATAAATTAATTGACTAATTAGGATTAAAAAGAGTTTAATTATTTGAGTTAACAATTTCTTGATTCAACTAAACTAAAAGAACTGGTTTTGTTTAAAGTTGTACAAATAATTCAATTTAAACCTAATACTAAGCATGTTAAAGATCAAATGAGATATCTTAAATCGAATTGATCTTGAGTACCTTATAATACTTGGAATCTAAGTCGTTAATGCTTATGTCAAATAAATTTTTGTCTTTTTAAACCTAATCACTAAATTTGACTTCTTAATCAAATGTAATCTCTACATACTATAGAGCATAGAATTACATTTTATAAGTAAGTTTCATACTAGGTTTTTTAGAGTATGCACAATAATATTCACAGCATATCTTATGTTCTTTTAATGACAACCATTCTGGATTTTAATCCAAATTAAATGTATTGTTATTGCTTGTATGATTGTTTTAAGTTTCTTCAATATTGCTAGAGTTAAGGTCATCATTTTCTATATTTAACAAGCATTAGCTGTTTTATAAGGTATAGTCATTATCGCATAAAAAACATTCCCCTTGGTTGCATAATTGACAATATTTAGTACATTAAAATTTGCATTTATAACATCCATCATAAGGAACATCATTCTCGTCATCACAATTTTCATTGCCTGCAACAATACCATCTCCACATTAAGTAAAACAATCATTACTATAATTATCATAATACAATCCTATTAAACCTTCACATAATGTTAGTTATTCACAAATACTTTTTGATTGTACAAGTACTAAAGGTGCTTAACATAGTTTACACTTTCCAAATTAGCAATCTAAACATTCCATTTGACATTAATATTTACACTAGTAACAACCATCATATTTCAAATCATTGCCATCATCACAAACTTCATCGCTTGCTAGTATCTTATCACCACAAACAGAATTGCATGAATTACTTACAATATCCAAATAGAACCCTGAAAAGCAATTAGTACAAACTCCATAAGCACAGGACTTACAATATTGAGGACACTAGAATTTACAATTTAAACAAGTGTCTAATTAGTATTCACTTCCATCGTCACATTCCTCCTCTTAAACTATAATACCATCTCCACATTTAGGCATACAATTATTACCATAATATCCAAATTCACATTTTAAACATTTGTAAAGCACACATTTTTTACAATTTTTAGGGCATTTATTCATATTATAATCAATTATACATGTGTTGGTAAATGAATCAAGATATCCATGTTAACAAAATATGCATTTGTTATTATTTAATATTTTACAATTAGGCTATTCATTAATTGTAAGCAAGGGTTGAATTGGTTTACAAGAATTACTTAATTAATCCAATTGGTAATTAAGTTAACAAGATTGACATATTCCATTCAAGCAATTTTCACAATGCTGAGAACACTAGTATTTACATTAGAAACACCCATCAAAATTAGTTTAATTTCCGTCATCGCATTCTTCATTTCCCACAACAATTGAATCTCCGCAAATTGGATCACAAAGGAATAAGCCCAATTTCCACCCTTCTTTACATTCAAAACAAACACCATCAATACAACGTGTACAATTAACATCGCAAGTTTATTCACAATTATTGTTACAACCATCATCATTAAATAGATTCTAATCATCACACTATTCCATATCTTCTAATATTCCATTTCCACATTGTGAAGGAAAATTGAAATCCTATTCACTATCCATTTTTATGCAAATGAAAAATTCATTCAAGAAATAACCGCTGCTGCATAACTTACATACACCTGAAACACAATTAAGGCATGTGTCTTCACATTTTGATAAGCATTTATTCTCAACCAAATTAAATTCTTAAAGACATTGTAAACATTCTCTATATATACATTAGATACAATTAACATCACATTCATGTCTACATTAATAGCAACCATCAAATTTTTCATTGTTTTAATCATCGCATTCTTCCCATCCAGTTACATATCCATCACCACATGAAGTTTAGCAAATCTATAACTCTTAACTCAAATGCAAACTCATTTAACATTGCTATATTAAGGAGCATTTATCCTTATAAAGTTCATAATTTTAGGCACATTAAAAGCATTAACCATTATAACAATGCACACAACTTTCTTAACATCTAGGAATACAATCTCCATACTCATTTAATTAAGAGTCTTCCTCACAAATTAAACATTCTCCATTTAAGTTAAATTAACATTCTGGAAATACATCAATTTCGTTTTGTTTTCCATAACAAAATCCATCTCTAAGTAAATGATTTAAATCACATTATTAACATAATCCTTTGATACAATTTATACAGTGTTAACTACAAGAATATTTACAATAATAACAACCATCAAATTCGATATAATTATCATCTTCACAGTCTTCATCATAAACTATTATTCCATCTCCACACTAAGATTCACAAGCATTATTATAATAATTAAAATAATATCCGTGTTCACATTCAGAACATTGATCTTCAAAATATAATTTACAGAATTTTGGAGCATCAAACATGCAACTTAGGCAATTTTGATCATAAATTTCACATTGTTCATCATGTGTTAATATGCCATCTCCACAAAGTGAAATACAATAATAATTATCATTTAAATAATAACCATTTTGACAATCGATACAATTATTTTCATTACAAGATGTACAATAATCAAAACAATAACTACAATATAAATCTGGAGATAATTTAAGTTAGTATTGACAAAAACTCAATGGTGCTACTATTAAATTACACTTCTAGTCAGCATTTTCAAAATAGGCATAATCTTCACATTAAATACAAATATTCCCAATTTATATAAGACAGTTTTCTATTATCATTAAATTATATTATAGAGAGTTAACACAATATTATTTGTTTGAGGATAAATCATATCCGTCATTACATTGGTAACATATACCAAATTAACACAATTAGCAATTCAAATCACAAATAAAATTTACAGGATTAACAATTTTGATAAATCTGTATTGAAGAGTTAATATCACATTATTCATTATTTTTCTATAGACCATCTCCACAGATAGAGTAACATTTAGATTATATTAATTAATAACCTTCTTAACAATTATAACAGATTCCTTAAAGACAATAAAGACAAGAGTCCTAACAACTAAATTGACAAAGATGGCATCCGTCTCCAATAATAAAATTACCATCATCACATTATTCATCTTAAGTTATTATTTTATCACCACAAATTGAATAACATAAATTATCAATTCTATTGTAACCACTTTTACATTATAGACAACCAAGTCCAGTTGTACTACAAGTGAGACAAGAAGATTAACATCTTGCTTAACAATTATTACAACCTTTATATGGTAGTATAAATGAGTTCTCGCATTCTTCACCAACCACAATCATAGAATCTTCACAAATTGGCTTACATATTTTTTGATCAGAAAGATAATATCCAGTAGCGCATTCTTCACATCTATCGTTTATACAACTTGTGCAAATAGTTGTTGGCTAACACTAAAATTAACAAGAGCTACTACAACCATCGTAACTAAATGTATTGCCATCATCACATTGCTCATAGAAGAATCCATAAGGATCTACTACAACTAAGCCATCTCCACATACATTTTCACAATAGTAAGATTTAGGATCAAAACCCAGGGAGTGCACAACTTAAGCATGTGTTGGTTGTATAATCACAAGATGAACAACCAATTCTGCAGAAGTACTTACAATCTTTGCACCCATCCGTATCAGAAGTGTTTCCATCTTCACATTGTTCACTTCCAATTATTAGCCCATCTCCACATTTTTCTTTACATTACCAAGGAGTAATTAAAGGATCAATATACCAACCTCCAGTTGCACACTCAAAACATAGTCCTCTTATACACTTTGAACATGCAGGTTAGCATTAATTTCCTACAACTTGAAAACATCCATCATATTAAATGGTATTGCCATCTTCACATTCTTCTATTCCTGTAATGATTCCATCTCCACAAACATCAGGACAAGGTAAAGTAGTTAATAAATCACAAGTTACACAATAAGCTGGACATTGAAATTAACAATTATAGCATAAGTCATTAAGGATTGTATTATTATCTTCACATTATTCATATCCTTTGATTTATAAATCTCCACAAATAGGTTGACATTCTCCAGATACTAATTGAAATCCAGTATCACAAGAACTACAAGTTATTGTATGCCATATCAATTAATTATTATTACACAATTTATGACATTCACTAAGAGATGGATCTTCTGTAATTGGACAATCTATAATATGATTATGAAATATACTTGTACAAACATTACTTAATTCATAATAACCAGGTGCACAAACACATTTTAACCCTTTTAATAATCTATTTAAAGTAGAATTACATGTTAAACAGCCGTCAATTGTGGTTCTAAAGCATGTTAAGCATGATGAATGACAAGATGAACAAGTTTATGTTGCAAATTAATAAGACATCCCTGTTGGACATCTACACGTTGATCCTACTTTTTCAATATTAGGAATAGCATTGCATGTTAAACAGTCATCAGATGTTGGTCCAGTGCAAGTTTTACAAAATTAATGACATAGCTAACATTTAGGATCTGAAACAACTGGATAATATCCATCAATACAATTACATTACCCATTTGACAATTGTCTATTATTAATAGTCAAGCATTCTATACAATTAGTAGAACTTAAACATTAATTACATTCAATAGGACAATTAAGACATTAATTTGAATCTTCATATTAATTCACTTTGCAGAAACATCCTAATTTAGATTAGGTATAAGTTGGTTAACATGTTTAACAATCTAATTTAGATGTACAAGTTAAACAAGATGATGGACAAGTTAAACATCTAACAGATTCTTTATCATAATATTGATTACTCTAGCATTCTACTTAAGAAAATTTAACTATATTAGAATCATAAGTGCTGTTCCATTAAGTACATGTAGATTAATCTGAACATTATAAACAATAAGGTTAGCAATTATGAACAGCAATATAATAATTATAGTATGCACAATATGCCTTGATTGGTTCATTATTTGGACCAAAGCATTCCCAAGTTATTGTTAATGTATTTGCATTATGGTTGATTCTTTCATAAACAATTTAATATTTTGAACCATCAAAATTAGAGTAATGTTAATTTGCAGTTGATTTAGTGACTGGTGTATTACTCTCAATTGTATATATAAACTTCCCATCTGAAGGGAATGAAGGTCCATATAAAATATAAAATGCAATAGTAACACTGTGATGTGGATTGATTATATTATGAACCCTTTAGAATTTAGCTTATGCCCATACAAAAGGTCCTCCAAAGACTCTAAATCTATACCAATATGAATAATAGATATCTGATCCACTTAAAAGGTTTGATCCACTTTGAGAGATTAAAGTATATTTTCCATAGTATTCTGGATCACCTTCTAAATCTAGATATTCTTAAACTAAATATTAAGAATCTATATATAATATAATATGATACAAGGTGTTTCATCATCATAATCATAGCAATATGAACCACTCAATCTCTAATATGGATATGAGCAACTGCTTACGCAACTACCATCTCGATAAAAATAGTAACCTATTTCGCAAGTCTTACATTTAAATGATACTTCACACAATTCACAATATTAAGAGCAATATCCTGAAGTAATATCGACGTGAGACATTCCCCATCCTGATGTACCATCACTAAACTACAAAATGATATTTACGTATAATTTCCTATTGCTGAAAATAGAAACGCATATTTCGGAATGTCAATAAATGAAATTAATTCATATCTTACAGTCAAATACGAATATGTTGAAGCTGTTCCAAAGATATAAATAGAGGAGATTTTTGAATTATGGGTTTGAATTCCAGAAGCATTTCTATAAATAGATCCGTAATAAGTATTGTTAATCTTAAACTATATTCCACAATTAATTGGAATTTCATTATAAAGCATAATTGTTATTTTCAATCCTATCAAAAAAGTGGAAGAAGAATAAGTAGACAATGAGTCGAAATATCTATAAACTCCAGAATTATACTTTAATACTCCTAATGCAAATAAATAAATATTAATAGCAGTTGGAGTTGTATCAACATGTTATGGATCATATATTAACGACCATTTGAAAATTTCATTACTATAGATTGAATCAAAAATATAACTACTTATTATACGGACAACTAATATTAGTTAAAGATACATACTTGGATAAAATTAACAAAATCCATTATAATATAATGGAGACGTGATATCACAAATGTCTCTGCATCCTTCCTCCTTCCAATAGTATTAAATTGATGGACAAGGTGGACATTAATTATTTGTTTGGATCCCATAATAGCAGCTTGTACATTAATTGTATTTTGGACCTGTGCATGAATTACATGATGGATAGCATTTTAATCTTGAGACAAAGATATTTCTAATCGAAACTAAACCTGCATCTGTATTAGAGGATGTAAATTTCATTCTAGCATAAGTACTACCTTCTGCTATTTGTAGTGTAAAATTTAAAGTTTTAACTTCAAAAGGAGTAGCATCACAAAATCCAGTTGTCAATAGATAAGTGGTAGGGGAATTATAAATATATGAATAAGAAAATGATCCTAAGGTAAATTAAACATTTTGAGAAGACCATGTACTCTGAAAATATAAATCCATAGATATCCAATCCTAATCATAGAATTATGGATTTATATAATTTAGGGCAGATGGAAAGGAATTACTTAAAGTAATATAGCTTGTGGGAGGAGTTGCACAAGTGATAAAATTTGCAGATGCTTAGCTTGAAGGCAATATAAAATATCCTGAACTTGAGCTTGGTTCAGCGCTCGTGGTAAATATCCAATCATTATCTAAGTACTTTTCCTTTATTTTCCATTAGCAATTTGAAGTATCAAGCAAGGTGAATAGGATGTAAATGATAATAATAGGCATAAATAAATAATAGAGTTATTTATAAGAATTTAAAATATTAGAATAATTACGATCCTAAAAACAAAGTCAAATGAAGTTGACTATAATTTACCTATTAGAATGAATTTACCTAGTAAATAATACATTTGGAAAATTATAGTAATATAAATAAGGATTCGATAATTATTATAATTATATTGATTTAACTTTTATATATATATAAATATATTATTTATAGTATTAATTTTGCAATAAGATATATGAAACACAAAATGAGAGATTCAATCTCTTAGATAAGATTTTCAAGATAACAATATCTTTTAACAATTTATAGTAAAAATAATGTACAATTAGAGAGTATATCTCTTTTTTGCTCTGTAATATCGTGTTGTTAATTGGAACTGCATATTTTTCAAAGAGTATAAAGATTAACATATTAATAATCATTAAAATGAACATTGCAATCAACCAATTTTAGGGCATTTAACAATCTTGAAAATTGAAAATCAACTAAAATATATTTGTGTATAATACCTTAAAAATATCTTCAGCTAAAAATTCAGGATGTTATGAAAAGAAAAATACATAAAAATTAATTATAAAAGAATGATTAAAACATAAGTAAATCGAAAGTTTAAATAAAATTCTCTTCTAAATGGTTTTCCAATTGATATTAAGGAATATTTCTAGTTTTCCTGTTGCTATTATAAATTATATATAGACTCTTCATGATATTTGTCTTATTCCTTATATCATTAAAAAGAGGAATTACAAATTAAATAGTAAATAAAGTGGATTGGAAGCTGCTTATTTATTACTTTTGAGTTATTTCTAATAAATTTTATATTTTGTTTTTAAGTAAAAGCTGGAATAATAAATAAATATTTGAGTTAGTATGAGGGATAGCTGCGGTTTTCACTTTCCATTATGAGTTTTAGAAATAACAAAATAGTTTTAATTTTGTTGGATTTATTTTAAATATTGAATAATTTTACCATTATTCATTATCCAAATTTCTAAATATTCATAATTCTGAAGATAAGAAATTCTTTCAAAAATAAATTATTTAGCTTTTAGTTTAGGAAACTTCCCAATCTAGACTTATTTACTTTTAAGTTGATTTTAATGAAGTTAAAGGGATAATGTAGTGCTTGTTATAGTTATAAGTATCATAAATAAACTTGAGGAAATGGAATAAATCCATTGAAAAAATATTGATCGAGATTAAATGAATAAAATCATTTTAATATCGATCAATTAAATTTCAAAATCTGAAGTATATTCTGAAACTCTCTTCACATTGAGCATTGAAGTTGATCTTTCTTAAAAATTCTAAGCATTATAAAAGTATTATGATATTCTTAAGGAAAATTCCAACTGAATAGTTCATTCCCATTAAATGTAAAAGTATAAAAATAAAGTTACGCTCTTGAATTTGGAAGTTTCTAGATATCATAAATTTTAAAAAGGATTCTTAAATTCCAAAAGAATTATAGATAGGATAATAAAACTATAAAATAAACAAAAAGTTTGAACTAAGATATAAGAAATAATACGAAAACACAATAGTATATTGATAAGAGCAATAAGGAAAGTGATTTATATTGCTTGATAGTGCTATTGTTTGCAGAAATTGAATCTCTATTATAATATTAAAATTTAATAAAAGTTTAAACATTTATTATGATTAAATATTTAACTCAAGAAAATAATTAACTACTTGCAACCTATACTTTCTTTTATTCACAAACTAACTTCCTAATTTTTTATATTTTTGGAAATAATTGTTTTATAAAGACTATTCCTAGGCTCATAATTAAAAAACCCATCTGAATAAATCCTAAAGCAATTTTGTTGTCATAAGACAAATAAACCTCTCCAATATCAAAATATAAAAATAAACTTAAACTAAATACCGTTAAAACACCTTCAATTATTAAGTATATAATTCTATCAATATGAGAGCATAATTTATATTTGTAGATTATGCAACATTAAGCTATACTACTGATAGATATTAGTAAACATTGCAAAATTTATTATTCTTAGAATAGTATTACTATGATATGGAATAGCGTAGCTCTGGAAATATCTAATGCAATAAATTTTATTTCAAGAGTTGCTAAAACATTTTTTTCCTTAGGATTGCTACATAAACTAAATGATTTTAATAACAAACTTATGCATGTGAAAAATATTAAACTAGCTAAAACAGTAGTTATGATACTTCTCAAATTGTCGATTTTACAATAATGAAGTTACAAAATCACTTTAAATATCAAATCCCATGAGTTAACATAAATAAGTTGTATTATTTAATCATAATTTTATAAATATTTAGTTTTCATCAAAGATTTGAAGCATTTTTAAAAATTAATAGTAAATTAATCATTTGCAATAAAATCTTTGATAATAGTGTTTTTTGATGTTTAAGATGTCTCAAGTATTTAATTAATCTAAAAAGTATATTATATAGATTTTCTGCAAAATAAAGTAGTGTTACCAATACTAAAAATTAAATTAATTGGGGTAAAATATTGGTAAAAAGATCAGCTTCTACATTATATTATTAAAATTTTCCATTAAGATCAATTTATTTTTCTTTTCTTGTTATTAAATTTAAATAATCATCAATTTAAAAAAGTTATAAATAAGATGATATAGATAGCAATTCTTATGCCTAAAAATATATGTAGAGGTTTTCAGGATACTCAACATTAATAAATCTTAAAAAAGATTGATATTACAATAAATTCAAGGTTTCAACAACAAAAGAACTTTCACCAGAAACTAAAGATATTATACAAATTAATATTGCTCCGATCATGAATGCTTTATTCGATTATTAGGCATAATTAGATACTTATTTGAGTTATTCAGACATTATTTTTGGTGTTTATAGAGTAATTGATTAATTACTATTAAAAAGAGTTTAATTATTTCCATTAATAATTTCTTGATTCAACTAAACTAAAAGAACTGGTTTTGTTTAAAGCTGTAAAAATAATTCAACTTAAACCTAATACTAAGCATGTTAAAGATCAAATGAGATATCTTAAATTGAATTGATTTTGATATTATAATACTGAGAATCTAAGTCCTTAATGCTTATGTTAAATAGATTTTTGTCTTTTTAAACCTCATCAATAAATTTGACTTCTTGATCAAAAGTAATTTCAACATACTATAGAGCAAAGGATTACGTTTTATAAGTAAGTTTCATACGAGGTTTTTTAGAATATACACATTCATATCCTCTGCATATCATATCATCATTTAATGACAACCATTCAGGATTTTAACCATAACTTGTATTGTTATTAAAAGAATTAAGATCGTCTTATTCTGTATTTAACAAACATTTGTTATTTGATAGGGCATAATCATTATTGCATTTAAGACATTCCCCTTTGTTGCATATTTGACAATGTAATGTACATTAAAATTTGCATTCATAACACCCATCAAATGGTAATTCATTTGAATCATCACATTCTTCATATTCATTAATTACAATTCCATCTCCGCAAATAGAAATACAAAAGTTATCTAAAGGCAAAAGTCCTATTTAGCATTAAATACAATATTGTAAATCACATTTACTACAATAAGGTTTACACTTAAATTGACAATTAATACACCCCTCATTATCATCATCACATTATTCATTTGAAAATGGAACCACTATGCCATCTCCACATTCTGGGTCACATAAAATATTAGTATTTACTAAAAAACCAAGAAAACATCCCTTGCAGTTTCCAAATTAACCAATCCACGCAATTGATATCACATTAACATTCACAATTATAACATCCATCAAATGGATTAAGATTATTATCTTCACATTCTTCATTATCCATAATTTTAGAATCCCCACATACATTTAAATCATCATTACCAACAAATATAACTGTTATATGATTTGAATTGCATTAATTTTTGAATAAATAATTTCCTTATGAACATAAACCACATATCCCTTCTAAACAACTTATGCAATTAACATCACAATTTTAATTCAATTTTATACTATCTTGAATTTTTATCTATTAATCACATTATTCATTATTTTTCTAAAGACCATCTCCACAGATAGAGTAACATTTAGATTATATTAATTAATAACCTTCTTAACAATTATAACAGATTCCTTAAAGACAATAAAGACAAGAGTCCTAACAACTAAATTGACAAAGATGGCATCCGTCTCCAATAATAAAATTACCATCATCACATTATTCATCTTAAGTTATTGTTTTATCACCACAAATTGAATAACATAAATTATCAATTCTATTGTAACCACTTTTACATTTATAGACAGCCAAGTCCAGTTGTACTACAAGTGAGACAAGAAGGTTAACATCTTGCTTAACAATTATTACAACCTTTATATGGTAATATAGAAGAATTCTCACATTATTCACCAACCACAATCAAAGCATCTCCACAAATTGGTATACATATTTTTTTATCAGAAAGATAATATCCAGTAGCGCATTCTTCACATCTATTATTTACGCAATTTATGCAAATAGTTATTGACTAACACTAAAATTAACAAGAGCTACTGCAACCATCATAACTTAATTTATTGCCATCATCACATTGCTCTGAATTGACTCCTGAAGGATCAACTACGGCTAAGCCGTCTCCACATACATTTTAACAATAGTAAGATTTAGGAACAAACCCAGGGAGTGCACAACTTAAGCATGTGTTGGTTGTATAATCACAAGATGAACAGCCAATTCTGCAGAAGTACTTACAATCTTTGCACCCATCAGTATCAGAAGTGTTTCCATCTTCACATTATTCACTGCCAATTATTAGCCCATCTCCACATTTTTCTTTACATTACCAAGGAGTAATTAAAGGATCAATATACCAACCTCCAGTTGCACACTCAAAACACTGTCCTTTTATACACATAGTACATGCAGGTTAACATTAATATTTACAATTAAAACATCCATCATATTCAATGGTATTGCCATCTTCACATTCTTCTATTCCTGTAATGATTCCATCTCCACAAACATCAGGACAAGGTAAAGTAGTTGATGAATCACAAGTTACACAATAAGCTGGACATTGAAATTAACAATTATAGCATAAGTCATTTAGGATTGTATTATTATCTTCACATTATTCATATCCTTTGATTTATAAATCTCCACAAATAGGTTGACATTCTCCAGATACTAATTGAAATCCAGTATCACAAGAACTACAAGTTATTGTATGCCATATCAACTAATTATTATTACACAATTTATAACATTCACTAAGAGATGGATCTTCTGTAGTTGGACAATCTATAATATGATTATTAAGTATACTTGTACAAACATTACTTAATTCATAATAACCAGGTGCACAAACACATTTTAACCCTTTTAATAATCTATTTAAAGTAGAATTACATGTTAAACAGCCATCAATTGTGGTTCTAAAGCAAGTTAAGCATGATGAATGACAAGATGAACAAGTTTATGTTGCAAATTAATAAGACATCCCTGTTGGACATCTACACGTTGATCCTACTTTTTCAATATTAGGAATATCATTGCATGTTAAACAGTCATCAGATGTTGGTCCAGTACAAGTTTTACAAAATTAATGACATAGCTAACATTTAGGATCAGAAATAATTGGATAATATCCATCAATACAATTACATTACGCATTTGACAATTTTCTATTATTAGTAGTCAAGCATTCTATACAATAAGTAGAACTTAAACATTAATTACATTCAATAGGACAATTATAACATTAATTTGAATCTTCATATTAGTTCACTTTGCAGAAACATCCTAATTTAGATTAGGTATAAGTTGGTTAACATGTTTAACAATCTAATTAAGATGTACAAGTTAAACAAGATGATGGACAAGTTAAACATCTTATAGATTCTTTATCATAATATTGATCACTCTAGCATTCTGCTTAAGAAAATTAAACTATATTAGAATCATAAGTGCTGTTCCATTAAGTACATGTAGATTAATCTGAACATTATAAACAATAAGGTTAGCAATTATGAACAGCAATATAATAATTATAGTATGCACAATATGCCTTGATTGGTTCATTATTTGGACCAAAGCATTCCCAAGTTATTGTTAATGTATTTGCATTATGTTTGACTCTTTCATATACTTTATCCTATTTTGTACCATCATAATCAGATAAATAATATTCTGCAGTTGATTTAGTGACTGGTGTATCACTCTCAATTGTATATATAAACTTCCCATCTGAAGGGAATGAAGGTCCATATAAAATATAAAATGCAATAGTAACACTGTGATGTGGATTGATTATATTATGAACCCTTTAGAATTTAGCTTATGCCCATACAAAAGGTCCTCCAAAGACTCTAAATCCTTACCAATATGAATAATAGATATCTGAACCTCTTAAAAAGTTCAATCCATTTTGAGAGATTAATGTATATTTTGCATATTATTCTGGATCACCTGCTAAATCTAGATATTCTTAAACCAAATATTAAGAGTCTATATATAATATTATATAATACAAGGTGTTTCATCAGCATAATCATAGCAATAATAACCACTCAATCTCTAATAAGGAGATATGCAATCCTCTATGCATCTACCATCTCGATAAAAATAGTAACCACTTTTACAAGTCTTACATTTAAATGATACTTCACAAAATACGCAATCTTCATGGCAAAATCCTGAAGTAATTTCGATTTTCTAGATTGCCCATCCAGCTGTATTATCGCTAATCTTAATATTGATATTTACGTATAATTTCCTGTTGCTGAAAATAAAAATGGATATTTTGGAATGTTAAAATATGTAATTAAGACATAAGTTTTGCTTGATGAATAGGTTAAATACGAACTAGATAATTAAGTTTAATAGATTTTGAATTTATGCGTTTGAATTCCGGATACATTTTTATAAATAGACCCTTAATAAGTATTATTAATCATAAACTTAATTCCACAATTAATTGGAATGTCATTAAATGCAACAATTATAATTTTAAATCCAAAATGAGTGATATCCAGTAGAGTAAAGGATATTACGGAAAAAATCTATAGAAGCCTGAGTTAAATTTAAATATACCAAATAAGTATTTAATAAGTATTAATTTTGGGGAGGTGTCAATATTTTATGGATCATATAATTCAAACCATTATAAATCTGAATACCTATTACCAATTTGAGCACTTTCTATTATTCTATCTATGATATTTTTATTAAAAATTTTACTTGTAAATCTATTACAAAATCCATTTGAATAAAATGATTAATCTATATCACAAATATCTTTGCACCCTGAGTATTTTTCATAATATTAATTAGATGGACAAGAAGGACAAATGTTATTTATAAGTGTACCTTCATAGCAACTAGTGCATTGGTTAAATTAAGGACCTGTGCAATCACTACATGATGGATAGCATATAAAAAATATAGAAGAGGTAACAAAATTTCTTATTGAAACTTAACCTGAATTAGTATTTAGGGATTTAAATTAGGGATAACCTGATTATAAACTTGGTATTGCAAATTTCCAAGTTTTGACTTCAAAAGGAATGGTATTGCAAAAACCAGTTGTCATTGGATAATTTGCAGGTGAAGTGTAGGTATATGTTTTTGAAAATGTTCCTATAGTAAATTAAACATTTTAAGATAACCATGTACCATGAAAAAATAAATCTATAGACACATAATCTCCAACATCGTAAGTGCAACTTTCGTTATATTTAGCAGTTGCTTATGCATTATTTAAAGTGATGTAGCTTGTGGTAGGAGTTGTGCAATCGATAAAATTTGCAGGTGTTGAGCCTGACGACAATGTAAAATGCCAATATTACCAAAATTCATTATATCTATCAGGAGTTGAGGTAAATATCTTATCATAGTATAGGAGTTGAGTCTTTGAATGCCATTATGATTTTGAAATAACAAGCAAGGCGAAAAGGATTTAAATGATAGAAATAGTCATAAATAATAATAATAGAACTAATTTACATAAAATTCGAAATAATAGAAATGAAAATTTTCCATATAACGCTGAAAAATATGATTATAGATTATCTTTGTGAAACGATTTACATTACTAAAAATAATTTTAAACATTAAATTAAATAACAAAGGATTAGAGAATTAGTAAAAATATTTATTAATTCATGATGAATAATCAATAAAGAGTTTGAGATCATCTAATAGAATATTTATTTAAGAAATAAATTCGAAAGTATAAAAGAAGATTGATATTAATGAGGTGTACGCTATTGATATTGTTTTAGGATTAGATTTTATATTTTTAATTAATAACTGTTTAAAGAAAATAAAATATGAGTTAATAGTGGGATTACCAAAGCCATAGTCTTAATTTCAATTACAATCTTTCAATAAACATATATATTAATAAAGTTAAATGGGTTTTAGATTATATTTTGGAATGACATTACCATTATTTTCTCCAAATTCCTAAAAATTTAAATTTCTGAAAATAAGAAACTCTTGAAAAATAAATACATCATTTTTTGGCTTAAGTTAAGAAAAATTCCAAATATAGATATTTATTTATTTTTAAGTAGATTTAAAAGAATTAGCAGGCTGATTTAGTGATGTAATAATGAAGACTTTTTAGAAATTTCAAATATTTTTTAGCATCTAATATCCAACATAGATTACTCAAAATGACTGTGTTAAAGAGTATTTAAAATTCGAAAATATCAATTTATCCTTTAATTATGTTATTAGGATTAATAATGTTGAGCAATATGAGATATTAATTTATAGATAATAAGTACAAAAACAGAATTGAAATTTATACAAATGACTTAATGTTTTTATATTATTAAATTGATCCTATGTATAATTAATCTTGCTCTTTAATATAATTAATTGGTTTCAATAGTGGAATTGGACCCTAAATTATGAATAAAAAGACTGGAATTATTTGTTTATTTGATTGATTCAATCCTGGATATTAATTTTGTAATTATCTTATCTTTCATATTTCATTTATACTTTTCATATAGTTCGAAAACAAATCAGTATTATTATTTGTCATGATTTTGTTTAAGGTTACATTAGCTTTTATGGTTATCAAGAATTTATTCATCTTTATTTCTAAAAGTCTTATCATCAATATCATCATTAAAACGTAATTTAGGTGATACTATTTAAACCACAAATAAGTCTGAATGAGCAATTTTCTTCAGAAACTGATCAAAATAATAATGTTCTATACCTTAACTATAAATTACTAATGCATTCCAATTATTAGTCAGCCATAATTTTTCTGATCTTTTCTTATCAAATATGTATTAGTATTACTAACATTTAGTTTACTTTTTTTCCTTAATTATACGCTGCTTTAACAATTTTGTGTTTCTTGAAAGATATTCTTTTTCAATGGAGAAATTGTCCATATTGAAGATTTTGAAGTTTGTATTCATATTTTTTTTAAATAAACAATTTTGAGATTTTCCATTCATTTATTATTGAGTTACAGTTTTTAGCCGAATTTTGTTTAACTTACTGTTCTTCTACATTGTTTACACATTAATTTCTGCTACCTTCACTTTTACTTTCTTCGTCTAATAAATATGCTTGAGATATGTTCCTATATTGAATAAAGTCGTTTATCTATACTCTTATTGTTATCTGCTGCGGTTATTCTAGATAAGTAATCTTATTTTGCATAATTACATTGAGTGTCAAGAATACTTCATCTACTTTGCTATTCAATTATAATGTAAGGTTTCGTTTAGGTTGCATTTTTGTACAAATGTCAATAGATTGACAATGTAATTTGAGAATTATGAATCAGAATGTAGAAATATGTTAACTGAAATAAAAATTAGCAATTCTAGAAAGAAAATTCGAACATTTAAAAACAATTCTTAAACTTTTGAATAAAGAGTTTAAATAGAATAAATAGATAACCAGTAAATAACGAAAGAACTTAATTAAATATCAGGTAAATTAGCAAAGATATTGATGAAAAAAAACAAAAGTTCTTATTATAATAACTTAATTAATCTGTATCATAAATAATTTGAGGAAATGGAATAAAACCAATAAAAAATTATACCTTAGTAAATGAATAAAATCATAATTTTAAAATTGATCAAGTTAATATTTAAAATCTGAAATATCTTCTGAAACTCTCATACCATAAAAGTTTGAAAATGCTTATCATAAACTCTAAGAATTATAAAGCAATTATGATGATATTCTAACTTATAATTAATTACTGTTAAATATAAGATAATAGCAATAAATTTACTGTGTTGTCTTTTGAAGTTTGTTGATATCGTAATTCTTAATAATGATTGTTAAGTTCAAAGAATTATAGAAATGAAGATAATACTTTAAAAAATACGAAATGTTTGAGCTAAGATAAAAAAAAATAATACGAAAACATTATAGTATATTGTTAAGAGCAAAAAAGAATACGATTTGGATCTCTTAGAAAAATAAATGATCAAAATATAATAGATAAATCGAAGCGAAAAGAATTATTGATAATTATTGTTTGAAACCTTAATGATAATTATATATATTTACTTATAATACTTTATTCTTACTTCATAAATTGATTAAATAAATATATCATAATATTAAAATATAATTTTAGTTTAAACATTTATTATGATTAAATACTTTGTCTCAAGAAAATAATTAACTACTTGCAACCTTTACTTTCTTTCCTTTAAAAACTAATTTCCAAATATTTTTGACAAATGGAAATAATTGTTTTACACAAACTATTCCGAGACTCATAATTAAAAAGCCCATATGAATAAATCCTAAGGTAATTTTGCTTTTATAAGAAATATAAAGCTGACCAATATCAAAATATAAAAATTAACTTAAACTAAATACTGTTAAAACACCTTCAGTTGTCAAGAATATAATCCTATTCATATAAGAGCATTATTTATATTGGTAGATTATATAACATTAAGCTATATTACTCAAGGATATTAGTAAGAATTGCAAAATTTATTATTCTTAGAATAGTATTAAGACGACATGGAAAAAGAGAGTTCTGGAAATATCTAAAGTTATAAATTTTATGTCTAGCTATTCTATAAAATATTTTTCCTGTGGATCACTACATAAACTAAAAGATTTTAATAGTATGCTTATGCAAGCAAAAATTATTAGACTAGCAGAGAAAGTGCTTAAAAAGCTTCTCAAATTGTCTATTTGAATATAATGAAGTTATAAAATCACTTTAAATATCAAATCCCATGAGTTAACGTATATGAGTTATATTATTTAATCATAATTCTATAAATATCTAGTTTTCATCAAAGATTTGAAACAATTTTTGCAAACCAGTATTAAATTAATCATCACAAATAAAATTTTAGATTGTGATGTTTTTTCATTTTTAAGATGTCTCAAGTATTTAATTAATCTAAAAAGTATATTATATAGATTTTCTGCAAAATAAAGTAGTGTTACCAATACTAAAAATTAAATTAATTGGGGTAAAATATTGGTAAAAAGATCAGCTTCTACATTATATTATTAAAATTTTCCATTAAGATCAATTTATTTTTCTTTTCTTGTTATTAAATTTAAATAATCATCAAATTAAAAAAGTTATAAATAAGATGATATAGATAGCAATTCTTATGCTTAAAAATATATGTAGAGGTTTTCAGGATACTCAACATTAATAAATCTTAAAAAAGATTGATATTACAATAAATTCAAGGTTTCAACAACAAAAGAACTTTCACCAGAAACTAAAGATATTACACATATTGATATTGCTCCGATCATGAATGCTTTATTCGATTATTAGGCATAATTAGATACTTATTTGAGTTATTCAGACATTATTTTTGGTGTTTATAGAGTAATTGATTAATTACTATTAAAGAGTGATTAATTATTTCCATTAATAATTTCTTGATTCAACTAAACTAAAAGAACTGGTTTTGTTTAAAGCTCTAAAAATAATTCAATTTAAACCTAATACTAAGCATGTTAAAGATCAAATGAGATATCTTAAATTGAATTGATTTTAATATTATAATACTGAGAATCTAAGTCGTTAATGCTTATGTTAAATAGATTTTTGTCTTTTTAAACCTCATCACTAAATTTGACTTCTTAATCAAAAGTAATATCAACATACTATAGAGCAAATGATTAAGTTTTATAAGTAAGTTTCATACTAGGTTTTTTAGAGTATACACATTCATATCCTCTGCATAACATATTTTCATTTAATGACAACCATTCAGGATTTTAACCATAACTTGTATTGTTATTATTACTTGCATTATTATTTTAAGTTTCTTCAGTATTGCTAAGATTAAGATCATCATTTTCTTTATTGAACGAACATTAGTTATTTTATAAGGTATAGTCATTTTGGCATTAAAAACATTCCCCTTAGTTGCATATTTGACAATATAATGTACATTAAAATTTGCATTCATAACATCCATCATAAGGAACATCATTCTTATCATCGCAATATTCATTGCCTGCAACAATACCATCTCCACATTAAGTAAAACAATCATTACTCTAATTATCATAATACAATCCTTTTAAATCTTCACATGATGCTAGTTATTCACAAATACTTTTTGATTGTATAAGTATTAAAGGGGATTCACATAATGTACACTATCCAAATTAGCAATCTAAACATTCCGTTTGACATTAATATTTACACTAGTAACAACCATCATATTTCAAATCATTGCCATCATCACAAGCTTCATCGCTTGCTAGTATCTTATCACCACAAACAGAGTTGCATGAATTACTTACAATATCCAAATAGAACCCTGAAATGCAATTAGTACAAATTCCATAAGCACAGAACTCACAATATTGAGGACAATAGAATTTACAATTTAAACAAGTATCTAATTCATATTCTCTTCTGTCATCACATTCCTCTTCCTAAACAATAATACCATCTCCACATTTAGGCATACACTAGTTTCCATAATATCCAAATTCACATTCTAAACATTTGTAATGCACACATTTTTTACAAGTTTTAGGGCATTTATTCATGTTATAATCAATTATACATGTGTTGGTAAATGAATCAAGATATGGTGATAATTTCAGTTATTATTGACAAAGACTTTATGGTGCTACTATTAAATTACACATATACTCAAAATTTTCAAAGTATACATAATCTTCACATTAAATGCAACTGTTTCCAATTTAAATATGACAGTATTCTATTATCATAAAACTATACTCTAGAGACTTAATGCAATATTTTTTGTTTGAGGATAATTCATATCCGTCCTTACATTGGTAACATATACCAAGTTAACACAATAAGCAATTTAAATTGCAAGTAAGTTGACAAGATTAACAATTTTGATAAATCTGTAATGAAGAGTTAATATCACATTATTCATTATTTTTCTAAAGACCATCTCCACATATAGAGTAACATTTAGATTATATTAATTAATAACCTTCTTAACAATCATAACAGATTCCTTAAAGACAATAAAGACAAGAGTCCTAACAATTAAATTGACAAAGATGGCATCCGTCTCCAATAATAAAATTACCATCATCACATTATTCATCTTAAGTTATTATTTTATCACCACAAATTGAATAACATAAATTATCAATTCTATTGTAACCACTTTTACATTAGAGACAACCAAGTCCACTAGTACTACAATTGAGACAAGAAGATTAACATATTGCTTAACAATTATTACAACCTTTATATGGTAATATAGAAGAAATCTCACATTATTCACCAACCCACAACCAAAGCATCCCCACAAATTGGTATACATATTTTTTTATCAGAAAGATAATATCCAGTAGCGCATATTTTCACATCTATTATTTACACAACTTGTGCAAATAGTTGTTGGCTAACACTAAAATTAACAAGAGCTACTGCAACCATCATTATTAATTGTATTGCCATCATCACATTGCTCTGAATTGACTTCCCTGAAGGATCAACTACGGCTAAGCCATCTCCACATACATTTTCACAATAGTAAGATTTAAGAACAAACCCAGGGAGTGCACAACTTAAGCATTTTTTGGTTGTATAATCACAAGATGAACAACCAATTCTGCAGAAGTACTTACAATCTTTGCACCCATCCGTATCAGAAGTGTTTCCATCTTCACATTATTCACTGCCAATTATTAGCCCATCTCCACATTTTTCTTTACATTACCAAGGAGTAATTAAAGGATCAATATACCAACCTCCAGTTGCACACTCAAAACATAGTCCTTTTATACACTTTGTACATTAGGGTTAACATTGATATTTACAATTAAAACATCCATCATATTAAATAGTATTCCCATCTTCACATTCTTCTACTCCTGTAATAATTCCATCTCCACAAACATCAGGACAAGGTAAAGTAGTTAATAAATCGCAAGTTAAACAATGAGCTGGACATTAAAATTAACAATTATAGCATAAGTCATTAAGGATTGTATTATTATCTTCACATTATTCATATCCTTTGATTTATAAATCTCCACAAATAGGTTGACATTCTCCAAATACTAATTGAAATCCAGTATCACAAGAACTACAAGTTATTGTATGCCATATCAACTAATTATTATTACACAATTTATAACATTCGCTAAGAGATGGATCTTCTGTAATTGGACAATCTATAATATGATTATTAAATATACTTGTACAAACATTACTTAATTCATAATAACCAGGTGCACAAACACATTTTAACCCTTTTAATAATCTATTTAAAGTAGAATTACATGTTAAACAGCCATCAATTGTGATTCTAAAGCATGTTAAGCATGATGAATGACAAGATGAACAAGTTTATATTGTAAATTAATAAGACATCCCTGTTGGACATCTACACGTTGATCCTACTTTTTCAATATTAGGAATATCATTGCAAGTTAAACATTCATCAGATGTTGGTCCAGTGCAAGTTTTACAAAATTAATGACATAGCTAACATTTAGGATCAGAAATAATTGGATAATATCCATCAATACAATTACATTACCCATTTGACAATTGTCTATTATTAATAGTCAAGCATTCTATACAATTAGTAGAACTTAAACATTAATTACATTCAATAGGACAATTAAGACATTAATTTGAATCTTCATATTAATGTATTGTGCAAGTACATCCTAATTTAGATTAGGTATAAGTTGATTAACATGTTTACACAATCTAATTTAAGATGTACAAGTTAAACAAGATGATGGACAAGTTATACATCTAACAGATTCTTTATCATAATATTGATTACTCTAGCATTCTGCTTGAGAAAATTTAACTATATTAGAATCATAAGTGCTGTTCCATTAAGTACATGTAGATTAATCTGAACATTATAAACAATAAGGTTAACAATTATGAACAGCAATATAATAATTATAGTATGCACAATATGCCTTGATTGGTTCATTATTTGGACCAAAGCATTCCCAAGTTATTGTTAATGTATTTGCATTATGGTTGATTCTTTCATAAACAATTTAATATTTTGAACCATCAAATTTAGAGTAATGTTAATTTGCAGTTGATTTAGTGACTGGTGTATTACTTTCAATTTTATATATAAACTTCCCATCTGAAGGGAATGAAGGTCCATATAAAATATAAAAATGCAATAGTAACACTGTGATGTGGATTGATTATATTATGAACCCTTTAGAATTTAGCTTATGCCCATACAAAAGGTCCTCCAAAGACTCTATATCCTTACCAATAAGAATAATAGATATCTGATCCTCTTAAAAGGTTTGATCCACTTTGAGAGAATTAAAGTATATTTTCCATAGTATTCTGGATCACCTGTCTAAATCTAGATATTCTTAAACCAAATTATTAAGAATCTATATATAAATATAATATGATACAAGGTGTTTCATCATCATAATCATAGCAATATGAACCACTCAATCTCTAATATGGAGATGAGCAACTCCATATGCAACTACCATCTCGATAAAAATAGTAACCACTTTTACAAGTCTTACATTTAAATGATACTTCACACAATTCACAATCTTTATGGCAAAATCCTGAAGTAATATAAACTAGTCTTAATCCCCATCCTGCTGTGCCATCTCTAAGCTACAAAATGATATTTACGTATAATTTCCTATCGCTTAAAATAAAAATGCTTATTTTGGAATATCAATATATGAAATTAGGTCATATTGTTTAGTCAAATACGTAACTGTTGAAGAAATTCCATAATTATATTGATAGGAGATTTTTGAATTATGGGTTTGAATTCCAGAAGCATTTCTATAAATAGATCCGTAATAAGTATTGTTAATCTTAAACTATATTCCACAATTAATTGGAATTTCATTATAAAGCATAATTGTTATTTTCAATCCAATCAAAAAAGTGGAAGAAGAATAAGTAGACAATGAGTCGAAATATCTATAAACTCCAGAATTATACTTTAATACTCCTAATGCAAATAAATAAATATTAATAGCAGTTGGAGTTGTATCAACATGTTATGGATCATATATTAACGACCATTTGAAAACTTCATTACTATAGATTGAATCATAAATATAACTAGTTATTATACGGCCAACTAATATTAGTTAAAGATACATACTTGGATAAAATTAACAAAATCCATTATAATATAATGGAGACATGATATCACAAATGTCTCTGCATCCTTCCTCCTTCCAATAGTATTAATTTGAAGGACAAGGTGGACATTAATTATTTGTTTGGATCCCATAATAGCAGCTTGTACATTAATTGTATTTTGGACCTGTGCATGAATTACATGATGGATAGCATTTTAATCTTGAGACAAAGATATTTCTAATCGAAACTAAACCTGCATCTGTATTAGAGGATGTAAATTTCATTCTAGCATAAGTACTACCTTCTGCTATTTGTAGTGTAAAATTTAAAGTTTTAACTTCAAAAGGAGTAGCATCACAAAATCCAGTTGTCAATAGATAAGTGGTAGGGGAATTATAAATATATGAATAAGAAAATGATCCTAAGGTAAATTAAACATTTTGAGAAGACCATGTACTCTGAAAATATAAATCCATAGATATCCAATCCTAATCATAGAATAAGTATTAATTAGAAGTTATTGCAGATGGATATACATTAGTTAAAGTAATGTAACTTGTAGGAGGAGTTGTACAAGTGATAAAATTTGCAGATGTTTAGCTTGAAGGCAATGTAAAATTTCCTGAGCTTGATCCTCCGCTTGTTGTAAATATCATATCAGTATCTAAAAAATTTTTATGTATTTCCCATTAACAATTTGAATTGTCAAGCAAGGTGAATAGGTAATAAATGATCGAAATAGTCATAAATAAATAAATAAATAATTAATAGAGTTAGAAATTTAAAATAGTAGAAATGCAAATAGCTTATAATTAGAATTTACCTATTAGAAATGATTTAACCTATTAAATAATACATTGTAAATAAGGATTCGATAATTATTATAATTATATTGATTTAACTTTTATAATGAATAAGTAATATCTATATATATATATTATATATTATTTATAAATTAATTTTGCAATAAATAAAATATTTAAAATATGAAACACAAAATGAGAGATTCAATCTCTTAGATAAGGATTTTCAGGAAAACGATATCTTTTAACTATTTATCTCTTTTTTGCTCTGTAATATCGTGTTGTTATTGGAACTGCATATTTTTCAAAGAGTATAGTGATTATCATATTAATAATCATTAAAATGAACATTGCAATCAACCATTTTTAGGGCATTTAGCTATCTTGAAAATTGAAAATCAACTAAAATATATTTGTGTTTAATACCTTAAAAATATCTTCAGCTAAAAATTCAGGATGTTATGAAAAGAAAAACACATAAAAATTAATTATAAACAGAATGATTAAAACACAAGTAAATCCAAAATTTGTATAAAATTCTCTTCTAAATGGTTTTCCAATTGAAAATGCTATGCATTAAAATATGTATTGGAAACTTGAATATAAGAATAAACTCTAAATTAAATAATTAAATAAATTACAGTATTTTCATAGTTGATCATCATTGCATAATGATCATCTGTATTCCCTTCATGAATTACAAAATTACTCACATACCAGCTTTATGTACGTAATGTAAAATAAACAATACATTGGAATGATAATTGAATAATAGTTTGCCCAATAACAGACATCAAAACAGGAAATGAGAGTAAGTTTGAGCCTGGCTAAAATTATGTCAATTGTTTATAGGCTTTAGTCTTACCCATAGTAAAGGCTAGAGGTATAATTAAGACTAAATCAATATAGAGAAACTGAAAGTCTGAAATCTTGGCTAAAATTAAATAGAGCAAAGTGCAAGTGATGAATTAGATCATACTATATAATGCCATATATTTAAAGCATTGGAAACTTGTAACCAAAGAAGCTCGTCCTTCTCTCAATAATTTAACAACGCAAGAAATGTCTTAAATTTTCGATGTGAATGGAGCAGCAATTGAGGCTTCAGCTTCAGATAGAGATATGCCGACATCTGCAGCTTTTAAAGCTCCACAATCATTGGCTCCATCTCCACACATTCCACATAATGCCTTTTTACTAATTTTTTGGAGATGTGTAATCAATTAAGCCTTTTGTTCAGGTTTCATTCTTGCAAATATTTATGCCCTTTCTAAGAGTTTACCAAAAACCTTTCGAGCTGCTGGATTTGTGTCGATTTATTTGGTTAGCAATTAAAATGCTTTTCCTGAGATGGCAATAACGAAGGGCTCGTTGGTTTTCCATGGATCCTGATCATCAATCAAATGATCTAAATTTTCAAGAATTAGTTGTTTCTCTTTTTCTTTATAAGATTGAATTTTGCTTTTTTGTAATTATTAAGATCTCCTAGATATTGATTTTCTATCATAAGAAGTTTAATGATAATCTTCTAAATCATCCTTTTAGATAATTTCATCCAAATCCTCATTTAAAGCAACTTCTAAAGTCTATTAATCTTTCATTGATAGTTAATTCCAAATGATTTCATTCTCATCCTCTTGATTATCAGGATCGTCCTGAATGTCTAATTCTGGAGATAGATTTTCTGGATTGAGTACATTATCACTCATATCAAAATCTTTCCATACAATTTAATTCTTCCCATTAATTTTCTCCTCTCCAATATCCCCTAAGAATATTCTTTAGTTAGGTAAAACTATAGAACATTATCTGGCAACTGAAATAGCTGTTAGAACATTATCTCCTGTGACCATAATTGTCCTTATAAATCCATCTTAAAGTGTTTATATAGTCTTTGTTGTAGCTGATTTCAATTTATTCTACATGATTAATAATCCAATAAAAGTGAGATTAGATTCCACATCATCACGATTTGTTTCCTTTTATAATGTTTTTGCTCCACAAGCCAATATTCTAAATCCTAATTTTGAGTAGAAATCCAGAATTTTATGAAAACTAGATGGTACACTTTGTTTCTTACATAATTCCCTTAACTTTTCAGGGGACCCTTTGACATAGGCTTTCAATTCTCCATCCTTTTCTACAATCACACTCATTCTCTATAGAGTTGATGAGAATTCAAATCTTTTAAGTATTTTTATTTAACTACCATCTTGAGAATAAACAAAAGAATTGATGTCATCTAGTTTATATTAAGTGGCTTCGAACATCTTAATTTCTAGAGGATCTCCAATCAAATTATTGTTAACAGTTGCTAAACTATGACATGATGCCATAATGTCATATAAAACTTACTTTGGTGTTCTCTTTAATTCATTAAATGCTACATTTGAATCATCAAGCACAACTGACTTATCATGGATATTTAGATCACTGATATTAATTATTAAGTCATCAAATTTGAGCTTTTGTTTTTCTATCATTTTTAGATTTAATTATACTTTCACTATATCCAATAGCTCTAACTCCATATAGATCTAGGCCATCTTCGGTTAAAGTACCAGTTTTATCGAAGCACATTATTGTTATCTTTCCTGCAACATTAACTTTGTTAGGTGAGATACAATAGATCTTCTTCTTTTACAATCTTGCCAAAGCGAAAGAAACTCCAATTGATAAACATGTAGGCAGAGCAGGAGGTACTGTAATTGTAACTAAATCAAAGGAATTTATGATAAACCAAAAAATAGTCATCTATCCATTTTTAATACCTTCAATTGTGTTTGGTAATGCAATTAGCCATCCAACAAATGCCATTATGGCTAAAACTACTAGAAATAATAGTGAATCTTTATAAAATGAAAAAGTAACTGGTTTTGGATATAAGATTGATCTAACTAACTCACCTTTTATTGTTGAGAATCCAGTTTGAGTTGCAAGTGCCAAAACAGGAATCTTACTTTTTTCAGGATGTCTTGCCTCAATACATTTTGTACCTGCATAGAGAGTGAATGTTTTTGAATCCTCCTATGGATTGTACATATTACTATTGTATGGCAACTACGTTTTGATGATTGGTATTGATTCCCCTGTTAACATAGATTCATTTACGATGGCTGATCCATTCAATAGTATGCAATCACAAGGAACTGTCCAATCGTTCTGTACTTCGATCAGATCACCAGGAACAATGTCATTTGAATTATATTTTACCCTAGTTGAAATTAGATCATATGGAATAATAAGAGATTCATTTTCGATTCTTATTCCATTTTATTTTCTATACAAATTTTCAGTTGTATTTTATGCAGACATCTCTCTAAGCCGTTTGAAATTGGTCTTTGTTTCTCTTAAACTGATGATAATAGATATCAAAGAAGAAAGCAGTATTACAATAGCATAATACGTGTATGACTCTATTAACCATAAAGTAACGCTGAAAGCTTGGAATAAGTAAAATGGAGATAGCACTTCATCTATTAATATTTTGACTGTAGATTTATCAGGTATGGTTGTGTTATTATATCCATATAATTATGCAATCTCCTGGGGATTTGATAAACCTTTACAAAATTACTTTATGATTTCTTTGTGCTATAATTTATAAAATGATGTTTCGATAGGCTTGAATACTCCGTCCTCCAAAAAGTAAGAGTAGAGTCTATAACTAAAAATCTTCATTTTCAACTGCTTCTCATTTTTCTTTATCTGTTTCTCCTCTATTTTTACAAGTTCTATTTCATCCAGGGCAGAGTAAATGAGCAGATGCGTTGCTTCATCCAATAAGCACTTTTAAAATTTTAACCATATATTAAATTTTTATTCCCATCTTGTAAATAGATATGCTAAACCAACTACGTTTATGAAAAATTATGATTACGCGATATGACACAAAAAAACCAATACATAATTTGCTCCCAAAATGGCGATTTGTAGGGAACTATTTATTTGATAATGCCTTCTTCTTAAATGAATTTGGGCATTACAAATTGCACTTAGTAAAAATCAACTTTGCATAACAATTGTTCTTCTACGGGTTTTACTTTCATAAAGTTTAATTTTATAAAAGTTATTTCTCCCAAATATTTACCTCAGCTGCTAATTACGTCATTTTAAGATAAATTGCAGTGATCGAAAAAAATCAAGTTCAAAATGACATCTTTTTATATTACGTAATAAATTTAATGATTCTTTCAATTGAAATAGTAAGTAACTTTCTGTATTTAAAATAAAATTAAATTAGACTTGAAATTCAAAATGTAATTTCGCTACCTCATCGTCATCCCTATTATTAAACAAATTTGGTTTGCATTCATAAATACAAATAAACCTAATATTATTATCATTAATCTCTTCATGAAAAAACATCTAAGAGCCAATTCTACTAAAGTTGAAAATAGAACTCTGTAAACATAGATATATTATTAATATATTTTGCAATAATCAGTTTTCAAATTTTTAAATTACTTGAATTAATTTCTAAATCGATCCAATTTTATTATTAATTCAAATAATAATCAATAAGAATTAAAACAAGCAAGATGAAGTTCTTAATAAAAAAAATGAAAGAGAGTGCTCTCATATCAGTTATTTAATCCTTTCCTTACATTTTTAATGAATAGAAAATTAATAATAGAAAACTATATTTAAGGATTATCCTTGAAAGTATTGTCTCAAGATTTGAAAATCCTTAGAAAATTGGAATCAGTTCATATATTCATCGAGAATTACAAATATTGTGATCAGTGGATTGGAAGAATAAAGTTGCATTAAACATAAATTAAAATTTACATAAATACAAGAGGGTAATTAGAATTTAGAGAATCATAAGCTATATTAATATGGTTTAAAATACAATGGTGATGGTAATATAAAAATAGTAAGCACTATGATTTAATTTAGATAATTTTGATTATTTCAAATACATAAATTACTTTGATTTTCAGTTCCAAGAATAATTGGAAAGTGTTTTAGGAAGGGAATCCAAAAAATTAATATAACAACAACCTATGATAAATTAGATATCACTTTATATAAAGTTGCTAAATAATATTGGATATAATTCAATTCAAAATATTACAAATGGATTTATATAAAAATTATAATCAAACTAGTAATTTCATTTAATACTAAATGTTCTCTTTCGCAATGGGGATTTTTTAGAAATTCTCATTTATTTAACGCAATTAATAAAAGTCTAATCTACGCATTTCATTGGGACATAACCAAAAGTCTAACGTAATCTATCTGGGTTTAATAGATCAGTTGATAATAATGATCTTTGGGACAAGTAATCTTAAGATTGCACTTAACCAAATTTCACCTTAAATCTGATTGGAATTTGTGGAATAATTGGTTAAAAGTGAATTTCTTCTATTTATTTTGGAGCATCTTACACTTTAACCATTTAGAGATTGATTTTTTGTGATATTACTTTATCTCTGATTTTCTACATGGAACTCCGATGATGTAATTGTCTCTATGATAAGGCTCTTGGTTTAGAGATGGTTGAGAATAGTCTATAATTATCAATAAACTGCCGTGCACAAATTTTCAATAATTTGCATGAGGATTAGGTTTGTGCCTCTGAACTTCTTAATTAATGAGGGCAATCCTCATAGTATAATTCCATGTCACCAAAATATTGGTTAGTAGTAAGATGAGTGATTCCATCGATTTTATTGATTTAGTTTTTTGATTCACCAGGTTCTTCTATTCTTCTGAATACTTTCAATTTAACTTCACCGCTGACTATAAAGTACACAAAATCAATGGGCTAATTCTATTTAAAGATGTAAGTGAAGGGAGAATAATACTATTCTTCGCAATTCATTAACATCGCTAATAGAGCACTGTCTTTCCAGCCTTCAAAAAGTGAGATCGATTTTAGAAAATTAAATTTGTAGTCGTTCTATTGTTAGCCTGCCAATGATAAGATCTTTTGATAAGTGTCATAAGTAATAACTGCTAATTCTAATTTTGTAATGGAACAAACAGAAGCATTTCTAGGTCCTTTCTGATGCAATGCAACTTCGCCAAAATATGTTCCTGCTTTTAAGATGTTGACAAATTGATATTAGAAGTACCTTCTCTCAGTAATCTCTTGGAATGTGTGATATTTGCCAGGATGTGGTTTTGCATCAGCATTTTTTGGTTTGAATATGCCTACTGTACCGTCGATTATAAAATACATTCTTCTGCCTATGTCACCTGCTTCAAAGATAGGCGTAAGTGGTGGGTATTTCTCATATTTGATTTATTCAAATAGCATCAGATATAATTGGGCATCTAATTTAGATTTCAAGTTGCGAATATAATCGAATTGCTTAAAAAAGTATTCTTCTAATTCTTGGATTTGATCATGATTCCTTAATTCAGTCTGCAGAATAGTTTTAATTTCTTGCATTATATATTAATAACTAAAACAATGAGTTAAATAAATTAATGAAGAGTCAAAGTATTTACAAGAAATCCAATCCAATCAGGTCCACTTGCATCAAGTCCATTGAAGCTAACCAAGAGTTCTACTTGGCAGTTATTGAATAATAGATGTGTGTGAGTATCTGTGCTTATAATGAATAAACTGGAGAAGTCTTTGTCACTTAATTTTTAGATTGCACCACTTTCAATATCACTTCATCCACAATCTTGAGATTTGCCCCCAAGATCTTGATCTCTATTGAAAATAATGAAAAAAGCATGTTTTTTAAATAATTGGAAGATGAATTGAATGATACTCTGATCTACTTTTTACCTCTCAATGTGTTGCAAATTAAATTCGAACTAAATCAATTTAGTAAATTTGTAAAATAATTAAATTAACTCCAATTATGCTATACTGCATTGTCCTACACTGTCAATTAGCATTTGAATATCCAAATCACCAATTTTCCAGTTCAATTCTACAACATTAAAGAGGTCCTAGTATTCAACATTTAAACAACATTGAGTTTAGACATCTTAAATCAATTGTATAAATTATTCAAGCCCATAACAAATGGAGGTAAGAGATTACTTAAAGCAAATCTACTCTAACCTTTTAGTACTTTACAAACGATTCACATAAGATAATAGAATGTAAAGGAAATGCTTGGCAAAGATGATTCTACTATTCAATCCTTGAAATCACACATGTTGAAATTCAAACAAGTTGATACTTTGGCTTGTTAATTGCAGAGCAAAAGTACTAAACTATAGGATCAATTATAATAAATATTCAAGATCTACAATTTCCAAAAGGACATAATAAATTTTACACATTACTTGAACGATTAAAAATTGAATAATATCATGGATATAGATATCAATGGGATTTTAATGAGTGATGAATTCCAGAATATTCTAAAATAGATAGAGTAATACATCGATGTAACTTTATAATTGAATAATATCGAGGAAGACACTCTATTTTTCATTATGTTAAACGAGAAATCAAATAATTTAAAATAGAATCGATTATAATTTATAGCATTAAGATAGGAAATAAACAATCTATTTTAAAGGTTGATGTCATGTTTTTGTCTAAATTTGAAATGCAAGAAGCTTAAGACCAATGATAATTCAATAAAATGTCTGAAAAGTGGGTACATCTTTGAATTATCTGTAAATGAAGCAAATAGAAACAACATAAATGAATTAGATATCAAGAGAATAGTTGAAAAAGAAAATGATTCAATCTCCTTTATTGATAAAAACAATAAAAAATACAGCATTCTTACTGAGAAACTTAAGGATCTAAACAATAAACTGAATGATTGCCAAATGAACATATTATAAGAAACCTAACTCTAAGTTAACAATTTGTATGAACAGATGCAGAAGTTTTGTTCTTGGATATTTTCTCTTAATTGTTTGATCAGTCAATTTGATATAGCACTTTGTATAAGAGATTATACAATTTAAAATGTATCAAATAAGTAATAGATGATATTCCCTCAATTTGATCATAACTAATTCATTATCAAGGATGCGTCATACCTATACTCTGTGAATTCCCATGATACATTTAATAAGTTAACAGTTTCATTCAATTAATTTAATATCATTTATGATTACAAGGAGTGTTTATCAGAATAATTGAAACTAATAGGACAACTGATCATACTCTCACAAATTGGATGTACATTGCCTTGTTCACAATTCAAATAACAGTTGCTAAGTTGTATATACACTCATTTTCAAAAATATACTATCTAAAATTTAGCAGAGAGGTAATCTTCATTTACTGCTGAAATTTAATCATTGAACAATTTATTGGTTTCTGAATTGCGTGATTCCTTAATTCTATGTGACTCCTTAGCAATTTCATCTTCACATGAATCGAATGTGTCCTTTAGCATTTCATTTTTGGAGGCTATCTTCAAAAAAACTCACTTTGGTTTGTTTGGAACATAAAATTCTGATATCATGCAAATCAATGATTTAATTTAATGCAAATGCATGATATCAAATACTAATTAGATTGACTAAATCTAATCGAACGAATTGGAAGTAATTATTATTTGTTATCTAGCAAATTCTTGACGAGGAATTTAACTTAGATTACAAGTTGAAGTTACTAAATAAGCTACAATAAACCTTTGATTTCCCTTCAACCTTTTGTTTGATTTTTGAACGTAACTTTAATAAATAATATGCTTGACAATACTAATAATTATTATTTATTTTAAATTAAATACAGACTTTGATTTCTTATTCAGATTCAATCTAATCTTATGGAATTGTTATCAAAGAACGAGAGTGGGTATATTTTACAATTACATAAGAAAATCAACCATAACTCTTAATTATTAAGTAGAATATATTTTATTACAATTATTAATGCTATTCATAACTCATTACTACTGATTACTCTTGCTACAATGACTGTAATATCATCGCTTTTTCCTCCCATAAACCTAATTCTTGATTTTTGAGCTCTTTTGGCAAAAGGAGAGCTGTATGATTTATCTAACGAATATTAGAAGGATGTTTTTGCCAATAGTTAAGCAGAACTTTGACTGACTCCATATTCATTGATAATCTTCAAGATTTAATTCTCATCAAGATTATCATACAATCCATCTGAACCCACTATTACAATATCATTGATCTGTAAAGTGTGCTCGAATTCTTAGGCTAATTAAGCACTATCTCCCTAAGGTCCCAATTAAAATGGGAAATTAAAGGAATGCTATTACTCCTGTGATTGATGCAATATTTCTTGATTTCGGATAATCGTATATCCACAGTCTCCAATATTAGCCACTTTCAGTATATTATCAATTAACTTCATTAAAACCAATGTACTGCTTCCTAAAATGTGATTTGTTAATTCTGAAGCAATCTGCATAATCTCTTTAGGATTATCCAAATGAGAATATTCCTTAATGCTTATGTTAAACCACATCTGTACTTTTCACAAAGAGTTTTTGAATACTTGGATGGATCAACTCCTTGATTATTCCAACCTCCAACTCCATCTGCCACTGCTAGTAAATTCTCGTTTGCATAATAGGCATCCTCTCCTCCTTTAGCTACTTTATCTGGATGCGGAATGATGTGAACACTATTTACTCAAATTCTATACAAGGATTGAAATTGCAAAGAGTAGACTTCAATAATAAATAATAAAAAAATCATTAATATAAAATATTCCTTATGTTGGGTAATTAGATAATGATAAAATAATAGTTAAGAGGAAGATATCTATACTTTGATTGGACAGAAGAATCAAATATATAAAGCTCCATTTGCATTTCAACTAATTTGAATCAAACGATAAATTATAATGATTACTAAATATGAGTGGCTTTGCATACTTATCTAAATACTGATGAGATGTAGTATCTTAAAGTTTGATTTGAAATTAATTCTGAATGTCCTATTCTATTAACCTAAATGAGGCTTGAATATCCAAATTTTAAGGATTATGTAAATGTTAAAAGATTAAATTAAGATCATTATCCTATATATATTTGTTATCCAAATTTAAAAGATTTAAGTTAACCATAACGAATATTTGTAAGATTATAATTTTAATATATAATAAGAAATTAGGTTTGTATTAGGTATTTGTCTGAGAATAGGAATTTCAATGTGCAAATACTTTGATTTTGAAATTAATATAGTTTTTATATTTTTCCTAAATATTTTTATGGTCTAAACTGAATCTATATTTGATGACAAGGTTTAATTATTAATTTTTCAATATGAATTTTAATTCCTACCCTAAATGTGGACTGGTGATTCTAATTCTGATTAATTGATAAATAGAACTGATTTCATCAAGCTTACTAATGTTCTTGAAAATTCAACAAATTTATTCATAATTTAAATATATATATAATTATTATGCAATAAGCAAATCACGTAATCTATGAGTTGGAAGATGATGATGATAATAATAAGTAACAGACTTCTAAGCAGGTAAGGAATTTTATTATTTGATTTAGTAAATCAGGATTGATAGAAAATTAGGAGCAGTTTCTTATAAAAAGTGGGGGACATTATATAACTACTATTTCTCCTTCAATTTGAAAAAGGGAAGATTATTGTGCTATAAAACGCAGACATCTTCCTCTTACAATAATTACTACTCGTTAAACAAAGGGGATTTTGTCAAGGATGAATCAGAAATTACTCGATTTGAAAACAGTTTAAAGAAAAAGAAAAATTATGAGTTTGTTCAAAATTAGAAGGTACATATGAATGAGTGAATTTAGTTAATAATTTATGTTCGAACAGCAAAGGGAAGGATTTTCAAATTGCTAATCGATGAAAATGAGAATTACGATAAGATTGTGGGGTATTTGCAAATTTGTTTCTCCTCTAAAATTTAAAGTGTGAATTCATTTTTTGCTTTGCTTGGAGTTGGATTAGTTAAGGTGAATGATGAAGAATTTAAATTAACTACTGGTATCTTTGTATCTTTGAATGATTGGTCAAAAACAAATAACAATAAATATTTATTAATGAACCATGATTAAGGCTTAAATTTATTAATAAGCAATATTGAGTTATTAGGTGGAATAATAGGTTCATTCTATAGAACCTAAAATCTTTTAGGAATCATCTTTAACCCATTCACTCAGACCATTGATATCGTTTTATTTGATAATATAAAGTAAGTAATAAATCCTAAATATCTTTAGTCCTAAAACACTATTGCAGGGAGTCTTCAAATTAGTAAAATTTAGTAAGAAACAAATCCAACCATCAGGGAGAGGTTAGCTTTTGAAATTGAAGACTGATATGAATGAAGTCAAGGACAATCATTATGTGGAAATAGCATAAAGTGAAAATGTCAAAATATACATACACAATGCACATCTTAATATATCAGATTATGATTTGGTTTAAGGATCTATGTTTACATCTTAATATATAGATGATGAAAATGATTTGGATGCAGACAAACTGCTATCAAACACAGCCTTAGAATTCTATAAAAAGGAATACAAAGTGATAAACACTAATGAAGATGAAACTAAAGAGTTTATTATTGTTAACAAATAGCAAAAGCAAATGAATTTCAATAACTTTGCTTCGCCTAGATGCAACAAAAGATAGGTGTCCATAACTACAGAAGATGTCAATGATGAAAACTAAGGCCAAGGTGTTTAGATAGCAAAAAGCATAAAAATACACATGCATAGATCAGATCAAAATATTAGTTAATTTCCAAACATTACACCTCCCAAATTAGAATTCATCACTGAATTTCAAACTGGATGCTTTAATAATATTGACAGCATTGATTAGGTCCAATAAAATCTATTCTAATAAGAATAAATAAAATAAAATGGAAACCAAGAACAAAATATACCGTTACAATAAAATCAAGAAATTGAATAATCTAAAATACTCTAATGTTAAGCATAAGAATAAGACAATGATTCAGAAGAAATCGATTTGGTTAAATTTTCAATTGTTTTTGAAGCTTCAGAACATAGTCCATATAGAGATTTCAATTCTATCATGAATTACGCAGTTAATTTTAAGAAAATTGATTACAAGGATGAATATAGAGTTAGCATTGCTCATAAGAGTGGAGGAACAGCTTGTTAAGATAAGAAGATGATTGAATTAGCAAGAAGTGTTGGCAAAAATATGATTAAACAGGTAGGTTAGAAATTGTTAAGTGGTAATTTCAATCTTACATAAGTGTCATTTCCAGTAATTTAATGTCTTAACTATTTTAGATTAAAGCTATGATTCCGAAATCTGCCTTAGAGAAAACCTTTATGTAAACAATTCTCTTTCCACTTTATATGAATAAGGCAGCATCCATTTAAGACCCTCTGGAAAGAATGAAACTCTCTATTGTTGGATTACTTTCCAATTATATTTAAGCTAACTCTTTTCTAAAGCCTCTCAATCCTATTTTAGGAGAAACCTTTGAGGGAGGCTATGAAGACGGCACTTAATTGTTTTGTGAATAAGTACCTATTAAGATTCTATATGTTAGATATCGCATCATCCTCCACTCTCTTATTTCTTAGTTTTTGGACCAAAAAAATCATATAAATTCTATGGATATTCCCTTTATGAAGCCAAGGCAGGATTCAATTCTCTAACTATACTAAATCATGGAAAAAGAACGATATAATTTAATGACTAAAAAATCCAATGCACCTTCTCATCAGAACATTACTCTGGCACTTTCTTAGGAACAATGAAAAATGAATCACAAGGATCTCTTTAATTTATAGATGATGCCAATAGTAAATAGTTTAATTTATCAGTAGATTTAAAATGTACGGTTTAATTGGGGAAAGTCAAGAGTAAACCAACTGATTATTTTGAAGGGGAAATAAAAAGAGGTAAAACCACTTTGAGTAAATTATTTGGATCCTACATGGGTTTTGCTGATTTTGATGGTATTAGATATTGGGATGCCCGAGTTATCAAACCCTTTGCAATGCAAATATTAAAATCTAATTTAGATTCTGATCACACCAAAAGAACGGATAGAATCCTTATGATATAAGGAGATATGGATAAAGCACAATCTGAAAAGGAAAGATTGGAATAACTTCAAAGAAAAGACACAGCCTTGAGAAAGGCTTCAAGGTAAAATGATTGAATTTCTTTTTAATTAATTATATGTATTGTAAAATATTAAGAATGCATTATTTATTTACTCATAAAAAAGAGCGAAAGAATAGAAATATTTGTATGTCAATATATAAAATTAAAAGTATTTCAAAATCATAAAATCACTTAAACCCAAAGCATAGTAATAGCATTACCAGGAACTCAACTGGTTATACTATGTAAACTGCTAGTGGAACTACTTAAGTTATATCATCTTCGTATATTGACGTGAGTACTATTATTGAATCTAAAACTAAAAGAGCAATTATTTCTAAAACTTGTTTCCATAACTCTCTCTTTTTTGTTTAACGATATAATTTAACATCTTCATTCTCTCTTTTCTTTTATTTATAATGATATTTCATGTCTAATAATGTACTTATAGTAGAAACCACAATCAATTTTCCATTTAAATTATAGATATAAATCAAAACTGTCCATACAAGCCAAACTAAGAGTGTAAAAAGATAAATTATAAATGTATGAACTCCAAAAGTGAATAGCAATTAAATAATTAAGTAAGCAATCATTATAATAAAAGAGTTCTCTTTCAAAATACACAGCTTAGAATCATGACCATTATATTTATCTCTGCAAACGTAGCAATATTCATGATTACAAGATTTACAAGTCATATGATTGCATCCACCATTTTTCATAATTTAAACATCGCAATTAGGGCAACGGTGAGCATAATAAAACTCTTAGAAAAAACATAAAAAGTCATTCTTTATGTCCTTCAAAAACAAAATAAAAATCTTATTGATTGATAAGCATTGTTTGTCATACCATTTATAATTACAAGTTTCGCATTCTAAAAATTCTTTGCACCTGCTAGATGGTAAAAAGCCATAAGATTTGCAAACTTTATTTGGACAAGATCGGATATCTTGACAACTTTACAAATAATTTTTAAATGCAATTTCATGGTACCTATCCAATAAGCTTTGTTCTATGATTTCTTTTAGAAAATTTTGGATTGAACTAGGTTTATTACACTAATAATTTAAGCAATTAAAGTTCTCTTTTAAGAGTTTTTCTGGATTTTATTCAAACCAATTAAATACACAATTATAACAGTATCTGCATTCACAGCTTTTTCCTATTACAAAGTTTAAAGTATATTATAAACAAATTATACAAGGATCTTCCATCTTAATTATAATTATTATTCTTTATTAATAATAAATTTGATATAAAACAAGCAATTCTGATGCATTATGATGTATTGATTTGATTATAATTTAAATTTTATAATGTTATATTATAAAAATGCATTTAGATAACTGTTATATTTTTAATATAAAATGAATAACTATCTTAACATCACCAAAAAGAATATAAAAAATTAAATTTAATTTAATATTTTTGATTAACAAAGCCTAGAGAATTATTTTGTTGATTTAAAGTTTTTATTTTGAAGTATCTAATTATTCTGATTCCCCTCGAAATATTTTATAATATTAAGAAAAGAATTTGAATCCTTAAATTACTTAGGATATATGATCTAGTAATAGAGAAGAATTCAGAATTATAAAGAATTACTAATAATTAGGAATATATTTAATTAAGAATATAAAGAAACCAGATACTTTAAATAATTGAAATTTTGGAATATTGATTTGATTTTGTGATAAGTCATTTTCTGGAATCTGGTATAATTGTGTATTATATTTCTAAATTGAACATTAAGGCGTCAATGTCAATCAAGACAGCCAGGACACACACTATGAACAAGATAATGGACAATCTTTGTTTTGTCTTTTAAATGTTGTAAAATAATAATTGAATAAATATTGCTTTAATGTCTTCTGGGGGTGATGTGTTATATAAGTTCTACAACCTATAATAATTATTATTATATTGGACGGTAACATTTGGAGGGTACTTTTCTTATGTATAATTCCAATTAACAAAGTCGCCTAGTGGTTTAGATGGCAATTTAATCCAGACACTTAAACCCTTTGCTCTTTATTAAAGCAATTCTCCTCTCTGATTAATTAAATTGGTCATTTGAAATATGAACAACTATATTAAGAAGCATAATATAAGCAAAATTTAATTAATTGATGTTGATTACTCCAGATAGGTTAAAGCATAAATGTAGGCTAATTCAATTTCTCTAAACATTATATTTTTCAATGAATTCTCTAATGTAAAATGCCTTTCTTTTTGATTTTTGGTACCCACATAGATATACATAACCAACCTAATTGTAAGGATCATTACTGATAACACATAATAACTTATGATGGCAGGGAGACAATTCTAAAATTGGTCAAAAACAAATAAACTGCGTCTAAACAGTAGATTGCGTAGACCATATTAAAGATCATTTAATTGGATGAAAAGAATTCAGTTTTGCATAATTTCTTCAATAATTTTCTCAATATTGCAATAGAGCCTAACAAAGTGATTTTAGTTATTCCAAATGTTAAGAGTGTTGTAATGGCTATAAATGCAAATTAAAATTCATAATACAATTTACGTTGAAACGTTGAATTGTATATATCTGTAATTCTTTGAACTCTTTAATAATCTAATTACATTTGTTTTAATATTAATAATAATGAGTAATAAAAACAAAAATTCATTTGTTATTGAATTATTCTTCAATCATAAAATGATTGTCTAAACGATCTCAGTGATCTCATTTATTTATTATTAGTCAATCTCCTCTCTGAGTTGTTGTTGCTTAGAACATGCTATTCTTATTAATCTTGTAAGATTTTTCGAGGAGACATAAAATAACTATTTTTATTTAATTTTTTCATTTATTCTTTTAATAACTCAAATTTCTTTTGATCATCCTCCTTAATCTTTTAATCACGCAGTATTTTTCTATTTTGAATTATTTTATTTAAATCTTCTTTACATTTAATAAGCGAACCTTTTTTGTTATAATTAACAATTTTATTAAAACATTGACTATACTAACTTTACTCATGTCTCAATTAAGTGCTCTTGCTTCTCTGAAACTTGCTTCTATCTTCTTCCAAAAAATTAATACTTGAACTGATTAATTAGTATACTAATTTTCCTAAAGAATTTTGCTATTGGGGTATTAATAGAAATAGCTTCTTGCATTGTATGATATTAGTATATTCAATCTTTCTTTCTAGAATAGTTTCCACCATTTGATTTAAACTGCAGCTCATCAATAATTAAGCCAATAGCCAATCTTTAGTTTTAACTCCCTTGACCAATAAAATAAATGCTTAGACACATTAAAACACATCAGTTGCAGGTTTTGCAATCTAGTTTCAATTAGAAACATTTTACAAGAAATTTGTTTTTATTCAGTTATTTTGCTATTAATCTAATAGATTCTTAAGCCATTCAGAAAGATAATTAAAATTATAAAAAGTATTATTTAATAAACATTATGTTCAATTCACAATAGAGATGCATTTATCTCAAAATTCACTTTTAAGCTAGTGAGGGAAATTAATATGAAAGTGGAAATGCAATGATAAAACAAAAGGTTATTAAGTTATTATAATACAATTGATTCTCTATTTACAACAAGATTAATACTATTCAAAGTGAATTATAAATTGAAATATTTATAGTAGACAGATGCATTTTGAAATTTAATACAGATTTTTGGAATATTTATAAGTTAAAACCTGGTTGATCATTTAAACCATTTGAAATAAGATGCATAATTCGATATTTTATGTTGGATTTCATTTTTTTGATAGCTGGACTCTGTTAGGAATGGTTTGAATTAGTGTATATAAATAAATTTTAATATATATCTTTGATTATATTAATTTTAATAATGAGCAGAACTGCATCAAGATAGTAGAGCAGAGCTTCGATTATGCAACCTTAAGGGTAAGCAACGACCCAACAAACCTAATAACCGGTTTCTACAAGTGCTCCAAAACCTTTGCCTTAAGCACCCGTTTCTAATGAAAGAAAATGGCTTGGCAAGAATCCAGAAGTGGTGTGCTTTTTACTTGCTTTGGAGAATGATAGGTTGGTGAGGGAGAACAATGACTTGGTTAAATACATCAACGAATTGAAACAAAGTAGTGGAGGGACACTTGATTAGTTCAATCAACTAAAGAAATAATATGAGGAAGCATTGCAATAGATTAACAAATAGAAGTAAGACTTATAAGTGAATTTAGAATTGACATAGATGAATTAAACAAGAGGATACGTTCATTGGAGTAGGAATTGAGTGATGCCAAAAGCAAATACGGACAAGTGGATTAAACTTTACCATAGAAATTAGCAGATGCAGAGAAGAAATGGAAGGAGTTCGAGAGTTTGTACAATAACTTAAAGTTGAAATACGACACAGATATAAGGGATTGGCAATTGAAGTACGACGAGTTGAATAGAAAGGCATTGGATTGGGAAAGAAGATACGGTATCTTGGAATAGTAGATGAAGCAAATGCAAGATGATCACGAATTAGAATTAAGGTCAAGTGGAGATTCAGCCAAATAGTACGAGGATCAACTGAGGGAATGGGAATTGAAATAAAATGATTGGGATAATAAGTAAAAGGCTTTGAGGGCAGAATAAGACAGATTGAACCAACTACTAAAAAACAAGGATGATGAATATGAAAGATTGAAGGCTCAATTGTTGGCTGCCCAAAGAGAGTTGGATGACTATAAAAATAAGTTAAGGGAAAGTGATTAGGCATCTGGATCAAAATTCACAGAGTATGAAAGTAAGATTGCTGAGTTGAGATTACAAAATCAATAATTGAATTAGGATTTGGAGAGGTTGAAAAAGAGATATTAAGATTTGGAGGATTAATTAAATAGATTGCAATCATAAAATTAGAGTTAGGACTCAAAGGTTAGTGAATTGTAATCCAAGTGTGGAAATTTAGAAAATGAAGTTGAGAAGTTGAATAATGATTTAAGAGATAAGGAATAAGAAATTACTAAATTGCAAGGAAAACAAATGTAATTGGAATAAAGAAATAAAGAATTGACAGATGAAAATAATCTACTGAGAAAGAAGGTTGCTGATTAGAAGGCTGAAATTGAAAGATTGGAATTGGAATTAAGATAGAAAATAAGTGAAATTGAATATTATAATTTGAATCTAGTGAATCAAGATGAAAGAAACAAATAACTGTTAAATTAGGTAGATGATCTCTAATTTTAATTATAAGATTTCAAAACTAATTATTAATAATTAGAAGAAGACTTTAATAGATTATAAAAGAAAAATGAAGACTTGGAGAATAAATGCGCTTTGTTCTCTGCTGAAATCGATAGAATGAAGAATATTATCAAATTGAAGAATTAAGACTTAGAAAAATTGAGAAGACAAATAGGATCACTTGAAATTGAGAAGAAGTTCTTTGAATAATAGATTGAAGATTTGCTCAATAAGATGAAGTAGATGCAAGATGAAATTGTCAAACTCAATGAGTTATTGAAGGAAAGACTCAAGCAATTACAATAATAGAATAACACCATTATATCCTTAAATCATTAATTAGGGGAGATGAAAGCATTGCAAACCTATTGTGATTAACAGGATAAGAGAATTAATGAAACAACTAATAAACTTAATGAGGCCTTGTTGTAATTGTAATTCAAGGATATTGAGTTGATGAACATATCAGCATTATAGGCTTCAATATAAGAGAGAGAAAAATAAGCTGAATTATTGAATAATGAAATTGTTAGATTGTAAAATGATATCATCAATAAATTGAAAGAATCAGATGATTAAAAGGAACAAATCAAAAAACTCAACGATGAAATTGCAAGGTTGAAGACTCAAGAATAAAATCTTCATGATATTGAAAGAAAACTACAAAATGCTGTCGAAGAAATTAACAGATTGGAATCTCAAAAATCTGATTTGGAAAATCAAGTTTCTGTTAATAGATAATCATCACCTAAACATACCATCACCAAAGAGATACGCATTGAAAAAACCTCTGTTTAAGTAGATACAACAGAGATTGATAAACTTAAACAAGACTTAAGATAGAAATAATTTGAATTGGATTAATTGAACAATTAATTATTGATCTCTTAAAATGCATTAAAGTCTGCTGAAGACTATATTGCAGTCCTATTAAATAGAATTAATATCTTGAATAAAGAAAATGAAGACATGCTCTAAGGAAAACAATAATTGGAAATCCAAGTTCAAGATACCAGAACACTTCAAGATAAACTCTAGAATTTAGAAAAGCAATTAACTTAATTTAGAAATGACAATGAAAGAATCTTAAGGGAATTCAAAGAGAAGAGCAAATTATATGATGATGCAAGATAAAAAATTAGTAAATTAGAAGCCTAAGCCACCGAAGCAAGAGAATTGTAAGCCAAATTAAGAGAAATCGAAAACAAATTAGTATTTGCTTAAACCAATCAAGAAAGATTGACTGCATAATTAGCTGAAAAAACTGAAGAAAACAACAATTTGAAATAGAATTTGTAAATTGCCAACAATGAAATCACCAAATTGAGTGAACAACTACAACAACTATCAGAATAGTAATTTAATTTCTTATCATTTATCTAGAGAACGTTTATTGAAAGAACAAGTTAACCATTTATTATAAGACAAAGATGCCTTGGATAATCTTAAGAGACAACATGAAGTTCTTATTGCTGACATCTCAAAGGCTAATTAAAATATTGATCAATTGTAATTTTTTATTTTTATTGCTCTCTAGGAGCATAGAAAGGGATTCTTTGGATAATTAACTCAAATAGAATTAACAAGAACTTGAGAAATTGAGAATATTATAAGAGAAGGTAATTTTGCAATATAATCATGTTAGGTTAGATTCTTGGGTGGAGAATGCAATAAATTGAATGATAAATTGGGTAGGGCTGAAAATGAATTGGATAACTTTAGAAAGAGAGGATAAGAGAATTCCGATCTTAACAAATAGTAATAAGATTAAATAATTTATTTAGAATAATAGACAAAAATGGTTAAATCGAGAGACTAAATAAAGAGTTAGAAAATCTAAGAAAATAATTAGATGGTAATTATTGATATAAGTTAATTTAACATTAAAACAATAAAACACATTCTTGAAATGAGTTCTTTTATAAAATTAATTTATTCTTTTGATGTTCAGGAAAATATTATTCAGATTTAGCACATACAATTTCATTAATGTTACTCAAAAGGGAAAGGTTGCCTTGATCTAATTCAACAGACCAAAAGCTATGAATGCCCTTTGCGATGGATTAATCAAAGAATTAAACCAAGTAACTTAGGAAATTGACTCTAATCCTGAATATGGATCAATAGTTATCACAGGAAATGAAAAGGCATTTGCAGCAGGAGCTGACATTAAAGAAATGTAAGACAAATCTTTCCCCTAAGTTCAAAACATTTAAATGCTTGCATGTATTAACATTATCATCTTTAGCCTGGGAAAACTTGACCAATATTAAGAAACCTATTCTTGCTGCAGTTAATGGATATGCCTTAGGTGGAGGATTTGAATTGGCTATGATGTGTGATATTATTTATGCAGGAGAGAATGCTAAATTTGGATTACCTGAAGCTACACTTGGAACAGTATGAGATAATCATATTTAACTAGATTCCAGGATGTGGAGGAACTCAAAGATTAATTAGAGCAGTAGGAAAGTCAAAAGCCATGGAAATAACACTAACTGGAGAATTCATAGATGCACAAACTGCACTATCTTATGGATTAGTCAGCAAAGTCTTACCAGTAGCAAACTTAGTTGAGGAGACTTTAAAAGTGGCTGAGAAAATAGCTTCATTTAGCAAGTATTTTATTAGAATTATCATGATAGACCTGTTGCTGCATTGATTAAGGACACCATAAATGAAGCAGAAAATATTGGATTGAGAGAAGGAGTGAAATATGAAAGAAAGGCATTCTATTCAACATTTGCAACCTAAGACAGAAAGGAGGGAATGAGTGCATTTGTAGAAAAGAGAAAACCTTCTTGGACTGATAATTGAGTATTATGAAAATATATTATATAATTAAATTATGTAGGTATAAAAAATCAATGGATCTGGAGTTATGATTTTCATTGAATGTAAACAGGAGATTTATGTTCTATTGCTAAGTAGCACTGGAAGAGGTGGAGTTTTCTTCACTGAAGCAGGAGGCAAATTAGAACCAAGATTAAATACAGAAGAAAATGCAATCAAAGAATTGTTTGAGGAGACTTATGCTACTTTTAAAGTAAAAAGTCTTAAACAATCTAAAAATGTCATAGTTAATAATAAATATGTTTGCTTTACTATTAAAATATAAATGGATGATTTAATGGACATCGAAAAAATAATGAAGAATAATAGGAAAATTTTAAATGAATAAAAAGGATTAAATAGTTATAGAGAAATGTTTGGCTTTTAGTTCGTTAAAGTGAATGATTTACTATAGTTAAAACAAAAATCTATTCAATCTAATGGTTAATAAATTTCTTTACACAAAAGAACAATAAATTCATTTGAGGAATTGATAAAGCAAAAAATTATCAGAGAAGATTTTACGGTTGATGTACCAGTTTCCTAATGTTAAGTACTTTAACATTAATATGAGAATTAAAATGATAAATTACATTCACTAAACAAATAGTGTTATCTTAGTATTTCATGATTATTTAAGTTATGAGGATATACCCCTTAAAAATGAATATTTAATTTAGCAGTTTAATATAAATTAGAAGCTCAAATTAAGTAAAAATCAATTACATTTTCTACTTCTTAGTTTATAAGGTGACTCATTTACTTTTACTTTTTTAGTAATTAATGGTTCAATTTCTTAACCTTTATTTGAACTATGAATCTCAGAGGAGTTCTAAGAAGAATCAATAATCTTTGTTATAGCTTCTTTATATTCATCTAGTGATATTTTACCATCTTTATTCTCATCCATTTCTAATAGTAATTAATCCCATTATTGCTCTTCCTAAACCTAGATTTTACCATTAAACATCTTCTTAATCTCTTCAATTTCCAAAAATCCATCTCCATTTACATCCAACAATTAAAAGGCTTGTTTGAGTTAATCAGCAGAAACTAATTTCTTCATATCTACAGCAGCCGTTAAGAACTCAGTGAATTCAATGAAACCATTGTGATCAGTGTCTATTCTACTAAACAAATCTTTAATATCAATTCCATTTGAACAATACTCTTTCAATTCTTCCATGCTTAATTTACCATCCCCATTTTTATCCAGCTCTTAGAAGGTTTTCCTCATCTATCGTTATTACTCTTAGGTTAAGTTTTGTTAAATCATAAGATGAAGAGTGGCCTAAACCAATTTGCTTTCACAGCGAAAATGTGAGAAATGCTAAAGTCTAGATTACATCTCTAAAGCAGATATTTCAGTAGAACCCACTTCGCTTTTCCTTTAAATCCATTCGCTCTCCAAGGCTTGTTATGCACTGTACCTCTTTGTGGGATTTTATTACAATAAATTTTTTAATAAATTTTTAGCCTACACTGAAATTGTCTTCCATATCTTCTATTTCATATTGAATTTCTAAGATATTATCATTTTTTCTATCTCTTCTGTGTTTTAACCAGGAAAGGGAGTTTCCCCAGACAACAATATATATAAAATGACACCGCAAGACCATAAATCACACTTTTTGTCATAACCTTTCTCTAACAATACTTCTGGTGCAGCATAATCAATAGTTCCAATTCTTTATTTAATAAAATCGATGTTTGTGAGATCCTTACTCAAACCCCAATCGATTATCTTGATGTGTTGGTCAGTAGGATCAATTAATATATTTTCTGGTTTAATGTCTCTATGGATAATGTTTTTGTCATGTGCATATGCTATACCACTCAGAATTTGTTTGAATATATATCTAACCTCCTCTTCTGTGAATTGTTTATTCGACTTAATTCTTTTATGAATCTCATCAAATAGTTCAACTCCGTCACACAATTAGCTGATGATATAATAGAACTATTCATCTTAGGCTATTTCATAAACAGCCATGATATTCGGATGGTCTAATTTTTTCATGTTCTCAATTTCATTCTAAATGGCACAGTCCTTCTTTGCTATTATCTTTAATGCTCGCAATTCATTGGCTTAATTTTTCACTTTGTAGACCTTCCCAAATGTGCCCTAACCTATTTAGCAGATTTTCTCATATCTAGACATGATATCTTGTCGAATATTGACTATCAGATTTCCTGAATTGACTATCATAATTTAATTTAAGTATTGCAAACATATATTATTTAGTATTAATAATTGATTTTAAAGCATTATTTATGAATGATTTAGTATAAAAATGATACTTAATTAATGATAAATGATATTTATTCGTATAGAGATATAACTTAATAATATATTATAAATATATAATGATGTTTCTCAATTTTTATAATGAGTATATACAATTTACTCGATTTTTAATAGACTTATTTTTATCATCTCATTTATATGTTAATCATTAAAGTTTTTAATCCCTGATAATCATAAGGGTTTAATTATTTGCTGAAACAAATGAGTCAAAATGATAGTAAAATTTGGTTTCTTTATAATGATTTAAGCAGAGTATAATAGATTTGAAAATATCTATATTTCATTTTTCATTAGAAGAGGAATTTATTTAAAACTTGGTAATGCATTATTAGTTTTCAATATATGCATAGAACTAGTTCAATCCCATCCGCTATGAGCATATAAAAATATTTTTCATCTTAATTTCATTAGTTAAATAATCAATTAGCTTTAAGATTTTTGCTGAGGATTGATCTAATCAAAATGAGCTTACTTCTAAGAAAATGAATATAAAAAGATTACATGATTATAAAATAGATTGAAGGATTGAAAATTAATATTTTAAAGTGCTCAAGTGCACTATCTCAGAAACTCCAAAATTAATTAACAAATAAGATTCAATAATAATCTATTATAACAAGGAAATGAAGTTTAAGTACTATTTCTGTCTTTTTTAAAATTCTATTCATTATTTCCAATATCAAAGAACAGGTATTAAGCTTTTTTGAGTATATGTTTATATATTTAATTTATATTATAAAATTTTCATTAATGATAATATTATCTAATCGATAAACTATCATTCTTAACCACTTAGTTATTATTGGTCTTCTCTCAAATTTGACTCCAATAACTATTATTAAGATTCAATTTTTAGATTCAACTCTGGCTATTGCTATTAGGACTGCTTTTAATTTGAATCTTAGGATTATTGTATATTTTCATTATCTAATTAAGATTGTTTTTATTGTTTAGATTCGTTCAACATTTGTTCTTTCATTTTTCTTCTCACAATGTTATTCTAATTTACATAATGCAACTTACATTAACTAAATATTTGGAATAAGGATTGAATTTCTAATGATGAGAACGACATTGGGAAGGAGATCTAGACTTAATGATATCAGACATAAGTTTAAAAATCTTATTTGTTTTTTTTAACTCGGAACTTTCCATAACTTCTCGATGTTATGATAAAAATGTTAAATAAACTTAATGTTCCTATGCACTCCAATGACCTTTTATATAAAAAAATATAATACCATTATTGAACTAAGGATTATGTGATTTTTTTATATGTTTTCTTTTTATTTTATTATCCCCAAGATCTTTTGTTTGACTATAATTGATATTTTCAACACCCTAATTAATAATCTATTTACTTAGAATTAGTTTAACAATGCTGCATTTAACATTAGTTATTATTATAAAAGTTATTGGGTGAACAAATCCATTACTCTAGGTTCATCAGTGATTAGCGGGATGTTATTCATTTGTGAATAGAATGATGACTACATCTGCTTTATTTACTCTAATTAGACAGTTTAAAGAAAGAAGTCTGGATTCTACATCATTTAAGAAAATTGTGGTAATAAAAAGGCAGGATCAATCTCTGGTTTGTTTATTTCTAATTATAAATATTATTTATTACAAAGACAAGGAGAATTTTCTTCAATTAGTGGAACTATGCAATCTTTTGAAGATGGGTTAAGACGATCCATAAAATATTATTTAAATTTTAATTAAGATTTGTATATCTGATTCAGATATAAGAATTTAATTTAATCATGTTTTATATTATTCAATTATTTCTTGTTTTTAATAAACAATTGCTACAGATATTATATAAAAAATAGCAAACACAATATCTTCCTAAAATTGTGCCCATCCAAATGACACGCTATCAGTTGTGATAGCCATTTAAGATAAATTAATCATTTATTTTCATTTTTTGACACTTTTTCTTATATTTAGTTGTCCATTCCAAACTGGGGTGATAATTATATAAAATTCACATCTAATTTGAATATCTTATATAGAATATTTTGATTATGCTACTAAGAATAATTTTATTAATAAAACATATAGATTATATAATATAATTACGCAATGAAATTACAATAACAAAAAAAATTCCTTAAATCCAAATTTTTTTGTTTTTAAATAGACTATCAAAAATATTAGGAGATGATATTATATAGCTAAATGCAAATTAATAAATGCGTAATTTATTTAATCATATATTTAATTAATGCCAATTTCTATAATTTTTATCCTTGTGGGATTGGTTGAGGTTTCAAATTCCTAATGGTAAAGTTAAAATAGTTTCTTAAACTATGATTAGAAATTCACTTAAAACACTGGATCAAATGCTTATATTTATTCAGGAAACTTTTTATTACCTTCAAGCTAAACTACTGCAAATTTTATCACTTGCACATCTCCTCCTACAAGCTACATTACTTTAAATTAAATATATCCATCTGCCTTAAATTATTATAATTACTAATTCAATGATTAGGATTGGATATCTATGGATTTTTATTTTCAGGGTACATGGTCTTCTGAAGATGTTAAATTTACCTTAGGATCATTTTCATACCCATACACCTACAAATCCCCTACTACCTACACAATGTCAGCTGGTTTTTGTGATACTACTCGTTTTGAAGTTAAAACTGTGAATTTTACACTCTCCCTAACACAAGGTACAACTTCAGGATAAATTACATTTACATCCTCTAATTCAAATTCAGGTTTAGTTTCGATTAGAAATGTCTATGTATCAAGATTATAATGTTATCCATCATGTATTAAATGCACAGGTCCAAAATACAATTAATGTACATACTGCTATTATGGGATCCAAACAAACAATATTTGTCCATCTTGTCCATAAAATTAATACTATTGGAAGAACATAGGGTGCAGAGAAATTTGTGAGATATACTCTCCATTATATTAGAATGGATTTTGTTAGAGTTATCCAAGTAATTATTATAAATTAATATACTTAGTTTCTCAACTAGATTATGGTTATATCACATCACCAGTCACTTAAACAGAAAATTTGAAATGGTAATAGATATATGACCCACTACATGTAGATACAACTCCAACTATTATTACTTAATATCCATATACATATGGAGTATTTAAGTTTAATTCCGGAGTTTATAGATATTTCAATACATTGGCTTCTTATTCCTTTTACACTTATTTGATTGGATTGAAAATAACAATTATGCTTTATAATGATATTCCAATTAATTGTGGAATATAGTTTAAGATTAACAATACTTACTATGGATCTATTTATAGAAATACTTCTGGAATTCAAACCCATAAATTCAAAATCTCTTAAACTTCTACTTATGGATCCTATTCAACTTATTCGTCAAATACAAGATATGAATTAATTTCATATGTTGATATTCCAAAATATCCATTTCTATTTTCAGCAGTAGGAAATTATACGTAAATATTATTTATTAAACTTAGCGATGGCACAGCAGGATGGGGTATGTCTTAAGTCTAAACTACTTCAGGATATTGTTCTTAATATTGTACATTGTGTGAAGTATCATTTAAATGTAAGACTTGTTAAAGTGGTTTCTATTTTTATCGAGATGGTAGTTGCATAAGTAATTGCATGTCTCCTTATTAGAGATTAAGTGGTTCTTATTGCTATGATTATGATGATGAAACACCTTGTATTGTATAATATCATATATAGATTCTGAATATTTGATTTAAGAATATATAAATCAAGCAGCTGACCCAGGATAATATGCGTAATATACTTTAATCTCTCAAAATGGATTAAACTTTTTAAAAGGTTCAGATATCTATTTTTCATATTGGTAAGGATATAGAGTCTTTGGAGGACCTTTTGTATGGGCGTAGGCTAAATTCTAAAGGGTTCATAATATAATAAATCCACATCACAGTGTTACTATTGCATTTTATATTTTATATGGACCTTCATTCCCTTCAGATGGGAAGTTTATATATACAATTGAAAGTAATGCACCAGTCACTAAATCAAGTGCAAGTTCTACTAATTCATATTCTGATAGTTCAAAATCTGATAAAGTATATGAAAAAATCCTTCATAATACAAATACATTAACAATAACTTGGGAATGCTTTGGTCCAAATAATGAACCAATCAAGGCATATTGTGGAATCTAAAATTATTACATTGCTGTACATAATTGCTAACCTTATTGTTTATAATGTTCAGATTAATCAACATGTACTTTATGGAACAGCACTTATGATTCTAACATAGTTAAATTTTCTTAAGCAGAATGCTAGAGTAATCAATATTATGATAAAGAATCTGTTAGATGTTAAACTTGTCCATCATCCTGTTTAACTTGTTCATCCAAACTAGATTGTTAAACATGTTAATCAACTTATACCTAATCTAAATTAGGATGTACTTGCACAATACATTAATATGAAGATTCAAATTAATGTTTTGATTGTCCTATTGAGTGTAATTAATGTTTAACTTTCACTTACTGTATAGAATGCTTAATTACTAATAATAGACAATTATCCAATGGATAATGCGATTGTATTGATGGATATTATCCAATTGTGTCAAATCCTTAATGTTAGCTATGTCATTTAATTTTGTAAAACTTGTATAGGGCCCACTTCTGATGAATGTTTAACTTGCAATGATATTACTAATATTGAAAAAGTAGGATCAACGTGTAGATGTCCAGCAGGATCTTATTATTAGGATGCAACAAGAAATTGTTTGTTTTGTCATTCATCATGCTTAACTTGCTTTAGAACCACAATTGATGGCTGTTTAACATGTAATTCTACTTTAAATAGATTATTAAAAGGGTTAAAATGTGTTTGTGCACCTGGTTATTATGAATAAAGTAATTTTTGTACAAGTATATTTAATAATCATATTATAGATTGTCCAATTACAGAAGATCCATCTCTTAGTGAATGTTATAAATTGTGTAATAATAATTAGTTGATATGGCATACAATAACTTGTAGTTCTTGTGATACTGGATTTCAATTAGTATCTGGAGAATGTCAACCTATTTGTGGAGATTTATAAATCAAAGGATATGAATAATGTGAAGATAATAATACACTCCTTAATGACTTATGCTATAATTGTTAATTTTAATGTCCAGCTCATTGTTTAACTTGCGATTCATTAACTACTTTACCTTGTCCTGATGTTTGTGGGGATGGAATCATTTCAGGAGTAGAGGAATGTGAAGATGGTAATACCATTTAATATGATGGATGTTTTAATTGTAAATATTAATGCTAACCTTAATGTACAAAGTGTATAAAAGGACAGTGTTTTGAGTGTGCAACTGGAGGTTGGTTTATTGATCCATTAATTACTCCTTGGTAATGCAAAGTTCGATGCGGAGATTAATTGATATCTGGAGATGAATAATGCGATGATGGAAACACTTCTGATACTGATGGATGCAAAGATTGTAAGTACTTCTGCAGAATTGGTTGTTCATCTTGTGATTATACAACCAACACATGCTTAAGTTGTGCACTCCCTGGGTTTGTTCCTAAATCTTACTATTGTTAAAATGTATGTGGAGATGGCTTAGTTGTAGTAGATCCTAATGGATTTTTCTAAGAGCAATGTGATGATGGCAATACAATTAATTATGATGGTTGCAGTAGCTCTTGTTAATTTTAGTGTTAGCCAACAACTATTTGCACAAGTTGTGTAAATAATAGATGTGAAATATGCGCTACTGGATATTATCTTTCTGATAAAAAAGTATGTATACCAATTTGTGGAGATGCTTTGATTGTGGTTGGTGAATAATGTGAGAATTCTTCTATATTACCATATAAAGGGTGTAATAATTGCTAAGCGAAATGTTAATCTTCTTGTCTCAATTGTAGTACTTCTGGACTTGGTTGTTAATAATGTAAAAGTGGTTACAATAGAATTGATAATTTATGTTATTCAATTTGTGGTGATAAAATAATAACTGAAGATGAATAATGTGATGATGGCAATTTGATTATTGGAGACGGATGCCATCTTTGTCAATTTAATTGTTAGGACTCATGTCTTTATTGTCTTTAAGGAATCTGTTATGATTGTTAAGAAGGTTATTAATTAATATAATCTAAATGTTACTCTATATGTGGAGATGGGCTATAGAAAAATAATGAGTAATGCGAATTTAACACTTCATTACAGATTTATCAAAATTGTTAATCTTGTAAATATATTTGTGATTTGAATTGCTTATTGTGTTAATTTGGTATATGTTACCAATGTAATGACGGATATGAATTATCCTCAAACAAATAATATTGTGTTAACTCTCTATAATATAATTTAATGATAATAGAAAACTGTCTTATATAAATTGGGAATATTTGTATTTAATGCGAAGATTATGCCTACTTTGAAAAGGCTGAGTAGAAGTGTAATTTAATAGTAGCACCATTGAGTTTTTGTCAATATTAACTTAAATTATCTCCAGATTTATATTGTAGTTATTGTTTTGATTATTGTACATCTTGTAATGAAAATAATTGTATAGATTGCCAAAATGGTTATTATTTAGATGAAAATTTTTCTTGTATTTCATTTTGTGGGGATGGAATATTAGCACATGATGAACAATGTGAAATTTTTAATAAAAATTGCTTAAGTTGCATGTTTGATGCTCCAAAATTATGTGAGCTATATTTTGAAGATCAATGTTTTGAATGTGAAAATGGGTATATTTTTAATTAGTACAATAATGCTTGTGAATCTTAGTGTGGAGATGGAATAATTGTCCATGATGAAGACTGTGAAGATAATAATTACATCGAATTTGATGGTTGTTATTATTGTTAATATTCTTGCAGTTAATACTGTATAAATTGCCTCAAAGGAGTATGCTAATAATGTGATCGACATCATCTACTTAGAGATGGATTTTGTTATGGAAAACAAAATGAAATTGATGTATTTCCAGAATGTTAATTTAACTTAAATGGAGAATGTTTAATTTGTGAGGAAGACTTTTAATTAAATGAGTATGGAGATTGTGTTCCAAAATGTTCTGAAAGCTGCATTCATTGTTATAATGGTTAATGCTTTGAATGTGCAGAATAATATGAACTTTATAATGATACATGCTTGTTAATTTAGCAATGTTAAATAGGATTGCATTTAAGTTAAGAGTTATAAATTTGTTAATCTTCATGTGGTGACGGATATGTAACTGGATGGGAAGAATGTGATGATTAAAATATGGAACAATTTGACGGTTGCTATTAGTGCAAGTATGAATGTGATGATAATTGTATCGAATGCATATATGCTGAATGCTTTCTATGCTCTTAAGAATTTAATTTAGTCGAGAATAAATGCTTATCAAAATGTGAAGACACATGCCTTAATTGTGTTTAAGGAGTATGTTAGTTATGCAGTAGTGGATATTTCTTAAATGAATATTTCATTTGCGTAAAAATAGACTGTGAATACGATTTTAGTTGTACTTCACATTGTGGAAATGGCATAATAGAGGATATGGAATAGTGTGATGATTAGAATCTATTTAATGATGATGGTTGTAACAATAATTGTGAATAAACTTGTGATGTTAATTGTACAAGTTGTATTGATGGCGTTTGTTTTGAATGTAAAGAAGGGTGGAAATTGGGCTTATTCTTTTGTGATCCAATTTGTGGAGATTTAATTGTTGTGGGAAATGAAGAATGCGATGACGGAAATTAGAGTAATTTTGATGGGTGTTTCTAATGTAAATACCAATGTTCTCAGCATTGTGAAATTTGCTTGAATGGAATATGTCAATCTTGTTAACTTAATTACCAATTGGATTAATTAAGTAATTCTTGCAAACCAATTCAACCCTTGCTTACAATTAATGAATAGCCTAATTGTAAAATATTAAATAATAACAAATGCATATTTTGTTAACATGGATATCTTGATTCATTTACCAACACATGTATAATTGATTATAATATGAATAAATGCTCTAAAAATTGTAAAAAATGTGTGCTTTCCAAATGTTTAGAATGTGAATTTGGATATTATGGTAATAATTGTATGCCTAAATGTGGAGATGGTATTATTGTTTAGGAAGAGGAATGTGACGACAGAAGTGAATTCTAATTAGATACTTGTTTAAATTGTAAATTCTAGTGTCCTCAATATTGTAAGTCCTGTGCTTATGGAGTTTGTACTAATTGCATTTCAGGGTTCTATTTGGATATTGTAAGTAATTCATGTAACTCTGTTTGCGGCGACAAGATACGAGCAAGGGATGAAGTTTGCGATGATGGCAATGAATTGAAATATGATGGTTGTTATTAGTGTAAATATTAATGCCAAATGGAGTGTTTAGATTGCTAATTTGGAAAGTGTACGTAATGTGAACCACCTTTAATACTCGTACCATCAAAAAGTATGTGTGAAGAACGAAAATCATGTAAAGGTCTAATAGGATTGTATTATGATAATTATAGTAATGATTGTTTGCCACAATGTGGGGATGGTATTGTTGTTGGCCTTGAATAATGTGAGGATTAGAATAATATTCCTTATGACGGATGCTACGAATGCCAATATTAATGTCATAAAATGTGCTCTAATTGCCAAAAAGGATTATGTTTTGAATGTAAAAATGGATATCATTTAAATGGCCAGTAATGTATAACAAAGTGTGGAGATGGTATTAAAATTGGAGATGAATTATGTGATGATCAAAATGATGTTGTTAGAGATGGTTGTACTTTTTGCAAAGTTGATCCTTTGTATAAATGTGAGGAAGATTAAAGCCTATTAACCTTTTGTTACAGATGCTAAGACAATTGCGAGGAGTGCATATATAACTTGGATATGGTAGAATGCAAGCGTTGCAAGACTGGATATTTCCTTAAGGATAATACTTGTAATTCATGTTCGGAAAAGTGCGAGGAGTGCGTCAATACTCCAAACAACTGCACAGTGTGCTCAACTGATGGTTGTACAAAATGTGATAATATATCTGGGTTTTATCTGGATAGAAAACTAAAATCATGTGTTACAAAATGTGGAGATAATATCCTCGCAGGAAGTGAATAATGCGATGACGGAAATAAAATCGATAAAGACGGATGCAACTCTAGATGTGAAATTGAAAAAGAATTCATTTGCAAAGAGAGCAGCTGCTATGTACCACCTGAGAAATAAATTGGTTTGTAATATACCAACTCAACTACTGCTAGTGATTTCGATTTAATATTTAAGGATCTCAAGATAGATGGTGTTTGTGAGAAATTGAAAATTTGGATAGAAGAATTTTAACCTAATGAATTCAAGTATGAAGTTTCAATAAAAGAAGGTGAAAACTCAAAAACATAAGCTAAGTGTGAAATCAAATTTAATTTCTTTAAAACCATTATGGAATACAATCTTATACATTTAATAGTACCATTAAAGGAAAATATCACAAGAGTTCTTGAAGAAGAAACTAGAGAGATTATTATTACACCAAGAAGATTAATTTATTATAATCAAGATCAAAAGGATCAAGCTTAAAGTGTAGTAGCTGCATCATCAACCTTAACTTTTCTCCTATAATTAATTGGGCCTTTAACAATTATTCTCGGAGGATTCAATTTTTTTTGGACAATTTTGGATATATTGACTTGGATTAATAATTTTTATTTTCTAAATGTGGATTACCCTTTGAATGTTAAGTTATTATTCAATTAATTTCAATGGGGTGATGTGATTAATATCCCTGATGTTTTCACATTAAATTCACCAGATGATCCATATTATTTTGAAGCACCTCCAAAATTTACTGAAAAAGATGTCAATCCATTGTTTTTAAATAACATTTAATTATTTAGTGGGTTAATTTCGCTAGCAATTTTGGGTTATTTTATTTCAATTTGCATTGTGTCATTTTTATAAAGTAAATATTTATAGAATAACATGAAAATACATAAAATAGAAATATTTTCAGTCAGCGAGATGAATAAGAGTCTTGAGATGATGTCACCACAAAAATCGCAAATGAAACAAATTAATTTAAAAAGTTAAAAGATGCCCTATATTATAAATCACGTATATAATGAAATTCTATGGTTTAAAGAGAATTTTAGAGCAAAGTTACTTTAAATTATAGGATTGGTGTTTTTGGATATTTGCTTAGCTTGTGTTCTTTAATTATAATATAAAGCAAATGAAGAGTACGTAATAATAAAATTAAATATTGTTTTGGCTATTATTGGAGTTATTTTTATATTGATAGTGTTTAAAATGTACTCTTTTGTTTGTTCCTAACATGAGATTTTGTATGAGAGCAAAATGTTTTAGAATTATTATTCATCCTTATATGAAGGTATCGATACAAAAAAGATATTGGCTAGAAATTATTGTTATGTCAATTTAATGAGAAAAGCCTTTTTTATATTTTTTACAGTGTACTTTTATTAAGTGCCATTGTTATAGACGTCATTATGTTGTTTAATTTGCTTTTTGAATTTAGCTTTGATTTTGTATTAGAATCCATTTGAAAGTAGAAGTGTGCTTATATAATCATCAATACCTGATTTTTGTATATTTATTATAATTTTTATTACTGTTTTGTTGGCTATTCACGATGTAAGCAATATATTTTCATTTGATCAAAAGTATTTTATAGGATGGATAATCTTATTTTTTATTGGGTTCTCAATATTCGTCTAGATGATCTTTTTGTTTTAATAGTTTTATAGTAATTTGAAGGAGAGAGTGATATAATTGAAGGATTATTTGTGTAAATAACCAAGTAAAAAAATTTGATTTTGAATGTTGTGTAATTATTTAAATAAGAAATATATATATATATGTATAAAGACAAAGAGAAATATAACAAATTTAAATTGATTCTTTATATAATACTCTCATTACTTGAGTGTTTCTGGAGCATTACCAACTTTGACAACACATCTGTATTTGGGTCTTCCATTCAACAATTTGTCATAGGCACCTTTGAAATTTTCAAACTCGAATTACTCGCAAGTAGGGTAGATCTTGTGCTTATTGACAAACTCAAGCATTTCGTAATTTTCCTAAGGGTCTTAATATTAAATATACTTGTCTTGATCCAACAAGAGATCCAACAAAGGAAATTTATCTTACAACCAATGCGAAAAATGGTAATTAGAGTTCAACCTTTGTGAGTGCTGGGATACCAACCATCACAAAATCACCTCCACTTTTGATTAGGTTTGTGTAAGCTATGAATTCATCAACTGTATTAGCACTGGCACAACTCAAAATCATATCAAAGGTTCCATTTGCCTTAGCCATCTATTCTTGATTCTTTGTGCAAATGAAATCAGTAGCACCATATGCTCTTGCCTCTTCTTCCTTATCTGCTGATGTAGAAATGGCTGTTGTTCTCATGCCCAAAGCAGCAGAGAATTTGATTGCTAAATGTCCAAGACCACCGATACCGAGGATACCAACATTTTTGTTGGCTCCAAAGTGTCTCTTGAGTGGAGCATAGACTGTAATACCTGCGCATAAAAGAGGAGGTGCAAGATGTTGAGGAATTGTGTTGGGAATTGGGAATGCCCATTTTGCTGGCAATTAGACATGAGTAGCAAATCCACCAAACTTGGGGATTGGAATCAAATGCTCATTTCCAACTTGTCCACACAATTAATCATTTCCTACAATACATTATTTGCATTTTCCACAACTATCTCTGATAAATCCTGCTCCAACCAGGTCACCAATTTAAAATTGAGTGACTTAGTCTCCTCTTTATACTACATGACCTAATATTTCATGTCCTGGAACACTTGGATAGCTAATTGGGAACCAATCTTAATTAACAAGATGACCTTAAAAATAAATCATTCTATTTACAATCTGTGTAGCATAAACCAAAATATGTCTATTGAATTCTAACTTCATCTGGTCTGATGGGAGGGAATTAAAATGGATAGAGGACAGCCTCTGTATTTGGACCCTCAAAAGACCATGCAAATGCTTCAGCTTAATCTTTGCTTACTAATTTATAAAGACTGTGTTCCTTTGTTGCCATTAAATTATATTTATTTATCTTTCCTCATCAAATACACTTGTCTTCATAAATATTCTCAATCCACTCATGAATCACCGACTCTTATCAAATCAGAATTTAGAAATTTCTATATAATATTTTATAAAACAAATAGATGACAACTAAATCAGTTCATTCAACAACATCCTTAAAATCGATTAGATTTCTGAAATACTTTAAAATTTTTCAAAATTTAAGCATTTATTTTCGGAAATTGAAAACTTAATTCAAAATTCAATGATTTCAATCGAAATACTCCTGAATTAATTAGGCTGCTTGATTTTCATTGAGATTTTTCACTTTCAAATAAATCCAAAAGTAGCTTTCTTAATTCTGCTCAAATATGATGAAGTATCACAATAAAATTAAATATGTTATATATAATGTTATTTATAATATCAAATGAAGCTTGGAATATATGAAGTTGGGATCATTCCATAGTCTGTTAAATAATAATATTTAGAACTGTAAGCATTTTCTTAATGGCAATATCTGGGAAAAAATACATTGTCTACAGTTTTGATTTCACTTTTAGATTATTTTATTGCATATGACAAATATTAAGCAATAGAAAATTTGGCTAAACCTAAAAGCAGTTATCAAAATGCATATAATATTAAGATTTCTTAATTTATTTATAGTCTGCTGAGCAAGAAAATAACTCCAAAAGAATTTTTCACATAGCTAAAACTGTTTGATAGTTCTAATGATAGAGGAGGAAATTTATTGGAAGAGTTTTGTTATTTGTAAGGTTTAAAAAAGATTCCGAATAATTTAAATTTACTAATTCAAAGTATTGCCAACTTTTTTTCCATTTCTATAAATTTCATTAGACAGAACATTATAGGTAATTCTAGTAAATCTAAAATATTGATTCTTTAATCTGCAGATGGTCATTTTTTAATTAAATAAAGCAGTCCCTTGATTTAATATATAAACCCACGCTAATAAATATGTCAAATGTGTTCGATGAGATACGATGACTATTTTATCACTTAATGCCTACATATATGTTGCAATAAATGTTTAAATGATAAAATAAAGAAGACAAATTAATAACTTTTTATAGTATGCTCTAATACTTGCATGTAAAAAATACATATAAAAGATGTTCAACAATATTTAAGTAAGGAACTCAATACTTAAAAGTAGCAACAAGAATATTCAATTAACTTAACAAAATCATAATAGTTCACCACTAATGACAACTCAAAATCCAACCCAAATAATCCTGGAGTTGAAAATTAAAAGATAAATTCAGTTTATTGTAACAACTTTATTGATTCAAGATAATAATAATAATAGAAATGTAATTATTGTTAATAATCTAATGCTAACAACAAATTCTTTATTAATAATTCATGTGGCCATAAATTTTGCACTGATTGTTTCAAAAGAAAAGTCATGACTAAAACTTAATAATGCCCAGTAAAAGATTGTTATAGATATGTTGATCTATAATTATATTAATAAAGAGTCTAGCTAGAATAGGAAGCTACTTAAAACTAACAGCCTAATTATCCATAAAATTAACAGCCTAATTATCCATAAAATTAACAACCTATTTAACCATAAAATTAACAGTTTGCTAGGTGTAGTAAATGTAAGAGCGAATACAGCTTGAATAGTTTATATAAAGACAAAAGATGCATCCATTTTACCTGCTTCTCCTGCATTCAGGTGCAGGTTCAAAAGTTGCTTTAGAATCAACCAAATTAAATTATTATTACATGTCCTTCATGTAATAATATATATGGAGGAGAGTTTGAAAAATTTTATGACTAATCGCAACTACGTTTGGTAGAAGAGAGAATTAAATATGACGAAAAATTTCAGAAGGAAGATAAGGAAAGGGAAATTAAAGAAAAATAATAATAGCAAAAACTTCAATAATAGTAGTAAGAAGAGCTATTGCTATAACAATAATCACCATAGAAGAAAGTTGAGAAGTATCCCTATGGAGGCAACGATACTCAAAAATAATAATCATAAATATAATCGCAAAATGATAAATAAAATAATTCATCATCGGTCAAAGACCTTGTAGAATAAAAACAACCTATTAAAATCAAGGAAGGGTTAAATTAGCAAGAATAAGGAGAATGCACTATGTGTTTTACACAATTTTCAGAATTTAATTTAAGATAAGACATTGATTGTTAATACCATGCTATAGGGGTTTGTTGTAGGACGAACTGTGACAGATGTCCATAGTGTGAAGCAAAGAATGCAAATCCTAGGAGTATTAGAATAAAACGTATTAATTAAAACATTATTAGCAAAATTGGCTTTATAAACATTCACCTAAAAAGTGGAATTTTTAACCTCGTCCAATATCTATAACTCCTCAATCAAGCAATATAATTACGGAAATGCAGATGATTACTCAAGATTAAATTCTCGATTTAATGTAGTGTAAAGTCAAATAAAATCCTAATAACGAAATAGCACTATGGACAATAACCTTTTCAGAAGTTAGGGTTTATAAAGTAATGTAGTAAGTGTTTATGGGGCAGGATACAAATATTGAATTTGTGAATTAATTTATGAATTAGTTTTGATGTTAATAAAATTAAATAAAAAAATAATCGATTGTTTTTAGTAATTAAGTTTATATAATTTGGATTACTATTTAGATTTTTATTAGTTTAAAGATTTAACATCTATTGACTAACAAGTAGATTACAAACAAATGTGTTACCTGGTAATATAAGTTTGATCTAGTTATTTTTACTTAAATTTATTAAATGCAAAATGGATTTTTATCTAATTATGTTAGTCTTAAATTACATTTATATAATTTATCTAAATATTCTGTCTTCAATTTTATTTTCATTTATTAAATTAGCAACCTTTTGAAAGTAATTATAAAGGAGATTATAAATCAAATGTTTACTAAGAAATAGTTTTCCAGGCTAAGTATTAATATTTTAGATTAGAAATGTGTAATATTCTGACAGTAGTTTCTTTAATAATAGAGATTTTGATTAAATTTTCCTCCAAATCTTTGCTTAACTTGTTTTCCTTATTCGAAAGAGTTTATATATTAGGAAGACTCCTGAGACTTATGAGACGGACTTTAGCTATTGTTAAAGCCAAAAGTTTTTGTAAATTAGTCAATTTATAACATAATGTCTCAGCTAATCTATTAGATATAGAAATGAGAATGAGATCAATCTAAATTTAAGGCATAGGTATCAGCTCTGGTTTCATAGATATTACTTTTAACAACATTTATCCCATTCTCTAAAATGCATTAATTACTTAAGATAAGTTAAAACCACAATAAATCCCTTTATTGAGTTGCACTTGGCCATAACCTTATTTGATGGAATTAAATTGTAATTATTGTAACTTGATCCAAATTAATCAACTTTGATTATTATATCTAATATAAATTATTAATTAGAAATATTAATAGAATTGAGATTATTTAAATGACATAATTTGTTTTGTTATTAAATTATATAAACCAAAAATGATGTCATTTTTAATTTATGCAACCGATTTATCAAAGATACTCTTACATCCCTAAATTTCATTACATTGTTAAATAATCATATTGAATTTATAAAAAATCAGTAAGTGGGGATTTGTTTGCAATTTTAAAAATAATATAATTCACATAATATTTACATTTCGATCAGTTGGACGAATTATTTTGATTATTCTGGGGATGAGCTTTTGGTGTCACAGTTTCATATAATTCAACAATATTTAACCCCTTCATTTTTGGTTGTTGCTACATAAGAACATAGAAATCTTCATCCGTCAATTTCAATTCGTCATCTATTGATTCTGGTATTTGCAGGTTCTTTCCCAAGAATAGACTTTGCGATTGATTCAATTATTAGAATTATACAACCTGGTGAGGGACATCAACCATAGACTAAGGCATCTAAATAATAGATAATAAAGAATTACAATTTTTAGGATATTGCGATTTTAATCATCTATCGAACTATTATCTATGATCTCTTATCTCAGTTCTTGATTATTGTTCATATTCTCTATTTTGATGGCATTTTTTTTCTCAACATCCTATTCAAGTTGTATAAATTTTAATCTGATTCCAATTTCATGACAATTTCTGAGCACTTCCTTATCACTTAAGGATCTAACAATGAATTATAACCTCGAAATTTCGTAAAGAGTATTTGTTAAACACAATTTGTCAGAAGCAATCTTCAACAATTTCTTATAAGTATCTAGGAATGAAAGTGCTACTCTAGAATTTTGATATCTGATTTCGATCACTTTGCCAAACAAATTCTTGATGAAAGTAACTTATTTCATTTAAGGGTAGTACATCTCGATTAGAGTTCTTACTACTCTTAATTCTAGATTCTTCTCGTTAATGAGATAGGCAACATGCGAAAAGAATAAAAAGAATGAAATGATAGATCCGATGTTTGCTAGCACCTCAGATATTTTGGGATACTCAACAAACACTGTTTACTGCAAGGTTCCCAACTCAAACTCAAATACAACATACACGTCCTCACTGAAGGTGTGAGTGAAATAATCCAAGTCCATCTGCTGAATATATTATTAAGTCGAACTTGGAAACTCCATCATCTCTATGCTCTCCAATAAAAACCCAGTGTCTATGGATATATTTGATGTGCATATGGTGATTTGACTGAAATAGGTAGTTTTGTTGTCGATGGAAGCATAATAGTCTTGTTCGACTAAATCTAGTTGTCTTGTTGAAGTATTGAATTAATTAACAAATGTTTGGATGTTCAGCTGGTTCTATTTTTGATTAAAGAACTTCTTTATTGTATCTTCATTTGCACAATTCCAACCTGAGGGTAGGAGATCCTAAACGCATTGTTATAATATAAGCATATATTCCTTATTTGGATGATCCAGGGATTCATGTTCATTGTTTGACAATACTATGTCTTTGAGCTCTATTAGTATGGTTTCATGTTTCTCGGATTTCTTAGTCGAAAGTAACGGATTTGGCTATTGAATCTCATCATCAATTATTTCGTATAGCATCGGTAGTAAGACTACATGATCTGGATCAAAAGGGTCAATTTAATCTTAAATACTTTTGTGCCTTCTCAAACAAAAGGATGCTACTTTATCAAAAGATAATTAATAGGTTTCAATTTCTGTGCTTAAGGATGTGATTTTGGGAAGTATTCTCCCAGATCTCCACAGGACCATTTCGTATACCAAATAAGCTAAACTTAACCCATATAAAACAATCGAAAGCAACCCTCCCAAAGAGGTTTTGTATTGAACTTCTCCATAGGCATAGCTAGGTTTATAACTAGCACCGAATTAGTCAATTCTTCTTAAGAATTCCCCAAAGTTATTGAGCATAAATATTGTTATTTCTGATTTCTATTTTTAATTTGCATTAGTAAAATGACACAATAATGAGTATGATTTATAAACTAAATATTAATTTACGTCATTTTTATATTAAATTTAGAACTTCAAGCGAATAAGAATAAGAAAAGGAAAATCCATTTCCTAAGGTCCTATTTATAATTTAGGTAGATTCTTAGTGTGTCCGTTTGATGATTCGATTGTTATAAATTAATATTATAAAATTATATAAAAAGATATTAAAGTCAAAGTATACGATAATATTACAACACTTAAATTAATGATTCCCTTTTTACTGGTTTAGACAAATAGTAATCTAACCCATTTTGATAACATTATTCTTTTGTTTCATTATCAGTAAAGGCAGTGCAAGCTATGATGGCTATAGAAAACCACTTTTTAATTTGTCGAGATGCTTCCCATCCATCCATCAGAGGCATGTTTATATCCATAAATATCAATTAGTATTGACGATCACTACATTTCCCACAATATGCTATCAATATCATTTAAAAAACATACTTTTTTTTTATTTCGAGTAAATCAAATCTACACACTCCTTTCCATTGAACACTTGATCAGTATTCAAACCAAGTTATTCTAACAAAATCGATAATGCTAATATATTAATCTACTCATCATCCACTATGAGTATATTGGGACAACGACATTCAATAAATGATTGATTGCTTCTCAATAGAAATGACTATTATTGCTATTAATGCCAAGACTTTATGTATTTGATTCTCGCCTAATAGTCTTCAACTGAACATTCATTATTGACTGTGTCAGTTGAAACTGCATCGATAAGTTCCTACACAAAGCGGATCTAACTATGAGGTCTTCTATGTCTAATTTAATATCCCTCATTAATTTGTTCATTGTTGATCATTGCATGCGATAATCTGTTTCGCTTATTATCTCTTTGTAATGTCTCAATTCCAGCATTTACCTCTGTCTGTCTTGTATCGATAACAATCTTCTTATTGAGTATTATCAATGGACTTTTTGGATTGTTAGGCTTTACATCTGGACTAACAGTCTGAGGGTACACAAAAAACCAGCAGTGAAACCCTTTTCCTGGTTATGTCTCAAATCTGAGTCCACCTCCTTTTTCGAATCTCTATTACGATAATGCCTCTGCAATCTTATTGCTGATGAAGAGTCCCAATCCAAACCCTGCTGTGTTCTTTGATATTTTTTAAATTGAAGGCACTCCCGATTGCAACAACAAAGTTAATCGATCCTATTCTGGCTTTGTCATTCCTATACCAGTGTCTTCAACATGGAATACCACGTATGGTTTCTTATTGGACAGAGATGTTTCAACCTTTAAGGAAATCAAACCTTGCAGTGTAAACTTCTGAGCATTTGATACTAAATTAATCAAAATCTATTTAATTCTATTTCGATCAGATAGAATCTATGTTATTTTGGAATTAAATTCAATTTTGATTTCTAAATTCTTTTTTGAGACTTGATCCTTGAACAATGAAATGACTTCCAAGATCAAATCCTAGATGTTGAAGACTCCTACTTGCAGACTGAATGTCTTTCCCAAAATGCTGTTGTAATCCATCATATCCAAAACCATACTGTGCATTACCTTCCCATTCACCAATATTGGTTTGATGAATTACTCTTAGACATTCTGCGGCACATCCTCATGGCATTCTGCTACCTATGCCAAAGCTAAGATATAATTTAATGATGTATTGTATTCATGGCTGAAACTCTTAAACAATTACTGCATAGTAGTTTGTGTAAATACTTTCTTGATTTGCAAATTGTATTCCTCCATATTTTGTATTATAATCGTAAAAGACTTAGGTTCAACGTAAAACACCTTCAAGTGCAGGTCATTGTATCCGCGAATGCTGAAGACCTCAAATTCATATGGGAATTTCTGTAGTTGTTACAGCTATTCCAATAATTCACTTAAGGTGTAATTAAGTTGAGCTTCCTTCAAATCGTAAATTGATGGAAATTTACAGCTAAATTACTCTTGCATCAATAATTTAGTCTACTTGTCCACAGATAATAAGGGACTATTCAAAAGTTCCTAAATATTGATATTCTTCAATAGCTCCTATGCTCTCGAATTGCGCATCATCAGATTTAATTTACAATCCAACTTAATTATACTTATTAGAGAATTCTATAACTCATAATTTCGATCCGTGTCTGAGCTCGTTCTGATATTCATTGTGTCATCAAGATATCTGTCACTCCTTATGATCTATTGAACTATTATTTTTTTGTGATAGTAGGCAAACAATAATAATATAATTGTAATTATTATTGGTTACCCATAATTTAGATTATGCAGTACTTTCCAAATGCCCATGATGATGAGATGCAGGGATTTGAAAATGTTAAAATAGTGTTTCTGTTTTTAATCCTTATTTAAATTGTCATATAGGAAAGGTGGAAGCAGAAATAAAAACACCTTCTCAGGATTCATTTCCTGCAAAAGTACTACTGTTAATTAATCACTTACTTAGGATGTTCAGAGCTAATAGTAGAATTGGGATTAGGAAACTTATAGATTGCCTAGATTTTTATAGTTTTTGGACTATGAGGAAACACATTACGATCCCCAACTCGATACCATAATAAAATAGCTGACTCTATCATAAAAATATAGTACTCAACTCCTAATATCATTTCGTAGGTCGTATTGCATAGCCAAACGCCACTGTATAAAATAGCCAATATCATACTTAATGTAATATTATATAATTAAATGATAATCGGACTTATAGAGTAGATTCGTCTTAAATACTCAATTAGAACTACGGAAACAACTTTGAAAAATTGCCTATTATTATACCCTCTAGGTTTTCAGGCAATTAATTTCAATCTCTTACGAATAAACCACTAATTCTGTAACAGATTGTTAATAATCCCATTTATGAATGCTTCGTTGATTATAACAAATATATAAAATTAGGTAAATGTGTTGTTGTCAATTTAAAAATTTATTCAGTTTAATTCTACTAGTCATGTGTCTATGGTATTTGAGTGGAAGCAACAAAACATCAGCATCTTGTTTGATAATACTATTTTAAGAAGTCAAATTTGTATTATTTAACAAAAATGTCTCAGTGTGTAATTTCTTGAAACTGGTTCTCGTTGTTGTTATGCTTGTTAAGCTTTATTATTTTTTACGTTTTGGAGTCAATTTATCATATTTAACAGACTTCATTATTTCAGGTACCTAAAGATCAATGATATGATGGTCTAGAAGAGATTTTTTAAGACTCATTTTCATTTTTAATCTATCTTCAATAATAGACTGGGCCTTGGCGGGTAATTGCATTAGTTGTGATTTTTGGATTTCAAAAATATGAGCTTGTTACTTGACTCTTGCAGTGTAAGGCGCCATTGTACAATCCTCATTAAATGAATCAAAAATTGAACAAGTACACATGATATTACGCTTAGTTTCCAAATTTACTTGGCCCAAATAGACAAGAAACATGGATTCTGTTGGTTGATATATTGTAATTATCGTTTCATTTTCTTCAAATTGTTGTAGGAGTAAGGAGTCAGCTAAAGTATGTATTTGCTATTTTTCGGTTTAGTTTGTAGGTTCAAACAGCTTGAGAAAGAACGTGCGTTTTTATCTGATGAATTATTCGTGTTTGAGGAAGAGGAGGGATTGGGATTATTTGGTGACGTACAATAGTTTGGAGTGCTCGAGAGAGAACTGGAGGGGATAGGATATAATGATTTTACAATTTTTTAAAGGTATCGTTTTTCAGCGATGTATCCATAATTTAATTGTCTTTGGAACAAGAGTTTGTTCTTCTTGACGTATTGGACATTGGATTCGAAGGAGTCGAGGTCGTCTTGTTCGGAGGAATCGAGGACCAACTTGCCTTCTAAAAACAAGTAGATGTTTTCGTTTTGGGTTTCCGAGATTACCTGAAAGGGAGGCAAGTCAAGTAAATGCAGACGTTAACAAAGCTGAATGGGATTATAGAGGATAGATACTAAGATATATTCTGATCTGCTTTGCAATTGCAATTTGAGGAATAATGGTTGGAGATGGACTTTCAGATTGTCGTAAATGAGCTACTGTAAGGTGGAGATTGTACTTCTGCTTGTATTTGGTTGCGTTGATTCAATTTGAGGAGGTCGTACACAAGGGTATTAATAATTTCAGTCATATTATATAAAATAAATGGAATTATAGAAGGAAGACATATTGAAATATATGAAAATGGCATTGGAATAGGCTGAGTTGGGGAGGCAGAACAAGGAGGTTCCTGTTGGGTGTGTGATTGTGAATAGGAACGACGGGAAAATAGTGGAGAAAGCCTACAATAATACAAATAAATCAAAAAATGCAACATAACATTGCGAAATAATTTGCATCAATCGCATGAACAGAGATTTGGAGGATTGCATCTTGTTCGTGACTTGCGAGCCATGCATAATGTGTGGTCAGGCTTTGAATTACGTGAAGATCCATAGTGTGTATTATGGGTGCAATAATTCGCGATTTGGGGGGAATGGGACTGTATTGTCGTTAAATAAGTATCCGAGTTTTGGGGGTCATTTGGAGTATGATTGCATGAAGATTTTGCAAGATTTTTATGAGGAGGGCAATGAGAACATCGAGGAGTAGTTCAGACATCGAAAAAAATAAAAATAATGATACAACTGTGGTCAATAGAAGTGAAACAAATATTAATATAAATTTATTATAAAATTAAATGGAGTAGAGTTCAATGGAAAGCGAAGATGTGAGTTATAGTGTGTTGATATTATCTAGGAGTTCGTCGAGAGACATAAGAAAAATTAGATGATTCTCCAGCAGGTGAAGGAAATATGGAAGGAGTCCGATTTGTCAAAGGATGATGGAATATTGCAGATATTGAATGATTTCAAGGAGGAAATTTTGGATGATTTGGAAGATGAATACGAACCTGAATATAGAGCAATATAAGTTTAAGAAAATATAAATATAGATTTAGTTCCAATGAATGAGGTTCAAAAAGCCCTCATCTATGACGACAAGTAATTTCGATAACATTATTAGGTATCCCTTTTTGAAGATAAGGAAGCGAATCTTGATATAAGCAAAGAAGATTTCAATGATGGCGATGCAATTGACCAAGCATCCCATATTCGAGTTTTTCACCCTGCTGGTCATCATATTTAACTCTATCATGCTTGCCTTGGATGATCCGACTACGGACATCTAGACTCCCTTTTAGGATCTAATGGATATAATCTTCTTGGCAGTTTACACATTTGAGGCAGTTTTAAAAATTATCGCAATGGGCTTTGTTTTCAATAGCAATACCTATCTCCGCGATTTGTGGAATGTCTTAGATTTCACAGTCATTGTAACAGCATACATCCCCTATTTTGTGAATAACTCTGGTTTGTAACTGAGTGCTTTGAGATCATTGAGAGTCTTAAGACCATTGAGAACAATATCCTCAGTAAAATCATTGAGAAGCATAATGATGACATTATTTGCCTCATTTGCTGAATTGGGTAATTCCTTGATTATATTGGGATTCACCTACACAATTTTCGCAATAGCTGGATTGCAACTGTTCTCTGGATATGCGAAATTGAGATGTTTTGATGAAAATGGCATCATCTAAATGTCTGGTTATGATACGGATGAGCCATTTTGCAATGGATCTTGTCCTGAAAATTATATCTGTGGTAAAATGATGGACAATCCCATCAATGGACTATTGTCATTTGATGATTTTGGGTTGGCCTTTTTGTAAGTATTTATCATTACTACACTTGAAGGATGGACTACGATTATGTAGACTATAATGACTACGTTTTCACAATTTTCAGTCTTTTATTTCTTACTCTGTGTAATTATCGGAGCATTCTTTCTCGTCAATCTGACTTTGGCTATCATAAAAATCAATTTTTCAAAGGCTGAGTCTCAAGAGCCTATCAAGCCTGATGATGTAAGTTACAATCTCAAACAAATGAAGAGACTGGGAATCTATAAATTCACCAGAGATTCTCAAACACCCAGTATCACTCGTAAACATACCATCCGAATGACTCGATTGAGACAATCAATTAACAACTAAAACAATATTAATATCAATGTTGCCAACAAGCAAATAGATGAACCCAAAAGAAGTTCAATTAAGGTCAATTTCTAACCCTTGAACATTAAGGACTTCAGTAAACCTCATCAAGTCAAATACAACAATAACAGAATATTGCTTTAGGGAATCCAAGGAGTTAGAACAGAACAACCCGTCAGTAAATACTAGGAAGCCAACAATCCTCAACTAATCATGAAGACTAGTGTCCAATCTGTGAATGCTCCGTAAATCAGGAAACTAAGCAAACTTGGAACACAATTCAAACAATCCCAAAGAAAAATGTCAATCACCCATCAAGAAGACAGTCCTTTGGAAGAGTTGGATAACCTATTGAAATTCGCTGTTCGTAGACAATCTGTATTGAGAGTCGATACGAAGATCATGGCATCTCCAAGAATACCCACTCCTTCCAAGGAAACTCCATTACCTGTCAGCAGTAGTTCCATGTTAGACGAATCTCAATCTCCTGGAAAACCTCATCAATCCAATTTCTTGGGAATCCCTAAATAGCAATTCAATTTCTTGCAAGATTAGAAATCATTCAATGAAAATGATGTACTCAGTGTGACTCTCTCGGAAATCGATTCCATCTCTGATAGTGAATTAAATCAAAGATTCAAGGAATTCGAAATCTCCTTCCAAATTGAAAAGTCAGATGATAAAACAGCCAATGAAACAGAGGATCGTAAACCGATTCAACACATCCATCAAAAGAGGAGAAAATAAGATGCTCCATTGATCTATGAATTAAGCAAAGAGGATGAAAAACTGAAGATCAGATTGTTTCAATCTAAACTAGTTCCAAGAGTTGTTTACAAAGAATTTCACTCCGAATCCAGTAAAGACATCCTTGTAAGTTTGGAAATCAAAAAATAAAGGAAAGACTAAGAGATACGAAATCTAAGAATCTAAAACATGAAATTCACTCTGAAATATTAATTCCAAAACAATTCCACTAAATTATCATTATCTAAAACTTCACAACAATAATAATCCAAAAGTTCATTGAGTTCAAATGACCAAAAACTCAAAGAAACTGTTAAATCTAGGAAAATCATCCCATTAACTGAAATACCATCAGTGCAAGAAATCACTACTCCCAAACTAAACGTTAGAAAACAATAAAAACGTAAGACTATTGTCCATAAGGTCTTTACTTACGAATAATATTAATCTGGTTTTAATCATAGTTCAGAAGTAGATGCCAATTTTAATGAAAAGTTAGAGGAGGTTGAAACCTAACAACTCACTTTTAAAACTCCCAATGAGACTTATTTTTATACTCAAACTGCATTTTAATAATACCATCAAATTAAAAATGATGACATTAATCTAAGCAATGGGAATCTAGTTGGTTAAGCTTCAATTGAAGATGTAATCATGATTAGAAGTAGCTTATAAAAAAGGTTTAATTTTATTTTATAGGGAATGAATTTTACGAAATAAGATTATATGATATATATGACGAAGGATATGCTGAAAATGCTGCAATTCAAATTATTCCTCATTGTCGACTCGAGATATTTCAATATGATGTTGAATCTAGCAGTGTTTATTAATACAGTAATCCTGTGTTTGGATGGTTTGGTCAATAACTCGGAAGACCTGAATGATTTCAATCTAGCCTTTACTATCCTATTCACTATTGAAATGGGATTAAAAATGATTGGATTCGGCATCATCTAATACATAAGAGACCCAATGAATATCTTTGATGCTCTAATCGTAGCCCTTAGTTTGATCGATATATTCTTTTTATCAGGTAGTTCGGTCTTCAAATCAGTGAGAATATTTAGAGCCTTCAGAGTATTGAGAGTAACTAAGTTGATGAGGTAATTGTTATCATCTAAATGAAATAGATCCTTAAAATTTATGAATTTCTTAGTCTAAGTGTTGAGCAATGCATTCCAATCCTTAATGTACATCTTCCTCTTACTCATTCTATTTATATACATATTTACATTGTTGGGAATGTCCTTCTTTGGTGGCTAATTGACTTACACACCCAGTCGATAGAGTTATGACACATTTTATGAGTCCTTTTTAGTTGTATTCTAAGTGCTGACTCTCGAGAATTGGAATAGCATCCTTTACGATCTACTCAAATAACCAGTCTCTTGGATTATCACCATGATTTACTTAATAGCTTGGATCTTTATAGGAAGTTATGTGTTGTTGAATTTGTTCTTGGCTAGTTTGTTGGATCAATTCGAGGCAGAGTACTTAAGAGAACATAGTTTAGAAAATAGCAATTAGGAGGGAGAATAGATTCAATAGCAATAAATTTAATAGACTTAAACGATGAATTAAACCGTAGTCAATATGTCGGTTAATTAGACTTTAAATCCCATATTGGCTAAGCAACTACTAACCAGATAGGATTCCTTAAATAAATTTATCTATTTCTCAGAACCAGGGCTGTGCTTTTACTCCTTGAATATATTTAGTCAAAACAACCCAATAAGGAGATTATGTTACAAGATAGTTAAAAACAGTTTATTTGATTAAATCATTTTATTCGCCATATTTCTGAGCTCATTGAAATTGGTGATTGATACATATGTGAGTAACTTTTTGGATTGGGCAGATTGGTTCTTCGCACTCTTCTTTGGAGTAGAATTCTTATTTAAGATCATCGCTTATGGATTTGTGATGGAAGAGAATGCATATTTGAGAGAGAGTTGGAATATTCTTGATTTCATTATAGTTGTGTGCTCTTTCATTGATATATCAGTAGCATCAATTGATTTGAGTTTTGTAAAGATTTTAAGATTATTACGTACATTACGACCGTTGAGATTGATATCCTAAAATAAATCCATGAAGTTATTAGTAACGACGTTGATCAACTCAATTTCAGGTATTGTGAACGTAGGAGTGGTTGTGATATTAGTGTTTCTGATGTTTGCAATATTGGGAGTGAATTTGGAGAAGGGCAAAATGAATTATTGTGATATTGGCAGTGATGAACAATCCTACTTGCACAAAGCAGATTGTATTTCGGAAGGGTATGAATGGAAAAATAGAGACATGAATTTTGATAATGTGTTTTGGGCCATGTTGACTCTCTTCATTGTATCCACATAAGAGGGTTGGCCTACTTAAATGTATTGGTTTGTTGATGCCGATGAAAGTGGGCCTATCAAGAATAATTAAATGTGGTTTACTAGTTACTTTTTGATCTTCTTGCTGATTGGATCTATTCTACTGATGAATATGTTTGTTGGTGTTATTTTAGTGAATTACAAATTGGCAGAAGACGAAATGAAGGATAAGAATGTATCCAGAGATCAGGAAGATTGGATAAGTATATAAAAATTAATAGTCGATTCGAATCCTAATTTTGCTTTGTACTATCCTCCAAAGAATCAATACAGAGCATTGATATTCAAGATTATTTCAAATAAAATATTTGATTTCTTTATCATGCTCTGTATTATTGTAAATATTGCAGCAATGGCCTCCAATTATGAGGGTAAATAGATCGCATTATTAAAATAGGGTCAAGTGTCAAGTACTAATACATTTTAGAAACATTGAACTTGGTTTTGAGTGTGATCTTTATATTTGAATCTTTGTTGAAGATTATCGGATTTGGACCACGAGGATATTTTAGAAACAATTGGAATCAGTTTGATTTCTTTGTGGTTCTTTCCTCAATTCTTGATATGATTTTGAGTTTCACTGATAATAAGGATAACCCTATTCTATCTGCTGGACCTTAACTCATTAGAGTTTTTAGAGTTTTAAGGGTTACTAGATTATTTAGATTAGTTAAATCTCTACACAGTTTGAAAAAGTTGATTGACACTGCTCTATTCTCTTTACCTGCTTTGTTTAATGTATCTGCCTTAATGTTTTTACTTTACTTCATTTTCTCTGTTTTGGGAGTATTCCTATTCAGCAATCTCAGGTATAATTTCATCGTCTATTTTTAGTGATGGTTACATTATTAATAGTGAAAATAATTTCAACGACTTTCATCATGCTTTAATTTTACTATTTAGATGCACGACAGGTGAGGATTGGTATTTATTGATGTACGATGTGATGAACAAGGCCAGTTATTATTATTGTTCATATTTCATCATATTTGTGGTAATCATGTAAAGAATCATGCTCAATTTATTTGTGCTCATCATTTTGGATCAATATGAAAGATTCTACTTTAATTCTGATAATCCTTTGTAGAGATTTCAGGAGTTCGAAGACGACTTCGTTGATGGATGGGCACCTTTGGCCTCTGAAACTAAGGGCCAATAGATTCATCAAGATCAGCTGGTCTAATTGATGTTGTCAATCAAGGCACCTATGGGTTATGATTTGAAGGAGAAGATCAACACGGCTGTTAACGATTGGAAGACCTACAATTCTGATGCTGAAAAATCTTCTTAGAATCTGGAGAAGATTAAGGTCATGGTCACAACGGAAGCCAAGAAAGCAGTGGCCAAGACAATTATGAACATGTAGATAGAGTCTGATGAAAATTAAATGCTAGAATACCATTATGTGTTATTTGCCTTTATGAAGAACTTCTAAACTGATTTATTCAAGGAAGTTACTCAAGCAGGGTTGCATAAGTTGATTTAAAGGGAAGAATAGACTTTAAATAAGATTAAGAAAAATAGACATAGCTCACAAGAAGTCAATCCTTGCGTTGAATTATTGTTTCATATCATGTGTTTTAAAGCATACAAGAGATATGCAATCAAATTGAAGGAGAGAATGAATAGACAACAGAACGAGTTCAGTCAAAAGAGTTCTGATTCTTCGTATCTCCACAAAAGCTCAGATATAGTATAGAGAGACAGCATTAGTCAGTCCTTGGAATCCATCTAAGAATCTAAACAATAATTTTGCTTACCCCCTGATTTAGCTGTTTATCAGAGTGATGTGAATATTGCAATCAAAGATAATAGTCAAAACACGAAGAATCGAGGATCAGTCTAATAGCTTGTTGAATAAAAGCTAGAAAATATTAGCGAATTCAATAGTGAATAAAGCATCAGCTTCAACAAGTTAAATGATATATCGAATTGACTCCTATTTGTATATTTTAAGATTTCAAACTACACATATTTATTAGTATAAACAATTCTCATTTTGATAAATAGCCCACTTGAAATTTCTCAAGAATGTAATGGAAATTGATCCAAGGATGATGTTGGAGGAACAGGAGAGTGGCATCCTTTCCAACTCCCCTGAGAATTTATTCTCGACCCCCAGGATGTTTCTCAATGTAATAAGACACATCATAGATATTGTCTTGCAACACAATCCATGCATCATTTTGGGTATTATGTAATTGAACCTTGATATTAATAAAAAACGAGCAATACCTCTTCCATGGTGTAAGATTTAAATTCAGTTTGTCGTTTATGTAATGTTTGATTTGTGGTTGATTTAATTTTAGTAATTGGATAGGTGTTGGCACTTCTCTCAATGCTTTATTTCTGGTTAATCATGTTCGTATTGTCCTTAACGTTTTGGCTGGCTTCTCGATATTGTTGATTAAGATTAAAGATGGTTTGCATCTGATAATTGACACTTTCCAATTTTTGCATTTTCTTATACTTTTGGATCACAAGTTGATTTGGGTGTATCTGGTAGAGATTCTGAAATTCCTATTCTTCTACCATATTCATCATCTATGTGTTGTTGGAGTTGGTGATATAGACATTTTGTGATTGAATGAAGTGAGGGAGTGAGTTTTGGATAGGTTGTGAGTTGGAATCAAGGAATGCCATGTTATTCAGTTTATTTTTGGTTGAGATTTCATTGAAAAGGAAGAAGAGCACTTCATTTAGGATATTTTGATCGAGATCTTGCCAGAGTAGGGTGTATTGGCGATTGGCATAGTAGAAATTGATTTGTTGATTGGTATTCATTATATTATAAAAATGAATGATAATGGCATACTCGAGGAGTAGAGGAGGGAATCATTAAGTTCGACCAATCAAACAGTTGAAACTCCAACACAGGAGGAAATGGATTGGGAGGCATTTCAATAATTATTAATCTAAGAGAGAGTCGAAGTAAGGAGGAAGAAAATAATAATAGACAAAGAGGTGGAAATATCTTAGGTGTTGAAGTTGAGTGGGAATATGTCAGTGATTCAATTCAAGGGAGGTAATTTGATATTTGAGGGGAGTACGAGAGATTCTATTTTTGATGAAGAATGTAGTATTTAAGGATTTCAAATAGAAGTTTATTAAACCTCTCCTTGCATTAGAGTGCATTACAGAAACCTGTTGATTATGGCATGTAATGTTGAGAACTTTCAAAATTAAGGGTTGTTTATTACCTTTGATAACTCCTTAACGATAAACGATACGATATTGAAGGGATTTCAAGTATATTTTGGTTGTGAGAACAACGGGACGAAATTGAGTATAAATCATTCGATAATAAAGAGTGATTGTTAATAGTAATAATAGTCAGTTTTGATTCATGCGGACAACCTCGGAGAATTTGCGATGGAACTTACAAATTCAATAATAGAAGGTAGTTCAGTCATTATAACAAATAGTAAGAATGTGGAAGTCACAATTAAGGATAATGAATTTAAAAATTAGTAAATTTCCATTTCATTTGAAAATGTCAAGAACAAATCAATCACAATCCACAAGAACATATTTTACCTGTCTTGGGATTATGCAATCAAAATGACTGATGTTGTTGTGGACAAATTACAGCTATTCAAAAACACAATCACCAAATGCAGAATTGGAATCTATCTATACAATGTGATAGAAGTATGCCCCTTGGTTCAACACATTAAACCTATCTCGCTCAAATAGAATGTATTGACAAGCATGGAACAAACAGCCATCAGGATTGGAGAAGTCATCTGTATGGAAATAGATGAAATCAACATCTAAGACAACATTATCGGAATGGATATTGACATCAGCACATCCAAAAGGCCAGAAAAGAATACTTTCAATCCTTTTATCATTACGATTAAGAACTCTACAATAGCATCCAACCGTATCCATGGCATCTTTCTCAATAGCAACTTGTCCTACAATCCCATCCATCTCCAGATCTCTAAGTCTGCATTCTTCTCTAACTGCAATTCCTTGAGTCTCTCTCATCAAGGAGAATCGAACGACCAAAGTAAGTCTGATGATATTAAATAGGATTCAAGGTCAATATTAATAGTTGCCAATTCCAAGACAATCACTTTTCTAACTCTAATTCAAATTATGAAATCAATATCAGCAATACTAACATTGTAGTAAGAAAATCTAAATAATTTGATAGCATAATAATCAACTCCTTCTTAATTCAAGGTCAAAAAACTGTCAAATAATGTGAATATATTTCAACTAATTATATATTGTTAATTCAATTATTCATTAATGTTAAAAACACCTAGTCTTAAATCATTTTCTAATCCAAGTGAAAGGAATCAATCTGAACAATACATCCAGTGTTATACAAATAAAATCATCAGACAAGACCAACAGCTCAATTCCTCCTACTATGAAGAAGACTAATTCGAAAAATGCTAAAACACTAATGATACACAGCAATTTCAGGATTACATGCAAAACCTTATCACCATCATCTCCAACCCTCCGCAATCACAATATTTAAGTTAATACTATGTTCTCTCTACCGAAAACGATACTATCACATTCATTAGCGAAACATCTCCAGAAACACTTATGGATTATATTAAATTTAGACATTAGAACAAAGCTCCCATGAATGAAGATGAAATTGTCTATTTGGCATATGCATTACTGAATGGTTTATCAAACATCAACATTTTGTACTTGAGTCCCACCAACATTATCAAAAAATGGAAGATCATAAATTACATGGAGCAAATAACCCATCAAAATCAACGATCATTTTTAGAATCAGAGGACAAATTATACTTAGCCCCTGAACTCTTTAAATATTTAGACATCGAACTTAACGATTGCGATGATTTCAATAAACATCTTAGCCAAGAAATTAAAAGCCCCTAAAGCTTCTGTCTATTCGTTAGGCGTTATCCTGTTACAATGCATCTATTTCGAATTCAAAAAAGATAGCTTCCATTATCAGGACATTCTTAAGAATTCTAAATACAGTTGGTCATTGAGAGATCTCATTCAATAAATGTTAAGAGAAGAAGATGAAAGGAGTTCAGTCTAAGAATTACTCTAAAATCCTTTATTCTACACTCAGAAGCAAATCGCTATCTAGCCAAAACAATAGAATCAAATGTCCTTGGCAGTATTCTTTCAATTTGTTAAAAACAAATTTTTTAATCTAGATTGGGCTGATCATTTTTTTTCTATGGAAGAAATCATTTTCATTAGCGATCTCAAGGAAGGTATTTATCCTATTGGAGAATTGAAATCCGAAATAAATAGTTAAATCACATAAATCATTCAATGTTGTCCTAACAATTGTACTCTTGAGGAATTGATCGCTACTCTTACTAAAATCTCAAATCCATAACAGTAAGAGGAAAACCAAGTGGTCTAACCAAAAAAGGACTAATTTTTATTCAGAAAATGGTTTAAAAAACAAGAATAAAAAAGTGAAGATATGTAAGAATAAGTTATTGCTCCTCAAGAACCTACTTATATGGCCTAGCTGCTATTATTAAAATTGATGTCCTAAGCATCTGAAAAAGCCTTTTAAACTTTCATTTCTAAGGTAATTCATTTTATGGGAGGCTCTGGTTTAATTTGGTAAAACATAAGAAAAGCATTTTGGCCGAGGGCACTTGGTTTTGAATCATTAGAAGCCCAAAGACAGATTGTGTAATTGACACTCGAATTGTGTGAATATTTGAATGCTTAAAAAGAGAAGGATTTGATTCAACTTGAAAAAGACTTAATCAGATAAAAGTACAGCAAAAGAACTCAAGATGCAATTAGGAGAACCATACGAGGATTTATCAATTAGTCTGTGTCAAATTGCTATATATAAGGGATGGATTCCATTTCATATATTCTCTTAGAAGCTTTTAATTATGATTCAGAGCTTAGTACCATATGTTTGAATGAGATTTACAAAAAGAGAATTGTTAACTTACCCTCTGGGGAGGAATAAGTAGAAATCAGTGATTATTTTGGATAAAAGTTATAAGAGAAGATCCTGCTTTACAATTGGACTCTTTAATATTTTGATCCTGGTTTAAGTAATCATTTTAAAAGAAGCTGATTTTAAATGTGAAACTCATATTGTTTCATGGTTCAGTACTTTCTATGCCAGAGAGTTCAGCTTGGAAAATGTTCTGAAGATTTACGATTATTTCCTAATTTCTGATGAATCATTCGAAATCCTATTAGCATGTTAAATAATGTTGGAACTCAAGTCCACCTTTGAAATTAAAGACAGCGAAGGAATGCTTAGTTGTTTGAAGAATCTTTAGAATAATATATAGTTAGACAATTGTTTGTAAAATGCCCTAAGGTTTACAAGCTAATTACATAAAACATTTTTCATTCTCACTCATCAAGATGAAGAAATTTGCAATCAGATGAAGGAAGAAAATGAGTACTTATAAGAACGACCATGGGAACATCCACTAACATTTAAGTAGTTACAAGAGCAATTGATATTTTCTATTTCGATTCATGATTTTCAACAATTATTGAGGGAACAAAAATAAAACTTCAATGTGCTATCTTTGGATATGAGAAGTGCTAAGGAATACGAATAGGCTTGCATTTCTGGTTCTTTGTTTGCATTCTATGACAAGAAGAAGATCAATAACATTCAGTTATTAAATTATTTCGAACTGAGAGGATTAGTTGAAGAATAGAGCATTTATTATGTGGTTGCGATTTGCGATACAGAAAAGCAAAACGTGAACGAAATCATAGATTATTTGCTTAAATAAAGAATCAAACGTCTTGTTCTGTTAAAGGGGGGAATTTAGGCTGCCCTGCTTGATGCGTAGGACATCATTAAGTTTAAATAGAAGGCAGTGTTGCCTCCATGGATAAAAGTGCAAATTGATGAATTAAAGAAAAAAAATATGTAATGAAAGATTGATAATATTAATTTTTATGTTTTAAATTAAGATCACTATGTTAATCCTGTATATCATATCTTGCTTTGAAGGCAAGAATCTTATACCTCTCTGTATCAATATAGGATTGATCTGTACTCAATTTGGCAGTCTTAAATTTCGAATGCACACTGTATTTCGAATTTATGAAACACTAATTTTGTTTATTTAAATTGCGCTTATTACCTTATATGACTAGCAATTGATTGTTTACAATGTGATTTACATCATCTTATTAGATGAAACAGCAAGATTCAAATATTCTTTAATTCAAAAGCTTTCATTGCTAGGTATACTGTTCTTATAATGAAGGAACCAGTGTTTTTTATAATAATTTTTATATCATCAAATGTGATTGAATATTTAAGAAATAGTGCTTTTGCTTTGGGAATTATAATTGTGATGATAAATAAAGGAATTACAAAATAGGGAGAATTTACCAATTTATTATCGAGTACTCGTACACAAAGTCCACGAGCATAAGAGACTTAAGGCCTGATGATAGTGGATCCCCAGAATTTAAATTGTATATATATGAATGAATATGTTAAAAGAAAATTAGGTAATTAGTAATTAATTATAAATGAAATTGATTCAATAAGTAAATAAAAATTCGATTAGAAAATAAGAAATATTGAATTGTTTGAATTATTAAATGAATTTGATTTAAAATAATTTATGATCCATGTAAATATTGGATTTCAGATATAATGTCTGATCATACTATTGAGATAACTAAAGATGTAGATCAAAATAAAATTCATATTACATTTTAGAATAACAAAGAAAGAGATGATCACCTTAAAAAATCATATCTATATCAAATACTGAAATAAATCTTTCATACTATTTCACATGAATTTGGAACTTCATTAAATTTTATGTTAGCGATAGCCCAAGTTGCAATAGATAAATATCCAAATCAAAAGTATTATCACTCTTTTCGAAACACATGTGAAATCATGCATTATTTCGTACTAGATATGGTTGATTACAATGATATTTTGGGGAATTAATTCAAATTGTAATTGGAAGAATTAGATCTCTAAACAATTTTGGAGTCAGTTACTACGCTGTTTTAGGAGTAGTGCAGGTAAAAGGACTTATAATTGAGTTTTGAAAATCACATTCCAGAGAGCTGGTAAATAATATCTGATCAAAGGAGGATTAAGTAAATTTTGATCCATTTAATCTCTAACGCCTAGAAGTTTACTTTAAAGGGTTCAATTCTCATAAAGGTGTTAGCCATTAGAGATGACTTGATACAATTCTCGGTAACAGATACAGGAATTGGAATAAGCTAAAATGATGAATAAAATCTAAGAAATATGTTGGAGTAGGATTTCAAAGATGAATAATATTTGTCATCCAATACTGCTGGATTCGGATTGGGTTGTTATTTGGCTAATAAAATATGTTTGCATTTGTCGAATAAGCAGTTCAAACTTGAATTCAAGAGGAATGAAGTAGGAACAACATTTTGGTTTTAAGTTCAAAATAATATTTTACCTACTCAAAGTATAGGGAGGATCTTGGGGATTTAATAAATCAATAAACATTCTTACATAGATTTGAAGTAATCCTAAATAGAGAGGGCAGTTGGAAAGAAGTTGAGCAGAGTGGCCAGTAAGCCATCGCTCAATTCAAAATCAAGAATTATGTCCTTCAGATGTTTAATTGATCCTATAAAGGATTACACGGAAAGTGTGATAAATGAAGAAGTCAATTCAATAGAAAGAAAAGCCAGAACTTGTATCTTGAATAGGAATATCAAAAAGTCAATGAAATTTCTGATAGTTGATGATGAGATCATTAACATTATTGGATTGCAATTGATTTTGAAAAGAATGAACATTGATATCGATTATGTGTTCAATGGGGTGGAGTGTTTGCGGTAGGTGGAACAGAAGAGGTATCTTTATTAAGGGATCTTCATGGATATCAATATGCCTTTGATGGATGGATACGAAACTACTTAGAAATTGATTTCTCGTTATGGAAATTAAATTAAGATTATTGCTTGTACTGCCTACACTGATAGTGAAACTAAACAACGTTGTTATGACATTGGAATGAGTTACTTCCTTAACAAGCCAGTGAACATCGTAGAATTATAAAAAATACTTATATAATTTTAATAATGATATTGCTAATATTTGCCAACATTTCATCAATCATCTTAGAATTTTGGGAATGCCAATAAATTATTGAATATGTCTTTCTAAGCATAACTCTGTTTATTGATGTACTTCTTATCGCTTTCTCCTTAAAAAAATAGCAAAACTACTTAACCAGAATGTTACTATTTATTTAGGCTTCAATCCTTTTTTCCGTATTTAAAGATCCAAAGCTTTTAGCAATCAATGCAATATATCAATGTAAAATGAGGTACTTAATATAATCTTCGAATATAATATTTAATTGCCTCGAATATTCATGTATACCTTTAATTTAATTAGGCTTTTTGGTATTGATAGCCCTTTTGAGTGCAAAATATGAATTATTCGATGTAATACGTACAGCTCTCTCTGCATTTTTCTTAATTGGATTTTAAGTGAAAGAACAAATTTCCTTAAAATAAAATTAACAAAAGGGAATTGAAAACCAAACAGACTAATTCCCAATATAGATAGAAACAGATACTATTATAACTTCATAACAATTAACATCAAATAATCCAGAAATTTTTCTAGATGATTTCTTAGGTATTGTTCAATCCAATTAGAAGATGAACGATATTTTGTAACAAATGAATTACGACGATGTTACGAAGCTCTTGCAAGAAATATAGATCACTAACATAGACTCTAATTCTGCAAAGAAGATGGGAAGATATAAAGATGACTCATTATGGTTTTTATTGAAAAGGATAATTAATAAAAGATTAGAAATTTATATTTAAGTTTTGGATTATTATCATCCTGCATTTCAAAAATATTTAATTTTGATTCATTATAAGACTCAGTTTTAAATTCAATTCATATAAGTGAATGAAAGAGACACTTATACCAAAAAGAAATATCTCAGCCAAATATTATACTAGTTATTCAAATCATTTTCACATGAATTCGGAACATTACTAAACTATCTCTTGGCATTATCTTAAGTAGCAATAGATCAATTCCCTGATCAAGTGGGGTTTTTCTAACCAATAAAATCGACAGGCCAAATAATGCATCATTTTGTTTAAGACATGGTTGATTATAGCGATATTTTAAATAAGAAATTCTAGTTGTAATTTGCACCTGTCGATGTGGAAGACTTACTGCAAGAAGTTATCGGATTCTATAAGTCATAAATTGAAGAGAAAGGGTTGAAAATTGGTTATTAAATTAATCTCGGAAGACAAGCAAAAATTTTTCGATGGTCGAAGATGCAAGTAGGTATTGAGTAATCTAATTGCAAATGCTTAAAAGTTTACAGTTTAAGGAGGCATCAAAATCACTGTTACTGAGTAATCAGGTTTCACTATATTTTCAGTTGAAGATACTGGATTCGGAATGAACTTAGAATCATTTGAAAATTTAAATCACATCCTAGAAAACGAGTTTAAGTCTGAACAAAAGATTTCGTAACACACTGCTGGATTTGGTTTGGGCTGTTATTTATCGAATTAGATTGCTTTGAAATTATCAAACTTGCCCAAATTAGCTGGTGGAGGATTACAATATACTAGGCTAGAGAAAGGAATTCGTGTTTCTTTCAGAGTCAAGAATTAGCCATTTGAAATATTGTATACAAGTTGTGACATATCATCCATGAAATCTGGGATATTGTTTAATGAAAATGGATATTTCGATTCTCGTTAATCTATCATAGATTTACAACTTACAAATAAGCATAAATCTACAGAAACCCATCTAATATTGAATATGAATAGAAAATCTGCTTTATTATCAATTTCATTTTCTCCAAATTAGATAAAATATTAAGTTGAATAAGAATTAAATCAAGAAAATGAAATTTCTGATAGATTAAGGAAATGTCAATTTGTTAAAAGAAGAGAAACCTAAAAAAAATCACCTACTTTTGGAGCATCTACTAGTGATGTAAAGGATGTCAAAAATTTCAAAGAATAAACGCACATCTTAATTGTTGATGATGAGATGATTAATATTATTAGTCTTAAGATACTGCTTAGTCAATTTAACATTAAATGCACTTCTGCTTTTAATGGATTGGAAGCATTAAATAAATTAAAAGAATGTAATAATTAATTGATATATATTAGCTAATGAGCGATTCGATCTGATTTTTATGGATGTTAATATGCCTATAATGGATGGGTTTGAAGCCACAGAATAAATATTGAAATTTGATGATAACTTACTAATTGCGGCTTGTACTGCCTTTGCTGATGTAGAGACCAAAGCTAAATGCTATTCTGTTGGAATGAAGTATTATATCAACAAACCAGTTACAAAATTAGAACTCTTGAAATTATTGAATCACTTAAATTTAATTATATAATGATTAAACATAGAAAATAGGCCATACTAGGGATGTACATTCTGCAACTCATTTATTCTACTCTAGAATGCACTCGAGTTCCCATTTTGAAACTCATTTTGCTTTTAATCAGCTTAGTTATAAGCATATTCTAAATAGTACTTTTCACAAAATGCAATAAATGGAATATATACACTCAATTCGCCATCAATATTATGAGTATTTTCGCCAAATAGAGTGATCAATTCATGATACTATAATCCCTTGTAGGATTTACAATTTTTATGCAAATTGATCAAAAAAGATGGCATATAAATATTCTTGCTTGTTCAAGTAGTATTGGAAAATTATCATAGTCCATGTAACCCTACTCTGTATATATTCATAAAATAATGAAGTCCAATCTTATTTGATGACAATATTCACGATCATGATTCTCTCCTATTTTTCTTGGGCTACCAAAGTGTAGAAACTATAAAAAGAGCAAAGCAAAGGATCTTTGCTTACATCTCGAGTGCCCAATACGTTGAAGTCCCTCGTTTCTTTGGAGGATATACATTTTATAGAATAAAGAGCTATTGTTCTTGAAAATTCAACTACCCTTGAAGTGAGAACCTTTGCCAATGAACTCAGAGAATTGTTAATAAGAGACGAGGTTTTGGAAGACAACTTATTGGATCACATGAAAATACTAAAGGTAGACAAACAGACCTAAAGAAACCTAAATTAAAAAATAAAGGGAATTAGTATGCGTTAGCTTATAAACAAATGTTAAATCCTACAGAAGACTGCAGAGATAGTAATAATAAAAACGAATTTCATATAGTTGGAATATTATTAGTTAAAGTTGAAATTTGAAAGAGATGTGATTATGTTAAAGTTTGAAGAAATCAAAGAGTTTGCGAAATACATAAAAAAAAATTCGTGCTATGCATTGATGAATAAATTGTTTCAATCCTTCAGTCACGAATTCGGAACATTATTGAATCAGATTGCTCTCAATGCCTAGAATGGAATAGCCCAATTTCCATCTATGAAGGAGCAATTTGATTCCATTTATAATTGTGTAGTTATGATGAATAACATGGTCAAAGATTTAAAGGATTTTCATTAATTACGCAGTAAAACATTTCAACTCGAGATTGTTGATGTAAAGATTGATGACATATTTGCTGAGCTCTCAAGCTTATTCAAATAATAAGCGACATAAAAAAAGCTATCCCTTTATCTAGTGAATCGAGTAAAAACGACTTTCAAGTAAGATGAATAAAGAATTAAATAAATACTGTAAAATCTTATTTAGAATGCTATTAAATACACAAATTAGGATGGACACATTTATGTTACTGCAGAGAAGGAAGATGACAAAAGAATAAGGTTTTCTGTTTTGGATTCAGGTATTGGAATAACTGAAAGTGTTGCTTCTAATATCGAAAAAATGCTGGGTAATGATCTGATTTTGACGTCAAAACTTTCAGAAGGGGCAGCTGGATTGGGTTTAGGATTGTTGAATTCAAATTATTTAATCAAACACTTGTCATCTTTCCAACAAGCACATAAAGAACACTTATAATTTAAATCAAAATTAGGAGATGGCACTAAATTTTGGTTTAATATTTGGAAATATCAAGTGTTGGATTCATCGGAAAGTTAATTTGAATCAAAATCAATAAAAATGATTGACAAGAAGGTATTCCTCCACTAGAAGTCCATCATTGCACCACCTCTTTCCTGCATGGCCTAGAATCCTAAAAGTTGTCCTTCATAAATTAGGAGATTGACTCCAAGTAGATCTTGCCAAAATAGACGATAGCCTTAAATATTTTTCCCATCTAATATAAAGGATGAGAACATTATGATAATGGAAGAGGATGACAGAACCATCTCAGATGACCCTAAACCAAATAATTTACCAAATCATTAACCAAGTCATTTACCAGGTCTTACGGCAAGATTACCATCTATGGGCTCACCTTAATGTTAATATGTTAAATTACTCCTGGTTGATGATGAACCAGCTAATTTATTTCCTCTAAAGATTATGATTAAAATGCTTGGTTTTGAGAGTGACATAGCATTAAGTGGATATTAGGCTATTCAATAGGTGGAATCAAGATTAAATTAAAAATGTTAATATCGTTTAATTTTAATGGATATCAACATGCCTTAGATGGATGGATTTGAAACTACAAGATCAATTAAATAGATTTAACCAGAAATTACAATTGTAGCTTGTTCGGCATTCAGTGACATGTAGACTAAATATTAAGCCCAGTTGCATGGGATGTTGGGTTATCTTGAAAAACCAATAAATAAAGAAAATTTATAGCAAATTTTGGAAATGTATTTATGATCATTATTATTTATGCAAATCCTTGCCTCTCTTGATAGCTTAATCAAATAATGATTTCATTCCTGGTTCTTATTAAATCTTCAATGCCTCGAAGTAAGATGCAGCAGCCTCTCCATACTCCTTCAATCCCTCATATGCTTAACCTTCAAAGTAATAGATCTTCACCCAATCTTTCTTAACATTCCTAGCCTGTTTGCAGGTTGTTAGTACATCCTTATATTTTGATAATTTCAATTAAGCATTTGCTAAGTTGGTGTAAATCTTCACAATTTCATCTCTATGCTGTTCAACAATCTATTTAGATTTCTCGATTATTTCACTATATTTTATAATAGCCTATTCATATTGTTCGCTTTATAACAATTTATTGGCCTCAACCTTTTCAGTGTTGATTTCATTATACACATCCTTAATTTATTCATCAGTTAGTTAAACTGGGGGAGAAGGAATTTGTGCTTCCTTTCTCAAGGCAAACTCCCTATAATATTACACGCAATCCCATTTCTCATTTTATACTGCTAAGTCTAAAGGAGTTTACTTTAGATTCTCATAATTGATATCAGCACCTTGTTTAATCAAAGTTTATGAAAATTTCAATAATCCTTTTTCAGCGCATAAATGCAAGGCTGACCATCCATCAGGATCTTTGATATTCACATCTACTTTTTCAGGGAATTCTTCAAATATTGTATTGAATAACTCTTCATTATTTTAGTCAATCAGTAAATGTAATAAGGAGGGCATCTACTCTTAAACGATATTTAAGTCTGCTCCTTTCTTTATCAAATGAAGAGCACTCAAATTTTATTAGTATGCCACTGCAAATGAGACCGGAGTTCCAAAATTAGACAAGGCATTGATATTGGCACCAACAGAGAGTAATAGTTCTATCATTGGGATGGCACTTTATTATGCGGCCAAATGAAGTGCTGTGATAGTGTTTCTTTAATAATTGACATCCACATGATGGACATCAATCAAGTATTACACAATCGATAAATGATTATGTTGAACAGCAATTAAGAATGGATTGTTTTTCTCATCATCTAATAAGCTTACATCTGCTCCTTTCTTCACTAAAAACTTGAACACTTCGAGATCTCCTCTTGAGGCTCCAAAATGAATAGCCTTCTTTCCCTTCCCCTCAGATATCGTATTAATGAATGTTCTAATGGGAACTTTCTCATTCTCATTTCCCCTCTTGCGTTATTTAACATACAATAGATACTTTTTAATAGTATCAATGTCTGATGTGCTAATTTATGTGAAATATTCTTCGATGAATTTCTTTTCCTTCTCTATTTCTTTAATATCACTCATTAATAATTTATTATATGAATTAATCGTAATTTTTGCAATCCTTAAACTTTGATCCACTCCGAAGTCCACCATTAAGAGAAATTGCTTAAAGACATAAAGTTTATCTCAATTAATAGCTAGAGAGCAACTATGTGCGGTTTGTTGATCGAATCTAATGATTTTTGTCAATGCTGTGGCTTGGGAATTCACACTCACCCTATTTCGCTGAAGGCAAACATCATCAATTTAGCCTTTTTGGGTCAAGGCATACCGCTGTTTTATAATATCACTTTTCTACTCATTTTGCTGACATTCATATTATTACTTATATTTGGTCTGCCAACCATCATTTTTAATTTTTTAGCTGAAAATTGCATAGAACAAACCAATGAGGCTTATAATATATTTATTACACAAGGTTGTTCTAAGAATTGTCCTCAAGAACAGGATGATTTCAAATTAATACAACAACTCATTTCTAATAGTGATTGTACTGTCATTTGCCAACACTACTAGGAATTGTGTATAGCAACTCTGTTATCAGAAATGTCATTCACTAATAAGCAATTGGAAGATGACCTAAAAATCATATAGTCTTTCTTTGTATTCGGATCTGTGATTTTTATAAAGATTTATCTTGTTTTAATTAGGGAGAAGCAGAGAATCATCGAGGCTGAGTGTGATTAAGAGTTGATATCTCCATCAGATTTCACGGCCATGCTGAATCATTTACCAGAAGAAGATTACGATGAAAAAGAGTTAGCCACAGCAATAGAGTAATATTGCCAGAAAATCGATAGTTCAAATAAATATGAAGTAATTAAAATTAATATTGCATATGATATCAAATCATTTGTACTCAAAAGCAGAGAGAAAATTAAATTAGAAAAAATCTTGGCAGAAGAACAAAAATATTATATCAAAAATTAGAAATATAAGAGAAATAAACAGGAAATTGAGAAAATCAAACTTATGGTAGAACAACTGAAAAAAGAATTGGCCAATATAGAAATTGAAATTGAAAATGGGTCTTATAGAAAAACGACATCCGTTGCTTTCATCACATTTCAAACCAAATAATGTATCATTATTAAAATATGTAGAATTATAAAAATTAATACAACAAACCAAATTATCATATTGGGAATAGTTACTAATGCAAGTTAAGAGATTGATTTAAAATAAGGATAAAAGAGGATTCTATTTCAAAGATAACTTAATATCAATTTGCAGAGCCCCTGAACCAGACGACATATTTTGGGAGAATTGTGGAATTGAAAATTCCATTAAAATCAAGAGAAAATTTATTAGTTGGATAGTGGTCTTTGTTTTGTTGGGAATCTCCTTTGCCACTCTCTATGGACTTGAATATTTGCAAGTAAATAATCATCTTATTAATTTAAGAATCAATATCTTTCAAATGACTTAGATTTTATTACCAAAACATCATTATCACTCTTAAAATCCTTAATAATCACTATTGTTGATGCTCTCATTTATTATTTCATAACCTTATTAGCTAATCATGAAAGACATGTAACTAAAACCCATCAAGACACTTCAGTTGCTTAAAAATTGTGTTGTGTACAATTTATTAACTCTTGTTTTCTTTTACTTTTGATTCATCTAATTGGAGTTGGATAGAAAGGGGATTTCATGGAGAAATCAAAGTATGCAATCTAAAAATAGGGAGGAATTGCAAATGATTTACTGTTTGTTTGTTGTATGAATGCCCTATTCACTCCGATCACAGCCTTTTTTAACCCTATTTATTTCATCAAGAAATTACAGCAACTTTTTATAGAATCCAATAAGAGTCTGACTTAATTAGAAGCCAACAAATTATTTGAAGGACCTTAAGTGTTGTTGTATGATCAATATGCATTTATATGCAAGACAACTTGGATCACGTTGTTTTTAGCCCCATTGACTCCAATTTGTATCTTTATTAACTGGATTGGGTTGTCGATGTATTATTGGATATAAAAATATTTGTTATTGAGAAGAAATAGCAAACCTCCATTTCAAAGTAGTCATTTAGACAGGGAAATGCTAACACTTCTAGACTTAAGTCCGCTATTGTTGGCTGGGATGTAGTATTGGATTGATGAAATCTATGATTCCAATTATCTTAGTCATAGTATAAATATTGGGACGCTAGTGATTGCAGGATTGGAATTGGTCTTTCCCTCCTATCGAATTCATCAAATCTTGTATAGAAAATAATTGGAAGATATAGAGAATTAAAGATATATTGATGTTCACCTTCGGTTTACAACTGATTACGATAGAACTAATCCGTTGACGAGCGAACAAGCAACCCAAGAATTTATGAAGAAGAAATTTCAATAGTTTAACAAATAGATGACTTATAAGAGGAATTCTAGAATGCAATCAACCAAAAGATCTTTGAGAGAGTATGTTCAGAAAGGAATCTAGAGTGCGAATATATCAAGAATTCAAATTCTAAAGAGAAAGCTTCAGATTGCTTATAAATTAAAGATGTTTCAAAATATTTAATAGGAAACCAAGTATAAGGAATCTGATCGTGAAGACTCCATTCACACATTTAACTTTCCAGCTTATTAAAGAGCTCCACAGTACAACTTTTCAAGAGTAATTAATCAGTTTCCCAACTATTGCCAATATAATTCAGATCTCACGAGTAGAAGCAATTCTATTTCCTCAACTATATAATTAAACACATCAAAATATTAATTAACAACAAAACGAAATTCTTAAATCTAATCTTTTAGAGCTCCATTATAATGACAATATAAATGATTATTTTTCTTCAAAAATATACAATATATATTAAAGTTAAATGAGTTGTAAACAAGATTTCATGAGCATCATAAATTTTCAAATTTGTTTGGGTTGAGAATTTTAGAGAAATTGTAGTTCTACGCTTCTTGAAATTTATTATTGTTGTCATTATCAGTGGAGATATTTAATGAATTCTTCCTGAAACTAATATTCTTATTGATTATCATATATTCAGGTGTTTGAGTATAAATAGGTTCCTCCTATTCTTGAGACATCTCTTCATCTTGTTACTGCTAAATCACAGCAGCAATCTAACGAGCCTTCCTTATTAGTTTGATTTTCCTCATCATGGAGATTTTGAGCTTCAATGAAATGGTATTCCTCATAAATTGAACTCCTCCCATCTAAGCGTATTTATAGAGGGCTGTTTTGGTGTCCATCACTTGAGGCTAAACGTAATTTGAATCGACTAGGGTTTTTGCTTATATGAATTCTAATATAGCGTTCTGTTATGTTAATGGATTGGTTCTATCATAATCAGTTGGTAATTTCAAATAGACATCCGAGTATCTGTCTTTCTCAGTAGATATATTACTCTTCTTATCAAATAGCTTACTGATTCTAGTGGCTGGAGTAATCAATTCCAGACAAGAGAAACCTAAGCTAATAAAATTGACAGTCAATATGGCTGAACTAGAACTGAAAATATAGTCTGCCCACATTTAACCAACAGCCAATATTATAGGACTTAATTCAAATAAATTCATCATTTCTCGATTCAAATGAAAACTTTAAAAAGGAGGCTTGGAATTCCTTCTCAATAATAAGTACTTTTAGATCCAATAGTAGAGTAGCAATCCGGAACTGCAAAATAGTAAAGAAATTGGCAGCAAAGGTGCAAAGAGTAGTGAGATCCAAATAGATAAACATATGTATGAATATTGCTCGTATAAAAATACCGAGGGTCCTTCAAATATTTTATTTGCCTCTATTTGGTTAAAATTGTTATCGACTTTAAAGAAGTATTGCTGGTATAACTTATAGAGATAGAGTGGATCCAAATAGGCCAAAATAGGAACAAAGAATGAATTCACAATTAACAAAAAGAATGCATCTGAAATTACCCCTCCTTATCTGGAATATGCATATGTTGATGCATAATTGTCAGTCTTAACATTTTCAAAATTATACACCAAAATATTTATAACTTTAGTGAAGATTCCTGAATTAAAAAATTAAACAATTGCCAATTTAGTTGCCACAGAAACATCATGATGAGTCTTGGTAAAATGCTTTTCTGATAATCCTAATAACTTGATAAAATAGTAGATGATCTAATTTATAATTGTGATTATTAATGAGATAACCAGCGTTATTATTATCAGTATAGCATCATCATAGGATGAAAGGTTCTGGCTTTACAGAATATTCAAACCTAGTAAAATAGTGAAGGAAGCTCCTAAAATGAATATCGTAATAAAGAAATTCAATATTCTTTTTTGTAATTGATACTGAAAGTTAAACCCACAATTTTCCCAAAAGACATCATTCGGCTCTGGAGCCCTACAAATTATGATAATTCTATTTTTAAAGTAGAATCCCCTCTAATCTTATCGATTAATGAAGTAATATTTGAATCTAATCCATAACTCTTCCCAGTGAGAAAGTTTAGTTTAATCCAAAACCGATTACAATTCTACATATATAAATGTGTCTATACATTCTTTAGTTTAGAAAGTCACAAATGCAACTTAAGTCTAGTGTGCATATTATTAATTTTCAACTTCATTCTCAATCTTTGTTAATTTTTCATCTAAAATTCCTATCCTTTATTTCAATTCATTAAGCTAGTTGATTTTCATAGATCGTGGATAACGACCATATTATTTATAATAATTCTCAATTCTTTCTATTTTCTTTTCCAGACTCATCTTTTCCCTACTGAATTCAACAAATGAAGTAATGTCATATGCTATTATTATCTTGACAATTTCGTATTACCCGCTCTCATCAAACTAATAACAAAAATCGAGCAACGCATCCTTTAATTCTGCTTCATTATATTCATTTATAGGTAGATTGGTCATCATTGCTGTGAAATCTGAAGGCGATACAAATTCCTAATCACAAATCCTTACTGTTCTCCTCTATGATATCCTTACTCTAATCATTGCAAACTTAAACACCAAAATACTGCATAAAACTAATATGGATTAAACTAATTTCGAAGTCTCATCAAACTACTTGTTTGCGAATGACATTTAGAGAACTGATGTTCCTAGACAAATATCCCCAATTTTGGCACATATAGTCTCACAATCATTTGAATGTAATAATTTAGTGATAGAAGAAAAATCAGTCGAATTTTAAGGACAGTTTTTATTGCAAAGTCCATTTAATGAAAGCTTATAAAATAAATTTTCTTCTGAAATGCAATCGTGATTTCCTAAATTTGCTATTAAAGATGGTATCCCAAGTAGAGTAAATAAAATAAGCACTATCAATATTAATTACGAAGTCATCTCAAAAAATAAAGGCATTCCCTGACCCAGAAATGCCAAATCCAATCTATTTTAGCATAATGAAATTTCCCTTTGTTGTATAGGCTATCCACAGCATGGGCAATGATCTGATTTTTACTCATTTTCTCCACAAATGGACGCTTTCTAATTAGTAATAATGCTTACCTAATGAACTTTAGCCAGGTCAATACTGGCTGGTATGCGAAAAGGATCAAATGTTAAAGAATTCTTAGCATCAATCTTAATTTAATTCATTTTTAAACTCCTATTGATTTAATATTATTAATTATATTAATTATCAAAATGCAGGAGAACTCCAAAGAATATGATCCTTTTAAGATTCCAGCTGACACTAACATCTCTATTAAACATAAAGTATAGGAATATAATGACTTACAAGAAAGCAACAAAATGTGGTACTCCAATAGCAAAATCTGAGTTATGTCCTTGTTGCGGTAGAGAAGTTGAACAAGAATAAAAAGAAATTGGGATTTCTCCTATCGATTTAATTTATTTGGGCTAAGGAATCCCATTGTTCTTTCTGTTTCTTAAATAGATGATAGTAGTGATATTAATAGTTTTTGGGATTATGGGGATATATTCATTGATTACGAATAGCATAAGTGATAATTGTCTAGACAACAAAAGTGACCTTCTGACCCTCTATTAAAATGGATTTTGTGAATAAAATTGTCCACTTCCTTTAGATGAGGACTATTTGAAAATAATTTCAATTCTAAAAACAGAAGACTGTTAAATAGTTTGCAATCAATTTTCGAATGTTTGCACAACCATCTCGTCTACTAAAATAGCTTTATCCAACAAATAGCTAGATAAGGATTACAAGGAAGTTCAAGCAATCCTTGTATTGTGCTCCATTATTTTGTTTAAAATCATACATGTGTTATTCAGAAGACATTAAAAATTAACATAAGATGAATTAGATAGAGGCTTGTTGTCAGCTTCAGATTTCACAGCAATGTTGACTAAATTACCTTAAAATTAATATACTGAATCTGAATTAAGGGAAAGCCTTTCAAAATATTGTAAATAAATTACGCAACTTTAACCTGAATAAGAATTTGAAATAGTTAAAATTATAATTGCCTTCGACATTTTTGATTACATCAACATCATAAGAACAAAAACTGAATTGGAGAAGCAGTACTAAATTAATGAATCATTTAAAAATATTAATACTCAATATCCTCCTTAAGTGACTGCTGAAACCTAAAAAGAATTATTGTTACAAATTGAGAAGAAAGAGGAAGAACTATCTAAAATTGATAATGATATTCAGAAGAAATAATTCACATAAACAACACAGGTTGCATTTGTAACCTTCTAAACAAAAAAATGTATTGAACATAAATATTAACTTAGAATTGGATACCATTGTTGAATACACTAAATTAACCTCCTGGCAACTAGTTTTGACAGCCATTTTAAATGTTTTTGGAAAGACCCTTAATAAAGGTTTTTACTTTAAAGATAAGCTAATATAAATTACAAGAGCTCCTGAACCAGATGATGTGTTTTGGGAGAATTGCGGATATAGTTTAAAGTACAAAATATAGCAAAGAACTTTAAGTTGGCTCATTACATTAGTGTTACTTGTTACTTCATTTTTTATTCTATTTGGATTAGATTATGTTTAAAATAACTATCTGAAAGATCAAAACATTAATTATGTTCTATTGACAATCATTTCTTTGATAATCTCATTGATAATTTCAATTATTAATGCAATGATTTATTTTAGCATTACAATTTTGGCCAACAAAGAGAAGCATTACACAAAAACACATTATGATGTCTCAGTTGCAACTAAATTAATCTATGTTTAATTTGTGAATTCAGGATTGCTAATTATGGCAACAAACATCTTAGTTTAAGGATTGTAAAATCGAAATGATTTGAATGAAGATATTGAATTACAAAGTTTGGCATTCAGTAGACCAGGAGGAGTAGCATAGGATGCCTTTATCATTACTTTAATAAATGCACTAATAACTCCTTTAACTTCATTTTTTGATATATTTTATATGAGAAAACTACTCCAACAAAGAAATTTAGAGAAAAGTACAACCAACGCAATCACTTAAACAGAGGCAAACACAATTTTTGAAGGACCACAAGTTTTATTATATGATAACTATGCATATGTTTGTAAGACAGTTTGGATTACTTTATTTTTTGCTCCATTGGTACCTATTTCTTTGTTATTTTGTATATGTGGTTTGTTTTTATATTATTGGTTATAGAAATATCTACTTTTAAGAAGAAAATGTAGACCTCCACTTCAAAGTAGTCATTTGAACAGTGAAATGTGCAATATTATTAATTTCAGTCCCATCTTATTAGCTGCAGGATAATTGTGGGTAGACTTTGTATTTGAATCAAATGCAACAACCAAGATTGTAAATTTTGTTTCAATTGGGTTTTCTGGATTAGAATTCTTTTTCCCTTTTGAAAAGTTAGCTAAAAAGTTTTTGTCTTGGCCAGAAGATCCAAATGAATTGAGTAAATACTCTGAGAAATGGCACGAATTACCAACGGACTACGATAGAATAAATCCAATAACTAGATAATAAGCTATATAAAATTATGTAAAATTTAAGTAATCGGTTGATAATAAAGGGAACAATTAAAATAATCAATAAAATGACCAAGTTTTGTAAGCATTAAGATAATATGCATTTGAAGGAGGAGAATACAAATTCAAATCTCATTTGATTCATAAATTGAAAGCAGTTACTAATTTATAAACTAATAAACAAACCAATAATATTCCTATTAATACAATTGAAATGCAACCTAAATCTACAAATTAATTCTAATAATAAGAAGATAAGACGGCATTGCTTGGATAATAATAATACATCTCACAAATTTAAAGGATGCAATAATAAATTGAGCAACCTAATTAAAATCAGAATAATTATCCTGTATATCCCCCTTAATAATAATATTATTCATATGATCAAAATAATTAGCAGTAGCCATATTATCAATAAAATCAATAACAATAATATTAGCAACCTTATTAGCAAAATTAGTTTCCAAATGCTTAAATGCCATACTATAATCAAGATCCTCGAATGTATCAATAATAGCCTGGACAAAATCCATAATAACCTGGACAATACCCATAATAGCCTACTCAATATCCATAATAGCCTGGTTAATATCCATATTAATAATATCCAAATAACTAATATCATTATTGAAACATTTATATAAATATATATTTTTTGATTACATTATTATTACAATCGCTATATGATCGATCAAATAGTCAAAGGATTTTAAAAAATTGATAGATTTGGAGCCATATTTAGACCGCCTATTGTAGATATTCATCCAGAATATAGGTCGGTTCTAGGAGGAATTGCTACACTCGTTTTATATGGTTCAAGTGTAGCATACTTTTTGTATCAAATCATTTAATGGCAATCCAACTAGTTATTACCGAAAATCACTCAAATCTAGATTTCCTACGATGAAAAATATTACAATATTGAAGATCAATTGTCCTCGTTTTACATAAGAAAAAATTTTAAGAATGATTAAATTGACCCATTCGACCCAAGAAACATCATTTTGCAGCCGATCCTTTCTAAATTCTCAAATTAACAACTTGTTAAATCTTATTCATTTTATTATGACTAAAAATTGGAAGATCAAGATATTCGTGAAGTTATTTTAGCAAATATAGAACTAAACTTAAATACTAACAAATCAAGTGATAATCCACAAATTGAATACTTATTATCGTTTGGGACATGCATGGATATATATTTGTTGGAAGGGCAGAAGTGTGCAAATGAATCCTTGGTAAACACTTACATGAATCAAAAGAGTCATGCATTAATAATGAATCATTTTGTTAAAGAATATAATTCGAAATAAAAACGAATATAAAACGTAAAAAAACAATTTTTAGCAATCCTTACAAAAAATACAACACTATATTTCTAAAATCAAATCAGATTATCTAAAACGCAAATTGATGATGGCTTCTTATTTCCTTCTAATTCAAAAAAAGAATTTCCTATTGATACCATAATTATATCTTAAACTACAGTCCCTGATAGCTTTTAAAACATATTCGGCCGACCAACTTACTTGGTTATGGCATATGGTTTAAGTGAAGTAATACAAGAACAGTATATCGAGTATCCCAAGATATCCGAAGTACTGGCTGACATTGGATCTATTGTTTCAATTATCTTAGTTTTATCATACTTATTCATCTTTTTTAATGAACACAACTTGGAAAAAGAATCCATTTAAAAGGTCATTTAAATGTATTACCCTGAATTCTGCAATATGAAATTTAAGTAAAATTGGTATGGCAAAATTGTTGATGTTAAATACAATAATATTCCAATTGACAAAGATGAATTCTTGATATTCTATAATAAGATTTAGAAAATTGCAACAAAGAAACTCAGCATTACTAACATATTATACACTCTGTCGAAGTTACAATTTCTATTGTAATCAACATACAATGTAGATAAAATCAAATTGGCTCATAAAATTGGAATCAAACTAAAGCAATTTTCTAAAGCTAGCAATATTGCATTAATTCAAGAATAATTGAATTTTTAAGAAATATCGAGAAATGAATCCAAAGATCAAATCTAAATTCATGATATTGCTAACATCAATCCTAATGACTAAAACAACAATCCGAATTCTATGATAAGGCTGGAGACTATCAATAAAGATAATTCTAAAAGCATCTTTTTGAAATTAAAAGACGAATACCATCTCTTGAATGATGAGGACTTCCAATTTTTTACAATTGATGAACCTATTCTTATAGATAATGATATCTAGAAGTCGGATACTTATTTTGAGAATAATTTTATTGATCTTTGACATTCTTTATTTCAATATTTTATAAAAATTAATTATGAATACTTTAACAAAAATTGCTAAACATTTTTGTAAATAGATTAAAGAAAAAAAGGATGATTTCTTAAGCAGTGATAGATATGTTTACGCAAGACAAAAACTCCAAATAATCAATGATCCAAAATTTATACAGAAAACAATTAAAATAGAAGAATCTGCTAAAGCGAAAAACTATTATTTAACAAGTAAACAATTTCCTATATTGCTTTGTGCTGGAACATTATTCTTCTATCACCTATGGTAAGTAATGCCTTACTCTAAAATATTTAAACACACCTCCATTAGTGAGTATACTAAGGACCTTCTTTATCCAATTTTATTGTCACCCTCATCACATTAAACATCTTAATCGTTTTTAACTTATGTGCCAGCTTTAATATGTGGATTGTATTTAAATGGCTATTATATGAATTACAAAGGAATGATAGGATTGTACTTAACTAATAGTTTAGTATAAATATTTAAGTATTTAGTTAAGTAGTGCTGTAACATATTATTACGAAAAATATCGAAATGAGTAGTTGGGAATATCAATGATATCACCAAAGACTACTGGGGCCTGCACAGCGTTAGCATATATATTTTCATTTGCTGTCCTCTCACCTGATTATATGATAAGAGTACTCAAATTATACTAAATAGAAAAAACTTCCATTTGCCATCTTTCCACTGCTATACTTAATATACGAAGTTGAAGAACTCCTTATGGATGATCAACAAAATTGCAGACCAGCTCATATCTCATCCATAATTCTAGGAGCTACATATGGGCTTATTTTCAAAAAATATTACAAATTTTTATGAAATTTTGAGTTAATGTTTAATAATATTAATAATGCAATAGTATAATATTAACTATTCCTATCATATTTGGATTGAAGATTATTCGAGGAAAATATCATATTTTTCTAAATTACAATCTCTAAATCTCATGCATGGAACACTTAAAATGTTCAAATCATAAGCTTAAAGGGATGCAAGTCAGATAGGACATAAAATTATTCAATTATCAACTCAATAGTATTAAAATAAAATCTCTATTTAGAAAATATAAATGATCGATATTATAAATTATAATAGAAATAATATCATATTGATATTTTGCACCTATCAAGAAGTGTGGTAAATTGAAATTATCATTGCCTGAAGAATACAGATATTTTTCCCTTTACCTTATGTAAGGCTTAGGTAAGGTTCTTTTTAATTATTTCATAATAGTGAAAATAGATGAAATTTTAGTCAGTTTTAGAAAATAGGAAATGTGTGATACATTTCTAACATCCAACATACGTTATTTGAATGCAGTTAGAGAGGATCGATAATATTTTTGATAATTTTAGGCTAATGAATTGACTGGACATTCTCTGAACACTATATTAAGGTAGTATAAATTTCATTGAAAATATATAGAATTTTTTATTATTATGAATTGTGTATTGATTTGTATAAAAGAAATTAATGAATTATAAAAGAATATTTTTATAAATTAATTTGATTAATTTATAACTTTCAGAAAATTGGAATTTCATATTTTGAACATTTTGCTTACGCGTGTCAGTCTCTTATTTATGAATAATTAAATTATCTTTCATATGTATAATTATATATATATATATATACTCAAATATTAAGTTTGTCTATGAGTTCTTCTAAGTTAGATTAATTAGTGATAAAGGGATGTTTATTAACTTGCTCAATAGTAAATCTTTTATTTGGATCTGGTTCTAGCATGTTTTAGATCAGATCTTTGAAATCAGGATGTGTGGGAGCTTTGATTAGTTTATCAAAATAATTCCAAAACTGTTGCCACTTTTATTAGATAATGGTGTTCCAAAATCGGCACTTAGATTGTATGGTAACTGTAAAGGGAGGATACCCGTAAGCTAGAATGAATATAACAACTCCAAGAGCAAAAACATCTGTTTTTTTGAGTGAATTAGAATTGATGATTTTGTCTTCTAAGTTAAGTTCTGGTGCCATGTAGGTAGCGGTTCCACAATGCCTAGGATATTACTTAGATGTGTGAAGACAAACAGATAGACCAAAATCTATGATATACATTTTGGCTTCTGAATTGAGCATGATATTCTCAAGTTTAATGTCTCTGTGAACATAGTCTATTGAATGCATATAAAGTATAGCATTTGATAGTTATAATAGAATTTATTGGATAGTGATACTTTGTAATGGTCCATGAGTGATAATGAGTTAATGAAGGTCTGTTTTCATCAAAGCGGTTGTGTACCAATTATAATCTTGATCAAATTCTAAAATTGAAATAATGTTCTCGTGTTTAAGAGAATTGAGTATTTTGATTTCTCTCTCACGCAATTTACGTGAACACTCTTTAAATGATTTTAAAGCATATTATTTATGATTAATAATACATTTATTAATTACACTAGACAATCCATCACCAATTTTCTCAAGTATTTACATTTCTATTTTAGTAATAAATAATAATATATTAAATTAATAATGAATTTAAAAAGTTTAATTCTGATCATTTACAGATGGCGGATGAATTGCTTAAAATATGCACTTATAAATAAAAATCAAGAATCATTCTACTAAAATTCCATCTTTCCAAACTCCTCTAATGTCATGTCGATCTGACGTAGAATATATTCCTTAGCCATCAATCATGCCATCGTTGAATTCTCCTTCAAATTACTCTCCGTTTGTCAACATGAGGACTCCTTTTCCATGCATTTTGCCTTCATAGAAATCACCTAAATTAAATTATAAACTTCTAACCTTCATAACTCAGCCATCCGTTCTCGATGTTCCCAAGATCCCTATAGTCATAAGGTCCCTAGATTTGTTCCACTTGGAAATTGATTAGTTTTCCCTGGCCATGATATTGATTGTCTCTCCAATATCCACTATATACTTCATTCTCATATTGGTCAGTGAGCACTCCGAATCCTTCCCTTACTGCAGGTTCGTAACCCTGTCCTCGATATATAAATCCATCTTCGTATTGTAATGCCAATTGTGTTAATTATTATTATTGTTATTTATTTTAATCTGCCGGATTATATTTCTATACTAAATCTCTGGTTCTGTCAATAGCATCTTAGAATCTCTTCTCCAATTCATCTTCCTGTTACGTGTTGACTGGCGAAATGGATTTAATTTGGGGCGTCTACTATTAGATTTGTTATTATTATGTTTGGTGATAATTTTATTGTGGGAAAATCTATTGAGGGGTTTGATTAGGAAGTGTGTACGTTTGAGGCTTTTATACCGAATATCTGGGAGCAGTTTATGGGAGCGTTTATTATTGTTGTGAACTACTTGGATAAATTAATCTTTAGTTGTTAGAGTATTGAGGGTTTATAGAATTAACAATTGGGAGTTGTTATTAATGAATAGAATTTCGTTATTGTCTGGCAGGACTGGGTTGATAAATTTATTGGGATTGAACAGTGTAGACTGGTTAGGTCTGTCTGGGTTAGATTGATGATTGATATTATTAATATTAGTATTATTGGGGTTATGGTTGTGTATAAATTACAAAAGCTGGTTGTGGTCGTCTGTAAGTTTGAGGTTGATACGGTGGTTAGTAATAAGTGGGTCTTTGTTGTGGAATTACAAATTATTTCGGTGGTGGTTGAGGAGATGTTAACAATTACTGTCTCATTAATTTTATTGATAATAATTTTAATGTATAGTGAATAAAATAAGAGAGTTATCAAATTAGACGAGGATGAAGAAAATACACCCGAAAACCTTATTACAATATACGAGAAGATGAATCTAGAGACAGCTGGTAAAATTTGGGAATGTGTACTACCATTTTCATTAATTTATAGTCTTTAATCTTGGGCAGATATCTAATCAAGCAATCGTATTTCAACAAGATTGAACTGGCCAACAAGAACGTTCTCGAATTGGGTTGTGGAACTGGGATCTTGAGCATCATTCTAGGAAAGCAAGGTTGTAATGTTTTGGCCACTGATTTGCCACAGGTTGAAGCTCTATGTGAACAGAACATATCAAAGAATAACATTGCCAGTCAGGTCAAATTCAAAATACTTGATTGGAATCAAAGTAAGCACAAAACTGATTGTCTGATTGATAAAAAATAAATTGATATTCTAGTCGCTAGTGATCCAATTTATAACTAGAAAACCTTTGACTCCTTCTTTGCTCAATTGAAAATATTGTATGAAGTGATACCCAATAAACCTATACTCTATCTGGCTCACAAATACAGACATGATGAATTTGATAAAATCCTAGAAGACAAAATTGAAGAAACTGAGTTGTGGTTTAAAAAGGTTGATTCAGAACACTTGGATGATCTATGGAAATCATAATAGTGCGTAGTCTATAAAATAGGCAAATTTTGATTTGTTATTGGTTTATCACATATATATTACATTTTCATAGTTTACTTTATGTCAACCAAGCATGTTCCTAAGGTTTCTTTTATCCATATGGGTTGATTCTCACATTTACAATATAACTTTATTGAGGATTGCTAAGGATCTCTTTCATAGCATTATGCAACTGATCATGGGTTTCTACTAAAAAGCCCTTTCCTCCGAATGATTCACACTTAAATTAATTGTAAAATGTACCAATTTCTCATATCTAGAATTAGGATTCAAGGCAGTCACTGGCTTTTCATTATTCTTTTCGGATAACTCATCCACACCCACAAAAATTCCATTGTTGTTGATAATAATAAGGACCAAGGGCAGATTGTATCTAGTAGATGTCTCAAATTCAAATCCTGAAAATCCAAATGCACTATCTCCCAAAATGGCAAACACTTATTTATCTCTGAACACTAATTTGGATGCTATTGCAAATGGCAATCCTATTCCCATAGTACCAAATGTTCCACTATCCAACTTTCTTCTTGGTAGATCATGTTCAATTATTGTTCTACCAACATCCATTGTATTGGCTCCTTCACCAACATAAACACAATCCCTTGGTAAATATTATTTTATTATTCCAAATGCTATGCAAAATTATACTGATTAGTACCACTATAGTATTCTAAGGGTAGCTCCTTATCATTCATTAACTATTAATTTGTGAGAGTATTCTTGTTTCTCTTATCAAATAGTTTGTCAATCCATTATTTGTTACTAAATTACCAATTTCCAAATGACTTCTACAACTGATCAACCACCAAAGAAACATCTCCAAATAACGTTGTTGTTCTTCTATTATTGTTAAATTCCTCTGGGAAGTTATCAATTTAAATGAATTGGCAATTGTCATCAAACCTTGGTGGCAAACCAAAATGTAATATCCAATTTAACCTTGCACCTACCAATAAAATAACATCGGCATCTCCAAGGGCTGTAGATCTAGCTGCAGATACATTAAGATGATTAGAATCAGGAACCACTCCTTTGCCCATAGGACTTGGTAAAAATGGCAATTTTGTTGATTCGATGAACTTGATCACCTGCTCCTCTGCTAAGCTGATACTAGCTCCCTTGCCTACAATAACCAAGGGTCTCTTTGCATTCTTTAATTGCTCAACTGCTTGAAGTATGTTTTTTGGATCTGCTAAACTTTTGGGTATTTATTCTAATGTGAATGAAGGTACTTTAATCAATTCTGTCTCGGGGATATTGCTCCTTAATAAATCTCCTGAGACCTCGATGTAAGTGACTCCAGGTCTGCCTACACAACTTTATCTGATTGCTTTTTCAATTAAAATGGGGGCTTATCTTAAATTGGTTATCTAAACACAATTATAGTGAAATTTACCTTGGCTCCGAATTTGATGTATGGCTTGACCATATTCCATTGGTCACACTCCTAAAATGCCCCATAGGATTATTGACCATTTTCTGAACTTCCAGCCACTATGACCATTGGCCATCCATTCACCTGAGCATTCGCAGCTCCTGCCAAAGCATGGATTAAACCAGGTCCACTAACTACTAAGCAGACGGCTGGCAAACGAGTAAGATATCCTATTGCTCCACATGCATAAGATGCTCCTTATTCGTTTCTAAAACCGTAGTATTCCATTCCTTAAGCCTGAAAGGCATAGCCTAGTTCAATGACTGGGACTCCAACGATGCCAAACACATATTTCAGATGATTTTGAGCAAACGATTATGCGATGACTTAATTTCCTGAAATCATTTTAATTAATCTATATATAATATTTATATATCTTATATAAATAGGATATATTATAATTGCAATTGCTAAAGTAAGTAGAAACGAGTTATTAATTATATTTTATAAATGTTTAGTTAAATTATATAATGTTGAATTATGTGTACAAAAAAGAGATAATTCTGAGAGTTTAGCGAGTAGAGAGCCATTAAAACAAAAGTTTGAAAAGGGGAAACCATAATTATAAGAAAAAGAGAGGTAACAGAAAATTTTGAATTTTCTTGAATTTGTCTATTTTATCAGTTTTTTCTTCGTATGTAACATTTTTTGATCTTAATCTTATGGGTTTCTTGTTAACTTGATTTTTAAAAAACTTTGGATGGAATTAGGTATGACTTAGTTTTTAGTCCTATTGTTATGTGTTTGGTATAAAAATAAATGGTTTCTTATTTAAATTTAATTTTGATCACTTATTTTCATAGATTGGAGGTATTCTTTAATGAAAATGCAATAATTAAATGAAATTGTTCAGAGAGGGGTACAGATTGTAATTTATAAGTGCGTATTGACTTAACAACTTAATAATAAATATTTATGAGTAAAATTTTGAAATAAATGTTGTGGTTAGTTTCGATGATGAGTTTTACGGTTAATGGGATAATTGACATGTATAGAAGTTATTTATTTATAGACAATCTCATGTGAAAGGATGTTTGGATGCAAGTTGTACAAAACTCTGTTTATTGGGAGTTGCTGATTGTAGTAAGACAGTGCCAGTGTGTGAATACGGTTATTTCTTATTCAAGGAGAAATATTGTGTTAAATGGTATGGTTTGTATCAACTATTTTAAAAGTCCTGGATTCTCGTCAGATATGCGATTTGATTGCATGGACTGTTTAGAAAACCCGACCTCGTGGGCTGAAAACAGGTAATGCAGTTACGGATATGAAATAACAAATGGGGATGCTTTGAGCGGTGTTTTCCAATAATAAAACGATTCCGCATCAAGTTTATATTTTATTGTAGCCTCTAATTAATAACCAACTAACCTGGTTGATCGCCAGGTAGATCTACCATATGTAGCACAATTGTGTGAGGGGTGTGACGAGTTTTGCGATGATGATACAGATGAAGCATGTAACTTTTTTGAAGATTATAATAACAATGACGTTGACCCTCAAGTTGGAGTTTCTTGCTTAGATGGCTATTACTTTGAGAATGATAATTGTTTAAAATGTAGTCGCTATTGTATGCAATGCGATGAAAACGAATGTCAATAATGCTTCAAAGGCTATCTATTGAAGGAGGGTGGCACTTGTTTGGAGTGTCCAATTGGATGTTTGGATTGCAATTTTGGATTTGATGGCATTACGATAGAATGCTATGAATGTTAACAGGAAGGATTTGGTGAATATTTTTTGCCTAGTTTATTTTTGGCGACTTGTGAAACTTGTGAAAGTGGATGTTCAAAATGTGAATATATGACCTATGACGATACTATTTACCCGACATACTTGACTAGAGGTTTGGAGGTACCATTTGAAGAGGATGTTAATAAATATATTAAGAGATGCAGATAGTGTAGAGGATCAAAATCATTTATTAATGCCAGTGGAAGAAGTTGCTCGAATTGTAACATAGCAGATTGCAAATAATGTTACTAGGATTTGGGCGGTGGAGTTACAACTTTGGATCCTGATTTCACTCCTAAGGATGGAGACTTTGATATCCTCTGCTATATGTGTTCAGTTGGCTATCAGTTGAGTGCAGATAAAAAGAGTTGCACTACTTAAACTGATCCCAATTGTGCAATACTCAATTCCGATGGTACTTGTTAATAATGTGCCAATGGGTTAATGTTTGATTCTACTACCACTCCAGGGACATGCACAACCACAAAGTGCAGTTCAAAGATATTGAATTGTGTGGATTGCTTTTCCTATGATGAACCTGATGCCGATGTAACATATGATGAAAATGGGATTCCAGTCAGATCTTAAAAAAAATAAATATAGTGTACTAAATGCAGTCTCGGTTATTATCCTGATTTCTTTAGTGGAAAATGTGTTAGATGCAAATAAAATTGCTAGCAATGTTGGTAGAATACAGATTCATATAACCTTACTTAGATTAATTCCGTTTATTAAGTCTATTCTTAAACGGCCAAATCATCCTTCCTAAATGAAGATTTAAATGATCCATAATGTACATTATGTTACAATGGTTATGACTTATACAATAACGAATGTTAAGGATGTGGTGATGGTTGTCTATTAGAGTAAGTCTCAATGTGTGTTTTCGAATTTGATACTGCTTATTGTTCAAAATGTCCTCCAGGTTAAAGGTCCTTAGTAAATGATAATAGTGACTGTGCTGACTGTCCACTCTATTGCGAAGGTTGTAGAGAACGAACCCAAAGTGAGATCTACAATATCAACCCATTATTCAACCCAAGTAATTCCGATTTTCAAAAGTATTCCAATCTTTGTTACAAAATTATGAAAAATTTTGATGTAACCAAAAACTTATATCTCGACACTCTCACAAACATGCCCACTGCTTGTAATTATCCAGGCACTTCAAAGAAATGCTACTACACTTCAACTATCAACTTTGAATTAAATTGTGATGATGATGTAACTGTCCCCGATGCCTTGGACTTGTCATCAATCTTCAAAGGGAAATCATCAACTGCTACTCTCATATTGAAAGACATTGAAAAATATGAGAACTACTTGTTATTGAACAAAAATGCTGTATAGGAAGTCACTCTTCTAATTAATATTCATGGCTCAGAGTGCAAATTCACCAAACCTACTCAATTTAAGACCTAGCTCTAATAGAATGTGTTTTCATTATTAAAACTGAATGTACACTTTACCTCCTCTACATCTGCCACCTTCTATTAAATAGGACATATTTCCTTCTCTAATATCAATAATTTGAGATTTGAAAATATTAAATTTGCATATAACGATGATATAAAGTCAAAGATTAAAGATTTCGGTATAACTTTAAAAGGCAAATCAAGTGCTTTCACACTAATCAATTCTGAAATCTCAAAGGAAGATTCAATAGTTTAGGGTATGTTCTCCTTCAATTTTACAGGAGTTCAAAAACTTACTTTAGATTAGGTTGAATTTTTATACTTGTCACCTATTGATCAATTCCTTAATTAAAATTTCACCTAGGAAAGCACTTACACTTTGTCATTAAATAAAGTCAAATTTACTAGATGTCGATTCCTGAATAACCAACAATTATTTGATTAGAATCCTGTCAATAATACTAAAATAACCATCAATGATTTCACCCTCTTTAAATCAGAGTTTATTGGAACCAATATTTTCGGATCTCTAAATGGACAGACTTATGCAAAATTGGACTTGACTATTACAAATCTTAAGATCCAATTATGTACATTCTTGTAGTCCAGTTTTATTATAAGCAATTAATTAATAGCTAGCTCAATTTCAAACGTTGATGTTTACACAAGTTAATTCGTTGGTTCATATATTTTTATGCTGAATCACATAAACTTGTAGAACATCTTTGTAGGATCTAGCAAGATTTTGAACAATTCTATCATATTATCAACGTCTCCTATAGTGGATGCTATGGTTGTTCCAAAAAGTGTATTGTAATAATTTAAGATCAGCAATGTTCACTTTGATTAAAATGAGTGCAACACTATCAACTGCTTGATTTACTTATCAACTCCTATGAACGCATATAATGTCTAAGCCGATTTAAAAATTGAATCTTTACAGGTAATAAAATCTGCTACCTTAATTTACACATAAGTTATTAGATATATAGATTCTGCCATGTGTGTGTTCAAACAATTCTAGAATATTAAAATATAGAAAATGAAAACAGTTGATAGCTATGGCTCAATAGTGTTTTATTTTGACCAAATAAAATCCATTGATGTTGATACCTTTTAATGTGACTCAGTTCAATCTGAATTCATGACTGTAACTGATGAAAATGGAGATGAAATAGAGGTTAAAAACCCGTACAACAATTTGATTCCCTCTTCAGATTATTGTGCTGAATAGCTATGGTCGTCAAACAATTATAACTTTTATTGTCTCTATGTTAATGAATATTCCCATGGGGTGAAAATGAACAACATCATAATAAGCAATCTGCTGTTGTTAGACTTTAATGCTATAGTCATACAATCCTATGACATTCTAAAAATGAAGACCAACAGAGTCAAGGACAATTTATAACAATTTTACTCTAACTATGAGAAAGAGGTCATCATAATCACAAATATCTATGCATTTAACAATACATTACTCGCCTATGATTTGGGATCACAATTGTCTTTACTATTAATTAAATCACAATAGGAATAATAAATTATTATAAACAATGCACAATTCGAGAGCAATCACTTGCATAAGTCATCTTTATATCAAATGATGATTAGTGCTACTGTCTTAGTAGTTCAATCATAATAAGCCATAATGAATATATCCTATGCTACATATGATTATAATCGAGCCACTAAATTTGAATACGGATTAAATTATGTTTTAGTAAAATCTCTTAACATGAATAATTGCTGGTTTCGATCAACCAATCAATTTGAAGGAGTTTGGTTCAAGAAGTTAAATGAAAATTAAATGAATGATACTTTATAAGTTTGGGAATTTTTTTAGGTAAAATCCAAAGGAGCTAATTTGTATTTAGTGACTCAGGAATTGAACATGAAGGATTGCTAATTTATTAATAGTTTTGGATTGGATGGTGCAGGAATATACATAGTGACATAAGGGGCTGGCAACTTATTGATAAACAATACAATCTTCAAGAACATCAAGACCAATTTAGATTAGAAATACTTGACCCAAGGCGGATGCTTATCAATTGATGCCAAAGCATCAGCGATGTCACTCACCTTATCAAATGTTAACATGGAAGATTGTGTGAGTAGATCCAAAGGTGGTTGCATTTGGGTGGGCTCATCAAAGAACCAACAATTAATTTAAATTAGTGACAGCAAATTCATCAAATGTCAATCATTGACTTCTTAATTCATGGACGTCTAATTCTTTGATGTAGTTAATTAAATAATGTCTATGAACAACTTAAAGATTGAGAACAATAATCTACAAGAATTTTTGTCTCATGTACCTGATTTATCAGAGACTGAAATTGATCAGTTCAAAACATCTGCCTCTGTTTACACATAAGTAAATGGATAATTGAGGATGAACCACATTTCCATATACAACATAGTTAACTAGAACATTATCTATGCTGCCAACTTATACAGAGGATATTTTAATCAGATTTAATTTGTAAATAACACTATCTTTAGTGCTCCTCTGATGCGCTTTACCTTAAAGGATGAGTTAGGAACTGCCTATTTAGGTTCAATTACATTCTCTAATAATAACTAATTCATTCCTTAAAAAAAGTTTAGTATATGTACCAACTTATTTTTTGTAATCCCAACAGAAGCCTATGATGAATAAACTTGTGATCTATGGTAAGAGAACATCGCTCTGGTTGATTAAATATTTTCTGATTCCCTTTTAGTGATCGATGATTTAGAATTGGATGATGAATACTTAGGTATGAATGACAAAACCAAATATGGATGGCAAGAAATAGAAAATGAATTGCAACCAACTGCTGACGATCTTCCACTCAATTTTGTATATGATTAGAATGTGAAGGATTGTATATTCTATCAACTGTTCAGTGAAATTTCAAACAGAACCTCCGCTTACATCTAAATACTAAATATCAGAGAAGGGAATTAAATTAAAATAGAAGGGCTAGAACTAAGCAACAATGATTGCACTGTCTGTACCTATGGATTAGTATAGATTATCCAAGTTGATAGAGCAGTTGATATCATAACTATCAATTATTTGCTTTGCGTTAACAATCATCTCTCTTATTTCGGATGTTTAGCGATTACTGAGGATAACCAATTGAAAGATATTCATTTCAATAAACCCTTATATGGAAGGAGATTACTAGCTCAAACCAATGACCAGTATTCGATATAAGTAAATAACTCAAGAATTATAAATAATATGGCTGCTGTTGGATCTGGTCTAAGTGTCATTAGTTTGAATATAGTGTTTGATAATTGTGAATTCTCCAATAATATAGCATCACTAGTTGGGGCTGGAATCTATTACGAATCAATCAATTCGTATATATAGATATTCAATTCTAAATTCAGCTACAATTAAGCTTAGGCTGGATCAGCCATCTATTTAGAAGGAACATAATTGAGCAATCAAACCAAATGTAAGAACTCATATGTATAAAATATTGGCACATCAACTTATGAGGATCCTGTTGGATTGAAAATCACAATGAATGATTAGAAAATGCCCACCATTCCATTCTCTAAGTATACAAATGAAGATGGAGATGTTATATCGAGTACCATAGCTATGATAGATAAGGTGTCTACAGAAAAAGTGCAATTGTTGAATTATCCTGAAATAACTGATCTCTTGATTGTACCTTCAGGACAAAAGATTGGAAATTACAAGTTTTATTTCATTGATACCATGGAACAGATACCTTATGATTGGAATATGAAATTAATATATTTGAATAGATTTGATGAGAAGTTAGCCTAAGAATATTCTTCAGATTCATGTTAGATAGATGCAAGAATATAGAACTTCAGTTTCTATGATAATTCCAAAGAATACATGAGTAACTTTACAAATTATGATACTTTGAATTACAATGTGGAGGATTCCTCTTTTGAACTGGATAGCTTGATAATTACATTTGATCCATACATGCACGAAGATCTATATTTAGAATTGAGATGTATAATAATTGATAATATTATTTAGTTTATTGTCCAAGTGTGAAAAAACCTGTTTTGCAAGCTGAATACCCATATAATGTATTGTCCTAAAATAAAAACTATTATTTGTTAGCAAATATTAGAACTTACCCTTGTCAATTGGGGGAAGCTTACTACGACGGAAAATGCGAGGCTTGCGATATTAATTAAAAAAAGTTTAGTGTGGTGCCAAACTCACCTTCATGTTAATCAATTAGTTAAGAAAGTATGATTGATGTTACTCCAGTCGGAATCAAACTCAAATAAGGATGGTATAGACCTTACATAGATAATGATCAATACGAGTATTGCTTAAATCTTCCTGCTAATTGTAATGGCGGATGGATACCAGGCAATCCTTCATGCTATACTGGTCACATTGGTGCTTTATGTGAAAGTTGCGATCTATACGCTCTAAATAATGACATTCGATATTCTAATACTGAAAAGTACGTCTGCTCTCCTTGTCAAAATACTAGAGATTCAAGCATAGGAATATTAGCAGGAAATACCATTGCAACAGTTGCTTCTATCACCTTATCCGTAAAAGGCACATACGAATTGGTCAATCAGTTTTTGATGGTTAAAAGCTTGGTTTTAATGGGAGCTAGATTCAACCAGAATGCTAATCAATTGGCCACGCTCATCAAAATGTTGACAAACTATTTCTAGATCATACAAATCGTTAATCAGTTCTAATTAGTTTTACCTAAGGGATTAACCAAAACCACAGATGCTGCAGGTAACCCTACGAAATCTAGCTCATTCAGTTTGGATTGTCTACTTGAACCTATGACAGACATCAATATGCTCTACTTTAGAATGATTTGGGCTCTGATTATGCCCTGCATCTATTTGATCATATATTTTGTTTAGTACTTCTTTGGAGTCATGATTGGCAAAATTCCTTACAAAGCTCCAATGATTACCACAGCCTTTATCTATATGTTCATTTTCACACAGCCAACTCTAGTAGGAGGGTTCATCTAATTGGGAAGTTCAAGAATCGTATCAGGAGTCAATTGGGTTTAAGCAGATGTTGCTTATCGAAGTGATACTGATGAGCATTAACTATGGGTTGCTGCATTCGTTGCACCTATGATTGTCATCTGGGTTGCTCTCTTGCCATTGATTTTCCTTTATAGGGTTTACACCTATAGATTCCACTTGAATAATAGACATATTCGTTCGAGATGGGGATTCTTTTATAATGAATACGATACCTCAGCCTATTATTGGGAGTTTGTGAAAATCTTTTAGAAAGAATTAATGGTTATCTTTCTCACCTTTTATGAGGATTACGTTCTCATCAAGGGGGCATTGGTAATTCTGGTCTTGCTTTACTATTCATGGATCTAAATTAATACTAAGCCTTATGCAAATAATGATCTTAATCATCTTGATCGTTACTCGACTATCGTATGTATCATCACCTTATTGATTGGTTTATTAATTTACACCTCCCAGGAATATGACACCTAATATCTAATTATTATCATGTTTGTTTTATTAGGCATCTTTAACTTGTTATTCTTGATACAAATCATATTTAAGATATTCGAAGGCTACCTGGTCAAACTTTCAGATAAGATCGACCCTATTAGAGATTAAATTGTAGCTCGCAAGCCTAATATCATTTATCAATATCCGAGTCTTAGAAAATTCCTAAGGAACAAGCAAAAAACTACTCAAAGAGTTAATGAACTTTGGTGTGCTTTGAGGTCTTACACAAAAGAACAAATAAGAAATAAGAGAAACAATTTACCTAAATACGAGCTAATCATCAATGCTCCCTATGATTTTGAGGCAGCAAAATTACCCAGAGACGTTGCAGCAGCCATCATTCCAATTATGGATGACTAAATACCAGAATATTTAATAAGTGGAGCAGCTAAGGAATTCTTGGAAAAAGCCAATGGATTTGCTGATACTTTTAAAGAAGATCAAAATCAAACTAAATAAGAAAAGAAGGCAGACAATAATAAGGATTAGGGATTTTTAGGTGGTTTAAAATCATATATGCCTTAATCTGTAAAAGATAAAATCGAGAAAGCAGAAAAAAAGATCGATGATGTTAAGAAAATGAAAGAGCAAACCGAGAATATTGTAGCCAAAGGAAAATAACTAGGAGGAGTTAAGGATTAGCCTACAAATGAGGAGGAGGCAAAATTAAAATAGAATGAAGATCCACAATAAAAGTAGAATGAACAAGAGAAAGAGAAAGAGTAGGGAGGAGGAGGATTCTTCGGATCTATCAAATCATTTATGCCCGATAGTGTGAAAGAATAAATTAAGAAGGCTGAGGAACAATAAAAATAAATTCAAAAAAATATTGATGATGCAAAAAAAATGAAGGAGAAACTTGAATAAGCAGCTTAAAATAAAGACAACCTACTTTAAAATGGAGTTGATTTCATGCCTGAAGAGATGAAGGCCCAAATGAAGAAGGTTGAGGAAGAAAAAAAGAAATTAGAATAATAATATTAGCAAGCTAAAGAGATGGCAGAAAAGGCATAAAATACTGCTAACAATATTCAATAGGGTAATGTCTAGGGATTTTTACCAGGTGACATCTAAAATAAATTAAAAGATTTAGAAGAATAGAAAAAAACTCTAGAAAATAATTTTCAGTACTAATTGAATACCGAAAAGTCTCCCTTAGATATTGGTAATCAATCATAGCAACTTTTGTTGAATTAGGACAGTTAACTTGAAGTCTTTAAAAATGACCCCATGCGTATAACGAATAGCAACTTCTAAAATTTTGGTGATAATCTAAAGAAAAAATGAAAATATTCTATTGATTTAATTTGTTATAATAATTATAAATAATTTATGGTAAATGGAAATGATTTCGTTAACTTTTCCAATAAAAATTAAATTTACTCAAGTTGGTTTACTTTTTACAATTAATTCGATTTGATTTGTAGATGAATTGTCATCGATTTCAGCATAAATATTCTTATGATATTATTTTCGATGATATTAGAATAAATATAATAAAGGGAGAAAACCTACAATAGATAAAAATAGCATCAATTTATTCATTTATTGATAGTTTTCAAAATTTTCAATTTGCAACATATTAGCTACAACAAATGAGAAACTTGTTATTTCTATAGAAGTTAATTGAGAATCATTACCTATATTGATGCAAGCAAACGTTAACCCGAAGCCAGTTCCAACCATATGAGACGGAACAATTAATGGTATATGGGGCCACATAACAGCATAATATGTTCCAAAGAATAATCCATTGAGAATACTTCCGATAAGAGGGAATGCAACACATGCTGTATCACATTCTGGCATCAAATAAAAGATTGATGTAGTTAATAATTAACAAATACTAGCAATTAACAAAATTTCAATATTCCTTCCTTACTTATCGATATAATGTCCAATAATTGGACTTAATATTGCTGAAAGATAATAAGGGATGCTAAATAGTATGTTAGCAGTGTTTTAATCAAGTTTATATCTAAATTTTCTTATGAGAATTACATATGCTTAAACATTTCTACAGAATTGTAACCAAAAATAAAAAATGCTGCATAACAGGTTACACAACTAATCAATGTTACATAGAATTCAAGACTAAATTGTTTAATTTATCTAAGATCGACGCTATCTAATTTTTAGTCGGATGCTTGATCTCTCAGATCACTGCATCGATCAATTTAAGTGAGAATAATGATAATTAGAAAACTTAGACTTGCTATATAGAGACACATCAACAAACAGGTAGACAAATCATTATTAGAGGATGTATATAGATAAGGATAAATGATGGCAGCTGCAATAGATCCCAATCTGCAAATACCTGTATCAATTCTATGATAGTTTGTTTGAGTACCCAAATGCAAGAGAGTTTTCCTTCCCTTTAAACCATTTGTTAATGTAATAGCTCTCAGCCACAAAACCACTTGATTCAAATAGTCCAAAAATAAATCTACCAATGACCATCATAATGAAACTTTTCAAAATTACTGACATGAAACACATCACTTTATTTATATTTCTATCATAAATACGTTAACCCACAATAACTATGGATGAAAAAAAAACATAGGATCGCCTCACTCCAAATGTGTCTATTATCAAACCACCAATTAATGACATGATCATATTTGGAAATGATCGAAATGATAATAAATAATTAATTTCTGCCTAGGACACCTCAAAATACAACTTGATCTGCTCTCCCAATAGCGCTGGATATTCCCCTATTAAGAACTGCACTAATGGATAAACACCAATTAGCAATCAAATAAGCCATCTTAGGTTTGTATCATGCCAAGAAGTCATTTTTTCCATTATTTAAATTTTATATTATATTACTTTCTTTCATTATTGATTATAAATTATAAAATTCATATCTCCATACTCTCTATTATATTTAATATATAAAAATTCAAATATTAAAATGTCTGTCAGAGCCTTATATTAATCACAATAGGATGTGGGTAGAAATATCAAAAGGTAATGAATTACACAAATAAATTAGTTCAAAAAAAAAGTACACTTGGAAGTTTAGCATTGATGATAAGGATCATACCATTGAACTGTTTGTATCAGGTTTGTCTGGAAAAAAGAAAGTTGTGCATAATGGCAAAACCTTAAGAGAAGAGGCATCGTATTTTTATTTTATTTATCTTTTATTTAGGGTTTTAGGAAGCTTTAATTATTCCATGACCATTTAAAGTAATTTGTTAACAATCTCAAATAACGGAGATTTATATGACCTCAGGATAAACAATATGCAATTTAGTCATCTTTATCACAATGGTATTTCATTTTCTGAATTTAGAAAAAACAAAAAAAGAATTTTAATTCGAAGATGGATACAATGAAGGAAACAATTAAGAGGACTATTACTCTAAATTGCCAAAGCCTTCTAAATAAAACAAACCATTATACAAAGAAGAAGACTAAGGCTATGATTTTGGATTGGTTGATGATATCGAAAGGATGGCTCCTAAGAAAGGATTGGAAGAATAAAATGAGTTCAATACTCATTCTAATTATTAACAAAAGTTAAACATACAATTCAAACCCAAAGAAGACCCATATGCTAAATTTAACGACCCAAAACCCTAATAAAGACAAACATAATCTTTTTCAAATAAACCCTAGCAACCACAATCATCATTTAATTAATAATAAATTAAAAATGATTTCGGTGATTTTGGCAATTTTCCAAAACCTCCAACCACAACAGCCAATGACAACGTCTTTGGAAATTTTGGATTCGGATTTAATGACGCCTAATAACAATAAGCCAAGTCCTAATAATAACCAACAAATTAATTTTCACAAGATTTTAAACCAAATCCTTTCGGAGACTTTTAACAACCTTCACAATCACATTAACAAACTCAACCCTTTTAACAATAGGCACAACCATTTTTCCAATAACCTCCTCAATAATAGGTGATTGAGTAGCCAAAACCAAAACCTCTTCCTCAGGCCAATTTATTAGATTTTGGAGACGATCCAATCCAACCTCCATAATAATAGTAATTGCCACCTGTTCAATAACAAAGTTAATAATAATTGCTATACCAACAATAATAAGTTCAATAATAATAACAATTACAATAATAATCTTTATATAAAAATCCAGTCAATTAGCCACTTTAATAAAACCTTCAGTATGCTTAAGCTCCTCAACAATAATAATAACAATAACAAAAGGTTCTACCTTAAGATTTGTTGGATGCTTTTGATGATCCAGAACCTGTAGTACCACAATAAAACTAACAGTAATAGCCTTAATTCAATATAACTTCATTGTACTAATAATAAGTAATTTTCAACTTTATTTTAGGCCAATGTACCCATCTAGTCATCGATAGCAACATCATCTCCCCCTTAATAATAATAATATGTAATCATATTTTTAGATTAATTTAGAGATAAAGTATGCCCAATCAATATCAGCCTTAATCTTTTAACCATATGCCATAGCAATAATATTAGAATCCATAGGTTTCAATTACATAGTTATATAACCAACCATAAGCTTAAGTCAACATGAATGTTCCAGTTTAAATAAACGTAAAAACACAGTCAACTCCGTTTGATGATGTATTTTGAAATAATATAAAAGGAAAATGGTTAATTTTATGTATTATAATTATTATTATTGAATGATCATCATGTAGGAACATAGGATCTCATAATTTTAGAATTCGTCCCTTAAACTATTGAACGCCCTTATTAATTCACTTTCTCTTTCAATTCATAATTTTCAACTTCAATCAGGTTTGCCTTCTTTCTTAATTATTCATTTTATTGTTTTAATTCATTCGTCAATTAATTAATGTTTTTATTCTAAATTGATGTTGAATAATTACTTGTAACTCTAGTTATTCCTTATCCATTCTCAAACCTTGTATTTTATCTTCATAATGTTGTTCTCTTCTAACAATAGATTCTTCTAATTCCTAATTCTTCTATTTCAAATTGCTGTTCTCATGTTCCAATCTATATTTTTCAACCTTGTTATTTTATTCATAATCTTCCTTCTCTTATTTTAATCTATGATTTTCTTTCTATAATTTTTCATTCATTTATTCTTTTTGATTTGAACTTTATTCCAACTCTTCAATTTTCTAACATAGATTTATAATTTACACTCTCTAGATTATCGATCAGTTATTTATGCTTAATCCTTAAGGTTTCTATTACATTGTCTTTATCTTTTTTCAAAGATTCAACTTGAGTTTTATGTGATTCAGCCATTTGATCAATTTATTATTATTACTATCTATTTATAGAATTTAGATTATCTATTTCTTGAATAAGTTTGCCTTCTTTGTCAGCTCTTTGCTGGGATAATTTGATACTATTATTTAAATGAAAAATACTGTTCATTTTCTCGTTTTTACTAAAGGTCAATTTTTCTTTTGAGATCATCTATTAACAATTATTTTGATTTGCTTTCATTTTCTTCTTCATGAAGTCTTTATTAAAAGTTTTTAGTATCAAAAGAAAATTAATCTCTCTCTTTGTTTATTGAAATATTTTCTGCTTACAATTCCTTAATCTTTCTTGACTTATCAGAAATTTCTTATTTTAAATTTTCTGCTTCAAATTCATAATCCTTCTTCTAACTCTCTGAATCATTTACTAAAGCCTAATATCTTTTCTCTAATTCGTCATATTATAATATTAATTTCATATTATCCTATTCAAATTTCACATTTTTATTTTTCACCTCCCTTATCTTACTATCTGCATCCTTATTTGAACTTAACAAATCTTCATATTTTCTTTAATATTCTTATCTCAAATCCCTAATCTCGCTAATTTCAATTGATAATTTTTCATTTTTTAATTGATGCTCCTTTAATTGTTTTTTATACAAATCACAATCTCTTTACAATTCTTTAACTTTTCCAAGAACTTCTTTGTAATTCTTCAATAATGTATGGTTTTCTTATGTCAAATCTTTCACTTTCTCAGCCCAATCATCTTTCTGTAAGCGTTCTTACTTTTAAATAGAAATATTTACTGTATAAATTAGCCATCTAGTCTTATATTGTTCCATTTTAAAATATATTTAAAATAATTTCACATTTTTTTTCCAATTATTCCCTAAGTGACTAATTTTCTTCAACAAATTGCTTTGATAATTGTTCTAATTAACTGATATCTTATTTGTATATTTCAATCTATTTAATTATAAAACTTATTTAAATTACAATATGCTTTTATTCAGCTATTTACTCATCGTAGCCATCTAATAAAGGTTGTAATTTTTTCCAAGTAAACTCTGTTCTTAGATGGGATGCTTCTTATTTTGATTCATTTTCATCATCATCTGTGCTGGTGTATGATCCAAATCTGTTAATATATTATTAAATTTCTCTTAGAGCCTTTTCAACTAATTATTTTAATATCCATTATTTTTACGTAATCTCTAATACATAGTACTGTTTTCTTTCTCTCTCTCGAGCTCCGTTTTCATCTCCTGAAGATTTTTAGTTTTATTAACAATCTCATGCTAATTTTTCTATTAGAATGATTATTAGATGCCTAGTGCACCTTGGTTCGGTCCAAACTGTGATTGAGCTAATGATATGTGGATGAAAGCATTACTATTAAATCTCGACATTAACTTTCAAATTTTATTTTGAAATAATTATATAAATTTTATCATTAAATGCATATTGAACATAAATCAAATAAGATTATCAACGAATTCATAAAACAATTTCCTGATGAATAAAGGAACAGCGTAATGAATTTTCTGTTAATTCTTGGATTCGACATTGCTAGAAAACTGGGATAAAACAATCAGGCTGAACTCTATTCAACGATGAAATAGTTATCAAGTATAAAATTTGATTCACCATTTTTTGTAGAATTTATCATTAATGATTACACCTAGAATGGCTAAAGTGAGTTGCGAGAAGAGATTAAAAAAATTTAGCAATAATTGGTTCAACTAAACTCATTGTTCAATAATAGTGAGAACGAGTAGATGTAATCGAAGAGCTAGGATATCTACCGAAATCAACCTTAAAATAGACCTTAATATAGTCATAACAGATTTTATACACAGAACGATATGGAGGATTAAATAAATGCAAGAATGAGAGAAGAACAATAACTTAGTACAAATTCAAAAAATTAATTCAAACCTGCCAAAAGAAACAATAAACATAAATCACCATTGTAACAAAATAATAATAATTTAACTGCCAAAATAACTGAATCTCCACCTCCTCCGATGATTTTTTAAAAAACTGTAAGCAGCAAATTCAATATTAAACCACACTTAGATGATCATCAAATGTAATTTAAAAATTTTACTGTTTTAGAAAATAATTGCTTTACTCTGAAAATGAAAAAATATATTAAGAAGATTTTGATTCAGTTTCAAATAGAGGTCATCATTACAATCCATCTCCAAAATCTATTAAATACACATTAAATATTTAGAACCTTGGTATTGTTTTGAATTATAATAGACAACATCGGATAAAGATTTTAAACCCATGAAACAAATAAAAAGAATAAACCTTAATAAACTTCGAATAGCAGCAGATAAAAAAAGAAAGTGCCTGCATATTTATAGAATGTTGAATCCAAAATTAAACCAAAATTAGATTAGGATAAATAGGCATTTAAAAATTAAAAAAGTACTTCTTTCAAATAATTTAAGATTATGATGGCGATGAAAATCAATATTATAACGACTAGATCTCTTCATCATAAAAAATGACTGCTAATTTTTAAAATAATAAAAATTTTATTCGTCCTAGTTAGGAATCAGATACTTATTATGAAATACAGCAATACTTGATTAATTAATAGCACTAAAATGTTCATCTTTCTCCAGTTTAAGAAATGAAAACAGGCAATGAGATCAATTATAACAAAAAAAAAACTTAGAACTTTAGGGATAATACAAAAAGTTCATTGAAAAGCTCAAATGATGCAAACAATCTTCGGTAGCATCAGCAATAAAACTTTTTTGAATAACATGAAAGCCTACCTTATGCAAATTCAATTACTCCAATTTAGGTATCCGATTTTTAAACGAGTAAATAATAATCAGATTTAAGCTTTGATGCATTTAGAAAAAAAGCCTAATTCATTTCTCCATATGTAAAATACAAAAATAATTTTAGGCAATATCTTTACAGCAAAGTTCTTAGCCAATTCAAACAGCTTAAAAACTCTAAAGGAATGATGAAGAAAGTAGTGAAAGTTTTTCTAATTTTACACCACCAAACAAGGAAGTTAGAGAATTTTTATCTAAACAGTGCATTTATTAAGACTAAGATTGAGATTTAATTTACCTTTAGTTTTATTTATGTTCAAAATATTTAGACTGCTTGAGACACTAGGCCGATTCTTTAAGAAACCACCAGCGGGGACAGGTAGGCGAATTGCTATGTCTCCATTCTTTAAGAATATTCTAACTGAAGACGAAGAAGAGAACTTCAAAAGATAGGAGATATTTTATGATCCACATGCGTAATATATCAACATAATTGAAGATTTTATTTGAGACAACAGAAAATATAGTCTTACTAAGATGAACTAATGCAGAAAAATCATTCAAGGCATAACGAAAGCGGTTTATCTGAATTAGGTATTTTTGATCTCATAAATGTAGTGATTACAGCCAAAATGCCTTAAAGAAATCAGTTGTCAAACACTGGCGATTATATAATTCACAATTAAGATAGCTTTCTTCATTCAATTCAACTTGGTAGAAAGGGAGCTGATAATCATTTTTTTAGCTTAGATGACGTTGAATCAATTTATAGCTCCTTTGAATAGGATATTAATTTTGATATGTAATACTTTTAAAATATTTATAGAGAGGACAGCTTAGTATACCAGCATTGAAATATTCTCAGTTATTTAATAATATAAATTACATAATTCTTTAATCAACATTTTTGAATGAGAAAAAACAATCGTTAAAGAATTGACAATGATTCATCTATTAGAACAAGAACTAGGTAGAAATCTATAAATCAGAATGAGGAGAAAAAAAGAAAATAAATAGATGAAGAGTTTGAGAAACAAAAATATCAAGCAAAATTATAAGTTCAAAATTTACTTTTGGATGAAAATAGTTGCAGCAAAGCTGATCTAAAAAAAGAGATCGTTAAAGGAAGAGTAGCAGTTGATGAATGTTTTATTTACAAGGCTGACTACCATGTTTACTAGATCAATAATAAAATTTATGATTCTCTATTGAACCAAACCAATATTGTCTAGGGCAATAACAATAACAAATTTTACATAGCATAAATCCTAGAAAGTGATAATTAGCCTTGTAAAATTCTGTATTTATTTTAGTTAAGTACTATTTTTTCACAAGATGGGGAAGGGTAGGTTAAAAAGGGTAACATGCAGCAAAATAATTATCTCTCTAGTCCTGTATTGATGAATATGAAAATAAAATTTATGAAAAAACTATTACAGGCGATTATAAAATTTTAGAGAAATTTCTCATTAATTAAAATTCTGAGCTATCTAATGACTTGGCACATTATGAAAAATCAAAGTTATAAAAAGAAATTAAAGATTTACTTTAACTTATATACGATGTTAAAATGATGGATAAACAAATGATGGAGTATATAATATTATACTAATTTTAGGATTGGTTATGATTCCTCAAGAATGCCATTGGGAAAGTTAGGTAATGAAACCATAAAAAAAGGATATAGTATATTAAAAAAGATTGCAGAAGCAATAAATGAAACCAAATTAACGAAACAAAAAAAAAAGTGTTTATTAGAGGGTTTGTCATCTGAATTTTATTCTTATATTCCTCATAACAATGGCTACTCAAAATTAAAATCCTTAGACACTAATTAAGACATAAAAGAAAAATTAGAAATGTTGGCATCTTTAGAGGCAATAGAAATAGCAACAAGTTTGATCTTAAATGAAAGTGGAAATCTTTTTGACAATTACTACTTAAAGTTAAATTCAGCAATTAATTTGATTGTTTCAGATTCTGAAGAATATGAGTTAATTCAAAAGTATGTTGATAATACTCATGGAAGTACTCATTCTACTTACAATCTCAAAATTTTAGAAATATTTAAGATTAAGAGGAAAGGAGAAAAGGATAAATTTAAGAATGTGGGCAATAGGATGTTATTATGGCATGGTTCAAGATTAACAAATTTTGTAGGCATTATAAGTCAAGGTTTAAGAATTGCCCCTCTTGAAGCACCATGTACTGGATATATGTTTGGAAAAGGTGTTTACTTTGCAGATTCTGTTTCTAAATCAGCAAATTATTGTTGTACATCTCCTTCAAATCCTGTTGGATTAATTTTATTATGTGATGTTGCTCTAGGAAAGTGGTAGGAAAGAACTTAAGCTGATTACGAAGCAAGCAATTTAGAACCTAACTGTTATAGTACAAAAGGAATTGGAAAAATGGCACCGGAGTTAACTGTTTCATTTTAAGATTTGAAAGTTCCAATAGGAAAACTAGAGGATCAGCAAATCAAGAGCGATTTGATGTATAATGAATACATAGTTTATAATGTGGACTAAGTTAGGATAAAATATTTGGTTAAATTGGAATTTTTATATAAATAAAAAATGAAATGATTCTTATATCTCATTTTATTTTTATATATTCTAAAATCAAAAAAATGTTTGTGAATCATAATATTTCTACATAAATTTGAATTATTCAGCCGATTCCTTATTAAGCTGAGAAGTTATTTTACCTATCCAAAAATAAGTTCTGATATATATTTAAATTCTAATTTAAAATCAAAGTCTCTTTAATATATAAATTCCACAGATAGATCATTTAAATTAAAAATATCAGTGAGTCTCTGAATGATTTCTTAATTAATTTCACACTTTTTAAAGTGCCACGCTTTCATTCAATGACAACAAGAATTTTTATTTAATTTAAAATAAATCAATAATTAGAATTAATCTAAAAATCAATTCTACACAGAAATAATAGTTAATTCACCTACATAAGGAGATTATGATCATCATAAATATAAATGATTATTATTAGCACATATATATTAGGTCATCATCGATAGTAAAATAGTGAAATAAGAAGGTTTTTCTCAAACACCCTAAGCCGATTATGAGGCGGCCAAGTCATTGAAAAAGTAAATTTTGTAACTGAACATTCAAGTCGTCATTTATTATGAAAAAGTCAGAATCCTCTTGAATGATAAAGATTTTATTTGAGTGAATCTAACTTGCCACAGTAATCTTATACTATGTCGATGATGAGGAAATCAAGTGTTTCACATATGAAAGTAATAGCCGAATAAATTACACATTAAAATCTGACTACTACCAAGTAGAAGTCAAACTGATCATAGATTTCAGTGATTTTAGTAGGTGGATGATACTAAAAATATCTATCATTTGTAATAATGGTGTGAGAAGTTATGTTTATTGCAATCTATTGCCTATCATTAGGAAGTAGGTGTTATCAACGCTATATCCAATGACTATAATGAGATTGTCAGTAGAATCATGGAGAGTAATAATTATTATAATCTATTGTGCTTGTTGCTTATAATAAGATCTGACTCATTAGGAACGTAAATAATCCTAATTAGAAACACATTTCAATCTTTTATATATGACGATGAAATCGTGATACGTTTATACGTTAGATACAATCCTATAGCTATGATGAGGAATTTATCATAAATTCAACGATTAAATGAGTTGATAACACTAATATTATACTATTATCTACGATGAAAAGATAGGCTCATCATCATAGATTGTAGAGAGGTGATTATGCTTAATACAATCATACAACTATGATATGAATATTAACTCATAAGATGGAAGATGAACGATTAACATATAATTGAAACTTGGGACTTAAATTTAAGGAATATTTTGAAATTATTGAGGGAAAATGAAGGAAGACAGAGCTATCAACATAAAGAGACGAATAGAACAATCGATAACAGAGTTAAATAAAAATCAAATAGAATGAGTATTCATTAAGAAACCAATAAACATAGATCCTTAATTTATAATTTGTGATTCCAAGAGTGGCATTTTGTAACACTTATAAAAATAGTAATTAATAAAGTAAAACATAATATCTGAACTATCCATTACGTATTTTGTTGTTATGTCCTTATAAAATATATATAGGTCCAGTTTCATAACAAAAAAAAATGGAACTTCATCAAAATAATTTAATTGCTTTCTTAAAATTCTTACAAGATTAATGTCCTTTGACTAAACTTATTGATAATGCGTTATCTTTTTCACAAATTATAATATTGAGTGTAGATATATAGAATGGAAAACTAAACATACTAAAAACTGATTTAGTTATTAGAATCATCAACTATCAAATTTTTGCTCTATAATTTTTCAATCATATATCACTAAGACGCCACTTAACTTTAATATTCTGATTTTTTGAAATAAATTTAATGAGAGAATTTTAGAAATGGTATTAATATAACCCAGACATAGTATGAGAGGTAGTTATTTTTGTTATAAAACACAAAAATAGTAAATAAATTAACATTAGATATTTCTAATAGAGCATTTTAATATTCATTTTTGTTACTATTCTTTTGAGGAATCCAAAATCAAACTGCCTTTTGATTTGAATAATTATCTTAAATTTTATGCCTAAATAATTACTAAATTCTCCTTTCATGATGAGAGCTCTTTATATTTATAAATTTTGATTTTAAGATGTTAGTAGAATAGAAATAACTGAGTTAGCATTATCTTGAAAATCCAAAGAAAAATGGGGGGGTTTAAGTTACATCAGAATTTCTTTTTAACAATTTTGGAAGATAAGATTTGTGGTTCTGTTTTTATATCCCATAACCGAAATAGACATATCCTCACTTCCAGATATTAATCTATTACCTTGAGGAGTGAAACAGACAGAATAAACCCAATCATCATGACCATCTAATATGGCTATTTATAACCTTGTCTTAACATCCCATAAACGAATAGAATGATCCCAACTACCAGATGCTAATGTAGTACCATCAGGAAAGAAACAAACCGATAAAATTCAATTACTATGACCATTTAAGTTTGCTTTTTATTATCCAGTCTCAACATTCCATAAACGGATTGACTTATCATCACAACCCGAGGCTAATGTAGAACCATCAGGAGAGAAACAAACAGATTAAACATAGCTTGTATGACCATTTAATATTGCTTATTATTCTCCTTTTTTAACATCCCATAAACGAATGGACATATTTGAACTACAAGAGGCCAATGTAGTACCATCAGGAGAGAAACAAACAGCAAGAATTCCAGTAGTATGACCAACGTATTTGTTTTTTAATTATCCTGTCTAAACATCCCAAAATAGGATAGACTTGTCCAAACTACCAGATGCCAATGTATGGCCATCATGAGAGAAATATACTGATAAAATTCCACTAGTATGACCAAGTAATTTGCGTTTTAATTATCCTGTTTTAATATCCCAAATACAGATTGACTTATCATCACTACCAGAAGCTAATGTACTACCATCAGGAGAGAAACGGACAGATTAAACATAACTTGTATGACCATCTAGCATAGCTTTTTCTTATCTAGTCTTAACATCCCATAAACGGATCGACTTATCCCAACTACCTGATGCTAATGTAGTACCATCAGGAGAGGAACAGACTGATAGAATTCCATTAATATGTTCATCTAATTTGGCTTTTAATTATTCTGTCTTAACATCCCATAAATGGATAGACTCATCACAACTACCAGATGCTAATGTATTACCATCAGGTGAGAAATTGACTGAATAAACCCTTCCTAAATGACCATCTAGTTTGGCTATTTATTACCCTGTATTCACATCCCAGAAACAGATAAAGTCATCATCACTACCAGTTGCTAAAGTAGTACCATCAGGAGAGAAACTGACTGAATAAACACTTCCTAACTAACATTCTATTTTTGTTTTTAATTACCCTGTCTTAAAATCCCATAAATTGATAAAGTTATAACTACCAGATGCTAAAGTAGTACCATCATGAGAGAAATTGACTGAATAAACACTTCCTGAATGACCATCTAATTTGGCTTTTTATTATCCTGTCTTCATGTCCCATAAACTGATGGATTCATCTTAACTACCAGATGCTAATGTAGAACCATCAGGGGAGAAACAAATTGAATTAACTTTCTTTGAATAACCATCTAATTTTGATATCTACTTTCCTGATTTAAGATTCCATAAATAGATAAATTATCTGCTACTGAAAGCTAAAGTAGAATTCTTAGGTGAGAAGCATTATGATTTTACCTCCGCGTCTCCTTTAATTATAGACTTTATTTTTCCTGTTCTTAAATCCCAAATAATAATAGAATTATCACAAGAAGCAAAGAACTTACTATCTTTAGAAAAGCAAACTTAATTGACACATCTACTATGAACGTTTAACTTATTTAACTCATCTATTTTTATATTCTTCCAGTTGCAATTAAACAATTTGGCTCCATTCAAATTAATTCCACAGATATTTACATTATCAAAATCAGATCCGCTTAAGTTACATCTTACTAAATTTGCTCCTATTAAGGAAGTATTTTTAATTCTAATATTCTCAAATTATTATTTACTCAAATCAACTTTCATTTAAATTAATAGATGAAGAGAATTTGATCCAGACTATATATATCTCTCATCTAATGCAGTAAGATGAACTAAGAAATTTAGAAATTTGATAATTTTCTCATTCCATGATATTTTTATGATCAAAGCTTTTTTAATTTTTTCATATTCTTTTAATGCATAATTATATTCATTAAATTCATGATCCTTAATTTTTTTGAGAACATATGTCATTCTGACCATCTATTCCTTATCAAATAGTGATTAATTTACTACCTATAATATTTCTTATTCAACTTTCCTTATATTTAGATCATTTGAGAAAATTTCTCGATTGTCTTAAATTTTATCTCTTTTATATATTTTTAAAAGGATTGAGAAAACAACTTCGTCAATATCTTTAGATAAAGCCAAAACCTCATACAAATCTCCAGCCTTATCATTTTAGCAATTCATTTTTATTTAAATACTATATTTCTATTAATTTAATTTAAAGTCTTCTATGTGAGTACCCCCCCCCCCCCCGGATTTGTGAATCAAAAAACTATGTAGGTACCACCCCTGGATTTGTGAATCAAAAACTATGTAGATACCACCCCCCTGATTTGTGAATTTAAAAATTTCCAAAATTTACCATTTTTAGGAGGTAAAAGTTGAGAAAACAATTTTTGATAGTCAAAAATGGAAAAAAAATATAAGGTGTTAAAATATTTTCTCTCTATTCCTTTATTGATAATATTGCATTTCTTTGACAATAAGAACAAATTCTCATTAGTCTAATATTATTAATATTGAAATTCTAAAACTACAGTTTGAGAAAAATCTTTTCTCGCCATTTAATATTACAATTCTAAAATTGCAGTTCGAGGAACATATCCCGATTCTAATTTAATGATAAAGTTTTTCGCGATTATTAGACTGTTAATAATGGCATTCTACATATTTGAGGACAATTATTTTTAATTAAGAATATCAAATTAATGTTGTAAATGTAGCAATTCTAAAATTACTACTTGAGTGAAATTATTTCAAATATATAATATTAAATTAAATTTGTCAATGTAGCAATTCTAAAGCTAGCTTGCGTATAAAATTAACTCTCTCAATAATCGTTGTAAATATTGATACACGATCTATAATTCAATGGTATTTATTAGAAATTTATTTAAAGCTTTAGCTCTAATCGATTCTGCATTACAATAAGGATTGAAGCGTGC